CAGAATTTATGCATGAGAACACATATAGATTTATATATGTTAAAAGGAAACAAGAAGAACTGGTGTTTAAACGAAGTTTAAACGATAACATTTTGATAGTGAAAGCACGTTACGTGAGAAATTGTTTTTCCACAGAATCACAGAAATAATTGAAGACTTAGTGCAATTTCGTTGGAAGCTTGATATTTTTGTTTCGACAATTACGGCTGACGAGTGTATTTCTACTGTTAATTTGCTGCAGGTTTTCAAATCTCGTACACATTTTTAATAAATGGCTGATACTTCATAGAATTTGAATAAGCCTTTTTTCAATCTGGTTAGAAAACAATATTTCAAACATTCTGAAATTTCCACAATAAACAGACACATTTAAAGTCACTGTGCACAATCTTCAGCCATTTAATTATTACATTTATTTATTCTTCTTATCAATACCTTGTATATGTTAAAATTAAATTAGAGAAATTCATTTGAATTGTATTTTACATTACAGTAATTTAGAAGTCTATACTTCTATGTACGGTACCTCCAGCTTTATTTGAGATATTTATATATAGAACTTTGTTACAGAGTTCATTTATTTGAATCGAATTTCAATCAATGCTCTTGAATCCATTTATTTAAATCTAGACTTCTATTATATGAACAAAAAATTACTAGTAGAGAAAGCAATCTACTATATGAACTCCAATTATATGTAAAAATATATAAATATGTATAAATTATACGTGCAAATGGAGGTTTATGTAAATGAAATTCTACTGAAATTATAAAACCATATATGGCTTCTTTGTGATAAGATGAAACACGAAAATTAGATTAAAAAATCTCACTTGAGACATATTACGTATCATTAGAAATATATTTTTGGTCGTGTCTAGATACTTCTGTAAATCAATGTATTTTATATTAGGATAACTTAATATCAAGACAAAATAATGTTTTGTCAAATTCTCCACAAAAATGAAATGCAATCGTCTGGATTGATAAATACAGTCTTAAATAATTAGTACCACTCACAATTTTAAAATCTTTCGTATTCTTAGTAAATTTTGAACGTCTGCACAAAACTTAATTTATATATATTATAATTTATATACATTGAATGAGCAATAGAGGACCGAGTGAATTTTTATACTAGGATATCAATTACAAGTAATAAGCATCTAATAACACACCATTTACAATAGGTTTATATCATAAAAAATATGATGAAACAGTAGGCACGATATAAATGGCATGTTGAAAAAGGTATATATTATTATTAATTATTAAAAAGTTAATATTGTTATATGCACTATATGTGTACTTTAATAGTTAATAAAAAATTATTATCAAATTATATATTCAGGCTGTTGAATTTTCCTAGAAATACAACAGATGTTGAAAATTGTAAGTGACCTAATTTTTTGACCAAGGACCGTAAACGATCTGACGTTTATTCGGTTGAATAAATGGCATAACATCGAATAAATTGCCAGAAAACTCGGCGTTCCGATAACGTGCTGCCAGAGCATCTTGCCTGCGTACTCCTCGCAATGCGCGGTCCACGCACGTGTATACGTACTTTTTGTTTATTTACCGAAGCGAGGACCCGTACAGAGTATCAAAGGCTGGCACTGTTTCAAGAACTATTTTCGTTTGTAAGCTCTCGCGTCCCCATTGCACTTTCCATTTCCCCTATATTTTCGTCTCATAATTCCCTTACCGCGATTCCCAGGATTCCCTTAATATTGAAATTCACCGCAACGTCGCGTTCATCAATCTGGCAGGAATTTTTCAAAAAAAAAAAAAAATCCTTCGAAACGGATGGCGACGCTCTCTCAAGTTTGAACGTACGACACGAAGCGATTCTCCTCGTTTCACTCAAATTTATACGCGGATAAGTCTTGCTCCATTGGCCATCTGTCAGCCATAGAACCCAGTTCCGTCCACCCTCTTCATCTCCTTTGTGTGCATGTTTGCAACTTACATACTTGGCTCTTTCTACTTTCGTCGCGTTTGTTTAGAAAATCTCCCTTCATCCAGATGTGTCAATTTTCAAGGAATATTCGCGCATCTTTGTTAGGGACGTACGAGAGTTGAAACGACATATGTGCGATTTGTTTAAAGTGTGTCCTCGCTGATGCTTGCTTACACTGTCGCAATGAGCACTAGATTTAAGGAAATATGTGGAATCTTACATACTTCGTCGGAGCGACCGCGATTCATGGACGACTCCTGATCGTTATGATAAATGAAACGTATTGAATCAAATACAACCAATCACACAGACAACTGTTTGACATTAAATGTACTAAGAAGCCACGCTGAACTATGATCGCCGAATTTGGACACCAAACATATTGTTGGTCTCTCGTCGACTAGTCGACAATAAATTACGAATTTTTATGCATTTATGGCAAATTAAGAGTTGCAAAAATGCGCAGAATGCGTATAATAATAATATACGCAAAAATATATAAAATATCCGAAGTAGAGTATTTATTACAATACATAGTGGATGAAACAAAATTGTATTTAGGTTTTTTTATATTTCTAATTATGTCTGTGGAAACTTCAGAATGCGTAAGTCCGCAGTCTAATGTTCATTAATAATTAATGTTCTTATATAATTCAGAATTACATGGTATATAAATAAAGCCAACGTTCATCAATAAAATATAGTGAGAAAAAACAAATTAACAGTTGTTGCATTACACGTTTCTAATCTGTGAATTTTAAAGCAACAATATATTTTTATAACACGTGTCAATAGTCTTGTGTCCCCAATCTAATACACCCTTGTTTATTTCAATATAGAGAAAATTTATTATCATTCGTGATAGCAATGTACTCATTCAATGACGAGTCGATGATACGATTAAGCGACGATATTTTCTCATTGATGAGCCGACAAGATTTCGTATCGAGATTTACTTTAACTGCAGCAATTGTCTTCGATTTATTATGAAACAAATATTGGAGCTATGTCAATAAAGTGTCACTGAAACATGTCAGACAGAATATATAAAGCATTTTACTCAGAAATAAATAGTAAATTCCGAACAATTAGTGAAATGTTATTACTAGGATGTGAATTGAAGATCATGGTATAGTATAGTTAAATTCGTTTCTACATTAGCCACAACAAAATGAAATTACAAAATTACTTTAAATATTGTATATAGACTTTAATCTAGCGATTGATAATTAGAAAATACACTAAATGAGCTATCACGAAATGCTTGAGAAATATTGTTCAAAATCATTGAAAAAAGCTGATCACAAAATATGTATTAATTCCTGAATTCAAAAAGAACCACGCAGACGATACTGCCTACAAAAGAGAAGAAAGAAGAAAGGAGAGAAACGAAAAGAAAAGGGGGAGGGAAAAGAGCAATCGCAGTGGTAGCCGCAACCACAAAGTATTAACGAGAACGAAGACGCGATCAGATCTTTCCTCGAGGTTCCATCCCTGTTCCGCGTATCGTCGCCAATAGCCAGCAAACCAGCTAGTCACGTATATGAAAGGCGTCTTACTTTGTACATACCTATATATATACACTGACTGACGCCATTTTCCAACAAGTTTCCATTTATGGAACCTAATGATACGCGACTCGTCTAGATGGTCTCGCGTACCTGAGTACTCGCTTCTCTCACGATAGGTCTCTCGATTTTCTACCAGTTTCTCTATTTATTCCTTCCACTCTCATTCGAAACTTACGAACTTCTCTGTCACTTTATAGGTGAAACCATGAGACGTCGTTTCGACACGTGACTGTCAAAAAGTTCCAAACGTATATATAGAAATGCCGCGTCAAGGATAGTCGCGTGAGAACGAGATGGGACAGCCGTGTGCACACGCGAACAGATTCGAGGGGTGAAAATAGAATAAGAACACTTGTCGGGAGAACATCGGGCGCGCTCCAATTTCTTCTATTCTCCCGATTATACGCGAAAAGGCCACGTGTGGACGTTCTCTTTTCTCCGGATCCTTCCAGCCCCTTTCTCCTTTGGAAGCATCGAACAATACATATTTTACGCTCCCATGGCAAGCCGGATGCGATCGCGATTACGCGAACAATTAATCAAGGAAACGTGCTCCCTTTTCTTTTATTTCCTTTTCCTAAAGGATATACGCGCTTATGCACGCCAGTTGAATATCGCGCAAGCATTTAAACTTCAGACTATCGCGCTAGACTTGTTAAAATTGTATAAAAATATAAGAAATTGTAGAAATTGTTGTCGACAGTCGTAGCTTGAATTAACAAAAAATCGTCCTATTCATGTTCGACTCGGTAATTACTAGACTGCGGAATTTTTGTGTAATATTATATGTTTTTATGAAGAGATTTTAGAAGATGGAATTTATTTCACCTACTAAAAATGATAAAAAAAATTATAAATTATAGTATAGTAAATATAATTATAAAGCTATTATAAAGTGAAATTTTACGCTTTAGATATTTAATGGGTGTAGTCTTGCATTATATATTACAGACGTACATATAATACAAGATATTATTATTACATGCAATATTCTTATGTATATTATATACACTCCATGCAATTTTGCACTTCGGAATTTCACACAAATGCGTAAAAATCCGCAGTCTACTAAGTACGACGTTGTCGTTTGTACCACGTGCTGTTTTATCCCATTTTCATCAAACTTGGTTCACAAAACCAAGTGACTAGGCAAGATCGCAAAAGCGACAGGCATGTGTTCGAAGTTTGAAAGAATCGCCGTGTCGTGCCGCGAATACCGAGCGATATTAAAATCTGCATCAATATTTCCCTCGACTGTCCTCTCTCTAGCTCCAGCTACGGTGGAGGTCATTGACCCTCAGTTGTTACACGTATCGAAATAGTCGCGTTCGTAGTTCATGAATGAATTTTAGAACCAGTTCCATCAGGGTCATAAATGTATATATGTATATTTGTCATTCCATCGAACCAACAGCGTAATTTTATATTTCAGTTTTGTCTCGAGAGTAAAGGGATACGATGCTCACCTTTTGAGCCTTGCAGGCAGCGGCTAACGGTAGAACATCATGGGGATGGGCTGCGTGACGATCTCGAAGACAGTGTGCGCATATCGCGATCTTGCAAAGAGCGCAATAAAGAGTCAACGGCTCGCCGTTGTGATCGGTACACAGCGGCGTAGTTTCCGCGGCAGGTCCGCGAGCACCTTTGCCACCACCGTTCGATTGCCAGCTGCCCCGAGGCGGGCCCAGATTGTGCGTTGCCAGAGGTCCCCTTTTCGGATGACACGATTCTCTGCATCCGTCGCAATACAGCACCTGAAACGTGTCCATCTTTTATTTTCCATCTAAATTCCATACTATCGATGGATTCGAAGAAGCAAATAATATTTATTCTCGGCTACGTTTCAAGAGGCGACGTGTGTGTCGTCTCGTTTTCGGCTCGGTAATTATCAAATGTAATTATAATTTTTAAATTATAGATTTAGATTATTATATTATTATATTATATTCAAATTTAGATTTTTTCCCATTAATTACAAATTAATTTTATAAAAATTGCTACAAAAATTGCTGATCAGTACTATTGGATTAATAAATAATAATAATTTAACAAAAATGAAATATCAGATACAAATCGTACGTATCAAAACGTACAATCTATCACGTGCAACTCGTCAAATTTAAAATCGCTGTTGATACAGGGGAAAGAACGAAGGGAGAAGCAATTTAATCCTACGTAAAACATACACTGAGATGCAAACTCGGTGAATATTTTCAACCGCGTAATTACGCAACGTGTTATCGTGTCACTGAAACAAATCAACGCGTGACGTACATATAAGCATTTTCATACGCGTTTTACCCGCGTGTAAATAGCGACTCTCGTGGGGAGAGTGGATGAATACATTATACGAGAGGATATAAGAGGGCGAAAAGAAAATAAGGAGAAGGGAGAAAGAAGGTGAAAGAAGAGAGGGACTAGTAGAAAAAAAAGAGAAAAAGATGACTGACCTCGCACTGCTCGCAGGCGACGGTCGCGTCCCGAGGTTCAGCCTCGCACATTTGACACTGCAGCCTCGTGTTTCGCGATTCCTGATACTTCTCGACGATACGCTGCATCGCCCTGTACTTTGGCAGATTGTGGGCTCCACCTTCGTCGAAGTAAACGGTTTTTTGGCAAACGGGGCACGAGAGGCACAAAGTGCCTCCTGACGGTGGGAAGCCGCCGTTCCCAGGTGTGCCGACATAGCTTCCTGGCCGCGAACTGGTGGACGTGCTGCTGCACACCACCCCGGAATCCGTCTCGGAAAGGATCGAGAGTTTGTCCGCTTCCTGGTCGGATCCCGGCGCGTTCGATGAATCGGTCGTCGACTCCGGAGGTGAGTCCGGCGGTGCTTGCAAATTCACCGCGCACGCCAGACAAAGGGCATGCCAGCACGGTAGTAATACCGGTTCGACGAACAGCTCCTTGCAACAAGGACATCGTAGCTCGTCCTCCATCCTCGCGACTCCTCGCGACTATTCACGACGAGAAACTCGTCGTAGCGGGCGCGCGCTTCTTTCTACTTCTCGCTATCCGACGACCGACCGTGTCCGTCTGATCGACTACTCTCCTCCGATTCTCTTTCTCTCTCTCTTTTTCTGCCTTTCTCCTCTTTATCTGTCTATGTATTCATCGATCTGTTTATCTATTCATCTACCTATCTCTATACGTCTATTTGCCTGCCTGCCTGTCTGTCTGTCTATCAATCTGTCTGCCTATTTTTGCTCTCTAATTTGCGATCGCGCTTCTCGTTCTTCTTATGATTCCCTCGATCGTTTTAAATTCTACTACGCTTTCGATTTTATTTCGTGCAATCTCTCTTTCCTTCCACGCCTAGTTCAATATTACACGCCTCCGTCCAGTAACAACAATTCGCGCGGCAATTCACCGTTTGCTCCCTACGAAAAAACCAGAAATTTTGTTTCGATGGCGGCTCTTTCCAGATTCATTCGTTGCACCAGAACGGTGCATCCACTTCTCTCAAATCGAATCACATTCGCTCGGGTGAAGCATTTTATATCTTCCCTCTCGTTCCGATTATCCTTCGTCCATCGACTGCACGGTAAAATCAACTTTACATTTTTCCTCGATCTAATTCGCAAGTGACGCCTCAATGCAACTCCCATATATTCGATTTCGTCTCAACCGAACCCGTTCGACTCTCGATTCAGTTTGTTCCTCGAATTATTATCGTGATCGCACGACTGGATCCCTCGTGTATTTAAGTACACGTAAATTTATTATTTCGTCTTCGGTTTCGTAAATACCGGCACAACGAATTCACCATACGACGCACATTGTGAGACGTCACTGAGTTGACTGACACCCGGACGCCGTAGTACCACTGCGCATCGCAATTGCGCATTGTTGCTCAGGGACGGCTCTCGCCATTCACCACCCGGCGAATATTTACTTTTTTACCATTTTTCATATCTCTTTTTCATCTCATTTATATAGTCGAGAATGTAATCGCAATTTACATATCTCTAAAAATTTGTTTCAACATTATTGAACTTCTCAAGAGAAGATGTACATATAGATGCAATAACATGCTACTTGTCATTTCACATTCCTTTAAAAAAAAGCCATAAACGCCTCACATTATTTACAGTACGGTCATTACACGAACGAATTTTTAAATCGATTTTTTAAATATTTACGTACGCGCACATTTATACGTGTAGTGCTTGTAATTTGTTCGCAATAAATAACAAATTGCAATTTTATTTTACTTATCCATCTTTCTTATTACGTTTTTAATTACAAGAGTTTTCTTTCCTCGCTTATTATTCTTATTTTTTTCTATTATACGCTATCGTTAAATTTTCATTAGATTATAAAATTCAATAAATTATAAGATGAAAAATGATAAGTAGAAAAAACATCATTCGTTGATGAGAGAAGGCAGATAAAATACTCAGAAACATAGAAAAAAAAATGATTCGGATTATCAATTTTAGCGTAAAGTAGTAAGGTATAAGAAGATGACCATAGAGGCGCCACATACTAGATAATGCAACTTTATCAAGTGACATCAGGCAAAAATTGACGTCAGAATTATGCACATATTTTTTAATTTGGTAAGCGAAGAAATTTACGACTAGATATTTCACGTGCAGGATCACATAAGATATAAGATAGCATTTTTTCAAAAATTCACAGGTAAGAAACGCTGTTTCATTGATCGTTCAACTATTCTTCCCCAATTATTAATATACATGCTTTTATCACGTTTTCATATATGTTAAAAATATCATCGAAAGCATGGCATTGTGAATTACTAAAATACAACAAATATTGATTCTAGATAATTCTATCGATATAATCGAATTTGAGTGTGATGTGACATAGTTATGTAATACAATTTCTATTGATATCCGATTCATGTCAATATACATACATACTTGTACTTTAATGTATACCTGGAGAAATTACTTCACCACAGTTCTTAGCAAACACTGATTTTTATTTTTTTCTTTCTAGAAAAATTTCATGTAATCGATTACCGTATCAAAATCAAATATGCTCGCATCATTGACAAAAAGAGTCTTGTTACAGCAATATCTTTATACATGTCGTTATGGATTTACTTATAGGTTAGTCGATTTATCGATTTCATAACATGCAACGCGTTACACAACCATATCTATTGAAACTTAATTGATATTAACCTAAAAGAAATGTTGCAAATTCGAGAGAATAGGTTGATGTATACTATGTGCAATTTTCCAATTATATGAATTAAATAAAATCACGCGCATAATTACTTTCAGCACAGAGTCATGCGGAACGTTCGACTTAGTTATCGTTGGGGGTGGCATCGTTGGATGTGCCACTGCCCGGGAAATGTTAATAAGACACCCTAACTTAAAGATGGCGATCGTTGAGAAAGAAAACGATTTAGCGAAGCATCAAACCTCGCACAACAGTGGTGTAGTACACGCTGGAATTTATTACAAACCCGGCAGTATGAAAGTAAAAACATTAGCAACAATTCCATATATTTCTTAACGCTTTCCTCTTTCTTCCTCTCAAGAGATATTTGAATATATGTGATATCTTTAATTACACAGTAGAATAATGCTTCATTAAGAAATTTTTGATCCGGTAGAAAATGATTGCAGGCAAAACTATGTGTGGAAGGTTTAAAGCTAAGCTACGAATATTTCTGTAAACATGATATACCTCACAACAAAGTTGGGAAACTCATAGTAGCTCAGAATAAGGATCAAGTTAAAAAACTGGACGATTTGTACGATCGGGGAATAAAAAATAATGTACCGGATCTCGAAATAGTCGAGAAAGATTATATATCGAAATACGAAGCTAAATGTCAAGTATTAAGATTATTTTTTTTCCATTTCTGATATCGTAAAAAGAGAAAAAAATTATATGTATTAAAGAAAAATATGTTACGAGTTTTCAAAGCTATAATAATAAGAAATATATTGTGTATGCAGGGAGAAAAAGCATTATGGTCACCGTGGACAGGTATAGTCGACTGGGCACTGGTTTGTAAACATTTTGCCGACGAATTCCAAAAAATGGGTGGAAAAATATATTTAAATTATGAAGTTACTGGTTTTTCGGAGATGGCAGAATCTAAAGATAAGGCAGACTTATCTCCGATTTTAGTACAATCGAAAAATAGAGTGTGTACAGATATTACGAACAAAGTCCATAAATTTTTCATTTTCAATTTTTCTTTATCGTATTATCATATCGTAGTGTATGCCGACAAAATATGTGTTAACGTGTGGTGGTTTGCATTCGGATCGTCTCGCAGTAATGACAGGATGCGATCTTAGTCCACGAATTGTTCCATTTCGAGGCGAATACTTGTTATTAACTGAGAACAAAAGGCATTTATGCACCACCAATATATATCCTGTTCCAGATCCCAGATTTCCATTTTTAGGTGTTCATTTTACTCCTAGAATGAACAACGATATATGGCTGGGTCCAAATGCAGTTTTAGCGTTTGCTAGAGAGGGATACCGGTACACAAATTAATAAACTTTAATTACATATAACACTTCATTACTATATAGTAAATTCTCAGGTGGCGCGATATAAATATAAGAGACTGTATAGAAATGGCAAAATTTCCTGGATTGTACAAACTCTGTTTTCGATACTTTATACCAGGATGTAAAGAAATAATTAAATCAATTTTCTATCCGCTCGCAGTCAGGGATTTGCAAAAATTCATTCCCGAGATATCTGTTAAAGATGTAAAAAGGTAAACGAAAGAATTTAATTTTTCGCACTTTATCTTATCACGTCAGTGATCATTTTTTAATGCACTTAATTCACTTATACAGAGGACCAGCGGGTGTTAGAGCACAAGCATTGGACAATAATGGTAATTTGGTAGACGATTTTGTATTTGATGAAGGAAAAGGTAGCATTGGTAGTAGAATATTACATTGTCGCAATGCACCTTCTCCTGCTGCAACCAGTTCTATGGCAATTGCTAAATTCATTGCCGATAAATTGGAAACTGATTTCAAGATTTAACAATACTTTGAACTTTAATCTTTGATTGAAAAAGAATTTAAATAATGAATATTCAAATTTTCTATGTACAATAATATGTGCAGAGTTCAAAATTTATGTTTTGCGAGAATAAGCGAAAATGTACATTAAAAAATAACTTGTGTTCATGACTTGCATTATAACATACAAATATATTTTGTACTTTTCTTCGCATAAAATACTCATTATAAAGAACAATCTCTAAAAATAATGTTCATATTTTATATCAAAACGTTACAACATTCTTTCTTTTTCAGTTCTTCTCTTTTACTTTCTTTTTCTTCCTATTTCCTTTCTTTTTTTTTTTTATCAATTACTACATATAATCATTCAGGAATTTGTTAATCAATTTTCATATTTCATTCTACATTCAGCGTCGTCGTGATTTTGATGATAATTTTGATGATATTGAACATAAAATATGTAGTCAAATAAATAAAAAGATAATTTTAAATTTTAAAATCCATTGTTGTAATTTAAAAAAGTTAATGTGGATGCTTGAGAATATGATAACATTTATGTAAAATTACATTAAATTATTCTAAACCCTGTCCCTGATATCATAAGACGTGAATTTGCAAAATCCCAAGCTGCAGTTGAGTGAAATCCCATATTTGAAAGAACAACTCCATATTCACTCAAAGCAAACATTGAGTACACTGCAATAAAACAATCATATTGTATAAATACTTTTTATTTGTTTTTAATCAGTTAACTTACCTAATGGCTCGCAATATTTATTGTGCCTGTAAAAAAAATAACAGGCAATTATTATTGAGAATACATTTAACATCATGGATCTTCGCTTCCATTTTAAGGAAGTAGTTTCAGAGGATTCCTTAGTAATGTTACGACAATTTCTCATGATAAAATATCCCATCTGCATGTGAATAAAAGATGTTATTAAAAATGTTATAAACGAGAATTTATGGAAGCCTGAAATAAAAATACGAATTATTTGTATATTTTATAGATACGTCAAACAATGACATCTTGTATACGTACTGTAACTTTCATCAGACGTCCAAAAACTTAACGTTACAAGAGATATGTTCTCAACAACATATACACCCACAGCGATCTTACAAATATTTTGTGCCCATTTGTAAATATGTTCTTTATAATAACGACGATACATTATTAATACTAAAATTCGTATCACTGCTTGAATAGCTATTGCAATTTTCCAAACATCTCTTTGCGGCCTGTAATGTCCAATAGCAGCAGAGACGGATGGTAAAAAGTTATAAACCTAGTACAGGAAGATATACACACATATACATTGAAATCTGAATATACTTGTGTATTATATAAATGTGTGAAAGACATATTCTTAAGATTTGATATCAACAGACCAGAAAAGTAAATACCTTACAATGAGTAGAAGTAGAATGTTCAAAATCGTATACGATGGACCATATAATACAAAATATAAATGCGAAAAAGGGCAGAGATACGGTGAACCATGCTAGTTTAGCAAAATCCAAAACGAATCTGGCTTTCAACATGTCGCCTTCCACTAGCGGAATATACTCTGACCCTACTCTAGACTTATTCATCGTATTATATTCTAGATTATAATTTACGTCATCACGAACGAGTCTGATACTCTTAATAGGCTAAAGTATAAATCGTTTTATTGGTACGCATAACATACATTTCGCTGTTCTTTTTCTTGTTGTGTCGCACGGCATTAAATGCAAAAAGTCACATTGAAACAAACAATGACAGCGAAATTTTGAAAGTAGACTTAACACACTGAACCATTTCAATTCTCTTGCCACCAACATTTTTTTAGAAATACTACGAAAGGCATAACAATACCATTTTAACGCAGAAACAATCGATTACTTGCCGAATATACGACACTTATACGCGACGCGCAACGACATCATGTATAAAAAAGACGAAAATTTTTTATGTTTATCTCGTTCGATCCTAGATAGCGCCAGTTGATCAATTGCGATCGTTCACATCGCTACACCATCAGCTGTTTCTCTTTTATGTGTTGTTTGTTACGGTGATTACGGTCAGTGTTTGTGTTTACATGTACGTTTACATTTACGTAACTTTTACGTAAAAAAAACGCGTCTCAGTTTTATTACAATAACACACAATAATAACGGAACATTAGTGAAATATAATACCAATGTCTAAATATTCCGAATAAGTGTGCTTAACTTTTTGAGGTTAGATTTTAAGGTTAGACTTTCAAACGACTCAAAAGGATCATATATCTTTATAAAAACTTATTTGATTGTTTGTGATCAATGGAAACGCATTAACAGTCTTCCTTCAAGATTTAAGATATGTAAGTACGTTATTATATAACCTTTTTGCGGCAAATAAGATAATCAAAGATAGAGAGAATAGTATGTGTTTGCATATAAAAAAACATTGATTTCTCATTTATCAAAAAAAAAAAAAAAAAAAAATCTAGAGTGGAAATCGCATCGAAGCACTACTTTATCATTGATTATTAATGTCCTGATGTACATTTGTTTGTTTCATTTTTTTGCTTTATGCTTGACATACTTATATATATTTCTATGCGCATATATGTTTGACAAAGATCATCGTATTTTGTACCATACATTAGTATAGTTTAAAATTTGTTCTCACCTAAAAGTTAGATATTTTTGAAGTGAAAATGACTATACAAATATCAGGTATTTCTACATACTCGTTTTTCGTTGTGGAACAGAACAACATACAGAATGCGAGTAATAATATGAATAGAAATCTCAGCTGAGATCGTGCAACAAATTTTTGTATAGCAAGTTGAAACGTTATTTTGTATAGCATCGATGAAACGAGCACAAGGACACTCGTGTAATAGTCAGTGGCGCCAATACACCAAGGGTTTCGTGGAAAACGTAAAAATAAAATGGGAAAAGCAGGAAAAGATACGATTTGGCGAGACGTAAGGGAAAACGGGAAAGAAAGAAGTGAGAGTAAGAATGAAAATATTAGATTGTCTCCAAAAAAGTTTCTTTTGTTTTATTAATGAGTAATGTATGCACAATGTTTCACACCGTGTTATTGAATTATATATAATCCACTCTGTTTCGTTACCCTCCCCGTCACTCCGGAAGCTTCACAATGTCATCCAAAACTTCTGGTATCTGCTAACGAAATATTGTTACACCTTGTAAAGGTGTATTCTCGTCTGCTCCATGTCATTTGTTTCACTTTTTAAATGAAAGAGGAATAGATAGTAATCAGACGAGTGTGATATCTGGGGAGCATGAAGGACGAGGTAACACATTCCCTCTGATTATTATCTATTCCTTCTGTTGAAAAAATCCCCTCCCTGAATAAATGTATCTCTAGCAATTTTCGCTATCAAATCCTGGAAATTTCAGAAATAGCATTACGATGGAGAGACGGGGAGAGATAATAGATCAGAATGGATTGTAATTCGATAATATAATACATACGTAAAACATACGTTCGACAAAACGAAAAGGACTTTCGGGACAATCTAATAGAATGGTAGAAAAGAGAGGTGTTCGCTCGTTGTTCGATTACGTTGGTAGACTCTTACTTAGCTAGTCTCGAGTTTCGATCAAATTAGACGCAATGCGTCGAGACGGTCTGCCAGGGAGGGCCGCAATATCACCGTATGTATCGTGTTGAAAGGCAAGCACGAAAACCATTCCTACTGCTTGCCTATTGGCAACCGTCTCCATTTAAATCGTATCGTATCGTATCGCATCGCATCGCATCGCATCATCTCGTATCGTTCGCGACGCGTCCTTCTTTTAAGAGCTATTCCACTTTCCTCGATATTTTGTTCGTATTCGTCATTATACTGATCTCCACCGGCCGGATTAAAACCGACATTTAACGTTTCTAAAAACGACTCTCGCGGCAACCTTCCAAACGATTTCAAATCGTATATTGTGTCAAACTGGCATTTGGATCAACAGGAAAACATCAACGTTTTCGTTAACTGAAAAGCAGATCTAAAAAAAATATATATATATAAAGGAACCAACTGTTTTATTTTCACGTATCTTATCGGTTAATTTACGGGAGATGTGAGAAAATCTATATTCGTTCTGGCAAACAGAGACTATCGGCTTCGCGCTTGAATGAAAGCGCGAGTATGGTTGTCACCAACTTCTATTCGTGTCAGACAACACAAAGTAAGTAGATTATATACAAATGGAATCCCCCCTTCCCTCTCTATCCTTTGCACAAGCGTAATAGGTACGTGCATCGATACATGCCAATTGCTCGAACTGCATAAGATTCGACGATAAATAAACGAGTCGAACTCGCGCTCGCGTTTGCAAAACAAACGTTATTACACGTCATCTGCATTTCGAACGATCGATGTGACACTCCAATCCCGCAAGATGATATCTCGATAGGAAAGAAATAGAAACGACGTCGATATATATATATACGCGATATATTTATACGACGCGATAACGCGGGATTACCTCTATCGATGTATCTTCGTTAGCATCTTTCTTTTCCCATCTCTTCCGTCGTGCGAGTTTTATTTGGAATTTGAACCCGATGGCAATCTCATTCAATAAGAAAAAAAAAAAAAAAGAGCGTGAGATGGGAATCGTTTGGCTGGTAAACCGCGTATAACGGGTTGCGCATCACGGTATAAAACATCGTAACAATCCTCCTCCACCTCCTTTCCCCCTTATCGCCTTATCCCCGAGTCGCGTTACGCTTTACGTAATAATAATACCGTTAAAACTTTTGTCTCGTTTAAGGCAAATTGGATCGGTCGCAGGCGAACCGATTAAAATCGACCAGACATAACTGAAACGAAACATGTTTTACGCGTTATGTCAGACATCGAGCTGCGTCCGCTGTTACACAACGTTTATTAGACATCTATATCTGCGTGTGAATGCAGTTTTCCATTTTTCATAGATCGTAGCCAAGGGGAGGGGACTAAAAAAAAAAAACAAAAAAAGAAGCGTAACCAACGAGAACGCGGGGTATCGAAGAAAATATTTTTATCTCTGCGACGGAGTCTTCCTCTTCTGGGGGAAGTCGAAGGCAATAATCGTCTTGATACGACGAAAGATTCGAGCTTCTTCTCGAATAGAAGCCAGACGCCCTTCGTGTCGCGCACGGTCCCCTCTGACGATGTCGTCGTAGTATTTGCCAGTTTTCCCGGATAGTGCCACGAATAGCGTCACGTTTGTCGTAACCTCGATACGTTTGTCGGGGCAGAGTGGCAGGCATCGGCAAACATATGGTGCCGCCTTGTTTTCAAACTTCAGTCCCGCACGTTATGAGCTGGCTGCCCCGTTTGGATCGCCCCGAGAGCGAAAACCGGGGGGAGGAAAAATGATTGGGAAACAAACGACACCTTTCTGGAGCAGCGCTCGTAATTGCAAATTAAAAAGAAGAGGCTGGCCTTCGCCAGTTTTGTCTCCGCGTTTTCTTTCCTTTGAAAGACGGGCAAACTGGGATAGAAAACGTAGAAACGAAGGGAGAAGGAAGGAACGCGCGAAGAGAAGAAAAGAAAGGTGGCGGGAGGGGGCGGGGTGGTGGTGAATCAAAGCGAGAATGGGTCAGAGAGAGAGAGAGAGAGAGAGAGAGAGAGGGGTTCGGGAGCGATACAGCTGGGGTGTGAGGAAGGAGAGGGTGAAGGGACGGGGTGTATCGAAGGGTGAAGTTGCGCGGAATGGAAAGCGGATAAAAGAGACAGGAGCGAAGCGATGCGCGCAGGCGTGAAACGAACGCGGTGAATGCTCGGCATCCGCGTGGCGCGAGTTAGAAGTTGGCTTCGCACTTTTAGTCTCGGCTCGCGCCCCTCGTCTCGTTCATCCTCGTTCATCCTCGTTCATCCGTCTTCGTAGAGGAACGAAGGGGCGAGGAACAGAAGAGTCGCCGCCGAGGAATCGAGTCCCGTCTTGGCCGAGCTTCCGAGTCGTCGTCGAGTTCCGGAAGGCAAGGGGGAAAGAAAAGAAAAGAAGAGGAAAGGAAGAAGACGTCGCACGATGGAGCGTGTCGATGTTCCAATTGGTATTGGCCGTCCTCGTGGTTCGATGTTTGGCACGAGACGCGTCCTTTCGTAGCATCGGTGGAGCACTTTTCGATGGAAAGCGCCCCCGGAACGAGAGAAAATGTCAGAGAAGTGTGCGAAGATCGGCGAGCCGCAGGTACAACGAGCGGGAAACGACGGTAACTTCGAGGAAAAGATAGGGAGGAAGAAAAGTACCGCGCAACGACGATGGCGTATCCTTGCCAAGGCGTTGATCGGCCCGCAGGAACCGATCTCGATGGACACGGAAGACGAGATCTCGGTTCGCCGTTTCACCAGTTTCAATTTGTTGAGAGTCGACCGCGTAGAGAGCAACACCGCGGACCCGGACGCCGCGGCTTGGTACGAATATTCGATCGTCTTAGACAATAAGCTGTTCACCGTGGAGATCCGTCGATTGAAGAAGAATTTCACGGCGAACGAGCTGATCGGTTTCAACAATACCGGCAACATCTGCGTCTGGCCGTCAGAGGAATGTTTGGCTTATTATTTGTTGAAAAACCGGCAGCTGTGTCGGAACCGAAGGGTCCTTGAACTTGGTGGCGGTATGAGCTGTTTGGCAGGGATGATGGTCGCCAAGTACTGCGACCCGAAGGAAATCGCGCTGACAGATGGCAACGTGACCAGCGTGAGTAATGTACGACGAATCATAGCTAGAAACGGCATGACCGATTTCGTGGATTGCGGCGTGGTTCAGTGGGCCAAAGCGGCCAGGGCGATCAGAGCAGCTAGATCGGTCAGGATGTTCGTACACCCGCACCCCAACGGCCTTCGGATCAAGGTGAATTCTTCTTTTCGCCTCGTCTTTTACGCACCTCGCCTCGCTTCCCCTTCTCCCTATCGCCTCATACTATTCTATCGTCGTACACGTTGTACATATGCTTGCAAACCGTTGACGACAAGGAAACAGCAACGATTCGATACCCGATGGAAAACACGCGGCGCGCATTACCACGTCAAATCGAACACACACCGCAAGCATCGTACGCGAACTTTCGGTGCGTTCGACCTTTCTCTCTCTCTCTCTCTCTCTCTCTCTCTCTCTCGTGCTTTTCCCACTGACGAGGGATCGCGCGTGCGCGCTTTCCTCCACCACGATACTATAAGGATCATTTCCAGTCGGTCCGCCGCGACCCTCTGCGCTCCAACTTTTTTCTCGCGCTTGGCCGAGATCGGGTACCGTTTCCGTCTTTCCAACGATCGCGCGAACTTTTACCCTCCGAACCCGATGTCCACGCGATTTCCTCGACACGCTACGTTAATAACATCTTCGAATCAACTAATTATCGCGACCACTTATGACAAGCACGCTGTACACGACGACTACGATGTTTTCCCTGCTCACGTCGTCGTCGTTGCTGATTAAAAGCCACGTGCGACGAATTATTCACTTCGCGCCTCGTTTTTGCCTCTAAGGGAGGTTGCCTTGGGAATTTCTGAATTGAATTTTTACCGGTAGAGCTGGACTGGCGGCGCCAAGGACGTTGCGAAATTTGCTGAAAAGCTATACGATGTGATCCTGTGCGCGGACTGTCTCTTCTTCGACGAGGCTCGGTCAGACTTGGTGGAAACGATCTACGGCTGGCTGGCGAACGACGGCCTCGCCTTGGTGATGGCGCCAAAACGAGGATCGACATTTGAGCAATTCACCGAGGCGGTGGTGAAACGAGGTTTCGTCGCGCGGCGAATAGACCGTTACGACGGGACGATTTGGTCGAGGCATCTGGAGTTGTTGGAGCACAGCCAGGAGTATTGTCCAGATCTCCATTATCCGATCCTTCTGGAGCTGACCAAGCAAAAGAAAACGTCGCCCGGATGATACGACCGTGTCGATCGTTGTGCAGCTCGCCAACGAGTTCGCCATCCAGATCCAGATTCAGAAAGTTCCTCCCTCCACCCTCTTTTTACCACGATTCAGGGCCATTCCCTTGTTCCATTCCGTTACTAGCTCTCCCTCCCACTAGCTTAGCTCTTTCGTCCACGGATTTTTACCTCGTTTCCCTTCGCTTGTGTTTCTCAAACGCGATCCGATTTTTCGAACATCTGCAAGTAGCTAGCAATCTATGGACTACTACGTTCACATGAAATCGTACGATCGAGCATAATCGAGAATCAATCGTCGGATCGTTCGAAAAACGATTAAACGCTAAATTTGTATTTCTACTAGTGATCGATAGCCACCGGTTGATGATTGTTTCTTTTTTTTTTCTTTTCCTTTTTTTCGTTATACGACACGCGTTACCCGAACGAATTGTAAACGATAGTATTTCAAGTACCTGATGTTAGATTGATAGATGTGAAAAATGGCAATCACGATCCTCGTAACTGCAGCCTGACGGTTTTATCGTTCCGAAAATAGAAAAGAAATTGGCATTCGCGTGCGTCTAGCGTGCATTATAGGGATCGTCACGCTTGTGAAGGAAATGTTAAGAAAGGCTAAGGTAAAGGCGACGTCGTACATACATGTACACAAGGTTGTTTATAACTGCTGGTACAATTGGGTACAAAGGACGATTCTACGAGGAAATAACAGCTCGTAAAAAGGAATTTATTCATTTGGTATTTCGTTTTCGAGAGAATCAATTTGTCAGGTGTATACTTGAATTTGGATAATTGCAGGCAGAAATGGATAATCAATATTCTAAATTCTCCTTGTAACTTACAACCGAGTCGTTTAATGCTGTAACTGAAACAAATAAATTTCTAGATATTGGAGAATGAGATGAAAGTTCTGTAAAATGACTATAATTGCACAGATTACAACGAAGATTAATATTTCGGAACGTTCAAAATATTTTTCCATTTTTCCATTAGTTCGATTAATAGTACACGTGTACTCCGAATTTAACTTTCTAAACTATATTCTATCTTGTATTTTTCACTTATTTTCGCAATTATTTACACCTATCCAGCTAGCCAAACATAATTAACCAAATTCAAACATACGTGACAAATTTTCAAGCTCGAGTTTCTCCAGGACCCGATAAATAAAATTTTGTCCTTCCTCTTTTACTTGTTTCTTCGTATCGAATCGATACACAATTGTGTTATCAGTCGTGCGTGTATAGTATATCCAATAACTATTATTTCGTTCCTCCTCTCGTTAAACTTTAAGAAATCAATTCTTCCTGAAAATGGCACGTAGTGTCGGAGTACGCAACGGATCGATCTTTGAAGAGACCTCGAATTTTGTTTCATGCTGCGATGACGAATAAGCGTGACGAATAAATTGAGGCTAACGACCAACGTCAATCGTGAATGCTTTTCATCGTTTATACATAACATCCGAATTTCGATCTAGCTTTCAATCGAGGGTCCAAAGCGCGTTGATAGAAAACAAAAATCGCTAGTACACGATCCTTCCACGTGACAAAGACGAAAGAACCATGTTTTACACGGAACCATGTATGTATAGTGAATTCGTATATAGTACGTATATTGTTGCGCGTTTCGGCACTTAAAATCGTATTTTTTTAAAAATAAACGATTCGAAAGCAAACGAACTTTCAGATTGATCCGATCGAGTGATATACGTGTGTACAATGATACGCGAAAATATTCGTCTTCTGAAAGTGAACGTCATATCTGTATTGTGTGAAACATTTTGAAAATTTCGATTAACACTGTCACGATAACCGATCATTATGATTATATTGGTTATTATTTTCTGTTATTATTTTAATATTATAATTATATTAAATTTCCAACGATTCTGCAAACATACACAAAAATTACAACATGTTTACTATCGTGCATAAATAATAGGGCACATATAGTATAATTCTAACAAAGTTGACACTTTTGTCTTGTTAAGATTAACCAACATTCCTCCTACCATTAGTTTTCTATAATTTTACTATAACTGATAATGAGATCAAATACTCTGCTAAATTTCATCCAAAAGAAAGAATATTACATACCTGTTCCACAGAAGTTCTATAGTCATTTCTAACAAATAACTAACACTCCATAAAATTTACAGAAAACTTTCTCAACGTGATTAAAGACATTTCAATCTTTCTAATATCACACACATTGTATATCACACGTACTTAAAGTTAATTAAGTTTTAATTATTACTTTTTTATTTATAGTACTTGCTATTGATTGTTTTATTCATTTGAATTGCATTTTATATACATATTTGCAATACTTACACGATATACTGCAGAATGTAGAAATCATAAAAGTAAATAGCCATAATTCTTACATGAATAAATCTCAATATTCAGTGGAGATACTCGTTAACATGGCTAATCATCCTGCATAGTAATCTTTGACAAAATATATCTCATGTGTACAACTCTTCTGTACATTTCCAGATTGGCTCCAAATTTTACTAATATAATCATGACACTTGTGCCTCGTTGACAGTGTCAATAAAATGTCAAAATGTTTCATTGAACAGTATATGATAAGTGTATGAATACATTTGTGTTGTCACTGTATATAAATGTCAGTTCAAACCACGCGATTCGTACTTATATCAATATACGCGTGGATATTTATTCGTTTATACGTTTATATACTTCCTTGTTTGTCTGTTTGTTTGTTCATCTTTTTATTTTATTTATTCGTTGGTTTCCTTTCGTTATGTTACTCGAATGAAGATCCCTTTGAAATGTAGCACAATCCTCTTCTTTCCTCTCTCTTTCCCTTTCTTCGCCCTTCTTCTATTTTTCATTTTCATTATAAACCAAATTACTAGTTGAAAAATTACCACGAAGGACCAATCTAGTTCAACATAGTGGAAACTACCTTTCCATTGTTACGTGTCTATCCTTACGTATCCTTACGGAGATAACAAATATTTGCACGTTTACGTACGTGCGTATGCGTGTGAGAGACATGTAAGGAAATATATCGCAAATAAAATATTTTCACTTAACTGTTTCGATGCTGGCGTTTCGCGATTAATTGAACCACGTAAATTATTTCCCCCGGCTGGATTCAATCGAGAGACGCGTTCTTGCGCAATTTCATTTTTCTGTCGAACAGCGCGACTCTTCTGTTCTGCCTTTTCATCGACTTTGTCGATATTTTCCAATCTATCAACTTCACGTTTTCGTTTCGTTTCATTATTATTATTATTTTCTATTTTTCTTTCCATTCCATTATTTTCTTTTTCTGCCTTTTTTTTCACTCGTGATTGACACTGGAACAATCGGCCTTTAACATAAATCATTATAAATTAAAAAATTATTTTTCGGAAATCAGCGTTGATTTTGACAAAAGCAGCCGCGTTTGTAAAAGAAAGAAAATCTGAGATCCGTCGTTTTGACAGGTTTAGTTGTGTTTCAGCGTCAATTTTGATAAAAATACCCGTGCCTTTTAAGCAGTTACAAAAAAAGAACACCTGAAATCCGTCGTATTGACGGGTTTGGCTGCCCTGGCGTTAATTTTGACAAAAATACCCCTACCTATTGAGCAATTACGAAAAAAGAAACATCCGAAATCCGACGTATTTAACCGATTAGGTTGCCTTGGTGTTAGTTTCGAGCCGATTGCACAACACGGATCGTATTCTGATCGTATCCGATCATAATTTGTCTACAGATTATTTTTGACTTTCTGCTCGGAAACGTTTGGATAAAAAGACCGTTCGTCATCAAGCCTTTTACAAATTTATTATTAGCATCTGGTGGATGTTTACCGACCTTCCCCTATATAGAAATACAATGCAATGCGATCGTGCACGGCGTTCTCATCGATTTGAAAAAAGTGCCGTGCCAGTTGCTATTATTAATCGTTAGTAATCGTCGTTTGTCGTATGAAAAAAAAAAAAGGATTGCATTGATTCGAAGTTTATCGTTTGAACAGTCGCTCGAAATCATGATGCGCTTCGTTGGTTCCTAAAATCGTTTTAAACTTACAATTGACCTGCCAACTGAACTACGTAAACTGTAAAATAACGTTGATCTTATAGGTTTGGCCAATTTGCCAAATTGATTGACTTCGCAGAACAGAAATTGGAAAAATTGATGAAATAGAGTCTGTTTTAAAATTTGAACTCAAGCATTGGAGAATGTATTATTATCAATTTGTCAGAACATCAAGTACCAAACAATTTAACCCGAGTAGGAATTTAATATAATTTTTGAGCTATTGTTTATAAAATAAATATGATAAATACATTAACTCTTGAAGATTAAAAGTGCAATGGTTCCTGAAAATTTTTCGTAAGATGTTCCTTTCTACAAAGTTGCAGGGAAATATTATCAACTTTTCATCGAGCTTGCGAATGCTTCTTATATCTTTGCGTATCGTTTATCAGAATTTCCATATCGCCTACTACATCGTTAATGAGAACGATATCGCTGCTATGTGTCTGCATCGGGACTTCGTTACTGCGAACGTTCGTATTCTCTAGCGAAAGATATTTATCACCATTAAACGACGAATATGGTTGCTCGTATTCGTCCATTGTGCCAAAAAGGGAAACAGGCCGCAAAGTAACGACATCGGCGTTGCATGCGATTTATAAGACACGCCTTTCGAACGTTGAAACACGTATACAACCCCCAAGATAAAATTAGAACAAACCACGAACCTTTTTTCCGCTCGAGTGTAGAGCTATAAAACGATCTAACAAGCCCGGCTCGAAACGGCCCCACCATATATCTTCAAATCACTTCTCCCTGGAATTTTTCTTTTTTTTTTTTTAGCAACTTCACATGAATCTAAACTAACCAATGATAACGTTTGCACGTCTCGGGGAGGAAGGAGGGGAAAATTTTGAAACGCCCGAACGTGTAATATTTACGAACGAATAAATACGATCGCGTTCCATCCTTCACCGTTTCTCTTATCTAAAAATAAGTCGTTGCGTAAAATTAAGGGCGCGCCTGATGGTACATCGTCGTCGTGGGAATTACGTTTCATAGGTGCCAATTGTTTTTGGCTGGCCGCTGTTCGAAATTTATCAGAGACAAACTCCGTCCCGCGAATGAACCAATTTCACGACCAATTCGTCTGTTCGGGCGACGCCGTCCTACGAATGATCGTATTGCGGTGAAAATTGCAATATTTTCTCAGTTTCAAGATATATATTTAAGTTAGTTCGTTACTTCTCAATAATTTCTATCCAGTCGTATCGTAACGACGAATTCAAACGGAGAAGAAAGCGACGAATTGTCGTGTACGTTGAGTTTGGCCACTCGTTACGGTCCGCAATCGGTTGCCAGCGCAAGTGGTTAATCTCGTTCGTGTAGATGTGCGCGATCATCGTTCTCGAAAAATGTTCCACCCGCTTTGGATGTAAACGCCTATCTTGATCAAACGCTCGTGCCAAAAAGTAAGCACGAAAATATACTCTGGTGTTGGCCGATTACGAGAATGGCATCGTGGCTGACGGTTCTATTCGCGTGCCGTTACGTTCGACCGGCGGAGGATGCTCGTGGATTTCGTGCCTCGAGGGGATTTTGCCCTCGCCTTCACCTCCGCCGTAAACAACCTCCGCGTACGATTATGTCGTTTCCCTAAACGTCAGCAAGTATCGAGTCCCGTGGCAGACTCTGCCGTTTCCTGTGTTAATGAAAGAAAATGCTACGATTGTATAGAATAATTTTTGTTCGTTAAGCTCTGTTATAATCAACGACCTCCTTCACTTCTGATGTATTTGATTTTAATTTTGAAACACGTATTTTTCGATATCTTTGTATTATATTTCCAATTCTAGATTGTTAAAAAAAAAGAGATAGTATATTCTTTCCGATGTTCAATCAATGACATATTTCGGTAGTAATTTAGATTTCGTGGACCAAGAACATCTCGGAAGAAAAATTTGAGAAATTCGAAGAACTTGAACAATTACGTAGGGTTTCAATGCTCTATTAAAAAGTTGTAACAATAATGAAAATTTATTCAATTAATACACTGCAACGTAATACACGCGTAGTTACAATGATCGCTAATAATGAACACAATCCCTCTGATACAATTAAATATTGCCAACATTTCCATGCAGAATGAAACGGGGAAAGAACCATTAATAATCCTGGTGCTTTTATTATAGCTTCATAATAATGCAACCACGACCCTATTTATATAACATTCTTTCCTTATTTTTAATCAGAGAACACGCTGATACCGCTGTGGGGAGATGAAAATAGTGGGGGACAAAAATGAAACACATTGTATATATGTTAATACATTGTATGATAAAAGTTCGCGAAACTTAATTAAAAGCATTGATTATGATTGGAGAGTTTCTGTGATAAACCTACTTAATCATAATGTTATATAACAATCTAATAAAATCAATTGTAGTCGTAATATTATAATCTAAATGAAATAAACGTAATAGTCGTGACATTGCGAGAAGAGCGTCGAGCGAAAAATACAAACGATGCGCCTAATAGAAAGACACCAGAGTACCAATTGACTCTTAGATTAGCTAGTTGGCCAACCTAATCTCTTCTCTGTCTATTTATAAGATGATGTTGCTATTAATACATGCTCTATTATTGACAAAACGTGGCATTGTTGAGGGAATTGTGATTTCTTCGATGCACGATTCGCGAGGACAAAAAATACGTCAAAAAGGTCCATACTGTGTGAAGTATAGTAATTATTGCAAGCAGTTGCAACCATCGAAATTTGTAAATCTCAATATTTCCCCGGAAACTGCGAAACAATCGTCGAATTAATTTTCACCAAATGTCTATTAATAGATGGCGGATTTTTATGCAGATTCATATTTTCGTGAACATAATTGATCCTTCGAGTGCTTGCTAAAATTGCCAGATCGTCTTAAAATCAGAGAACGTATAGCAAATTTAAGATGCATTCATCTGACACGTCTATTCATCCTCTTTGAACCTCTAAACAAATAAACTAATTATTTTCAGATTGTCCCGCGATTGAAACGATCAAAGAAATCGAGACTGAATGGAAACTTGTTTCACCAATTAAATATTATCTAACGAATAGTATCTATACTTTGGTTATCTTACATACATTTGCACGTTACGCAACACTGGATTTCAAAATTTTACATAAATATTTAAAAATCCGTTCGCCTTTTGTTTTTCGTTCTCTTCGATTCTTGTCTGAAGAATTTGTTTGATCGAGATGGAAATCAATGTTCCCTTTGATAGCAAGGAATATCGTGTACAAAGGAGAAGTGAATGAAGATAGAGTGAGGGGTATTAAATTGTTAAAATTCCAGGGCGGACTACTGGAAGTCTCAGGGTCGTAAATTTTGCGACTTTTGCAAATGTTGGATCGCTGACAATAAGCCTAGCATCGATTTTCACGAGGGTGGTAAAAAGCACAAGGAAAATGTTAGCAAACGGCTCAAGGAAATCCACAAAAATAGTGCGAAGCAGGCGAAGCAGAACAGAAAGATCGAGGACGACATCAAGAGGATGGAGAATGTACGTTCCTTTTATTTTTCAGACAAGTTGCGCGCGCATTTGATGAAATTAAAAAAAAAAGAAAAAGGAGAAACGAATGCAAGGTATTTAATTTATATTTAAATGTGTAAAACATTTGATTGTTTCCCATATCTAGGCAGCTATGGCTGCGTACCTGAAGGATGTAGAGAACAACACGAAAGACATGACCGCGGAGAGAATCATCAAAGAGAAATTGAACCGGATAGAAACGAAAGACGTGGGTACACGATATCATCTGCAGTGAGTCTTGTTAATAGACTGCGAGTTTCTTTTTATAGGAAATACTAAAATGCCAAATTGCAGAGAACGCGCGTAATATGGAAAAGTTATTGGGATTTCTGAATACGTTGTGAAACTCAACATTTTGACACAATCCTTTTCTTGCTCAAAACTTCAATTCATATTGAACTTTAATATTTAACTTTTTTTAATATATTAAAACACTTATAGGAACTTGGTAGAAATATAAACTTTATTTGTATTATTACATAGCTTTCTGCTATTTTTCTTTATTGGGAACAATAAACTAAACATTGACAAAGTTTAAAATCGCAACTAAATTTGAATGAGGAGCAATATATTAGATTTATATTCATTTTATGTATTTCGGATGTGATACATTATACGTACATATTTTATATAAAATACACTTTTATATGTGTACACAGTATATATAATTCTATAATAATTATAAAATATATTTTCTCACTATTGGAATATTCTTGGAATATTTAAATTTTCTTATGCAGAAAATATGAATAAATAACATGTAATAATTTATGTTTCTGTAAACAGAATAATCTTACATATTAGGAAACAAGTAATTAAATATATTAATATATAACTATATATTATAGGAAATATAAATATTATATATTATATTAATATTAAATGTTATTAATATAAATATTTTTGGCAAGTGTGTAAGGAACTTTTGAAACATCGCAGTGTTCGAATATTAATAAGAGTCGCTGTATATTATAACGATAACCTTTCATCAATTTTATCCTCCAATTTTTTTTCGAACGAAAGAAGAAAGAAAGAAGAGAATGCATACGTTACAGGTGTCGCCGAATTTCAATCGTGTAGCAACAACAGCCACTACAACGCAACTTAAGCTTAAAGGTGATAATCAACAGGTGGGAATTCACAAATACCAATCGATCGCACTAGCTCTTGAACGAGCTCGTTAGTGTTCCCACTCGTGAAAGCTTTCGACAACTACAACGAACACTGTAACACGTTTCAGTTCTCTCACGAAGTCGATCCATGTGATCCAACTGTGGCGAGGCACACGGCGTCCCAACAATCGAAATCTCAACAGAGGGGCGACAACAAAAATCAAGGGAAAAATAAAGTAGGAAAGGGGAAAGGAAAGGGGAAGAGAATTGCGGAAGACGAGCGCCCTGCAAAACCTGTTCGAAAACTTTGGTACGAAGCTCTCAGTCCCGAGGGATACACATATTATTGGCACATCGAAACCAATGGTGAATATATCTGTCTATTGATTTTGAACAAATTTTTTTCTTTTTTTTTTTTTGCTTGTCTTTTGAATAATTTTCTGTTTCTTTGAATATACTAATCTCTGTTCATTTCGTGCAATAGAATCCGTCTGGGAGCCACCAGAGGAGGGATACATGACGTTCGCGGAACAAGAAGAAGAAGCAAAGGAACAAGTGCTTCAGGAGGAATTGTTGAAACAGTTGGATGAAGAAGAAGCGATTGCGAACGCGAACATTCTCGAGGAGAAACGGGCAAATGCCGAGAGAGAGAAGTTGAAGGAATTGAGGAAGACACGCGGTGAACCACCGCCGCGAGTAGAAACCGATGAAGATACGATAAAGACGGAAACTGTAACCGAGGAGGAAAGCCGGCCATACAGACGAGACTATAGTATCCCGGTAAAATCACATCCGTATGGTCCTTGGCAAACCGTTCGAAAGATGTAAGTATCATTCGGAACTGCCAAGATATTTTTAATCAATACACGCGCAGTACGTGCACTCACATTCGCGCACGTTAACATATGTGTGCACGCGTAACAGAAACTGGGGGGGACAAGGAAGAGAAAATTGGATTATTCTTAAATAAATTAGCGTATATGAAAGAAACGTTCGAATATATCTTCTATTTCAGCGAAGTGAAACCGGTGGATTTCCAACTGCCAGAGCAGACGCAAGTGCAGTTGCCAGTCTTTGAGAAAGCAGAGCCGCCCTCGGTGCAGAGAACGTTCAAAGAAAAGACCATCACGCAAATCCACGCAGCTGATAGCGACGATGATGGACAACCAATTAAGTTTAAAAAGCGAAAATTTAGTAATAAGAACGTACGGCAGAGATTAACCGTCGATTGATAACGATCGTGTCAATGGTTAACATCCAATCGAAACGTCACACGTTTTTAATCGAACGAGTTCTCGCGTTCATTCGAAATCACATCTTTTTTCCATTCAGAGAAATACAAATAAGATCTAGATAAGATCGTTATACTTTAAGTATATTTGAATATGTCACAGATACGACATATACGAAATGATGACAATGTAAGATGAAGTTTCTTTTTCATTGGCAGTTTATGTAACGCAAGTTACATAACAGACGACAGTTTCTCTCTTATTTGTATTTCATTTTCCATTATACACTGAACAAGTGTGCTCATTACGTATGTACGATCAGGTACTTTGAAAAAATATTTCTCGACTGTCGAACAGTGAAAAAGAAAAGACCTTTCGTTACTTACAATGTTTGTTAAATTAGTTCGGACAGCGGTACACCTTTTTCATTACACTCCTGCGACGAGACATATTGCGTTTCGTTTAATGAGGAAGATACACCGTTTAGTCGATCCAGAATTACCTGACGAGGCAAACCCTTCGTTTCTGGGATGAGGATGAAAATGAACGCGAATGTAATCGCGCAGAAAATACCGAGCAGAAAGAAACAACCGTGTATACCCAACAAATTGACTACGGTTGGAAATAATTTAACGACGATGAAAGCCATTGCCCAAGCGGTAAACATCCCGAGCGTCACCACCATGCTCGAAACATCTCTGCTAAGTATTTCCGAGGAGATGACGTATGGGCCTGGCCCCATACCCAAACCGTACGCGACCATGAAGACTGACAACGCTATGATCGAGATCCAACTGAATTTGCTAACGTCGTATCCGAGCGTTTGCAGATAACAAAACACTCCGAGGACACAGTGACACGTGCCCATTCCCAAGCAGGAGATCAAAAGCAACGGTCTTCTACCGGCTCTTTCCATCAACGTGGTAGATAACCACGAACCGAACACTTGAATCATGCCAACGATAATTGCCGAACCATTCGGTGACAACGAACTTCCCGACAACTTGAATATTGTTTCCGTGTAGCTTATCTACAGAACAAGGAGGAGATGTATCTGATCAGTACAAACAGATCGAGCGAAATATAGATATTAGAATATGTTTTTTTTTTTGTTACCATAATAAATATCCCGGCAAGTTGTTGCCCACAAAACATTCCTAGCGTGATGCACAGCCCTTTAATTGTCGCCCGATCTCGAAACAGCTCCGACAGTTTGTTCATCAATGGTCCCGAGACGTTTCTCTCTTTCGCTTCCTGCTGCAGGCGCAACATTTCTTGCTCAGCCACCGACTTCTGCCCACCTCTCAACCACGTCAGAGATCTGGAAAAAACACGAAATAGAATGTCGCGCGTATTCGATTGGTCGAATACGAAAAGAAAATTGCCTGTGCTTGCCTAGATGCATCGTTGGTCCGATTGCTTCGCATCAGATATACAGGCGATTCCGGTACGAAAAGAAACGTGGCGATATAAATTAGAGGAAACGCGAACATCGTGATCGAATACCACTGATACGGGAGCAGAGCGCCGAGTACGTAGGCGAAAAGAATACCGCCGTTCAGCACGAATACCATCAGGCTGCCTAGCATCCCGCGTATCCCATCGCTCGCGATTTCAGACACGTACAGCGGCACCGAGAACAACGTCATCCCGCCAGATATGCCCGAAAAGAAAAGGCCGATAAATAAATGGATCTGTTGCGCCGCGAAGATGATGAACAACCAGCTGGTACAATGCGCCAAAGCAATCAGATATCCTGTCACTTTATGTCCGAATCGATTCACTATTGCGCCGACTATCAAGCTTGTTAAAGCGGCCGTTAGGCACATGATCCCGGTCAACCAGGATGCCGCCTCGTTCGTCATCGGCTCGTTACCTACTGGAGGATTTTCACTTTGTAGTTGCGGTATCGTCGGCGATTGCCAACCTATCATCGTTCCAAACGAAAAGGACGAAATGTTTGCTGAAAAATAATAAAAAGAAATCACTTCGTTACTTTTAGAGAACATGTTACGATAACTTTCCCTTTCGTGCCCTCCGCCCTCATTTATTCGAGCAGCAACTCACCGATTAACGCAACGAGAAGCTGCCGAAACTTCCCTGGCTCGTCAGTTTTATTTTCCGTCATTTTTCCCTTCTTCACTTCGGTTTTATCCGATCTATTTCACATATATATTTCCCTCTCGCCGAATTCTCACAAGTTCGTTTTCTTCCAAACAAACAAGGTACGTGCCTCGCTGTCTGTCTGCCTGCCTGTCTCATCCGTGTAAAGCCGCAAACGTTGGAGAACTTTGTGTTCCTATCCGATCTTTCTGATAAACAGCGCGCAATATTTCTGCTGCCGAAACTTTGATCCTTTGTCCAATTTATACCGATCGGTATCATCTCATTACCATATAAATGAGCCGAATAGCTCTCTTATCTTCTATTTCGCTTAGCTCCCTTCTGTGTGCACTCGGCAAACAGTTACACATTTATACGTCACTTTCCTCGTTGTTCTCTCTCTCTCTCCCATTTTTTTTCTTTTTCACCTTTGCATTCCAACTTTCCGCGAACTTAAACTCTTCTCCTGCATAAAACTTCATCGTTCTTTTTTACGTTATTCGTTTACTTTTTAATTTTAGATAGCGTGCTACCTGTTACAGGGAGTATTTTAAATTTTGCAAGTAAAATTGTTCCGCCATCGTCATTTGAACATAATTAAACATTCGACTGTAATTTATTGCCAGACTTGTGTTAATTTACGATCTCGTGGCAAATCTACCTTCAAGCGAAAGGTTTTAAATTAATTTATGCGCTTCCATATACATATACACTCAATTTTTGGTGCACGATTGCACGTGCTTGAATCCGTCATTGCATCAGTCAAGTGCAATTTTATGATAAGTGTGGCAAGCGTAATTTTAGCAATCAAAATGATTTTCTGATAAAATAAAATAACCACTCATGGTGAATTCCTCGATCATTACGTTGGATTCAAATAGCATCAGTTAGTGATGCAATTAATTTACTATCTATAGCTATAACTTTCGTATTTCGTACTTGCTTCAAACGAATCAAACAGATTATTTTCGATAAAAAATAATTCAATAGATCGTATAATTATAATACTTGTCTGCACAAATGGATGTCCGAAAGTCATGTAAGATACATATATAATATATACGTATATATATCTACAATATATTTATATAGTATATATATATAATATATGTGCAACTGACGGCACCCATGTACTACGTCAGAACGTATCTGGCGCGGCTAGATAACAGCAACACAGGTACTTAACCTAACAAAATTCTCTTTTGTGTCCGAAATGTATCAAATCTCCAAGATGCCAAAAAAAAACAAATTAGAAGAGAACTCGTATCATTCCTAGACAAACATTATTACATTGTAAAGACAGACTTACAAATAACAATTCCATTTTCTGAAAAAAATATTAACGTGAAAAATGTTGGCAATGTTGATTTTCATCATTAGTGGAGATATTTTTTTTTTAATGACACTTCCTTTCATGTTTTCTTTTTTTATTTTTCTGTAGCACTTCGACTTTCTTCATACTATAATCCGCAAACCAGTAAAATTGCTATGCACTAAGAGAAAAGAGGTATTCGAAACTTAAGTTTCAAGCTTTTTAAGTTAAACCTTTCCTTAGGTATTCAAGTATCTGTTAATTTCGAAGAACCTGGGAAAAGTTTTATGAATATATGTGAGTAAATGTAATATTTATAGTGCGTTCTTGATGTTAACCATTATGTTTATGATATTATTACATGAGTCGCAACATTTCATAAAACTTCTCTTGGATTGATTGCTGCATATTATTTTTCTCTTTTCATTAACATTATTCTTTTGTTCTTTCTGAAAGATACGCTATCTGTTTCTCTATTCGACATTTACATATAGATATATCGTGAAGCATGGCATGGCAATGCAGTGGAGCAACAAACCATGAAATGGTAACTAAACTAAAAGGTAAGACCTTCTTATAATAACTTAATTAAGCATTAATTTAAATTCTGTAATATGTACGACTTAATTGCAAAATTGTATTGTAGAAGCAGGTATTCTAGCAACAGATAGAGCAGAAGCAGCAATGATTGCTATAGATAGAGCACATTATTATCACGAAGCAAATCCATATCTTGATCAACCAAGAAAAATTGGCTACAACGTTACAATTAGTGCTCCACACATGGTTAGTAAATTACTTTAATACCTATTGTTAAAGTTGTACATATATTGTCTACTGTAGAAATTTAAAATAACAAGTTTAAATATAGCGACTGCTGAAGAAATTAAATTAAATCTTTTATTACAAAATAGTTATTTTATAATCTAGGAGATTCTTGGAATGAAATGAATAATATTGTTTTTCAGCATGCATATGCCTTATCTGTCCTCTCTGATCAATTGTTCGATGGTGCAAAAGCATTGGATGTTGGTTCAGGATCTGGTTACTTGTCAGCATGTATGGCATTTATGGTGGGTCCACGTGGTCGTGTAATCGGGATCGATCATATTCCAGAACTAATAGAAATTTCAACAAAAAACGTAAGCGAAGATTGTCCTCATTTCATCAAGGAAGAACGCGTTAAATTCGTAGGTAAGAAAATGCGCAGCTACAAACGTGTTGCAATTTCTATTCACGAATAGTTGGTATCGGGAAAAAGGAAAAAGGAATTCCTTGTCAATACACGGTCTTTTTCCTACAACGTTTGAAAACTTCACGTATTGAAGAATTTGAAAGTAACGTAGATGTGTCGAAGTAAAAAATACTCATAATCCACCAACGTGGAGTAGGTATGTACTTTGCCATGAAGAATCAAACAGGACTGTATCCACCAACTGCGTGACTTTGACTGTGCGTTATATAAAAAATAGACCAAAAACTAACAACAGGTCATTGTAAATGCGCCTAGTGGGAGACGGTCGATTGGGATATGCTGCTGAAGCCCCTTACAATGCGATTCACGTTGGAGCGGCCGCAGATACTTTACCACAACAGGTATTGCAACACACTTAAAGATAAATATATATATATACTATTATACATTTTTATAATTAAATTACCAAGAATAAGGCTCGTCTTATATTTCAGTTGATAGATCAATTGACTCCTGGTGGACGGCTAGTTTGTCCGGTTGTTGCTATAAAAGGTTTTCAGAGGTTTCAAGATCTGGTACAAGTAGATAAAAACGTCGATGGTACAGTTACCAAAAAAAAGCTAATGCAGGTTTCCTATATTCCTCTTACCGATCCTGCTACTCAATTAGCAAACGATTATTAATACAACGCGTCCAAACACTTAGAAATTATTTAGGCAGCTTTAAATGTAGAAACACAAGATCATTGAGTACAATGATGATTACTGCGTGATAAAAATAATTTCCTCGATAGATGTTAATAATATTTGAACGAATTTTCTCGTATTGTATAATGTTACATTTGATAACAATTTTTTGTTTTGCTGATACACACATCATTGAATGATGTATTTGTTATTTAATGTACAGAACTACTGATATTTATTTAGGTGAAACTGATAAAATTTTTTTCAGTGCTAAATTAAGTTAATATTCCAAATTTTATTATTTTTGCAAATATTTAGATAAATAATAATCATATATATTTAGTAAATTATTCGTAGATTTAACACAAATTATTTTGTAATTAATAAAAATGAATAATAAATATAATTATTGCTTATATCTTGCTTGCTATTATATCAAAAACCAAAAAATCTGATCATTCGTGAACAGTGGAAGGGCTCGACCAGAGAAGAAACAAAAATGTAAAAAGAGTATATTGTTATATGAAAGAAAGATTAGAAATTTTTTTACATTTCTGAAGTTGAAAAGAATCATTTAACAATTTATTATTAATCTATATGAATATACTACTACAAATAAATGTCAATCATATAATCGTGACTTGAAAACATCAAGTACGACGGTAAAAGATTTCCAATCGGCCACATTTTTTTAAGTAGTTTTAATTAACAAATTTTACTTTGCTTCGAATTTTGATTTTGAAATTGCCGCCATAGCGAGATAGCATGATGTTTGTCAGGCCTATAAAAGCTAACCTATAAAAAAAGGAAATCGATGCAGCGATGAGGTGTGTCAGAGCAAATAGATCAGTTTTTAACATAAACTGAAATAATTGAATCAGTTTCACAAGGAGACTATTAAATCCATAAATGATTTTGTGATTCAGCAAGGAGTAGTTGTACAACGAGTTATGAAATAAGAGATATAACAAACGGGGACATAAGAAACAATTTTAAAACGATATTAATTCTCACGTCAGCCGAACGAAAACAGCTCGAACATGATACTTGAAAGGATTTGCAACCAACGGCAGAGATTAACCGTTGGTCGTGAATATGTTCAAAACGTCGGCCAACAAAATTTCTACGCGATGTGTCGGACCAAAATTTGCAATCCAGATTAAATAGCATGCTGCAATCACACGCAGAGCAGAAACAGGTAATTAAAATTTCCTTTTCTGCAATATTCCGTTATTGATATTCTAATCTGATACTCATAGTTCGGCCAAGCCGAATCATTCTAGAATCAAACACAACGTTTCGTCTTTCGTACTCTTTTATTTTTATTAAATAAAATCGTAATTTTCTAGAAAATCAGATTAATCACGGAACAGTACATGTTCGTGTTACATACATATACATTCTATTTTAATTATTTATTGCGGTTTAAAAATAACGTTCGATCCGAGTTGCTAATAAATACTCATCAAGGCTGGAGAGTTTCTTATAATTACGATGATAAGATTAGATACAAAAATTATTTAGAATTAAAAACAGATCGATTATTTTACGACGATTTATTTAAGTTATCGATTAAAATTAACGTAACTTAATGATTCACTTGATGTCTTATTCATTGCCAATGTCAATGTTTCTCGAATACATATATGAAAAGAATGTGTAGGTTCGTTATGTGTGTGAGAGATATGATGAAATATTTACGTTGGTGTATACGTATATTATTATCGACCGCAAATTACTCTATCAAAACATACACGATAACGTAATATAAATCGAGTATACACATGTATGTATATATATGTATATTGTTTTAATACTTGTCGAAGACTCGAGTAGTGAAAGGAATAACCGGTTTTCAAGTAGATTACGGAGAGAAAAAATGAAAAGTAAAATGATTTGTCACGCAATTTTCAACCAGTTTCGCTTGATTTTGATTGACAGGCATAAAAGATATACTCGGTAATTTCATACGTTCTACTATTCTGTTTTGTTCTACTATTTCGGAACGGAGCGTAACAGTATCCTAGACTATATTTTCGTGAAACTAATACACATATATATATATATATATATATATTGAGTATTTCGAACAGTTGTTTACGAACAGCAGTTTAACATTAGACAAATATTCGCAGAAGTGTCACAATAGTCCATCAATTATCTACAATAGATTCCATCGTAATTTGTTGTCGTCAGATCAACCATAAGTGCAGCGAATTTTTTTTTTTTTTTATATACATACCAACATTTTTTTATATACCAACGTTTCTTCACAGTCGTTAAACAATCGATCTTCATGATGAAGCGAATTCACGTCATGTCGGTGAATATTCATAAACATACTACGCGGCTAGTAGATGTCCAAGCAAGCATCTACATATTGGAAATCAATTTTGTCAAGGCAATTCTGAAACATGTAATACGATTTAGTAGACCAAAACTAAAGAAACGCGCCGAAACAGCAAAGCTTTGTCGTTCTACAAAAGATGAAATAACGATAACGATGTAAAAATACATTTTTCTTTCTTTTTCTGTTCGATATTGTTGCATAAAACTGAAAAAGAAAAAAGAAACGATAGAAAAAAAAAAGGAAGATAAGAGTGTGGCACCACATGTTGTAACATTTTAAGAAAAATGTGCTCCTATGAAAAGAAACGCGCGTCTGATTCACGATTCAGTATATCGCCGACCGTTCCTCTGATAGGAGTTGATCATAATGCGATTTCATTCGTGAGCGAAATTCTTCCGTGAATTCAACAGATACACGTTCGTCGCCGCATGGAAAAAAATTTGGTTCGTTTTACATTATTGCTTACTAACGTTCAATGTATTTGTATTAATTCTTTCTTCTTCTTTTCTTCCTTCTGTTGTGGTTTCTGTTCGTCTTCCTTTCCCTTTTTTTTTTTCCTCTTGCTCCTGCGTTCTTTCTGATCCCCCCTACCGATTTCATGCTTCTGTTAAGTTATTTTTTTTTTTTTTTTTTTTTTTTTTTTTTTTTTTTTTTTTTTGAATTAGCATTAAGGGAATGCGCGTGTAATATAATATTAACAGTGTAGTGGCAAGTTTGTGATTACGCTTCAAAATTTGGAAAGACAAACTGCGAGATAATTGAATTCCCGCAACGAATGTCGCGTTGTAGTTTTCCATCTAATGCGTAGCACATTTAATCACGTGTCTGGAACTAATATGCGTAATATTTTTTTTTTTCATAGAAATTCGTTGTCAGCTAAATACACATCTCGCCGGTGAAGTGAGAGTAACTTGTTTCAACAACAAGAATGAATTTCTTTTTTTGTTTTCTTTTTTTAGTTAATTGCTGAATGAAAAAAAAAAGACTAATACGATGACTAGTCAGTTTTCACAGAATCGTGAAGGATTAGTTAATGAAACATGTTGCATCCTCCATGATTGATGATCGTAAAACACGTAAATTTGGAATGAGGTTATCTGAACTTAAACTGGCTCGACATAGTATAACAGGCATTCCTGTACCGGGTATTTCTATTTGAATCTATCGATCGCGACCCTGTACACTCTTCTTGATATCGACCTTCTTATAATGCCCGGTATATTCCGATCTGGTTGCGGTGGTCGTGGAAGGAAGTCGTCAAGTTCGCTTAATAACATTATTAAACAATTAATTAGATCAATTGTGTCGAAAATTTCATCTAGAGTTGTCGCTACCACGTGTTCACATTGGTATTAGAGGGAAGAGTATCTACTAGGAAAAATAAAGGAGTGAGTAAGTGAGGAAAGAATATTTATGGGGGAAAGTAAAATTTCAATGTTCCAAAAAATTGATCAGTACATAAACAAATATTATATATTATATATAACTATATTCTTGTTAATATAATTATATTTATATTAAATAATTATTATATTTATATAATAATTATATTAATAATAAATAATTATTATATTTATATTTAATACATTATTATATTTATAATAAATAATAAATTATATTGTATATATGTATATATATAATTTATTATTTATTATGTAATTTATATATATATATATATAAAACACATATTTACGTACAAATGTGAATATGTTAAGATTATCAAAACGACCTTACTGTAATGAAAGTTCATGATGTGGAGCAGTTTGATAAAACTTTCGGGACTGTTCATATGCTTTTCATGGAAAATTTCAGAATTTTTCGCAATAGCGTTACGTAAATGCATATTGTATTGATTATTTAAAAGAATGGTATCAACCGAACAATGACTTCCTTTGCTCACTATAAACTGTTTAAATGACTGTGTGATTTTGAATTCTATAATTAACCAGATACAATCGAACGATGAGTCATGTGATCCCCGCGAAATATAATAGTTTTCGAATTTCGCTTATCACATCATATATATAATTGCGCCGTTGTGATAACTTGAATTCCTTTTTTTCTCTCATTTTTACATTTACATATATTTACATTTACATGCATTCTCACTTACAACGATTCAACGATTGTTCAATCCTCATTTGCAAGTTGAAGGGACTTGAATTTTTTCTATGACCACTGTGGAATACTTGTAGAACATTATGTTTGTTTGTTACAGATCTTGAGCTAGGACGATCGACCGAATAAACGAGAATAATAGGAACGGAGCAACGATGCAAAATTGTTGCGACGACGGCGATAACAACGTCGTCTACAAGGATGTGGTCATCATAGGTACGATTCGTCTATCAGTGTGAAACTTATCTACTAGATAAGATACTAGAATAAGATACTGGAACTCACGAACTTAACTCGTATCGCTGTGAATACATGTATCCCTTTTCCCTGCCTTCATCTATTTCTTGCTTGATATTCCTTTTTTCGTTTCTAAAACTTATCCGTTCAAAATTCTAAAAGATAGGAGAACTTCTACTTGCAAGCCTCGTTGACCGATTAGATCTTTTGGCTTCTAGTATAAATCAATTTAGTCGTATTCTCGATCGATTTCATAATGGCAAAATTCTTCGTATGATCAATACATTGAGCGAAGCGCTATGATTTGTATGATCGTAGCACCCAGTTTCAGATGGAAATACATGATAAAAACGTTTATCACGTGGTAACATGCGAAAGAATAAAAAAAAAAAAAACCAAGAACAGTATTGTTAGTACCCTGTACACAAGATGGTATATATGTTTTGTTCAGGAAACGGGCCTAGTGGAATATGTCTTTCTTTTATGCTCGCTGGAAATTGGCCTTATTACACCGGCGAGCCACATCCCGCGGATGAAATGCTCACGGCTAGGTTGCACTCGAGCATCAGGCCCGGGAGTGACGAAGAGGAATGTTGCAATACAATGAGCCAGCAACAGCAACAGCAACAATTAGAAAATGAAACGAGGTGCTATCGGTGGCACGAGAACGAGACTGTCAGGTCGAGGAAATGTCAGGGGAGGAGCGAAGGAAGGGGATTGGCGAGCAGTACGCGTTGCAAATTGGAATGCCTCTCTTCCGGACTGGAAGGTAGAATCGGTGGTCGACCGTTGGCCCTTCTGATGGATCAGCTGCAACATCCTTGTGTTGACGCTGGCCTCGATGTACCGTCTCTTCTTACCTGGAAATCGGTCGACCAACATCCTGAGCACAAAGTGATCGATCACATTGTGCTCGGTAAAGGTCAACCTGGTGGTTCGTGGCAGGTAATGAATACGAGTCAGGTAGCAGGTCAGCGATTAGGCTTAACTCGCGCTTTAGAACCACTTTCCAACCATGAAACGGCAGGTCGCTTGTAATTGAGCTATTGTCGGATCTGAATCCATATCAGCCACAAAATTCTGTTTCTACAATTCTACCTTTTTCAACGTACTAATAACGAAAGCAACAACATTATTTACTCTTTGAAATTCAGTCTGATTCTACGCTTGTGATATGGACTTTAACTAAAGTAAAAAAAAAAATGACCCACTAGTGCGTTGGTTCCACTTACAGCCAAGTCGCACGCGATTATTGTTTTGTGGTTGGAACGCAATTCAACTAAAGTAAAAAAATGGTCCACTAGTGGTTGATTGCAGCTACAGCCAAGTCGCACGCGATCAACGTCTTGTGGTTAGAAAGTGGTTCTAAAGCTATCTGTGTAAGTTAGGCTTTAATCGCTAAACCGCGTAGCACAGTACTAACAGAAGAACCTGACAATACACTGCGATGTTGATAATGCCACCGATAAAGGCATGCTGTTTTAAATTATGAGACACAATTATCTCTCTTGATCTCTTCATTCCCTATATGTTTTTTGCAATTTAACTTTATGAAAGGTCAAACTGATCATGTAACAGGAATTTATCGTTTGAATCGAATAAAGCATCGTTTGATAGTCATGAATATTTATATTGTCACGTTAATTGTGTTACAGTCAATGGATCCAAACGTGTTGACCATCAGTTTGAACCGATGGATGTCGTTGCCCGATTTAGATATAAGGCAATGGGAGATGATGATCGAGTCCGAGCAACTTCTAAAAACAACTTCTATGGAGGATGAGCCGACTTATGAGAAACCGAGTGCGTATAATAAAACGGCTAGCAGAATCTCTGTTGGCACGGTGGCTGCCTATTACAAAGATTACGTACGCAGAAAGAGATTGGAGCAGTACTTTCGATGGTTAGTTCGCATATTAGTTGAATTGCAGATACTCGCAGGTCGTGTAATATCTCTCTTGTAATCGTTAATTACAGAGACGCTTGTTTTCCAGCGGGACTATAGTTACTTCGGTGAGACCGAGCTGCGATACGGACGCGTGTTCTCAACAGCAACAGCAAGGAGATGGTTACGAATGGATAGTCGATGGTTTCGAGAAACAGACTGGAAAACCGTTTCGTTATCGATGTAAACGTGTCGTTCTTGCCACAGGCACGACCGATCTGTCAAATCAGTTGGGTGTACCCGGTGAAGATTTTCAACTCGATTGGATAACGCACGATTTAAATGAACTGGAATCGAAATTGGATCGTTTGATTGATTATCAGCAACATGGTGCGTGAAATGCTCCTTCCCTCTTTCAAATAGCTCAAGTCTTAATAAAATTGCTTAAAATTAGATTACGAAACAAATTTGTTGCAATTATAATATAAGATAATATAATTTAAACGATACATTCGATTTTAGCAAACGAGATAGAAGAACGATGGCGGCCAATCGATCCGGTACTAGTGATTGGTTCTGGACTAAGTGCTGCCGATGCCATTATGGCCGCTCGTTTTCGCGGCATTCCCGTTTTGCATGTATTCCGTGACTCGTCCAACGAGTGGAACAAATCGAACGACGAGAGGATACGGACTATCTACGACAAATTACAAGGTTTACCCAGTTCGATGTATCCCGAATATCACAAGGTATACGAGATGATGGCCGATGGTGGTACTAATTATCCCCTGTATAGAGCATTACCGGGATACACGTTGCTCGGGTTTACCGCAAATGGGATTAATTTTGTTGATGCCGCATTCGAAAGACCGTCAATGATTACTCTTGCCGATCTGGACGGATGCGTGCACACATTTCGTGTTTCTGCCGTAGCCATCCTTATCGGTACGTATCAAAACGAATGCTCTGATCTCGTTATTTCCCAAAAATTTTAAATTAAAAAGAAAATTCGTTCGTTCGCAGGTTACAAGCCTGATCTGTCCTATCTGAAAACTAATATCGGGCTTGGTAAATATCCCGACAAACCCATAGACGGTAAATCGAATCCTATCGAAGTGGATGATTTTACTTATGAAGTAACCAAATCTCCGAGACCCGGACTTTATGCCTTAGGTCCTTTAGTTGGTGACAATTTCGTACGTTATATACTCGGTGGAGCGTTTGCAATTTTAGTTCACATTCTGAATACTTCGTCTCCTTCTCTCACTTGAGTAGTATATTATCGCAAACTTCTTAAATCGTGTTCAATCGATCCTGAATCATGGCGAAATAGTAAACGAATTGCGCGCGCTGTTTATCTTACATACTTCATTTATCCAGAGATATTTCCTCAATCCAAATGTATGAAAAACAGAGTAAACCAAAACTTTTTTACACGTAAATGATAAACTCGAATTGTTCATCGTTTGACCCGCGTTTGTCCTTTAATTTACAAAAATACTAAACTTATAAGAAAACTTATACAACTGTACAAAAATTTTTATCACGAATCGAGGAGACTCCAATCATACAGATAATACAATAAAATTCATACGATTTTAACAACAGCATTTAGTGCATTCCATTTATTAGAATAAAAGTTTTTATTACAATATCCTGCTATGTTTCGAATCACATATTAAACGTTACGCTACTTTTTCATAGGTATTCCATAGATTCAATTTTATCAATTTAATAAATGTTACAAGTACACGTATTTTATCAATTTGTATCCTTCGTTGATTAATCGTTTCTAATTTGTAGAACGTAAGATTTTTGTAAAATTGAATAAATAATTACATCATACTCGGAGTTTATGTAACACATAACTTGCTATGTTCACGAGTACGCACATACCATGTAACATAAACAAAGGGTATGTGATACTACTACTTGTATAATTACCTTTATAAGCACGCCGTTGTGCGCAGATGTACGAGAAAATTGTTCATATTCTCATAATGGTAATATTTTTTTAAAAATTCAATATATATATGCACTAGAAATTGCAATTAGATAAATAACGTATATATAAAATATATGCTCAGTCTGTGATAAAAAAAAGGTGCAATATTCGAGGAAACTTTATTTAGTGTTCTTCAGAATAAAAATTCAATATTGTTAACTAATGTTATTATTTATCTTGATGTCTACTATATAAACTATTTCAAAAGATGTTTATTTATATAACATTTAAGTCAATCACATTATAATTACAACATGTGTTCGATGCATTTGTTTATTTAAAAAAGGAAAAAACCCAACTGCGATATACATTAGATACAGGAGAATAAAAAAGTTTTGTCTTTGATATTTTTATCAGGCCGTACTAGACTACTAAAACAAAAAATTAATCGAAAGGCGATAATTTGACGAGTGATTTTTAATATCTTTATACGGTCCATTTTATTTGTGAACACATTTAATTTCTATTTCTTTCAACATTGTTGTTTCTCTTATCAAAAATTTACTGTATTTTTTAACGTAAATATATGTTAGAAATGCAAATTATCGATGATTATAAATACTTACATTTATATTATACATGAATTTTAACATCCGTCACATGTAATAATGTATGCAATAAATGATATCACAAATAATTCAGTATTATGGAATGATTTCGAACATGAAATAGGAGTAATTGATGAACTCACGAAAATAATATGTACTTGCTTAATTATATTCCATTTCGCTGTTTACCTAAAATTTCAAATTTTCAAATATTTTATCGAAAAATATTTTTCGCGCAAATTATATATTATCTACACATGTTCTTTTTTTATTTTTTACAAAAGTATAATCCAAAACAAATTCATATATTAAAATTCAATCATGCAAATTAATATAGAAATTCTATTTCATGTTTTAAATACGATAAAAAGAAAACTGACTAGAATAATAGCGCTTGCAAGCATAACTATGCAATACAATTTTTTATTAGCTCTTTGATAAGAATCTGCCTTTTTCAATTGTTTATAACCTTCCTGTACTTGTATCTGTGTTTGTTCGACGGTATAATCAATTCTATCCAAGATAGTGCCTTGATCCTGTACCATACTCGCTAAATCCTATAGAAATAAAGAACATTTTTTTACTTATTACTGTAATGATACAGTAATTTTAATACAAGTTAAAGCTCGTTCAATCTTCAGATCCTCTTACTTTGAATATATGCCTGAGGTCTGCTATACTCTGAACTATGTTACCAATCTGTTCTTCTCTTTCAACAGCTAATTTTATTCTGTCATCCGAATCTTCCAATTGTAAAAGTACAGAATCTTGCTGTTGTTGTTGACTGTTATTCCAAGAATCTGAATTTGTTTCATTCGACTCTAACAGCCATGTATCTGTCATAGTGTTATTTAAAAATATTGATTGATCTTCCGTAAAAAACTGATTACTTCTTTCTTCCCTTGATTTCACCTCTAGAATAATTAAACAGAATCATGCATCTCGTATCTCGTGCATCCAATTGACATGGATATATATGTCTATAAATCATACGTGTTAAATAGTGATTTTGAGCCGATCTGTATCGAAGACCTAGCTCTTGCAAAGCTGTCGAAAGTGCCATTACCGCGCTCATAGCTAATTGACGTTCCGTCGGTCCATTAGCATGCCTTGTTGCAGCTTTTATCGTTTGTACTTGATGATAACCACTAGAAAATGCACGTCCTATTTCTCGTGTCAGTTGTTCCATTTGTCTCTCTTCCTGCAGACATGTTTTTAACGATTTGCTCTCTAACAATTAAGTAATCAAAATAAATCAGAAGCAATTTCAAGTTTCATCTTCTTGCATCGATGTACGACTAATAATTTAGTTTTCACATAATGATCATTAATCTTGAGATTAACGACAAACCTGCGACGTGTCATCTAATGTTGGCCTAGTTAATTGTTTAGCATGTAACTCTACTAAGCTGTCTATTTTTACGCGTAATCTACTTAAAATATATTGTGTTTCTTCCAAGGCATCTGTCCACACAGGGGGTACATTGCTTTCCAAATTAACATTTCTCAGTTCGACGTTGTCCGAAGCACCAGAACTCGAAGCGACTAATGCCGTTCGGTCAGATAAATTCTAAAATGTTGTACGTCATTATTTAATCTTTGTATTCCTCATCAGCAAGGTCAACGTTACAGATTATTCTCAAAGTATAGGTTATGTGTGACATACTTGTTCAGCGTATATATGTTTGCTTTGTAAAGCATTATTTCGCATTAAAATGAACGGTTCCGTCAAATTTCGCATAGCCATTTTGGTCAATTTCTTCAGTAATTCGCCAATTATCTTGAAACACTTCGCTGCTTGTTGCGCTCCTTTCTACGTAGAGCAATTATAACTTCTCGATACGCTCCATCTGTCATCGTAAAACAGTTGAAATAACTGATCAACTAAAATTATTAAGTACATGGATTACAGCACATATTTTTTTGTATTCCATATATACAACGTGTCTAAGATATTTATTTACAAAATTTAGAATAAAAAATTCGTGCAAAATATTCGATGTACCATACATACACGCGTGCATATTTTGTCATGAAACGTCGATCGATTCGTGCAACATTCCTCCAAACTTAAGTAAATTGATCTTCGAAATTTAATACGGTTTCGTATACATGTTTCTGTCACAGAAAACTACATGCAATTATTTGTCACTAATGATAAAAATGATACTTTGTACTTAGAATGATACACGCCTTTTTATTAAATTGTCTTAATAAAACTTTTTGGACTACTCATCATTATACATAGGTCAATATATTTATAACATTGATACATAAATCTTAGACGTAACACTATATTTAATGTAATATAATTAGTGTACAGTTACGGTTATATTCCATTGCTTAATTTTTAATTATTTAAGTTTCGAAGCATTGTTGTTTCTTCTACTTATTGTGAACGTACTTGTACATGCCAAGGTTGATGTTAATTTTTATTCTCAATTTGAATCAGCTTTGGTTTCAATAATTAACGGCCTAGTACTATAAAGATTTCCTATTGTTGCTTGTCTTTTAATAATTTCAAGATTCTCTCGTCCTTTAGTATAACATTCGTTAATCTTCTCTATATCCTGTATCGTTTTGTTTTGTTTAAATTCATGTTGAATTTTACGTAAAGCGTACATCCTACAATAAACATAAAATCAGAATTACAAAACAAACAAGAATGTAATTTATAATTTAAATGTCTGTAATAATATTTGTCAAAATAATATTCTTTTATTTTATTGTTAACAACTTTGAATAACTACAATCGAATTAATTTCAATATCGCAAATACGCCAAGAAATTATAATAAAGAAATTATAAATAAATTATAATAAAAAACGTGTAATATATCCGACCGTAAGACTATAGTTATTAGTTATTAACTGAATACTTTATACTTACCGATAATTGTACGAATTCCATTTTTTGCTTTCCCGAATTAGATTTCGATAAAGACTTAAAATTGCTCTTCGATTACTAGCCATCATTTACAATACATCATAGATCAAGTACAACACAGATGTCGTGTACGTACGAATATTCAATTGAATTTTTTCACTTTATATTAAACTATAACTTACGCATTGATTTTTTAAATATTGATAACTTTTTTTCATTGCTTTTTCCTTATTACATTTCTGGCAATTACCGATATTCCAAATTTTTCTTAAATTGTGTAGCAATTAATATAACAATGAAATGAATACGGATCTGATTGGTTATTTTTAGTAGATTTACTGTAATAAAAGATAAGCATGTATATTGGCTGAAGATATTACATATTCACATAGAATTATAAAGCATGTAATGATAATGAATGAGAGTGTGGTGAATGTTTACATTACTTTTGTGCCTCTTTAAGAGCATCTTTTCTTTGTATGTGTAAATGTGTATATAGTATGTATATGTATAATTAGTGTTTGGTTAAGTTTGAAAGGAAAAGTTCTCTTATAAGTATGTATATACTTATTATTGCGAATTTTATTAAAAAATTATTCAATCCTAAAAAACAAAAAAAATAAAGTATTAAAAGTTTAATTATAATTGTTTAGATTGGTTATTTACAGCGCTTAGATTGGTTACTGCAAATATATCATATTTCTCAAGTATTCAAATGCATTTGCAAGTAATGAGTAAAATGTGACTTTTGCAGTTGCAGGATGTATACATATTTTGGACGCTGTAGTAAAAGAATATTCAGAAGAGCATTTTCTATAGCTACACAGACTATAAAAAACAATGAAATAACACTATTAGATCACACGTTTCCAAGAGATAACTGGACAAATATTAGTGAAAATATTATTTACAAATTGGGAAGAAATTTACATATTTCTCCATATCATCCTTTATCTCATATTCGCCAACGTATCGTTAACTACATCTATATGCAATTTCACAATCGTATTGGAAATCCTATATTCAGCGTGTTTGATAACATATCTCCTATTGTTACAGTAGCACAAAATTTTGATTCCCTACTTGTGCCAGAAAATCACCCATCAAGGAAAAAAAGCGATTGTTATTATATAAATCAAAATACAATATTAAGAGCTCATACAACGGCTCATCAATCAGAATTGATTTCAATGGGTTTGAACAATTTCCTTGTAGTAGGAGATGTTTATCGCAAAGATGAAATAGATTCTACCCACTATCCTGTTTTTCATCAAGCAGATGCTGTTAGATTATGTACAGCAGAGGAGGTATTCCAAAATGTAGACAATTCTAATGAGTTGAAACTATTTGAACATAGGGGCATGGAAACTGATGAGAAGCAAGGTTGTCATGCTTTAGAATCTGTAAAAATAATGGAACATGAATTGAAAAATACTTTAATAGGTTTGGCACAGACGCTTTTTGGATCAGGTAACTTTAAGAAAAAAAAAAAGAAAAAACACTTTGTCGTTATAGCGTAATATAAAAATATAAAATTTTAATTGTAGAAATTCAATATAAATGGGTTCAACAATATTTTCCTTTCACTCATCCCTCATGGGAACTAGAAGTCTACTATAACGATCAATGGATTGAAATATTAGGATGCGGTATTATGCGTCAGGAGATTTTACAAAAGTCGGGGGCAGGAGAACGTATTGGATGGGCATTCGGATTAGGTTTGGAAAGACTGGCTATGTGTTTGTATGATATACCAAATATTCGTTTATTTTGGAGTAACGATACTGGTTTCTTAAATCAGTTCAAAGTTGAAGATCCTAATACGGCAATAAAATACAAGGTAAAGAAATTAGTAAACTAATGAGTATTAAAAGAAGAAGTTTTAAATTAGATTTCTGTATTACAGCCAATTAGTGTTTATCCTCAGTGTAAAAACGATATAAGTTTCTGGTTGCCTGAAAACAAAAGTTATTCGTCAAATGATTTTTACGATTTAGTTAGAGATATTGGCGGAGATAGAGTAGAACAAGTTCTATTAAAAGATGAATACACTCACCCTGAAACTAAAAAGATATCGCACTGTTATACCATAGTATATAGACATATGGAACGTACATTATCAAAACGAGAGGTAAACAACATCCATAATCAAATAGCAAAACGCGCAAATGAAAAATTACATGTTACACTCAGAGGAATGAAAATTTAATTTATTAAATAAAATTTAAAAAATTTTAGAAATTTGTGTATTATTTATTATGTTCTTTTTATAACTATTTATGCAAATTCAATTTTACAAGTAAAATTATATACATTTTACATATTTCTACGTATTTAAATTTTCCATAAATTCAAAAAGAGCTATAATCTATTAAGAATAGTTCAGGATTAAAAGAAAAGTGGCATAATGTTTAAATGAATATATTATTATTATATTTTTTTCACATAAATTAATTATAAATGTATATCATTAGGTCAAGTGCTATTTACCTAGAACTAACTATGTATTCTATATATAATATGATACATCTCATCAACGTTGTAACTAACAACAATTACTTCTAAATCTACGATCTTAATTTATGCATGAATATAAAAATCGGTTTTTTTTTATTGTAGCATTGTACATACACGATAAGTAAGTTACATCACATTATATTAAAATTGTAAATAATAAATTTTATCTAAAATACAAAAGAAAAATATTCTATATTAAAATAAAGCAATAACAAATAGGAATCTCCCTCTTGGCATTTAGTTTGTAAAAATAAGAAATTAACGTATTTATTAAAAATATCAAGAAAACTTTAAAAATATTATATGCTTTTAATTAATTGATTATTTATGTCCTATAAACTTAATATATTAAAATCCTATAAATAATATGCGATCGAATATACATAATAGACATGAGACGAAAACGAATAAAATGCTACATATACGCAAATATATTTCAAAAACAAAAATACTTTACAGTTTCTCATAAAATAAATAAACAAAATGCAGCTTTAAACCGTTTCTTTCTAGTTATTATAATTTCAATTCGTTTGAATTTACAATGTAAAAAAATTATAGAAATGTTTATGTATTATGACATCACGTGTAAACATCATAATAATACTAATAATAGTAATAATAATAATAATAACAATAAATTATTCATAGAATTTATCATTAAGTTAGAATTTAAAGAAACATTAAATCTGACCTATGCAATAGTTTAACAGAGAAGCACTTAGTATGGTATATTTAGAACAAAAACAATTGTAATTTTTGTTAATTACATTCTGATGTCAAATTATAAGGTCTTATTAATATTTTGAATATGTCAATAATTCAATATCAATATATCAATATTTCGAACGTAGTTAGAAAAATATTCAGGAGTTTTAGAAAATGCAAACGCATTCAGCAAACAACGCATATCAGGGATTGATAATTTTAAACCTAAAAACGGTTTTTCATATCATCTTTTCAGTACAGATCAATAATTTGTCAATTCTTTTCATAAAATGAATGAAATTGTTATGCACGAAGTTTAAGATAATTTAGTGTAACTAGGAGGAGAAAATTTCTTTCGTAAAAATTTCAAAATGTATAATGGCATGCACGAAATTAAAGTTATTAGCAATACTTTCCACAAGAAGTCAGTGGTCTTGATAAACTCAGCATCTGCGTTACAATATGAAAAAAGTGATTAAATTTTTAATAAACGTATTCCTTGTTTTTTAAAAATATATATTAATTATACCTACCAAAATAATCTTTGAGAACGACTAGCGATAATAAATAAAGCGCCAATGAGAAAATTTCCGCAAGTATCATAATATGATGCCATGTTCTAATTGTTAAAGCTACCATTATTAACTCTGTTAAGACAAGTGCTGTGAAACTTATGGCCACTATATGAATAAATTCATCTTCGAACATTATAAGTGCGCCATACATTATAACGCCACCTGAAAGATGGTTCAGATAACATTACTAAACGATGTATAATCAATAATAACAAAAGAACTTATTACCTTGATATATGCTTATTAAAATCCACATGAAGAATGTCTTATAGGATAACGATCGACCCTTACTGAGTTCTTTATAAAGTTCTGGATAAGTAAGTGCAATTTTTCCTGACACATCTTTGTCTAATACCAATGAAAATACCGGAAACATTGTATATATTGTTCCATAGCTACAAATTAGTCATTTGACATATTAGCATTATTATATCATATTATATATATGTTTTGATATTACTTAATTTTTTTCTTACCCAACCATTAAAAATCCCTGATACAAGGATACTGACGATAAATAAAAGACCGCAGAAAACACGGCTTGCATAGTGGAAATAATTAAACCTCGGTGAATAACGAATTGACTTAAGGCAGCAGAACGTTTATAACTTCTGCGTCCGTGAACCAACAAGAGATTAGCCAAATGACTGAATTGAGAAATAGAAAAGTCTGCAGCCAAAGAAGCTTGCCTTCCTTCAAGGCCTTCAAGACCTATACCTAAAAGGAGAAATGAATATTATCAGTAATAACATCTACATTACAATTTACTCAATTTACTCAAATTATGAGAAACATGCTTACCAGCATCTGCTGCTTGTATCATTGATACATCATTACCCCCGTCACCGACAGCTGCGGTTCTTTTCCCAGTATGTCTTTGAATAAGACTAACAACTTCGGCTTTTTGCGTGGGTGAACATCGACAGCAAACAACAGCTGGTGAACCGCATGCTAGTTCTAAGAATTCTTGTTCGTAATATAGCAAACATACCTCTAAAGAATCGCCGCTAATGACTAAGGCACAGTCTTGTTTTTTACGAAAAGTATTTAATTCCAAATGGGCATCCGTGCGAGTTACCACCGATTTGAAAACATGAAGACTTTGCGTTCGTGAAACTAAACGCGAAGATTTTGCTATACAAGTTGCTGTTTCTAGCTTGTCGCCCGTTAACATCCAAATCTAAAAATCATAGAAAACACATTATAAGCAAAACTATTATTAAAATTGAAACAAATAAAGGAAACTTAATCTCGTAGCAATGTAAATTGGTAAAAGTGCGACGTACCTTAATTCCAGCATTTCTCAACAGTTCCAATGTAGGCCTTACTCTATCTTGTAATCTATCTTCGACGCCAGTTACACACAATAATTCCATCTCTCTTTCTAAACTTTCGACAACTGCAGCAACTCTTGAAACGCGATCACTGACACTCATTCTTGCTGAATTGTATCTAAAAAAGAAAATTTTTTTCATATAATCAATTTATCATATCTAATCATTTTTCCACTAACACGTAACAATTCCCTAGTACCTTGCTTCAAAATCGAGATATTGTTCTTCTGTCAAATTTTTTTTTGCAACAACTAATGTTCTTAAACCTTCCCGAGCCATATTACCACACTCCTCTTCAAGCCAATCATTATACTGTACTATCCCGGACATCACTACATCCGCACCTTTCAAATAAAATACTATTTCAGAACTGGATTCTTCTTTTACTATTATTCCCATTCGTTTGGTTTCCGATGTGAATGGAAATATTTGTAAAATTGTGTAGTTCAAGATTTTGCCGTTTGGAGCTTTTAGTTGCATAAAATTTAAGTCACGCTTCACTAAAGCTAATCCCATTTCTTCTGTCCACTTAACCAATGCTACTTCATCCGGACTAGAAGCTTGGTAATTACGTTTTTGTTCTGATAGATAATAATGTTGATCTGCTTCTGTTTGACTAAAAGCAAAGATAAAATAAACACGTGTACCATAATTGTATAATTTTATGTAGCACAGTTTAAAAAAAAATTACCTTTGAATGGAACCAGAATCTCCTGTTTCTCCCGTTTGTACACTCATTGTATCCAAATTATTTGATTTACTTACTTCATCATAAACTGGTGTTACATTGTGACACAACGCCAAAGCATGCACTGCGTCATATATTCTAGTACTTTCGGATCTTCTTACTTTCACACTATGTACAGACGCTGGTTTTACTGGTGAAGTATCGGAATTCGTGGCATAACATGTTTTTAATACAGCCATAATTTCGTCAAATGTTTCTTGCCCGTAAGATATCATGCCTAAATGCAACTTTTTGAAAACCATTTTATTTTGCGTTAATGTGCCAGTCTTGTCACTTAGTAAATATGAAATACGACCAAGTTCTTCCGGAATAGTAGTAGTTCGTACAACCGTTCCTGCAATTTCCTTATCCCTTTGAATGCACCAAGCGTAAAAAGCTTTCCCCATATCTAGATTCACTCTTAAACTGATTGGTATTATATAAGAAAATAGCAGAACGAAACGAAACATATAACGATACCATGGCCCGTTAAATCCTTTTAAAGACATCATTACCAATGCTAGACCAATCACAGCACAAAACAAAACCTACGAATTTAAAATTCATTCAACGACGTTTATTAAATGAAATTAACATGATACAATATGATAGAATACAATACCTTTGTTAGCTGATTTATTTCCTGATCTAATAAACCAACTTTCGACCGCGGTGCAGAATGATTCATAAGTGATCTAGTTTCTTGCCCTGTGTACACTACAACACCAAGAGCCGAACCTGACGCGATTGCTGTGTTTGCCCATAAAGTATTGTCCACACCCAAACTTTCTTCACTGCTGTGTCCATCGTACTATAAATTGTAACGTGATTGTATGTTATAACAACATTTATTAATAATTACACTGTTGTAACATTAAACATTAAAGACAAATTAAAAATTTACTCTGGTAAATGTTCCAATAAAGCTGTGAATATCTTTTTGAGGCTTTTCAACATATATGCTTGCTTTAATATCAAACAATTGAGAGTTATTTTCCAATTTTTGAGTAACTGGAACAGCCAGTCGCAACTTCCAGTCTGTTTCTCCATCTAGTTGATCTGTTCTCACAAAGCACGCACCTGATTTTTCTGTAGTTCGTAATAATACTAAATCAGCAGGTACCCTTTGGCCCTTCTCTACTATAACCTTAGAAAAAAAATTACACAAATGAATTTTTCTATTTTCTCTTCATTTAATTAATATCTTATGTTTTTTTTTGTATTTTCATTTAATTTCTTACCAAATCACCCACTCGCAATTTAGAACTTGGTACTAATTCCGGGGTATCAAAACCTTTCACTAATCTGTAATACTTTTGGGCATTGACTTCCTTGTCTCTTTTGTATCGTCTGAAGTCATCGATCGCTTCTCGACAAATAGTAACAGTTAAAACAAAACACAAAGGTCCCCAATATGTATATAAATATCCTATTCTTATGTCTGGTATGAATTGAGATATAGCCATAAGCAAAAAATATAGATTTAAGAAAAATTTAAATTGTTGAAAAAGAACCTAAAAATATAATATAGCAATTACATATTTTTAATACCACATTATATTAGCAAATAACAATACAATTGGCAACATTCTTTACCAAAGGTAAAAACGTGACAATATTATATTTCTGATTTCTTATGACATTAGTAGGAAATTTCTCATGCATTGGCTGACCAATATGAATAACTCTAGCCCTTAATTCACGTTCTCTGCAACATCTTCTCCACATCCATGTACAACATCTAAAAAGGTACAATAATAAATAAGTAGAAAAATAAAAAAACAAGATTTTACTTTATTTTTTTACTACATATATAATCACACTGTTGCTAATGAGAGATTATAATAAAATTTTTGAATATAACAGCTTTGTAAATATAATGATTTTAAACGAAGAAAAATGTATTTGTTGCAGTATGGGATATATTTGGACATAAATTCAACATAATCGTTGGGTTGAGGTCGAATAAATATTGTGCTGACCATCTTAATAACATCTTTTTAATCATTCAATAAGAGTCGTAAAGAAATAAAAAAAAATACGCAAAAATCGGAGTCCCTTAGAGGAAGTAAAATGTATGTACGTCACCTTGTCCACAAATTGATATTCCGCGGTCTGGATATCAGAGGAATATCCTCTTTCGATAATCTTATAACATTACTTTGCGTTTCCATTTGCATATTTCTTCATGCAAAGAAATACTATCATAAACCATATAAAGAAATACTTCTATTCGACCGTTTGCTAAAAAACCACTGTCTAAAAAATCTATCCTTCGATATTCAACACAGTTCTGTTATGACATCATAACATCCACGAACTACAAGTTTACAAGATGTGAATTCGCTTTACTTACTGCATGAACTTGTACCACATATTATAACAGAGTATGATAGAAACTACATTATTATTATGTTTCTTTCTATTTTTTATTATGAATAAAACTTTGCGAAATTTGTGTATTTAAACATGTTTAATTTGCTCACTTCCTTCATTCTTTAGCAGATATATATTTAACAATCTTAAGCTAGACTAATTTTTCAACAAAAGAGTATTATAATACTTGAAAGATGGCATGAAAATGCACGAATATAATTGCATCAATTGTATTTTCATAATGCAAGTTATTAAAAACAGAGAAACGTTCTTAAATGTGTGTATTTGGAAGTTATTACTTATCGTTTGATAAGTAATATCTTTCCTTATCGAGATAGGTAGACAAGACATATTTTTACAAAAAAGATTTTTCACATTATGGACGTTAACATTATCTTATTCGTCTCTCTTTTCTTTTTCCCTTACGTTTTCCATTTTTTTTTTAAATTTATTTCCACCTCTTTTGCACATTAATATCTCTACGATGAATCTCGATAGATCTTTATCATTTATTACGTTGGCTACCATTCAAATTGGTAACCAGGAAGTCGCTAATCGAGCGATCATGTTTATTTCTGCTCGACTTGCTTGTTAAAATTAACGATCGATTATCGAATCAGTAACTCACCCGCAGAAGCAATTTTTGAGGAATATAGAAAAATCATTTATCCGCCGTCTTCGTGAGGTCAGAAGTCGTATACTGTCTTCGGAAGGTTGAAGGAGATAATCGGTCTCTTCATCCATTTCAAAATCCCGCTCGTCCGAGCTCAAACGTAATGGCATTTCTTCTAACCGCATACTTTTTTCACGAATCACTCGATAAATTTTCTTTCCCATTTACCACGGATACACAACTATACCATTTATATCTATTTTACGCTACATATACCGCGTGTGTGTGTTTACATATGTACATCGTACATACATACATACAAAACATACATACACATACATTAATGCATACAAATATATACCTATCGTTTATACATATTTTTTCTTTTTCAGTAACAAAACATGCTGAGGACAATTCTCACTAGTTCCTTTTTTTTATGACCATTGCATTGCATGTTACATCACATGATAACGAAATATTACACCGTTTAAATACATATACCCGTATACGCAAACAGGTACGTACGTGTCCTGTGTATCTTGCTTCAGACTCTGCTCAAATGAAACCGTGATTTCCGGCAGATTAACATATTGCGTTTATTTGTTTATTTAACCAACAACTTCAACCATTCAAAGTGGCACCGTCAATTGACATTTTACTCAGCGATTCAATTATTCTGTTTATTTACGAGATCCGTGCGTACATGCGACATCCATGCATACATGCTTCTTTCCACGTACGTACGTGTACGCATCGCGAAATATTATTCAAACGACAGTGACGTTCGATATCAAATATTCGAGTCATTTCAATACAGAAGGCAAAAATAAATTCGAATTTATCAAAATTTCAATCGATCTTCGAACTAATTGTTAATCAACTGTGATCGCGATACCTCGAACTGGTATTACAGTGCGTGCGGCCATGTTAAGTACTCTATGGTCATGTGATCCGGTTGTTTCGGACGCATGCGTACACCGTTTGAAATAAATTTTGAAATTGTTCAACGTATTGTTTGCTACGCGTTATGTTACGCGTGATTTACACACGTATAAGAAATCAGTCTTATTTATTTCGTTTTACATATTTTTACTAACTTTGTTAATCGGTACTTTATTATTACTAACTTTATTAATCATTGCAATTCGTTATTCAAGTACAACTTCATAAAGCAGTGCTAACGATTCGATCGTATTTTTAATTGTCTCGTTTTGACACGCTGCGCTGGCTAGGTTACGAAAAAGCTGCGTACATATTCCTTTTTCGTCCTGTTTCATGAAACTAACAGTCAGGTAAAATCTATTACATTTGCTTAAAGTGCATAAAATGTCGACAACGAACTCGATGTTATCGGGAAGTGAAGCATTTCGGAAGCACGTATCAATTATTTCGACGAACAACGACGAAGGAATTTCAGTCTGAAAAATTTTCTTCTGCAAGGTATATCTGAAATAACCGATTACATACATTTATATTCTAACCTCCATCAATTTAATTATTACGCACTCATAAATACATATCTTACCGTAACGTTTTGAGATAATAAAATCTTTCTTTATGATCTTTAACTGTTTTCCAGATTTGTACAAATTGGGCGTACGTGGTGGGTGTTTCATTTTGAAAAGCATTATCATCGCATTTACTCGATATTTTCGAATGATCTTCGGATTGTTGTTGTATTTCGTTTACTTTGTCAAACGATGTTATCGTGTTCAAACTATTGGTGTGAACAATGGGATTCCAACATTTCTTTATTCTAGATTTAATATCGTCACATTTCAAAGGTTTTAAATGGGCAGCATTTACCTGGTAATAGAAAAAATAAAAATTATATTAAATGTTAAACAGGCAGATAAGAGTATTTTAAATAAAATACCAATTGCTTACCAATTGTCTGAAATCTTCATAGGTAGGTACTTTTTGCTCCACCGCTCTGAGTTTAGCATCATTTTGTAATTTATATAACTCATCCGCTCTAAGAGCCTCCAGAAGTTCTAGTTCCATGTTTTTATAATTTATAGGCGATCTTAATTTGCTCATTTCTACAGGGTAGATAGCTTTGAAAGTACTTTTCAGATAGCAAGATACACAAAATAAGAAATTTGCTAAGTCAACAAATATTTATTATTGATCATAGTAAATGGTTCCTATAGCAACTACCCATGAGTACGATTATGTTGTATCGATAGGTATGTAAGTACGTATGTATGAGTTTATGCGTTTTTTGAGCATCAAAGGTTTACATATGTATGTATGTATGTATGTATGTAAAAGAAGAATCGTAATCATGAAAGTTAATTACACTGTATGTAACATTATAAAATAACATTATCTTCCGACATTACAATATTCTTTGCTATACTGCTCTGTCTTTTTTTATACAATCTATCATGAGTTCTTTTCATCTCTAAAATTTCCTTCATTTCTTCCTTATCTTCTTCCTAAAATTCATACACTTTTTACAATCATCTATTATACGTGCATACAAAGTTAGTTGTATACATATACATATACATGTACTATATATAATCGCTTATAAAAAGTCTCGTATAAATAGATATATATATATATATATATATATATTTTACCGATTGATTTAATCGAAGTACTAATGCTCTTCGACCATCAGACATTGGCTGCGAATAGTCCATTAATTTTTTAAGCCTTTCCTCTGGACTCACTCCTCTTTCTACTACCAAAACTATACGTGCCCACTGCGATAAACACCGTATTAACAAATAGATGATGATCAATAAATGTCGTTTTAAGTGGAAAGGGAAAAGAAACGTACTTGTCTTTGCCATTCGTTTCTTGTTTCTGCAATTTTCTGGTATGTATTCCCCATCATAGCAATTAACATGTTCACTAATAATATGGCAACGATTGCCATATATAACACAAATAAAAGCTATGACGAAATTAATTTTTATATTGTAGTCATATATACCTGCTAGAAGAATAGATGAAAGATAATCACCTTAGCTTCTATCTCATGCTGTGTTCTCTCAAATGCACCATAATAATCTCCAAAATTTGTCATACTCATAAGAAACATTGCCATTATACTTTCTACCGGCGATGGCATTGGATTGCTTATCGAATCATCTACTCCTTCAGGCGTATTGGGATTATCGAAAGATAAAAATATGATATAATATGCTGAAGAAAAGGAGAAAAAGAGATAATTTTTTATATACATTATTAGAAGAATAAGACGCGAAAAAATAAAAAAAAAGAATAGAGGAGAAAGAAAAAGATTACGTAATAAATAAGATGTCTTTTCAACTACAGTATCAAATATTTATGAATATTACCATGCTAAATTGTTGCAGTATAAAATTGAAAAGAATTGGAGACAATTGAAAAGAATTTCTTTTTTTTAATCCTAACAATTAAGAAATATTGATGAAAAGAATAGCTAATATTATAATAATTAAGTGGCTGAAGATTCTACATATGACTAATATTCATTGAAATTTTAGAGATTTTAGAACAATTGAGATATACATTTCTAATTGTATTGAAAAGATTTATACAGATAGATTTTATGAAGCATCAGTTGTTTATTAAAAATGAATATGAAACTTGAAAATGTAGAAAATTCACAGTAGAAAAATGTTCGTCGATTGTAACTGTCGACACGTAATAAAAATATCAAACTTTTAATGGAATTGCAAGCATCCAATTACTTATGGACGATAATGCATGTATAGTATGTAACTGGAGAATAAATACAAGTATGTATAAGATTGGCACAATGCCTAGAATATGTAAATTTGTTACGTTTCAGAATGGAGGATATTCCAGTGTAATATGTGTCAATGTCGCTTGTGATGTAGCAATTCCCAGACGGGCGATTAAGTCATAAGACAAACTCGTATTCGTATCGCCTGCTCGATATCGTTATACATACTTTGATTAACGACTATAAGGGAAGAGGAAGCGTCATCGGCATATTTGCTCTCAAGTTTTTAATCGACCAATCGTCTGTTACGAATTGATCGCTAGTTTATTTATGTCCATGATCTACGTTCAGAAGTAAGATATGATGCATCTGTTATCGTATGTCGAAAATTTCTGGCCAGGACAGAAGTGCGAAAGTGTTAACAAAAATGGAAAGAAGTTTAGCTAACGGTGTAGAATAATATTGGTACGCGATAATTTTAATCGAAGCGAAATTTGTTAGAATGGTTAGAGACTTTGAGACTTTTAAACTAAATTCTTCCATCAGAGGAGAACTTGGTTTCTACGTTACCTTGAGAAAATCCCATTACAAAGACCAAGTAAATGGAGACGAAACGGAGCAAATCGCCCATGATCATTCTATAAATCATCACGACGAACGGACCGACCGTTTTGAAACCCCGACAGAAAAATAAAAAATACGGTGCCGTGGTTAACATCACGACAACCGCTAACATATCTTCAACTTCGTCGGCACAAGCTAATCTCAAGAATGGGAAAGATAGTAATATGCAACAGGAGAAGAGGAACATTACTCGTGATGGTGCAGTCATCTAGAAATAATTCCTTTCGTTAGTACAATATTTTAATTTATAATGTGTATTATGAAGTTTGTGTGCTTGATCGGTTTGTCAACGAAACACCATCTTCCTTTTTCTTTCTTTCCTTTTATTTCAAATATTCTAAAGTTAAAATTTCGTCGATGAGAAACCGATATCGCACATTGTTCACCAAATATTTTCTTTTCGCATAAAAGTAAACGTAAAAATAAGAGAAACAGATACACGCTCGGTAGTATCATCCTTACTAGATTCTCAATGAACATATTAAGTCCTAAAAATCTGGCTTCACGTAATGCTGCAATTATGTAAAGAGCAGCTGCAATCTCCATTAATATTTCAGCGATTAGTCGGACCTTGGCCGATATCGTATTTAGGTGCATTAGTCTACACTTCTCCGTGAGATTGTTCCACCTAATATCGAAAGGAAGCACGTTAGAAATATTTATGGATGGATTGTCCTAAAGCCAAATATATAATATCGGGCTGCGATTCTTAAAAATAGTAAATTTTGAAATTTAGCTTCGTATTAACCCCAGTAGATCTTCATAATAATTATTTAATATTATATATGATTAAATCTATTTTAAGGTATAACTTATTATTATTATATCAACAAAAATAGAAATTTTTTTTCAAAAGCAGTATTTAATACGAATGTTTACTTTCATACGCGAATAAAAGTGAAAATGTTTCTCCTTGGCACAGTTAAGAAATTCAATGAACTCTTAAAGGGTTAATCAGATTTGTTCCGAAAATGTGTATGAATCGTACAACGCACCAGTCGTGTTTGTTACTGCCAGCGGATAGTATAGTATCATCAAAGAGCATCGTCGAATTTGCAGGGACAGTGTCGTTGATCATTGTAATTTTCAGATAATCCATCGGTGTAGTATCATTTTTAGAGTAGTAAAGCTCGTTGGGCCTAGTAGTTATCCTATAAGAATCATTAAAAAATTCGATCTCGTTTCGAGATCGATCCGTCGACAAAACGTTGCTCAAGACTGATGTTAAGTCCGCGACGATATCGAACTTCAATTTATCAAAGGGCGCTGTTGCGTTCAAAGAATATTTCATGTTCGAGGTAAAAGCAGTAGTAATAATTTGATCAAGAAGAAGGGAGAGATTGGTATTTTGAAAAGTATTTGTAACATTCGGGAGAAGTTGATCCGGTTTTGGAGTTGTCATCGGTGATTCCACAGAGGTTTGGGATGTAACAGCAGGAGAGGAAGCAGACGGCGTCACCGTTGGACCAGGTCGAAGAGTAAAACTGACCAACGACAGAACAAAGTAGAAACAAAAAAGGAAAAATTGACGATAGAACCGTGATTTAACGAATGTGTTCCATTTGGCGTTCAACAGATCGACCAGGATACCGTCCATCAATTCCAGATGCTCGTCCTTTTCCTACATGTACCAGAAATATCGTATGGTGATAAAGAATGGTAATATATTTGATTGTGTAATAAGTTCGTTCATATTTCACTCGGTAGGTTTCTACATTTTGAGAAATGTGAAAATGTTGCTTATATCAGTTGTAGTAAATAGTATAAATATATGTGTATATCACATTATTATATATATATTTAGATTTTGAGAAATTGTTATAGGAACATTGTTCGTATTAGTTATAGTAACTAGTAAACTCTAAAATACTTGTTATAATAATCGTTGGTTTCAAAGAAATGCGAATGAACTTATTACACAATATATAATGGAAAGCAGTTTTTTGATTTTGATTTATAACTCACACCAAATACCACTAGATTCAAAGCAGAATTATGGCTGATGCTTCCCGTAGTAACGTCGATGGTATCGACTTGTGACAAAGGATAAGCCGCGCACGTAATACTTCCTATCTGCCAGTAAATCTCCCGTTCGATGTTCAAAATATGAAAAAACATTTCGATCCTGGCTAACTTTGCTGACAGCGTCAAAGGCGTTAAATGTTGACTATTCCTGATTGGTAAAGATGCACCCACTTCATACGCCATATCAAACATAGTCTTGACCGGGAAAAAAGTTGATCGAGGTAATTTATTGATAATTTCCTTCTAGATTAATCTTAAGCCTTGTCCAGACATCGTCCGTGAACAGTAGACAAAATAGATGTAAATTACCTGAATTTATATTTTGTTTCCCATTATCTACGGTCTATTTATGAACAACATGTTCATGGGCAGTGATCTCTCAGTCTGAACAAGACTTTATGTGGCACTAAAAACTCGCTTTTTATGGTCAAAAGTTAATTTTACAAGTTTATCATGTCGAAACATTTTTTTCTTCTTTTTTAAAGATCTACCATATTTTTGTTGAAAAAGAGAATATTTTCACTTTTGATCACACAGAGCCATTCTGCAGGCCACTGTGCAGTGTATTCAGCAACTTACCAGCTTTTCATAAATGACCAGCATATGTAAAACAGTATTCCCATTCGTGTCTTGCTTGTCTGGATCTGCTCCCCTGGCGAGTATTAATCTGTAACATTCTTCCTGTCCCAAGCACGCAGCGAAACTTAAAGGATACTCGCCCCAATAAACGTATCTACGCAAACGAGACGAGATGAAAGTGTCTTGACATCATGCGCGGGCGTGTTCATCTGTATTCCACTCAAGTATAATCTACTTTACCCGTTGTAATTCGTCTCCGGAGTTACGCAAACCCATTCGTGATCCAGACTGTCTGATCTCGACGCTTTTTGATCCTCCGGACACATAAAGTTGCCTACGCATCTTTCGTGCACGTCCGCACCGCTGTCCAAAAGAAATTTCACCAATGCTGGATCTTCGTTTACTATTGCGATATGTAACGCACTCTCACCTGTGAAGAATAGTCAAACGAACGGACAGATACGAGTATTTAGTAATTCAGAATCGATGAAAGTGACTTTTGTACAAGTTTTTGACTGTTAAAAACGTTAGCAGTCACAATTCAACGTGACGTAGGATATAAAACGAAAGAACATAGATTTAAACAATTCCAAAAGCTTGCTTGTTAAGTATTCTATTTATTTGTTTTTTTACGAAGGGAAAATTTTTATTTATTGTTTGATTAATATATTAGAAAATTCAACTCTTGAATTGCTAGAACGAAGTTATGGATCATCGTGTGACGTGATGAACTTACTAACCGTAGTACTCATCGCTGATATACACATCGTTGATAAGCTTAGGATAAAAACGTAACAAACGTTTGGCTAGATCAATGTGAATAGCAGTCGCGTGTAACATGCATAAATGCAAAATCGTTTCTCCGACCGCTCCTCTTTCGCTCAAGCTCCAGCAGACTAATCTATACTTGCTTTTATCTGTTCAAAAGGAACGGAATAATTACATCTCCCATCGTCTCTATCGATCTGTCGATCATTTACCTATTTTTGTCTCGTCCAGTTTATCTTCGTTTTGCATGTCCTTGTCGATGTCGTAATCGGCAGGATTCTCCATAGCTCTCAACGGCGGAAGCTGTTACACGATCGATCGATCGATCATAATAAGAAAGTATTTCGATCAAATTGCCTACCTACTACGATGTAATTGAATGTCAATTACCATTTTGTGCTTAGGACGATCCTTATTTCGCAGCAAGACCAACTTCTCGATCGGAATCCATTTACCTTTACCCTTGTTGTATAAATACGGTTCCACTTTCGTTCTTAGAGCATGGTCCAATTCCGCATACTGTTTTGTTTGCGTTGCCCTTTTCATCATATCAACCAATAATCCACCACCTTCACAAGATGAAAAAAGCGTTTCACTCTTCAGGTATAAATATTTAAAAATAGGATTATTGTAATTGTCGAAATGTTCTGTTCAGTGGGACGAATTAAGTGCGGCATAACATAAATTTTAATTATTTTAATTTTTCAAGGTAGATTACAATAGTATATTATATATCAAGATGCAGTGGATATCCTATAATGAACGTTCAGTTTTTCTCATTGAATGCAATTTACAAATATACATATGTTTAAAAATATAAATATAATTTATAAATTTACGCACGTGTGTAATATATAAAGAATTGATAATATATCAAGTTGATAATATATCTTATAATTTATTTCATATAGCATTTTATTTAAATTTATTCTCATAAAACGCTCATGAAGTCTCCTCGCTTTTGTTCTCATCCCTTGTCCGATGATTTACCTTTCAAGTCGACTAATTTATAAAGTAAGATGGACGAAGCATCCGTCTGTTTCTTCACTCCGCTAGCTACGTTGCTTTCTGTATTTCCCATATTCCTTTGTTTTCTCTATTTTCTTTGTTAAAACAACACGCGACACACGATCATCGATATCGGTACGGTGACAAGTATTACTTCGTGAAACCGATCATATGGTTTCAGCTCGATCACACACTGTTCATTCATCCGCTTACAATTCCCCGTCTTTAGTCAATGCTATCGCGTTGCCATGGAATACTTTTCTGATATCGATCACTCAGTCGTCATTTTGCGAAATACCGGCGGTCCATCAAAGAGATTCCTCTCTCGTTAAAAATCTTCGTGAAACGAAGTGTGACCAATAATGTGCCAAACAAAATCAACGATCGATCTATTCGACGGAATAACTTTTACTCTTTTGACTTTTGATGGTGTTGTATACACAGAATAGTAACTAGGTTGGTCTGTAACTCTGTGCCCGTTGAAAATAAAAAAGGAATTGTGGAGAATTACAGATACAACTGCGAAGTACAATTTTATAATTTTTTTTTCCATGGATTGGTTCTTCGTGTCACTCTGAAGAAAAATGTATCATATCCTGAGATATTTTAAATTTTATTTTAACAAAAAATTTAAATAAGTTATACTGTACATGATAATGTATCATGAGTGTTACTTATATACCTATCAATGAGTTACGATAACGTATCAATGATTTAAGCCAGTTTTACACGGAGATACACAATACGTGTAACACGTTCTTGTATCGTAAATACATATTCTCTTCTTCTGTAAGAAATTCATTCCTTTCAGATGCGTGCTTGCATTACAAAAAATACACTTGGGAAATTGAAAATCGAAAAGTTCGACATCGAATCGTACGGCACCTGCAACAGCTTGCGAGCGAGTTTAATCGGAGACCTTTGCATATCCAAGCAATGACGAACGCCGAGGGAAGAAGATGCAAGGAGATCCGGTAAGTAATCAAGAGGAAACCGAATCGCGATACACCGCGAGACGCAGACACAGACTGAATAGGCATTTAGCTCGCGTTTACCTACCGTATTCGCGGGCCAGTTTGGCTCACGCATTCGAGCTGCCAACACCGACCGATTCTTCTCTAATCGCTTTCAATCGTGATCCCGTCGCAACTTTGAACTTGCTTTATGAATCGCGTTCACTCGACTCGAGTCAATTGAAACCAATTTCATTCTGTTTCTTCAAATTAACCAATACCTTTGAATAGTCGTCTATGTTTCCTTTATCTCATTCCTCCAATTCATCCTTCCTTTTTCCCTTCCTTCCTTCCTTCCTCTCTTCCTTTCTTACCTCCTCTTCTCCTTTCTTACTTCCTCTCTTCTCTTCTTTCTTCTCTTCCTCGAATTCCTGTAACTGAACTCTAATAAAAATTGACCAAAGATTTTCAAACGTGCATCAGGACCGGCTATCACAAGCGTCCACTACGTGCTGAGCTTCACGAAGCAGATGATAGCTGATATTCTGTAGGAGGAAGTCCAAGAAGTTTACTGATCTTTCGGAGCCTGCGATTAGGACATCTCAACTACGAGTAAGTGACACTCCATCACGAAATATTTAATTCACCAAAGTATCGTGTAATTACCGAAATATCAGTGAAACATGGCTTTCCTTTCGTTGACATTATCACTGACATTTCGATCATGTTTAATTTAATTTTATTTATTACAAGTAATTATTTTATTATTTCATTATGAGCGTTATTCTGTTATCTTGTTTATTACTTACTTATTATAAGTTCTCATTAATGTAATAATAAGAGTGACAGAGACAAAATACAAAAAGTACAAAAAATACTACAAAAATTAGTGTGGAAGTGAGCGAATAAAAAAGAAATATAGATCGTTAATTTGAATTTTTCGTGCTCAAAATATTTTCCAGAAATCAAAATACTCGCCCGAATGACAGTTCGTTTCGTTGAAAAGAAAGAACCCCTCGAGCGAGAACAAGCAGTGTGAAATTGAATTCGTGTCGCTTGAATCACTCCGTCATAAATAAAAACTGTAACACGATAGATCAATTCGATTTTTATTCATTGGCGGTGGAACGAAACGTTTTGTATATGTAATATAGTAACATGTAAAACGTTTTTCGTTGCGTAACGATCTCTCGAGAACGATTCGAAGCACGTTCTTAAACAAATACATCTGTCACGAATACGAAAACTGTGCGATACTCATTCACGCACTACATATTACTCATTCATGTTGCGTGCATACCTGTACGCATGTATAAGCATCGAAATAGAATGAGTAATCCTGAGTGATTTAAAAGGAACCGGGCAATTGTTTTTTCGTTGGTAGAAAAGCAAACATTCATTTGTACAGACGTTCAAACAAGTTGATGATATTGTGCACCGAAATTACTGTTCACCATCGAATAACATTGATCTTTTTCTGAGTCAATATCGTAGGAGTTTCCTCCAAGAGATACTAGTCCGAGTAATAAACTATGACTTTATAATTTCTTATAATTTTCTTAATAATGTTCTCTTTTTTTCATTCATTTTATTATAAGTATCTTAGTAAGAAGTAAACTGCGGATTTTTATGCATTCACGAAAAATTTTCAGGTACAAAAGTGCATAGAATTCGTGTATAATATATAAAATATTCTTCTTGCAATACTTAATGGATAAAATGATTTTTTCTGGATTACATTAGTTTAATTATTAAAATATAAAAATGCAAAATTGCGTACAACATCTGCAGTTTGTAGTAATAATACATATAACAAATATTCTAGTCAATAACAAGTTATTGTGATATAATATAATATAAAAATATTATATATTAAGTGAATACTTGTGAAAATAAAGGGGAGAAGTACTTCTTTCAATGAAGTGAAATCACGTATCGTTAAAAAAGAATACGTCTTTCTTTATATTTACAAGTTTGTATAATTTATTTCAATATTAAACTACGAAAATAGAGACACACAGAGACACGTTCCCTTTTTTAAGTCGCAGAAGTCCTGTTGTATAATTTACATAGGGACGAGTACGTTTCTTTTTATTTTTACAAGTTCTTCTGTATAATTTATTTAACAATGTTAAAACATACGAATAGAGACAGGCACACTAATATTGACAGCTATCCTAAGTTTTTGGAGTGTCAAAAATTGTACGCCGGGTGTCTGTGCCCCTAACCCCCAAGAAGGTCAGTTATTACCCTAAATCCATAGCGTGGAGAGAACGATCGGAATTTGGGCCAATGGGCACGTAGACTTTAATGTGACGTTCGCGTTATTTTTAGCGTGAACAATTTGAAAGATCACGTATAAGCATTGGCGCGTCTTGCGATAAACAGATCAAATGAAAAAGAAGGGGAGGCAGAAGGAGAAGAAGAAAAAATACTCGGGATAGAGGAGGAGACTCTTACGGTTGAAGATCGAGAGTGGTTGGAGAAGGATAAAGTGAAAGAGGAGAAACGAAAATGAATTTGAAAAAGAAAAAAAAAAAAAAGAGGGAAACTTCGTCTAATTTTAGCAACGTTTGAACGGATCATGTTTATATTGGGTTGCAACATACGAAATGTCCGACTTTAAATAAACATAACATTTTAATATTAAATTTTATTAATCAGAATAAAGTCCATACGTCTTTTTAATCTTTTATTAATTTAATTATATTAATATAATAAATGTATTTTATTCTTATCATTCTATTTTTTTCCTTCTTATTCTATTTTTAAAGAAATTTAAAGAAGTTTTGGCATCAATAAATTTTTAATTCGTAAACGTTGAAACGGTACTCGAAATAAACTAAAAGCAAAACAAATGAAGACTAAATCCGACAAAAGAAAGATCACTTCTGAAGTTGTGTTTAAAACATCTCCAAAGATTTAAATATTTATTTAAAAAAAGAAACTTAGAATACTCATGCAACACAATCGATTAATTTTGAAATTTTTAGTTTGATTTATAATTTTATTACTAAAATAGAGGGAATATGAAATACAAGTACAAGTCGAACGCTTTAAAGTTTCGTAATATAATATACAAGTTATTATCATCTGTGATCCCATGGTACCACTTGTGGTATATTTAATTTTAATTTTTAACTTAAAAATGCGCAATGTGCGCGATGCTAATGCTCGGATAAAGAGGAAATGGTGAAATCGGAGGCACAGTAGGAAGAATTGATTCATATTTCACGAGGAATTATTTCTAAGAATGATCGAGCTGTGTTGACGAAAAGTCAATCATTCGATAAAGAAAATATCGAATGAACGATTGCTATTGATAAGACGTTTTATCAATAAATGAATCTCTGCACTCTAAAACGTTGAAATTCGCTTAAAAATATGCATTGCCCATTAACCTCTTTCTTTGACCTCAATTTTCGTCATTCGAGTCATTTTTAAAATAGCCTCCAATCGCACACGAGCCACTATAATTGTATATCGTTTGTTCTTTCAATCTTTCACGATTGAGGTCCATTTTCGATTGAAAAATTGAACTACTATATTGACGAGATCAGTAAGCAGTGACATGTCATTTCCGCGTGTTTCTCCGATCCTTTATCGAATAACTCCGACATGTACGATACTCCATGTGGTTTGATTCTTTCCTAAGAATAATATATGGGTTTTGTAATCAATCAGTCTAATCGTAAATCTCTTTTCAATAAAATCGACTTGCGTCACATAACTACTCTTTAGTTGATAAAATCTTCAATCGGAAAGAGAACAGTTTTAATCATTACAACACGATAACAATGATGTCATCGTTGATGATATAATTAACTAAACTAATTACAGCATCACGAATCACTTTAAAAAATTGGTGTAAATCATGCGTTGAACGAATCGTGTATATCGTATCAGGTTTGATAAAAATTTCTTTGAATCATCCTACAAATTTTTTGTCGATACGTGCTCGTCATCGTCGTCGTCATCTGTGAAAGGTTGCATAGTTTTCTATTGACTGCATTCATTGAGTAATAGAATGTTTGACGCGAAACACATGTCACGTTTGTTGAACGATAAATGTACCATACACTCATATCACACATTTTCGTACTTACATACATATACATACGAGATCATGACTATTTACATTTGCGTCTATACGTCTACGAGCATGATTGAATCAAGATTAAATCATGAAGGCTGTGATGTGATAATTGACTTCTTCTCGAAAGCAAAGCCCAATGTGTAATGTGCACCCAAGTAGAATTGCTTTTAATTTGACGTGTTTATTTTTAGTCAGATACTTATCAATCTCGGTCTGGTAAAATTAAAAATGGGTTAAGATCAATGACGATCGATTCATACGTACATATGAACTCAAATACAAGAGTAGATAAATTCTCAAAGTAATCTTCGAAAGTTCTTTCTAACAAGAAATATATATATGTGTATACGTACAATGTGTACAATGCAATGTATTTATAATATATTGCATTGAAATATTATTCAATTTAAAAGCACACAATATATACATGTATATACACAACTATATATGCTTGAATATATATGTGTATTATTCTAGTAAATACTAGAAATACAATTCAAAGTATGAATAGATCTTCGATGATTCTAATGGAAAATGAGCATGATTTATTACACATACATATGTACAACATATACGACACATGCTTGTACATACGTGAAAATGAGCATGATTTATTACACATACATATGTACAACACATGCTTGTACATACGTGTATTGTAACAAGTAAATACTCAAAATATAACTCAAGATGCAAATAGATCTCTGAAGATTTTATTATAACGCAACAAATATTATAAGCACGATTTTGTGCACCAAAATTTCTAACGCTCGAATAATCGCTAACGATGACATGTAGATGAGCATATAAATAGAGAAATTTGAACACTTTCGATTTACTTCGATGCAATAACACAACTTTAATTTGAATTTGTTGCTCATGGATCACTGTATGCATCGTTGCATAATACTACATTTCTTAAGCTATATTTAATCCATACGTAATTTTAATTTGATTCTATACAAATTCTTCAAATATGAAGAAATGGTAAATATTTTTCACGAGCAATATTTCTATAATTTTAATTAATAAAATAGTATCTAAAAAATATAAATTTTAATATTTTACATCAAATTTTTATTTTTCTTCGTCTTTCTTTTTCTTTAATATAACTTACTAACTTAGTAATCTATTAATCTTACAAAGCGATTTATTGATATTTTCTTCCATGCTTCTTTGATAATGTTAATTTGATAATATATATTTTAATTTGATGATTTCCACGTCATTTTAAAATGCTTCAATCCGGATTAAAATTCGGCTGGAGATTGAGCTGTCCATTGCTTGAATGGCCTTACGTCTACTCGAATGTCGAAAACACAAATTTCCCTATTTATATGCCCGCCAACGTAGAAAAGGAAATAAACATAAGACACAACATGTTCCAGTCTGGTAAACAAATTCCATTAATATTATAATGCGTTCGATAACAAGCGTTCACAAATACTTGGTCGATACTGTTGACGATTCGTTTTATCGTCGCCTGTATCATCGTTATCTAATAAATGCACGTACCTGCATCCGTCCAAATAGCCCAAATAAAATTTCTCGTTCTACGGTTTCACGGTCAACGCGCGACCCACTTCTATTCCGTCCGTGAAATAAACGAGCGTGACATTTAACGAGGAAGAAAGAGAAAATGTTTGAAATGGTTCCAAACAGAGATTTTTGCGTGCAATTGGCATTGCAATTGTTCGTCACTGCCAATTGCTACCAAGTCTCGTGGACTTGACCCAATGACGCGGAGGTTCGCATACGAAATTAAAGACAAGAACGAGAACAAGAACGAGAACGAGAGGTCTCTATTTATATTTTACATAATTAAGTATCTACCGTTGAAACTAGAAATCGAATAAAAGTATTCAAACTTTCCATTTAATTATGAAATAATTTTCTAACTGCAGTAATACTCCGTTTGTGTTAATTCCATTTACATGAATCAAATTTTAATCAATAGTCGAACTCTTGAACTCTTGAGTACATATCCTTGAAACCAAGAAATGGTTTTAAGGACATTTTCTAAAAATCATATACAACAATCAACCTAGGCTTATTTCAATGCTTAAAGCCTCAACTTCGTTCATTCTTATTCTAACATTTTATTTATTTATAAATAGGTAAAAATTTATTTAAACAAAGGACTCAACACTGTTATAGGTATAATCGTTGACTCGATTTCAAGAAACAACGGGCACGTGAAAAATGCAATCCTTCACGTGCAGTGTTTTTCTCCTGGTGGTGGTGTCGACCGTAAACGGGAGACCCGATTTTTCGGATTTACCGCCTGGCCCTTATTGCGCTAAATTGTATCCAGATTGTTGTTCGGGTCGCGAGGACCAATGTAATACACCGATCCTCGACGGTGTTTGTTACTGTGACGATTTTTGTGACCGATACAGGGAAGAGGATTGTTGCCCAGATTTTTGGAGCCACTGCAAAGGAATCGAACCTAACGTCACTCTACCACCCCCAGAGGAGACAAGACGTATGTAATCGACAAAGATCTATTTAACAACCGTTCCCAGAAAGGCAAAACTACAACCACAGACAATTCTTGTTTCAGGATGCTTTTTCCAGGGGAAATATTACAATCACGGACAAACGCTTAAAAACAATTGCAACATATGGTATATTTATATTACAGACATTCGACAGATTTACTTACCTGTGAAGATACCTGAACCAATAACGATAAAAAATTGTTGTTATTTTAAATTTTTATAACTTTGTAAAGAAGAAAATTATGCAACAGTCCATTTGGTCTCGTTTTAAAGCATAAATCTTCTATGTAATTTAACTATCCTGAATTCATTTTTCTTAAAGATGTTCTTAAACAATGTAGCTGATGGGAAGGTAAAGATACTTTTATTCTCGAAATTTGTAAAAATGTGAACGTTTCTAACAATACTTCGTAAAGGTTGAAGATTGAAGTATTCCTTTCCCTTCTCTTCCTTTAAACCTTCCTTTAAAATTTCTCTTAAAATTTGTTGTACTATTTCCTTTCTGTCGGCGAAATGTTAGGATTCCTTGAATTTTTATCATTTATACTATTCAAAGTTCAATAAAATAGTTCAATAAAAGATCGTACATCAATTAAAGAGAAAATTTCAATTTCCAAAACAGTGGTAGACCTGCCCATAGAAAACATATTTCAGTGAGTTTAGAGATGTTTGAATTTTTATAATTTTCGAGAACAAAAGTATCCTTACTCTTTCAGCAGCTGCATGATGCTCAAAAGCATTTTTGAGGAAAAAGAATGAACACAAAGCAGACAAAACAGAGGCTTCGCTAAACTTTAAAATGAGACCAAGTTTTTCATTGTTATTGATTCAGTTATGCTCTTCATTGTGTTAATTACAATACTTACGCTTTCAGCAAATGTATGGGCATGGGTAGAGTGGCGGAGGTACTTTGCGAACAGAATCGATGCCTGCAAGAACCAGAACTAATAGATGAAATCAACTCGAATCGTTTTACGTCGGGTTGGAGGGCGCGAAATTACTCCGAATTTTGGGGTAGAACGTTAAAAGAAGGCGTGGAACTACGCTTGGGCACCTTGAATCCATCACAGTCGGTAAGAAGCGTAAATATTTTCAACTTTTTTACCTTGGCAATTTCGATTCAAATCTTCTGATTAATCGTCCCATCGATCGCTTCAAGGTTTACAGAATGCATTCCGTGCGACGGATTTACGATTCGGAGTCCCTGCCACGAGAGTTCGATGCCAGGTCTCGTTGGCCCCGTGAGATTTCGGACGTGAACGATCAAGGTTGGTGCGGCGCATCCTGGGCGGTTTCTACTGCACGTGTCGCTTCAGACAGATTTGCTGTGATGAGCAAGGGAACCGATAGCGTCCTCCTCAGCGCACAGCATTTACTCTCGTGCAACAACAGAGGACAAAAAGCATGCAGTGGTGGCTACTTAGACAGAGCCTGGCTGTACATGCGGAAATTCGGGTAATGTTTTGTTAAATCGTTCCTACATTTTTGTGCTTTTCGTGCAGCATTCTTTTATACAGTGGTTCGTGAATGTATTCGTAATCACTTTATGGAGATATTACTTGCATTATACGAAACATTTTGAAATTTCATTGGCACTGTTATTTGTTACGATTATATTGGTAAAATTTTTAGCGATTTCGAAAATATATAAAGAAGTAAAATATTTATTGTAAGCACATATTTCATATCTAAAGGTACTTAAACATTTTTAACATTTGAAATACTATATATATTAATTTTTTATTAGATATATATTTGCAATAAATATTATATAACTCTTATTATTTTCAAGTTCTTTTCAAATTTTACCAATGTAATGTCATAATGCTCGTTGCACTATTAATGAAATGTCAACATGTTTTATAGAACATACGTAACATGTACATTGTGCAAGAATACATTGTGCAAGCTACTATTCAATTCAATTAGAATAACAATCGGTGACAACTACTCGATAATTAATTTTTACCTTTCTCTTATTCTTTTCAGCCTGGTCGACGAAGATTGCTACCCATGGAAAGGCGCGAACGTACAATGCAAACTGCGAAAAAGAACAGATTTGAAGACAGCTGGATGTCGTCCTCCGACAAATCCGCTTCGGATAGAATTATACAAAGTTGGGCCAGCTTATCGACTAGGTAACGAGACCGACATCATGTACGAGATTTTAACATCGGGACCAGTGCAAGGTAAATTATCCTTTTTTTTTACCCTACATTTTTTCTTTAGCTAGCAAACATTTACGAGGTCAGTGAAATTTAATAATTACCATACTTTCAGCCACCATGAAAGTCCACCAAGACTTTTTCTCTTATGAATCGGGAATATATGAACATACGCCGTCCACTGAAGCTTATCAATTCGGTTATCATTCAGTTAGGATTATTGGATGGGGAGAAGACACATCTATATACCATCGTCGTGGCTCGCCGACCAAATATTGGGTAATGCCTGTCTGAAGATCTTTTATTTATGTCGAAATAATTCACGATTGCATATTAATGAATGGAATTGAATAATAATGTAGCCAGTAAGACCACCTCAAATATCTTTTTTATTTTGGGGGATATAAAGAAACTTTGTCAAGAAAAGTTATTCAGTACAAAAAGCTATAATACTGCAGTAATGATCTTTTTGTAGGTGAAGGAGTTTCAGAAATTTATCTCTTTTTAAATGAGATTATACATTTTTTGATTGATTAATCAAAAAATATCTTCTATAAAAAAAACCTATATATAATTAATCTATGTAAACTAAGTATCGAAAAACTTAATTTTGTAAAATTTAACGTATGAGGGATGAGGAAAGGCAGGAATAGTATTCTTGTGTTAATATTTTCCTCATCTTTTGTACATAAGTTATACGATTATTATAGAATTAAAGTTAATTAAATCAATAATTATTAAATATATAGACTGGTCTATCCAGTAAATATAATTATATAATATATAATTAATATATAACAATAACTCTAGTAATAATAGTAATAATAAATTGAATTTTTTCTTCCAGCTGGTAGCTAACTCTTGGGGTCACCAATGGGGTGAGAATGGCTTCTTTCGTATTCAAAGAGGAACCAACGAGTGTGATATCGAGTCGTTCGTGGTAGCTGTATGGGCGAAAACCGTCTAGGAGAAAGTACAAGAAATAGAATATTTGATTCGAGTAACTTTCATAAACGCTGCATTTACTCATCGGATCGGATATATCCGTATTGCATTGCGTCGCGTTGTTGCGTTTCATTTCTATCAATATGCAAAATCTATTCACGTCTAATTCATCATTATTCTCTTTACATAATTACATATATTTCACATTCACAACAAATTTCACATATTTTATTAACGTTTCAATGATATGCTCGCACATAGTTCAAGAAATAAATGAAAACGATTGTCAAATACATCGTCATATAATATAAAATGTTAACTGCTCTGAATATAATAATATATTTTTACATAAACATGGTTTTCTAACCGATGTCTGACTGATCCTCGTTGGAACAAGTCACTGATGTTTGTCCGTACTCAGTACCACTTCTATCGTGGCTATTTTACCTATATTACTTCAAACTACCACGCTACGTCGAGCACTTCTGCAATGCGGCCTGTACACTTCCAATTTATCTTTTGGCGTGTTCATCGCGGAATAATCGATTGGGAATGACACGTTATTGCCCCGTATCAAACAGGCGTCAGGAATACCGAGAAAATGTTCTCCTGGCCCGAATGGACCGCGACCGAATAAAAAGTTGGCGAATACGAGCTGATACTGTGGCCAACCGAGACGATGGTCCCCGTTCTGAAGAAAATGCAAAAATTAATCGTTCTGATACTTACCTTGTCTTTCATTTTACTACTATTATCTCCGACCATTCAATTCTCGATCTTTAGTTTTGCGTATCTAATCTTATAATAACATCAACCATATTCTTTTCTAGCTTCATTACCGATGTCAAAGAATTATATGCTACATCCAGACATTTGGAGATTCTGTCAGAATCTAGGCCGACGACTGATCCATAAAACGATCCAAGCTCATTTTTCGAAATCACTCCGTTCACGGCGCTATTGATAGCGAGGAAAAGTATCCGTGGCAAGATTTTCAACCAGAACGGAATGTCGTTGTAAGACGCGCCTCCGGCTGGTGCAACGACACGCGCCCACCAACACAACCATTCTTCCAGACTAATGCTCTTTTCTCGGTCACCTTCTTGCTTCTTCTGTAGAAATATTAAGTCCGCCAGCCCTTGCTCGGCCTCTATCAATCGCAAGTATTCGGGTCCGTTCCACGACCAGTCCGCGAATCTTCTGAGCCGCTAAGTGATGGAAATATTAATACAAACATTTTCGACAATAATGCTGGTCTACCAGTTGATACATGTACCTCTGAAAACATTCGGAAATCTTTTCGATTAATAAAACCGTCTCTATCGTGGTCCAAGAGATAAGTGAAAAAGTGTGAGAACTTATCGCGCTGAATGGGCGCCAGATCCTTCAACTTTCCTCCCTTCTTCGCTTCTTCTATAGCGATTAGATTCTCGTTGCTCGGATATCGACTGACCCAAGTTGCTGTTTTGGAAAATACAACGGAGAAACAAATAAGGAAAAAAGAAGAAAAAAAAGGGAAAGAAGAATATTTGATTAATGTCCGGTAATAATAATATGACAATAATGCGCATTTTAATGCATGTGAATACTTGTAACATGTAGTACACATAATAAAAATAATCTCTTATCCATTTGAATCTGTTCTATTTCAAGGTCCATCATTATGTGTAACGTTTCAAGCTTTGTGAGTGAATATTGCAAGATCTTACTCCAAACATGTACGCTCCAACCGGGATGTTCCAATTGTTTATTGGAAGCTGGATCACTAACGATTTCATCGACGTTAGCCGAAACGGTTCGCCATCTCTTCAATAAATCTTTCGTTCTGTCGCGTGTACGATCACAAGCTTGTCGCCAGTTCGCGATGAATTTGCGCGGCACTTTCAACGCGTTGCCATCCTCCAAGCCAAGCTCTTGGCTGCCAGCGGAGCTTCTGCTCCTTTTCTCGGTTTCGATCTCCGCCACCGTTTCGTTTCCCTCTGCGACCTCTTGCATCGATGGATAATAAATCGGATCCTTTATACTATCCGAGCGACTCTCCATCGCGGACTACGTCTCCTTAACTACCGCTTATTCGTGCTACTTCTCCTGAAATAATCAATTCCTCGACGAGAGGTCACCAGGTCGCTCGATAATAGAACTACCTGTCCCGTCTAATATTTTCATCAATGATTCTGCATTTTCTTCGTGTCGTTGAGCATTCCCTCCTTTCGACTTTCCATCGTGGCTTTTCGAACTTTCGATTGACCATTGAGCCGAAAATTAAATGCCTTTTGTCCTTTTAAACTTTGAACGAGTTAACTTAGCACTTAATATAAAAATATCATCTCAATGAAAAGAGAGAAATCTAAAAAAGAAAAAAGAAAGAAAGGAAAATATTTTCTGAAATTTGTCATTCACGAAATCTAAACTTTATTCGTTTACTACTTTTACCTTACTAAGTTTGTGTACATGTTAGAATCGCTTTAAACTTCGCAATTTAAATTCGTAATATTATAAATCAATTTGTGTATTAATTATCAATTTTTTTTTCTTGTACTGTATAGTTCGATAACTATATATATGTATTTCCGTTTTGTTTCTTTTTTTTTCACCTTATTGGTGATATAGAAACAAATGTGTTGCTTTTATTTTTCCACAGATGTCGCTGTTACTCACGCTTGAGATCATCGAGTTTGCGATCTTCAATACTTGAGGCAGAAAACGATCGGTACTCTGTAAAAGATTGGATTCCTTTCCTTCTCTTTCAATTATCCGGGGTGAGTGCTACGTGTTTAAAATCACGTTATATCTCAGGAATCCACGTGTATTTCTGAATCGTTCGTTAAAGAAATTTATTATCGAGCGTGCTCTAACAAAATGTTCTTCTGATTTTATTCATCATTTTCGTGAAAATGTGTCATTTGCTGTGTCAAAGAAAATAACCTCTTTATATACTGTATTTTTTGCACGTTTTCTTTCATGTGGAAAATTTTAAAAGAACTGGCAATATTTTCTGTTTAATTCATTCATTATTCATTAAATTAGTTCCGACTTTTTTCAGGAATCCACAATGGGTGCATATAAATATATGCAGGAGCTTTATCGCAAGAAGCAAAGCGATGTTCTTCGCTTCTTGCTTCGCGTCAGATGTTGGCAGTATCGTCAGTTGACTAAAATGCATCGTGCCCCGCGACCATCTAGACCCGATAAAGCACGTCGTTTAGGTTACAAAGCTAAGCAAGGTATAAATTACAGTTTCTTAGTAGGCTATATAAAATGACTGAAACTTTGCTAAATTTTAGCATTTTCAGATCAAACTAAGTAGAGATTAATGTACTTTAATTGTATAATATTAGTTTCAATTCTTATTATCTTCTTTTTCTCTTATTATTATTTTTATGTGTAAAGTTCGTATAATATCAGAAATTTGAAAAATATGTAAAAATATGATGAGACTTCATGCACCACTCTTACGATTACATGGTGATATATATATGTACTGACACTGTTTTTTCTTTTTAATTTAAATTGCACAGAATTTTATCTAATGTTATATAAGACTTTTGCTTTCAATGTGCAGGTTTTGTCATATTTAGAATTCGTGTAAGGAGAGGTGGTCGCAAACGCCCTGTTCCCAAAGGTGCAACTTACGGAAAGCCAAAAAGTCATGGTGTTAATCAGTTAAAACCCACTAGAAAGTTACAGTCGGTTGCAGAAGTAAGTTCATGACAATTAGAATATCTAATGTATAGAGAATAAATTTTGCTCTTCTGTTTTTGCTCTTTGATTATTAACAAACAGTATCTTATAATTTAATTATCTTCAGGAACGTGTTGGTCGCCGTTGTGGAGGTTTACGAGTTTTGAACAGTTATTGGGTAGCACAGGACTCTTCATATAAATATTATGAAGTTATTTTGATTGATCCAGCACATAAGGTAATTTTTATAATAATTTAATGGTTTATACAAGCACTTTTTAAACATATGATGATATTATTATATACTATTGAACTACTGTGATTTTTTATCTTCCTTGGATGTCTGAATAAATAATAAAAGTAATGAAAATTTTACAACACGATTGCAAAAAATGTATTATTAATATTGTGACTATTTCAGGCAATTCGTAATGATCCAAAAGTTAATTGGGTATGTAATGCGGTACATAAACATCGTGAACTACGTGGAAAAACATCAGCTGGCAGAAGTTCGAGAGGTTTAGGCAAAGGACATCGTTATTCACAAACTATCGGCGGTTCTCGTCGTGCAGCATGGTTGAGAAGAAATTCCTTGTCGCTTCGCAGGAAGCGGTAAATTTTTTAATTGTCCTCAATAATAATCTTCACATGTACACGATACATCATTTCATTGATATATTAAAAATATTTGTATCAATATTATGGTATATCTTGTACGAAATAAATGTTTCTTTCCTAATTAATCACCCTTTTTTTTTTTAATTGCAAACGAGATAATCTCTATGTGTGTCACGTACGAACAAAAGTTCATAAATCGGTGAAACGGAAATATAAATCATACAGAAATTCATCGCATAGATGGTGTGTAATAAAAGTGGGATATACGGGTGTCCCAAATTCTCCGAGCGTCGCATTACTTAATGACTGAACGAGTCAAGCAAAGAATTTGCATCAAGTTTTGCCAAAAACTTGGTCACACGAATTCGTATGATTCGAAAAGTGAACGCAGATAAAGGAGTGGTTTAAACGCTTTAAAGACGGTCGTGTCCCAGTGGACAGTGATCCTCGTCATGCTCACAGTTTTCTTCAATAGCAAAGGTGTTGTAAATATATAAATAAATACGCCCCACAAGGTCGTACAATAAATAATTCAATCTTCTAATTCTATTTACAAATAATTTACGAGGAATTAAATACCATTTGAACAAGTATTTTGATTTATTGAGTACAACTTATAAATCTTTATATAGGAAGAAAGTTATTAAGATTCACAAATCCTAATTAGCTTTTTTTTAAATAAAAATTGTTCAATTCGTGGAATACTGAAACATTATCACAATAAAACTGACATTAACTTCTTTCCTTGTCGCATAATATTGTTTCTTATTTATAAGATGTGTTAACTATTAGATTAGGGCATAAGAAACATTGAACTATTTCCAAAGTTCAAAATCAGATAGGAAGTCCCATATGATATCATGTCTATCCTATCCTATAATGAATGATTACATGCATGAGTCTATAATGCGTTTATTAACTTATAAATTTCTATTATTACAATATTCTCGAATTTACCAATTTTTCGTCTTTCTAATTTCAAGGAATATTAGAACTCCTGTAATCCTGTACAATAAATTTCTGTGTTTATCCATTATGCGTATTTTTAAAAATAGCGTTAAAAAATATATATTTCATTGTCCAGGGCCAGATAACGATTTATCCATGAATTTTTTCTTTGCAAAACATAGCCACCATTTACTCGGTTTACCATCTTCACCATATACTTTCTCTACAAGTCTAACGCCTGTTTCTTGTCTCATTTGTTGCAAATATTGCCTCATAGTATCTATGGACATGAAAAAAAAATAAAAGGGTTTCTTTTTACCTGAAAATTTCATTAGAGTAGAAAAATTATATTACCTGCTTCCACAGGATTACTTGGTTTCGCGTATACAGAATTTAAAGGAAAACCAGAATCACCAGGAATGTCAAATTTCGAAATAGCAAGAGAATACATTTCATTTGTTGCTTGAGCCTGAGTTGCACATTTCTGCAATCTTTTCAAGCATTCCGTTATGTACAGCGTGATATAAATTAAAACCCTGTCTGCTTCACTCTAAAATGACACTTGATTACTTGATGTTTGACGTTGATTTCTTTGCAACTGAATGTAAAATTAATACCTTAATTTCATACGTCCTAAAAAACACATTCGCTTTAAAGAAATATAATGCTTCATCAATTATATCTAGATCTTTATTGTTCAAGGGTGGCGCAGGACCCCTAAAATGAGTTCTAATTGGCAGAAGTGCCATATTTCCGACGTTTCCATTGTTCTCGACGAAGCTTGAATGATACGCCTAGAATAAAAAGAAATAGGAAGAAAAATTAAGAAGTCCTTGCAATAAATTTAACACGCAGGAAATGTAAATTCGGAGATCCGAGAAGGTTATGAAAAATGTTCTACCAACGGCGTTACAATGTTCGACATTATACCAAACATTTTACTTACAGGCATCGCGACGGATCGGTGTAAATAATGAAGTTTATATTTCTTTGCATATATATCTTCGAGCGAGCGTATTCACCTTACATGCGTCACGCAAATCGATACATTACACACGTATCTTTGATTAAAGATAACAAAGCTGACAAAGAGCGTGTGACACAACTAGCTTCAAGACCGTGAAAATTGTAACAGATTCTAGATGTTTGTTGCAAATAGCTATTAAATTTTTAATATTTCAATTACAATATAATTCAATCTCGCTTTATACGTATGTATGTAAATTACATGTAATTCGCAGTATTTTTTGTTTTTAATATTTTAACTAGCGTCGAAAGTATTTCAATTGGTAGACCGATGTTTTTGTTATCGTTTAGTTCGCTCAGAAGTATCGTCAGTCTCTTAAACGTGAGTTAATGGCAAATTTTGCCATCTGTTTCGTAAAATTCTGAACTTAAAGCTTGAATTAAGGCGAGGATATTCTTTTAAATATAGTCTGGTGATAATTTGGCGAAACGCTTTCTCGATCTTTCAGATTGGCTATTCTATTCGCTTGATCGGGGAATTACTTCCGGTCATTTCCGTTAAATGGCGACGACGATGGGTAGTCCGCATCGAAGTGTGTTGTTATAACATCTCGTTCGCGATTTTGAGATACCGTTCAACTGTTCTTCTTGTCCGTTAGAATTCTGTTGCCTCGTTGGATTTCATGCATGACGATTTGCTTGTAAGACTGTACGTTCGTGAACAATAAAAGTCGAAAGCGTTAAGCGTGCCTTGTGTCGAACATATTTGTATGAGAATAATGGCCGATGTGGAAGGGAAAAAGCTCACGGAACTGCGAGTTATAGATTTGAAAACGGAACTCGAGCGTCGTGGATTGGACAAAACTGGCAATAAAGCAGCACTCCTCGAGCGTCTGTCCAAAGTAAATTGTTCTACTCCTTATATTGTTTTCTTTTTTTTTTTTTTTTTTTTCATTGAAATACTTGGCGCTACTCGTTAACACTTCATCGCCATTTTAACCCTCTTCGTATCGTCGGTAGCTTATTTCAATAGTAATCTATGCACATGATTGCAAAGAAGCATTTTTTCTTAATAAGCAATTGCAAGCCTTTGAAGAATAAGTTTTTTTTTCTTTCTGATTGCATTTAGCTAATAAAAACACCATCTCTAATCCAGAAACTTTTCATTATTGTTATTATAATTAAGGTAATTTCTTCATTATTTTGATGCATAAAGGCTATAACAGAGGACGGTCAAGATCCAGATGAATATTTGATTGTGCCGTGTGGTGGATTATGCAAAGTCAGTCCAAGGAAAAACAGTGGTGCGTTATTTTGATTTGATTTACAATAATATATACACGTTGACTGAATTTAATGTTGTTCATTTAAGTTACATGTATTTTGGGTTTCAGTAACAGGTACAACAAATCAAGATGAATCTGTTGAGGCAGTAGAAAATCAGAAGGAAGAAAGTATGGAAATATCAGATAATAGTGAAGTAAAAATGAAAGCTGAGGCGAAGTCTAACATGGAAGAGGATATATTGTCCAGGACAGAAGTAAGTGTAATGAATATATTTGTTACAAGTTATAAAAGCCTATGTGTATGAAGATCATAAAATAAACGGAGTATTATTTTAGGAATCCCAAAATGAAAATAATGCTAATAAAGAAATGGAATACAAGCAAGAACTTAAGAATCATTCGAATAAAAATACATCTGAAAACACGCAGGCTGCTGATAAAAAAGTAGAATCTGACATAGCTATCGTAGCAAATCAAACGACAGCTAATTTAATTTTGACTGTTGAGGCCAATGGTATCGACAACGAAGATTCCATCAATCTAACTATCGGGGAAGATGAAGAAAATCTCCTCGCGGAGGAGGTAATAAATTTAATTCAATTATATCTTTAGCATTAAAAAAAGAAACGGAGGAAAGAATAAATGGAAGTTATCATCATCTTTACTTTGTATGTTTCAGACAGAATCTCACGAGAGGCATAAGGGTAAGTTTTGTTGTGTATTAACTTGCACGTATATATATGTATATATGTATATACATACATACATAGGCACACATCTATCTACGTGTGTATGTATGTATGTATACATAGTATAAGATTTCAAGGAGTAAATATAGCACTACTATTGTTGATGATCACAAGTAAGTTACTTAAATATTTGGCATCAAGACCAAGGGACATGCTTATCTACGTGTAAACCCTCATCTATCCAGAATTAGGAGTGCGTTGGATTTGTCAACAAATTTACACTTCATACTTCATTTTACGTCTGATCTTCGAGCTCCATATTTGCAAACAAGCACACATGCAGGAATGGATGCGCACCCCTTTTTGTCATGTGGACATGCAGTAATGTAGCTGCAATGTATTATGGCACAATGATCTACAAGGTTTCAACTGAAATGAAACATACATTCGTCGGCGTTCGTCGCGCAGTTTAATACCAGCAGAGTTTATATTGATATTACAAGTTTATCCCATAAGTGCTAGTTTATAAGTTAGTTAACGCTAGAGTTTGATATAAAGTTACATTTAATTCTACCTAACCACATAGAGCATCGTTGGATCGTTTGGTCTCCGAAATGTGTGGATACAAGAAGACTCAAGTGTATGTCAAGCCAAAACTCTTCCCTGTTTACGGTTGATGATGCATCGTTACTTATCACGCCGAAAAAAATCAATACCTTCAAATTATCGACTTAAAATTGTCGCATATTATTTTAATGTGCAGATATTTTGCTATCGCGGAGATCGTAGCTATTGTTTCAACGCATACGCACCTGTGCTCCTTTTTCAACATTTTCAGCTCTTTCTTTTTTTTTTCTTTCCCATTTCCATCCTTTTCTCTTTCACCTCACCTTCCGCATTACCTCTTAGATTTCTCCTTAATTTTTCTTTCAATTTAGGCTTTGGTTCAGAGTCTGTTTCATATGAAGGTAAAAGGGTAACTTTAGGTTATTAGAAAATCCAAAAAAGAAACCAAAGATAAAAGTAGGGTCGCTATGGATTGTACCATTGAAGAGCGAATTTGTGATATTGCAATCATGCGATCGTCATCATAATTTGCTCCGCAATTTGTTAGTGGCTCGACAAAAATTCCATGCAGGAAATAACAGGCCACTAAGCAGCTGGAGTGTTAGGGAGGGAGAAGAAATCTGGCTTCGCAGAAAGTGACTATGCTACCTTGATTGTCTCTGCAGATGGTGGAGAGAAGAAGAAAGTGGAAGAAAGCAAGAAGGGAGACTCTAAAGGGAGCAGTAGAGCAGAAGCCGGTGCCAACAACAAGGAAGGGACAACATCAGGTGGAAACGTCGGGACGAAGAGCAAGCAGGACGGTGGTGGAGACGGAAGCAAGAGGTTGGTCTCTCATTGCTAAACGGTTCACAGTGGTACGACAACGAAATGTCACACAACTCTATGCTAGCGATGCTCTTCCGCCGCATAAAGTACCATCAGGATAAAATACTGTCGAACGATGGACTTCCAAGCCGAATTATTCGTCACAGTCGCACACAAGATTACTTTATTCCCTTTTTTTCAATCGCATACGAAGTTATTTTCCGATCTCGTATGTTTAGGCTGTAATCCTTAACTCTGGAAAGTATGTTAAGAAATCGAGAAATTGGCTAGCAAACTTAAACCAAATCAAGTCCTAATGTAAACCGCTCCTGTTCATAAACGAATATTTTTCGATGGTGCGTTACACGCTCTACAAATTACCAATGAAAACGATTTCATATGCTACCTCTTCCCTCTCTGATGAAGATATTCGTTTATATTTAAACAAACAGCAGTTTCGTCGAGCATGGTAGCAGGATATATTAGCATCTTGAGATAGATCATACAATCGACAGATCCCGCTTATGCCTTAACGCGACATCAAGCAATCATATCATTCACAGAAGAAAAATACTGCTACTATATATTACGTGTGTGTTACGTGTCGATACTTGTTGCAAGTTGCAAGTTGCAATGAAGCGCCAAGCCTACCCGGAAGAACTACGAAGGAGATGCTCCATTTTTGGAAAGCATATGTAAGAGGGATACGCAGTATACAAATATATTTACAGCACGGACATACTTTCGTTACTCACGAATGATGAAAAAAACTGGATACTACCACAATGAAAACATAGTAATTTTGTTAAACTGGGTTTTATCGAACAAATTGTATCGCAACGATGTACGAAAACGAATGTACAGCAAAACGAATATCTGATTATTCCCGCTATTACTGTTGTTTCCATTATTGTTGTTGTTGCTGTTGTTGTTATCATTTTTAACATCGATAATGGTGCTCACGATGATGTTGGTGATAATAATAATAATAATTACGATAACGACGACGATGGGCATGATGATAACGATGTCATTGTAAAAACAAAAGTTGCTAGCCAAATTTATATGCTTAACATAGTTACAGAGGTATCTAATTAAGCCTCGAAAAGAAAAAAAAAACGAAACAGAGTCACTATTTCTAAAATGTTATCCTTGTAATAAGGATGGTTCGAATGATCGCCAGATGTAATGAAATGTAATAATTGTTTTCAGCGTGGAGTCTAGCAACAAGAGTCAAAAAAGGGACGATAAAGGTAATTGAAACAATTATTCTTTAATCTTGTTTTTCCTGATTTTAGTTGATTACCAATTTTAAATTATTAACCACGTAGCATGCTTTAGATACTTACGTAGATCCTCGGTTCTTTTTCTTTTTTTTTTTACCTTTTGAAATTATTTCATTCGTTCTGTAGATAAAAAGACTTCACAAATCAGTCCTGTTAATGCGAGCAGCAGAAACTTGTGGGTGTCCGGATTGTCATCGAGTACTCGTGCGACAGATTTGAAACAAATATTTTCGAAATATGGGAAAGTGATAGGTGCGAAAGTGGTTACAAATGCAAGAACGCCCGGAGCAAGATGTTACGGATACGTGACCATGTCTACAAGCGAAGATGCAGCAAAATGTATACAACATCTGCATAGAACTGAACTTCACGGACGTGTGATTTCTGTAGAAAAGGTAGATGAAAATAAGAAAACAAAAAAGTAAAGAAATATTCCTGTCCTTCTAGAGCTTTCAGTTGATACGCTCTCATTTGTGTTTAAAGGCGAAAGGTGACACTCAACAAAGTCACATGCGTAAACGGGATACCACGAACGGGAAATCCGAAAAGAAAGAAGAGAAGGAAAAGATAAAGGATAACCACGAGATCAGTGATCGGAAGGATAAGGAAACTAAGAAAGATACAGAGGACAAAGGATCGGAAGCAAGTGAGTGATTTTCGAATAGATAATTTTTATAAAACCGATCATTATATGTGCTGTAAAAGGAGTGTTTAAATGTACTGTAACAGTGAAAAAGTCGGATGAGAAAAGCAACGAGAACATCGATAGTAAAAAGGCAGATATACAAGAGAAGAAAGATGAAGTATCGAAGGATGCCGATTCCCGATCAACTAAGTCCACCAGCAAGAAGCCCGAGAGCGAAAGAGGAAGACGCGACGAGAAGAGAATTCGTTCATGGGACCATCACCGATCTCACACTCGATCTCGCAGTCGCGAACGGCGTAGACGCGACGACGTGCTGACGTTTGCGAAGATCAGGGTAATAGTCCATATTAACGATTTAATCATTGAAAGGTCGATTACGAAGCGGGGGAGAGAAGGAGAGAAAGCAAGAATGCATATTTTCAGGAGGAACGGGAAAGGCAAAGGCTGCGGGAAAGAGAGAGAATGCTTCGTGAAGAGGAACGAAGAAGAAGAGAGGATATGGAGCGGCAACGAGAAGTAGAACGTAGGCAAAGAGAAGAGGCTGCGCGGCTGGAAAGGGAACGAGAGAAGTTGCGAAGAGAACGAGAAAGAATCGAGCAGGAGAAAGCTGAGTTGCTTCGACTTGAACGGGAACGTCAGAAGCTGGAACGGGAGAAGTTAGAGCGAGAAAGATTGGAATTAAAAAGGCAGCAGATGCGATTAGAAGAGAGCAGACGTGCTCCGCCCCCGCCGTCTATTAAGAGATGCTCTAGCGACAGAAGAGATCCCAGAGACATGTATGTTGAACCAGATAGGAAACGTATGGCCACTGAACACAGTCGAAAGCACATTCCGGAACGTGTGAGCGATCGTCGCGGTGAAATTTTAGATCGTGTATCGGATAGACGATTGGACGCGTCGCCACCTACCCGCTACGAATCTAGTAGGTAAGACACACTCCCCATATTTCTCCTTCTCTTATACGAAAAAGATAGAAACGGCAGAAATATTAAAGAATCGCAAAACAAATTGCAGATCTGCGCAAGATTTAGGGTTAAAGAAGGAATTCAAACGCAGCAGCGAGTTTACTTCTCGCAGCAGCCGTCCCGATAGTTTTTCTGATGTATCTCGGGGAAGGGAAGTAATCGTTCGCCGAGAAACTCTTAGCACGACAGCAACATCTATCGATCCCCGACAAGTTAAGGAAAGGTAAAGTAGAAATAGTTATATAGATAGAGGGGAGAAGGTAGAACGGGAGAGAGAGAGCGTTTCTAAATTATGGGAATATTTTTGTACAGATATGAACGTGCAAGTACAACTTATACACGTGACCGTGATATTAGACGTTCTGAAACGGACACCCATAGAAGTTCTAGGGATAGTCACACACGATACAGCGACAGCTTCAAAACAGCTACAGCTTCTAGCACACCACGTTAGTATAACGAAATGATTTGAACGATTTCAAAAAGTTGAAATTGAATTAAAACTTGATACTTGTTCTATGTAACGTAGGTGACAGTCGGTACGTTGAAAGCAATAGAACAACTAGCAGCTGGCATTCTGGACCTCCATCTACAAAATCATTTAATTCCGTACCGAGTAGTGGAACTCGAGATCCTCGAAATGAACCATCTAGTTGGAGCTCTAGATCCTCCGATAATTTGAACAGGTAATAAGTTGAATCCATTACTCTTTCTTTTCAATAAATTCCCTGATGATTCTCGAATAAAAATGGATCTAATAACAAGCAACACGATTTCAGATGGAACAACTCGAGTAGCATTGGAAATACATTACGGCATCCAGTACCACCAACGTATCAAAGCAGTCCTATTCAATCTATAGGATTGACAGCACCTGGAACAGCACCCTCGTACGATCGTTTCGATCCATATAAATCATCTATGCCGAGTATGAGGAAATATTGATCTTACGTCGCTGATTTGTACCATTATAACGAATAATTGGTGAATTTTTATCTACCCGACTCTGACATTAGACATATATATGCGCGCCTACATTCACTCACACATATGCACACGCACACTAAATTATTATTTATATTATTGTCAAATCAAATTTCATATTTCAATGATTAATCATATAGATGAAATTGCAATTGCCTGCATTTGATAAAGAAATTGTGATTCTTTTGTAGAACAGGTGCAAATAACTTCTCTCATTAATGAGTGATGTGTACATACATGTATTAGAAATCGTTTCCGGCACTTTGCAACTGCGTTGCTACCTTTCAATTAAATTTTGAATGAATTGAATTGAACTGAACGTCTCACTCCCGATACTCGTCTAATCTATCATTAGTAACAAACTTTCAAACTTTCTATCTGCTTAATTTCCATGAAAATTTCACATCAAATTCGAATTTTTTTTATATCTACGATTTGGTGGAGAAAGAAAATAAAAGTAATAGTACTATTATTACTACTTCTACGTATCATTGTGTACATCTACTATTACTGTTTCTACCACTACGGCTATTAGTATTACTACTATTGTTGCTGCTGCTGCTGCTGCTGCTGCTACTACTACTACTACTACTACTACTACTACTACTACTACTTCAACTACTACTACTATTGCTGTATTACTACCACTATTGTTATTACTGTAAACAGATAGAGTGGTATTCACTAAGTAAATGTAAACATAGAATACTTATGCGATATACGACGTGTGTGTAACACTGAAGTTTAATAGATTTTTGTACATTTGTTAATAGCCGATAATAGAGATCTAGAGAGAGACGGTCAAAGTGGGACAAACAGTTTTTCGTTTGTCTACAGCGTAATTACATTTATAAGGTACATTGTATTGATTGTTATTTGCAACTTCTTTCAAACAATAACTTGAACTCATTTATATCGTTGAAGATATTCTTATAAGATGATACAAAATCGCGCATTCATTTACAATTTACATCGTTGGAGATATTCTTGTAGTGTGATAAGACATACACATATAGTGTTAAAAAACAGTTACATTGTGTACTTTCAATCGATTCAATTGTAGAAATACGTACATATTCTCGTAAGAATATGACTGAACAATTTGTATATTGAATTTCACGAAACAAAAAACAGTGTATCTAACAATATTGAAACTTAGGTTCTTACATGGAACACGTAACACATGTTTCATTATAGCACCAACTACCATAATAGAAATAAATTTATGATATATCAGAGCCATTTATTTTGCAATGTCACGATCAGATAATCGACATATATCAATAGCTTTTCTTGCATCTTTCATTCCAGCATTGAACGAACGAGAATTAAATTCTCATTTCGTGCAGTTTTCATCGGATTCGCGTTCGGTGGGTGAAACTTTCGAAAAATTTCTGCCAGTGAATCAGAAAATGGATAGTTTTGTCAGGGCTGAAACAAGTTGTTTACGTTGCACGCTTTGGTACGTAAGTATGCAGCGTGTGGCGCAGCGCGAGTCGCGATGAGTGAAACGGACCGAACAAGCAAAAGGGGAACGAATAGAAATACGCGATAGAAGAACACTTTTCCTCGGTCGGACGAGTCAAGGATGACAGTTGTGAAAGAGGAGAAGAGAAAAGATCGAGGGAGAGAGTGAGGGAATAATTTCGTCGGGAAGGAAGTGTGTCGAGGCCTTTTCACGGACAGTCGCGGCTTAAGACCGTGTAATCGTGACTTTACGAATTCGATGATTTCCTTCCTTCGCTTGAATTTTATTTCATTTACCCCCACCCCCATTTTTTCGATTCTTCTGCTCTCCTGCCCCTCCTCACGTTACTTCCTCCTCCTCCTTCGCCTTCTCATCCTTTCCCTCATTTTCTCCACCTTGTTTCCGGTCCCCCTCTTTCACGCCCCCTCCTCCGAGGGGAGAAGCTCAATAGACGATGGAGAATGCGCCGGTAGTCTCGCGGGCGCGATAACTTTGTTAAAATAGCAGAACGTGGTGTGCCCGATCGTGACCGTTAACTGTGATAGCGATAAAAACGCGTGGAATGTCCGTGAAAAAAATCGGTTGAATGTTTCCTCTGGGTCAGGATGTTGTCGTCGTCCATCGTTTTGAGTAAGTGAGATTCGAAAGATTTGAAAACCAAGTAACGCGCCAATAACTGCGTCGTGGAACTTCGCGTTATCAAAGGATCTAACGATTAGATGTCGATGAAAGAATTCAAGAAACGTGAACGTTTCAATCCTGTTCGAAATTTTCGGACACGACAATGTCGCGAAACGATTGGTCCATATTTCGTCGTTTACGTTTACGCGCGAAAACTTCGAAGTGTGTCCCAGTTGCACAGCTATACGTTCTTCGCGTTGAAACGCAAATTACCTCGGCTATCATTTTCATTTTCATTTATCTGTGATCCACGTTCGACAGATCGTACAATGCGGGCGAAATAACGCGCGTCGCTGTAACATGCAAAGGAAAAAAGGTGTATTGCGACGATGTGTGACGTGGAATGTTGGATCAAAGGAAAGATCGATATTTTCTTTAGGATAATTTTCCAGGATGTTTTGCTCGATAAAGATGAAAGTAACGTTGGAGAAAGAAGGACGTATGTAACACGGAAAAGGGAAGGTTGCGAGCAAATCGGGGGAAACCCGAGGATCGCACTTACGTTTAATGGATTTAATCGATCAAAATAAACGCGCGCTGTGATATCTCCCTCCCCCTCTCTCTCTCTCTCTCTCTCGATCCTTTTCTCCCCGAGTTGTGTTATCGTACGAGAGTGTGGCACGATGATGAATCAGTGAATGGAAGGAAGGCACACTTTCTCGTCGGGCAACTTTCACCATCGATGAAATCTGTGTGCGTAAACTGATTTCAAAAAACGTTCGCTCGATCATTCGCTTTCTTTTGTCCTCCTCTTGAGAGAGGAACGTTTCTGAGAAACGGATGGCGCATCGCTCTCAAACGTATATCCCAAGTTCCAACAAGATCTTTCTAATCTGAAGTAAAAGTCTAAAAATCCAACATTGTCACATTGAGTCGTGTGACAATGTTTCGACGTTCGTACGCAGATCCGCGAAACTGGACAGGTTTCACCGATGGTTTCGTTACGATTTGATTTCACGGAGACCTTCTTCTTGTACGTACGCTACGCTTTTCCTGCCGATTTTACTTTTAAGCTTGCGGTCGAAACTCGTAAGAAATCGTGTTAATAGGTTATCGACGTAATTAGACAATCTGTAAAGCACACGTAAGTTGTGCTTCAGGTGTAATGTAACGCAAGACAAAAATTTCCAAATATGACGTAAGAAATTTGTTCCACAGTAAGAAAACACATCCTTATCACTTTCGTTTGTTGTTTCAGTTTATGGAGAAATTATGTTTAACTCACAATCAGTCATAAACATTGATCTATTACGGAATTAAACTTAATAAACATAATTATTTTCTTTTTTTTTTTTTGGTAGTAAAATCTCGTATCTCGTATTTCAGTAAATTATTCTTGTAATTGAACTCGGAAGGCACGCGTTGGTCAACTTCACAAATTGAAAAGCACAAAAAAATGATAATAGTATAAGCATTACATTTTTTTAAATTTATCTTACAATTATCCAGCTCATTTCCTTAAGATGGATGATTTCACGAAAATAAATTGAAAATATATAAAAATAATTTGAAAATTGAATGTTAATCCTGTATTTATGTAACGAAATTAAGAAATTAATAAAAAGCACGTCAAACATGCAACAACGTGTCCGAAGCAAATAATTTAAAGAGAGGTAAAAGAAATTATATCTGTTATGTATAAATATTCTTTTCAGATACTAAAATGTTCAAATAGTGAACCAGTAAACGAATATTAGAATATTCGGCTATTATATTACCACATCTCTCCCATGCTGTTTATTAACGCACACGAATGTTTCAGAATTATGCGTAATATGGAGTTTGCTAACGAGTTCTTGGTCATACACCGAACAAGTCGGCCGTTATCGTTATCATACTGGTAAGTAACGGATCTCATCGTCTGCTACGTTGTTACACGAGATAAATGTATAATATATTCGGTGAAAAAAGAAAAAAAAAAAAAAAATCTCAAGTTGACCCGATCAGAATACGAATTTGTCCTACACACACGCGTACACACGTAGCGTTGTAATAACATGCACGCGATATGAACGATACAGCATCGAACAGATACGGAACACCTCAGAAGTTTGTAACGCCGACGCGGGGATGGAGCGAGACAAATGGATGGGATAGCGGTGACTCACAAAGATTGGCAATTTTCCGGAGGAACGTGCATGTCAGACCTTACGTAAGGTTAGCGAAAGTCGAACAGGAACGCGAACAACCGGATCCACTGGTTACCATCACCGAAACTTTAGGCGCTTTAAACACCGTCGGTAGTTACATCGTCAATATGACCAGGGGTATGGAGAACTCGAGTTACCCGCCAAAGGAACTACCGTCGGCCATATACACTATCTCGAAGAATATTTTAGGTAAGATTAGTTCTTACGGCGGATCTATCGATGTCGATAATAATTTACTTTAACGTACACGTAAAAAAAGAAGAGAAATTGGAAAAATTTTTTTGAAATGAATAGTCAGATCGCAATGATCTTGAAAAAAAAAAAACATTTAAGAATAGAAAAGCCGTATATTAGATATGAACAATGAATTCGTCGAAAATACATATTGGCAGTATAATCACGTCTCATGTTTTTTATTTTATTTAAAGTCATTGAGATCTTACGATCAATTTATTTTTTTTTCTTTTTTTATTTTCCCCGCATATGAAAACAAATTAATTAAAACAAGTGTCCTTAAAATCCTTAAAATAAGGACAAACATTGATAAGTTGACCATTCTTATTTTTTAACAATCTGATTTCTCATTCTAACATTAAATACACGATTTTGTCACGTTTGTTTTCAGGACGTAACGTAACAGACAGCATCGCGCCATTAGTTCGAGGAGTAGCTTTACCTTTGCGGCCTGTGCCAACCGACAGCTCTACCTCTCCCTCTTCATCTTCTTTCGCGGTTGAGGTCAACCAGGACAAGGCAAAGGAGTCGATTGATTGCACCACGGCGGACGGCAATCCTGGAAAATGTCAAGACTTGAGTAACTGTCCTCAACTATTACTAGATCTGACCAAACTTAGACAGTCTTTGTGCTTCAAAAGTCTGTTCGTCCCGGGAGTTTGTTGTCAATCGACGGATAAAACCGATATCAACGAGACGAGGTAAAACGCTCGATTCTCTATAATTACGTATAAATGACTGCAGACCCTGTGAACATGTAAATACATTGTGGAAACATACGTGGAACTTTCAGTCCTATAGCCGGTATAATCCTAAATCCAGGGGGGATCACGTCAGCTGTACATCCGCCATCACGACCGCCAATTCGTCCGACGAAACCGCATCAAACTCCTCGACCGATACCATTGTTCCCCATAACGTCTGTTTCGACTACGCCGGCGAATCTTGTCGAGTTGTTAACTACAGAATTCGTCCCAGTATCACCCTCTGCCGTCGGTCTGTCGGTGAACCATTCGAACAATTTCTTCGGTGCCTCAACCACCGGCGGCACGATCGATAACAATTTCATACAAGACGACGAAGGTAAACCGTTTGTTCGTAGTACGTTAACAAACGTATGACATATAGTAGAAACTAATAAGAAAAGCGATAGCAATCATTTTCCTCTGTAGAGTGTGGTGTGCGAAACTCGGGTAAGTATCGAGTGGTCGGTGGAGAAGAGGCTCTTCCCGGACGTTGGCCTTGGATGGCGGCGATATTCTTGCACGGCTCTAAACGTACGGAATTCTGGTGTGGCGGGTCACTGATCGGATCGCGGTACATTCTCACCGCGGCTCATTGCACGCGCGATCATCGCCAACGGCCGTAAGTTGCTCGTTCGTAGGTAAACCTTCCCGAAATTCTTCAGCTGGATAAAACAGCGATTTTGCGACACTCGTGTGCAGATTCGCCGCCAGACAGTTCACCGTGCGTCTCGGGGACATCGATCTCGAGAGAAACGACGAACCATCCGCCCCGGAAACTTACGCGGTCAAGCACATTCACGCTCATCCGAAGTTCTCCCGCGTTGGATTTTACAACGACATCGCGATCCTCGAACTGACCAGAACCGTTCGAAAATCACCTTACGTCATACCGATTTGCCTGCCGCAGCTGCATTATCGAAAGGAACGATTCGCAGGCGCCAGACCCACTGTAGTCGGATGGGGTACAACTTATTACGGTATATACATACATATCTTTCCTACCCCAGTAACAATATATATTGTTCGATGTCGTAGTTACTACGTACTAGTATCTACTTCTTCTTTCAATGAATTTTTAAGAAGTCATTTCGTACCGTCTTGCATTTTCCGACAGGCGGGAAAGAAAGCACGGTGCAACGACAGGCAGTGCTGCCAGTATGGAGGAACGAAGATTGCAACGCAGCTTACTTTCAACCGATTACCAGCAATTTTTTATGCGCTGGTTACAGCCAGGGTGGTAAAGATGCTTGTCAAGGCGATTCCGGTGGTCCTCTTATGCTTAGAGCAGACGGCAGATGGATTCAAATCGGTATCGTTTCATTCGGCAACAAGTGTGGAGAACCCGGATATCCGGGGGTATACACCCGTGTCACCGAATACGTAGACTGGATTAAAAGTAATTTAAATTAAGCGCGAAGAACTTCTGGTCCTCGCTCCGACGGTTCTGTGCTTCCAAACTCCAAATGCGCTTTATTAATACCTTTTCCATGGTGGTACAATTATCGTTTGTATACCTCTGATTGTGAGTGCCAAGAATAGTGCCCCTTATTTATACGTTCAATATTGCAGTGCACCAACGTGAACATATGTAACCTATGCTCATGAGCATATGAGACAAATTGTTTCTTATTTATATTATAATTATTGTATATACGTGCGCGCACTTGCATATAAATATGTAATTTAATAAATTACGTCTACAAATTGAATCTATCCACTTACTGTAATAGTAGAATGAACGTTACACGAATACAGCTGCGATGATGGTCGTCCATTTCTCCATTGTTTCAGCTTTGATGAATCATTTATTTATACCGTTTATCTATCAACTTATCTATCATTCGTTCATCTCATTTGTCCATACAATGTATCCTTAATTTCTTGGAAAATTTTCTGCATCTGTAAGTCGTCTTACATTACTATGTTACACTATATCATATACAAGTCATGCGCTAAGTTTGATTCATGTTTTCTTTCATATTAAAATCGTCCAATCTTTTAAATTTTATGTATGTGTATATGCATTACATAAGGGAAATGAAAACTAAATTTCGGAATGAAAACTAAAAGTACGTCGGTTCAAAACTTTGAGAATCTCGTCGAACAAACGATCGATGGTGCGTTAGAAAATAATGGTTAGTACCTTCGTATAGTGGTCAACATTCTTTTTGTCAGCACGTAATATGTATTATACATTTAAATCTCACGTAGAGCAAATGGTTGGCAAATTTCATGATACGATTTATGAAAAATGGAATATCAAAAAATTGTCAACGTTAAAAACCATCGATTGGATACAAAATGAAACGACATCGTTAGAATCGAACGAACAGGTATCAACAAGTATTGAGTTTAACGATGTTTGCCTAGAAAATTTTGTGCTTTCAAATTTTTAGAACATATCGGCGACGGTCGCGCATCGTAGATTTCGCCGTCGCAAGTATAAACGATCCTCTCTAATGATCATCTGTAAAATGCCAACAGACGAAGAAAACTCGATGGGACAGTCGGAAATGACGCAAGTACAAAATTTAGTTTCAACCAACGATAAGGAATCTGCTACCAATAAAAGTGACAATTTAAATGAACTGGACGAAATCAATCGTCCTGCAACTAATGATGATGCTAAAATTATTGAACTTTGGAATAATTCGAGCAACGTTTTTGCGAAAGCTTGTAAATCTGAATCTAACCATGGGTTATTATTTCGCTGAATGAAGTTACTTACAGCCTGTGACCCGAATTTAGGATCACTCGTAATTTTCAACATCTTACAAGTTTTTAGTAAAATTAAAAAATTTGAACACAATTTGATATAATAAAGTTCATTATAATGTTGTAATAATTAATATAATCTTTCATTAAATCTCATTGTTTAACCATATAAAATATGGAAAATTCTGATGCTCTTAACTCAATGGTCAGGGTTTGCACTCTTGGATATTTTTGCGATATTAATGCATTTGTTTAAAAAACGAAATATAGATTAATCAAGCAACAACAAAGTGAAAGAAAATTGTCTTTCGAAGCTTGGAAAAATAAGAAAACTATTACGTATCAACGGATACTTAAAAAAATAAAAGAAGAACAGCAGCAGAAGTTACTTGAAAATTTGGCAAATGTGAAAATGGAAAAGATTGCACGAAAGGTGTAGATTATAGTACATTTCACAGCTTTCCACGTTTCCATAATACTATTTAACAATTTTATTTACTTGTAAGGCACAAATACGCAAAAAACAGGAAGATAGACATCGTCGAAAGCAGAAGTTACTTTATAGAAAACACTTGGAAACGATTAAACAGACAAATGCCACAATTAGCTGTACAATCAATGAAGCCAAAATCGTCAATGAAAATGTTTTAAATACATCAAAAAACGAGAAAGAGACAAAATTGGATGAAGAAAAAAGAATCGCTTCAAGTACCGTGCGGTAAAATCTTCTAAAAAAATTTTTCGTGACACACTTACCTCGTTATAAAAAGAAGAGACGAAGAAAAGATAAATAAAACATTATGATCATATTTTTCAGGGAATCAAACAGTCGAAAGAATAAAAAAGCACTTCTGATTAACGCTTGTATGAAAAATGTTGAATTTCATTCTTGGTTAAATCAATTGAACTGGACTCTTCATAAGAAATATTTACGTGAACGTCGACATCTTGTACGATCATTTTATTGTCAACCTTTCTATTACGGTGATACAACCCTTTATATCGGATAACTGTGATTGTAATCGCATATTTCGTTTCTGAAAAGTATGTTAACGAAATTGTATGTATAATACGTTGTAAAATAAAACAATTAGCTATATATATATATGTACAATATTCATGTTGTATGCACATAACCAAATAAAATAATTTTGCAAATTTTTTTCTCCCTCTTGAACTAGCTTTTTTTAAAAAATAATATGTATTATTGATTTGTTTTTAAATACAAAAAATTGGCATTTCTCATAAATTTTTTCAATATATACTTACCATTATGTTTTATATTTACATGCATACTATATACATACGACTTTTATATTTACATACAATTTTATATTTATATTTATATATATACATACATACATACTGTAATCATTTCGACATATATACGATGTTATACTACGTTCATTAAATATTTAGAATATAATCGTCATATCATTTCAAATTGCGAATAAATAAGAATGAATTATTTATTTGAATTATATCTTTTAAATAATGGCGGTTCTATTTCCTACACAACATTGAAATACTATCATTGCTATATAAGCATGCATGAATACTCAATGAGAAACTCCTAATATTTAAATATAGTAATGTCATTAAATAAAAAATTTATATATCTAATTAGCAAAATATAGCGACATTTTGTTCACATTGAACAAAATAATACGTCAGATTCTTATAGCAGTTTTTTTGTTTGCACTTATGTAGTCTCTACTTAACTTTAATTATCTTAATTTTTTTATTGTAAAAAATTTATGATGTGAATATGCAACACATATATATGCATTTTTATATATTTAACCATACAAATATGTATTAATACTAACCTAAAACTAGTGAATGACACACGTGTGTTACTCTGCAAATAAAAAACTGGCCGTCATAATTGAGCAAACATTATGGAAAAGGAAGGTAAATTATTTTGGAATAAAAAATAAATTAACAAAATAATTGTACTTATTTTTTTTCTCAGAAATTTGTCAGTACTTCAATGGTATCATCAAAAATGAAAAAGATGTTTCTGCTGGGATGGCTGCTATACGTACATTATTAAAAGTTTTACAGTATTCGAAGTGTAAGAAAATGTTACAGGCCTTTAAAGAAAACATGTCTTTATTGTATATTTTTTTCTGTTACAGCTGAAACAGTTCAAGAGCTTAGGTATTGTTTACAAAATGCAATAGATGCGATGAGATCTACTGAAAATCCAGTAACTGCTATTGCATCTGGCAGTGAATTATTCCTTCGTTTTATAACTTTGACTGCGTTAGACACTCGTGTAAGAATATTATTGCATAATTTATCAGGATTTCTCATTTTCTTTTTATTCTTTTCCTTTGTTTCTTTTTGTTTTTTTATTTTAAATACATTTAAGATCGTAAGTCACAATCATTCATTGTTATCTTATATTATTTGATATTAGACATTTGCAGAATGCAGAGGTATTATGCTTCATAGAGGAAATATGTTTTATGAGAAATTGGTGGCTGCCAGAGGCAAAGTAGCAAAAGTTGCAGCACACTTTATTAAGGATGGTTCTGTAATTTTGTTTTATATTTTCTTTTTTGTTTTAAGATCCCTTTAGTCCCCAATTATAATGTAACATTTTGTTTTAGAAAATACTTACACACTCAAAATCTAGAGTTGTATTACGAGCAATGAAGGGAGCTGTTGAAAGTAACAAAATATTTGAAGTATATGTAACATGTTCTTCGCCAGATAATAGTGGGTATGTATTCATGTTGTAATAGCTCAAAGCATTTACATATAATATACTTGACTTTCTCATTGGCCAGGGAAGAAATGTGTCAAAATCTAAGAAAATTAGGTGTATCTTGTACCTTGATATTAGATTCTGCAATGGGGTATGTTATGGAACAAGTTGATATGGTTATGGTAGGAGCTGAAGGAGTTGCAGAAAGTGGAGGTATCATTAATAAGGTATATTACAGTTTCTAATTAGTCAGTAACATTACGAATTTTTACTTTAATTTGATATTTGGTATTGACAGATTGGCACATATACATTGGCAATGTGTGCTAAGGAAGTAAAAAAACCATTTTATGTATTAACAGAAAGCTTCAAATTTTCAAGAATATATCCGTTAAATCAAGTTGATTTACCAAATGAATTTAAGGTAATGTATTAAAATTTTTAGTTATTTTTAAATGAAACATTACGTGTTGTTTTTTTTGTTGTCATTTCCTATTTAGTATACAGCAAGCACGTTAAAAAAAGATTTGCAGAAGGAACATCCATTGGTTGATTATACTCCGCCACATTATATCAGTCTTCTGTTTACTGATTTAGGTATATTAACACCTTCAGCTGTGAGCGATGAACTTATTAAATTATACTTGTAAAACCTATACATCAAATCGTAATTACATAGAAATAATTTTAATAAAAATATATAATTAGAAATAAAATTTCTTAAACATTAAAAATAACAAATGTTTAAACATCTGGTCAATAAAAACTCAAACTTTATAAGGCTTCAGTACAAGTTTTATTAATTTTTAAAATAATATTGAGTATTGTAAAATAACAATAAACTCGACTTTCTTTTAACTTAATAAGTAATAAAGCATATACACAATATTATAATACAACAGAGGAGCTTAAGTGTTTTGAATATTTATAAATTTTTCACTAGTTATATCATAGGTCATCTTACGCATCTCATACACGCATGTGTATGATATTTATGGTATGATTATATTAAACATGGATTAACTAACGCATTTCAATAGTTAGGTGTATTATATTACACAGTAATAACTAATAAGTTCTGTGACTGATGAAAATGAAAAAAATTGTAAGTAACCTATGCATTGCTAAGTTACGTATTATAAAGATCAAATTTTTACAGAACTTCTACATTTATGATTTCAATTTTGTAAAATATGGTAAATAATTTTTTATAATTGATAATTATTTTTTATATTACATGTTTCTTTAATGCTTAATGAAAAAATCTTTTGAAAAGAAATGAATATCTAACATTCTTTATTATACCGATAAATACTGATTGATAAAATTGAAATATTTTTTTGGACGGATATAAATAATATAAGGAATTTTAAAGCAGAACTGTTAATATAAAAAATCAAATGAACAATAGAAAATGTATCAATATTGGGTCATTTTGAAAGTTCTCGAAGATATCAACCAATACGGTTTCGTATACTATTACATCATAGTACGATACATATTCACACTCTATTCACAATGATGTACAAATACAATGCGAAAATGAAAACATCAATTGCTCGCTATGAAAATCATTTCCATAAAACAGATTACTGCAATGATTGAAATTTTCATAGAAAATCATGAATATATCATGTACATACATTTTAATGAGCATTGTTTTTTAAAGCTCATATTCTGAAATATTATAAGATTTGCATGAGAAAATTGAGAACTATAATAAACAATGTGAAAAGAATGTTATTTACGATATAGATTAACATTGACTTAAAATTATTATTTATAAATACGCTTGAGAAAGTGTTTCAACAACAGTAAATATTTGATCGAAATGTGGACGTTTTTCTGGTTCATATTCCCAGCATCGTAACATCAAACGATATATTTCATCAGGTGTGTTTTCTGGTGCTGGCATTCGATAACCTAGAGATACGAGAAACAAAATCTTTATTTGGAATCTAAAATTCCAAAATATTCCATATAATCATAATAATAACAATAATAAAAAAATGACCTAAACATTACCTGCATCTATTTTTTCACGAGCTTGAGAATTAGACATTCCACTATAAGGATTTCCACCTTTAGAAAATATCTCCCACATTAAGATTCCGTAACTCCACACATCACAAAGCGACGTATATTTACCTGCAGAAAATATTACGATAGAAAATAATATTAGAATTTTAGATATACATGAAACTTAATATCTTTTCAAGTACCAAAATTTAATGCCTCTGGTGCGGTCCATTTAATTGGAATTTGTTTCATACCATCCGATACTATGTACTCTTCTTCTTCTCGTGACATTCCAAAATCTGATATTTTTACTATGGATTCATATCCTAAAAATAAAATATGTTATTCTTGGCATATTCTTATAATTAATAACTTTGCATAAGTGACTTTTGTAGTAACTAAAAATATGTTTACCTACGAGACAATTCCGAGCAGCTAAGTCCCTATGAATACAATATTTAGATTCCAAATAGCGCATACCTGCAGCTGCATCTTTACACATTCGAAGTTGTTCTTGCTGCGTGATAGTACTAGCATTTTTTCTCAAATAAGTTAATAGGGAACCACCTACCATAGTAATTTAATATCAATAAACAGTTGCATTTTACGATTTAAAAGATTGTTTAACTTTAAATATATAATTTCCAAATAGAATAATTTATTGAATATACCAGGTACCAATTCCATAACAATCATGATAGGTTGTTTTTGGACACAAATCCCAATAAGCTTTACTATATTTGGATGATCATATTGCTTCAATATCCGCCCTTCTTGTAAAAATTTACGTTTTTGTTCATCTGGTAACGTTACTTTGCAAGTTTTTACAGCCACTTCAGTCTTACAAGTTTTCAATTGCGCTTTATATACATCTCCGAAGTTACCCTAAAAATATTTACACTGTTTCACAATTAAACATTTAGTTTTATTCAATCACGTATAAAATATTTGAAATGACAAATTTTTTTTCAATTCAAACGAGATTCATATTAATTCAACTTGAAGTCGGCTATCAATTACATTGAACATTCGATCGATTTTGATAATTCTGTACAATGGTATGTTAGATTTCAAGACGTTTAAGAAATTAAAGTAACTTCTTTTTTCTTTAAATTTCAATCATATACCCGTCCTATCTTTTCTAGAAGAATTACATCATCGTTATTAAGTTCCCAACGTTCACGTAAAATTGGTGTTTTGAGAATAGCTCCAGATCGACTAGTCACTGGTAATCCGGATAACCATTGATGCCTAATTAATTCTTGAATCGACGGAAAAGTAGGACCTTCGAATCTATAATGTCCCTAAAATTAATAAAAATACATGCTTTTCTTCCTATGTTTGTTAGATAATTATAAACGTAACCAATTGCTTACTTCGGGAGTAGTTTGCACAATGAAATGTTTATGCCCATCCCAACAGACAGATAAAACTATTTGGCACTCATCGTTTCTTGTTGTTTCACGTACTAAAAAGTCTCCTTCAGTTACGAGTAATCTTACAACTTCTTCCCTTGGTAACACACCATGAAACCATTCTTCTTCCATAAGATCACCATTTCCATTTCCTTTTTGATTCGTTGTTAAATGTGATATCCCACGGAATGCCTATAATAATAAACATATAATATTTCATCCGACAAACAGAAACTTTGGATATTCATGTCTAAAACATCAAGAAATCGGTTCTCCTTCCTGTTCGTCTTAATCATTATCATTAAAACGCATCACAAAGGTTAGTTTAGAACCATAATTGAATGCAATTTGCTTGAGTAATAAGACAAACATGCTTAACATTAAAAATCACACACAAATTATTATCAGTTCAATTATAAATATTTTATAACATATTTTTTGTAAACGTATGTACAACATTGTACAAAATAAAAAAGAAGCAATTATGCACAAAACATGTTTATATTTGTACAATAAGTGGATAACATATGAAAAAAACATACAACTTGTAGAGTATTATCTGCTTTTGAGGTAGGACCTTCGCTACTCGATCTAATTGTTCCATCTTTTGTGTCATTTATTAATGGTAAAGATTTGAAGGGAGATCTAAATATTGTCATGAATCGCTGATTTCTTCGTAATGTAAATAGACCGATATCTGCAACTGTATTTTTCTGCAAGGGCAGTGATTCTAGCTAAATCTATTGATCTTTCAGAAGCAAATATTGTATCGAATAACTATTTTATAATATACAACAAATAACTTATAATATTTTTGGGAAAAATACGCACAATGTATAGAAATATTTTTAGTACTTTACATGTAATTCTTATTACCTTGCTAATGGAGGGTGAATCGGTGAAAGAACTTTCCATTGAAAGATCATATCCAAGTGGTAATTCTTCACAACCTAATTCATTTAAAGCAGCTCTAATGACGTCCACCTGTCGTTGAAGTCTCTTTTCTTGGCAGCGTAACCGTAATTCTTCTCTTTCACGAGAGTAATCCAAAATCGATATTCTGATTTAAAATAAAAGATAAAAAATGTAAAATAAATCTGTTTCGGTGCTAATAATATAATAAAACACTATTATCGAATGTAGTATTCTTACTTAGAATCGCTATTGTTCTCAGATGGATACTGCGGATTTTGTCGATTCTGTTGAGTCGCTTTCAAGGAAGTTTCCAATTCTGTTAGTCGATTTCTTAACCAATCTATAGTCAAATTATCTACTGTTAATTTATTTGGCAATAATTTTCCTGATGTATCATCCACGAGGTTCTCATCAAAAATAAATCTTATCGGTGACGCTGGTCGCGTTCTGTATCGATTGTTATCAACCTTTTAATATTATTCTCATTAAAACGCAATAGAAATGCAAGCTTGAAATAAATACCTGTGCTTTCCTATAAAATCTCTGTACTCTTCTACAGGTTTTACAGAATCTACAGCTTTTTGCATTCGTCGATGTATTTCTTGAAACTTATCTGTTGTAAAATCAGAATATTTCACTATATCCTGAAGTATGGTTTTCCTAACATGCAAAGAACAAGATTTTCATATTTATGATACAATAAATATTATCAATGGAGTAATAGTTATTAATCTTTACCTTTTCTATCACTATTATGCTTGCATAAAAATTTCACATAAAGTAGATTAACAATTTATAAAATAAAATTGAGAAACTTGTAATAAATTCTCTTTAAATCAAGAATCAATGAAATGCATTTACCATGATGTTATAAATTCTTGATGAATCGCCTGTTGTCGATGAAGTAAACTTGGTAAATAACAAGTTCTTAGGTCATGTTCACATTCTGTTACAGCACCCAAAAGTAATACATATTCATTGTGTGTAAGATGAAGTTTTCTACAGGCTTTTTGGTACTTCTCTCTTACTTCGTCCAATTTTCTACCAACTCTACCAGCTAAATAGATATCATGAGTTGTAACGAACAATCATATATTAATAAAGAATACAAATACTTACACTTGACATAATGTTCTTCGAAGCGGGATCTCATCAATTTATACATTTCTAGATTCTTCTGATATTCCAACTTTTTTCTGGCAACATCATCAGTCAACTAGAAGGTATAGTAAATGTGAATATAATACATAAAAGAATATTTTATTTCTATCATAGAAATTTCTTTTTACCTGTTGAAACTGATTATTCAACCATGTTTGTTCCTCTTGATATATTTTCCTAGCTCGTCTTCTTTCAGAGTATAGTGTTGTGATATGTTCAACTACTATAGCCTCGATGGAATCAGCCTGCTGTTTGATTAATTTCGCAGTCTGATCGATAGAGTCCATAATGTCTCTCCAACTCTACAAGCAAACGTTCCTGAGAAACTACTGAGAAACTTTAAAAAAAAAAACGAATTATGAACTGATTTTTGGAGTACCTGCACTACTAAACTGCCAACAAGATCCTCATTACGTTCAATCTTTTTCCCTTGCATCGTCAACGATGAGATTGTCGTGGCATATTCACGGTCTGATTTAACTTTGATCGTCAAACATCGTCTCATCGTCTCGAGTAGCTTGATCTCGGCATCTTGACGGGCGAGCAACGCCTCATGCGACGACTGCCCTTGTAGACTCGTAGAGAAACCCATCCCGCTTATCGTTTACAAACTAAAAATCGCCGACTCCCTCAGACGTGTCACGAACAAAAATTCATTCCTACGCTAGACAAATGCAATGACATTAACGGCAGCAGACGGTCTAACAAACTTAAACGAATCATTTATCAAAATACCACATTGCAAATGCAAGTTTATGTGCACATTATTTAATTAGAGTTCCATATATCTTTAAGGCGGCTCGCTGAGATCAACACTTATATTTATACAGACCTCAAACTGCAAAAATTTATTTCTATTTCTGAAATACCGTCATGAAACAGCAAACGATGTAGATGGCCAAGTTTAGCGAATAGCGAGAAACGAACTAGTTTAAAATCGTAAATATATTATCCTAGGTAGTTTATACGTTATATGTAAGAGAACTTTATTTTGTTTTTTTTTTATCAAATAAAAATCTTTTAAAAATGTTTTATCGTATTAACGTATATATTGCATTATTATGATATATAACATAATTAATAATTTAAAACCTTTTTGAAAATAAACTAACTATATCTTAAGTGTGCAGTCTTGATCTGCGTAAGCTTCATTATCGATGCTCGAAACATTCTAGGCTTGTTTTCATAAAAATTTCATTCGGGATCTGCACAGTATCTCTATTTCATATAAATGCTCTAAGAAGTTCAATTTCAATAAAGTGTAAAGGGTTTATTCTAGTAGTGGAGTCTAAAACCTTAGTGTGTTCTGGTACATCAGCACGATGAGTCCTAAAATGCAGGGTCTTTCATGGCAATCTTTCAAAAAGAATTCGATGGTACGTGGAAGAATATAGCCGAGAAATCACGGGCAATATTGTTCGTTTCAAGGAAATCTGTTTTGTTCTTTTTAGTTAGCTCCTCTATTCATAGTTATCGGAGTCGGAGCTTTAGGCGCAACGGGTTATCTACTGCGTCTAGCTCTTCGAAGCCCTGATGTTACGTGGAATAGTAGATCGAATCCCGAACCGTGGAACGAATATAAAAATAAAGAATACAAGGTATGTTAGTATCTGTAATAAACGGCATTAGTGAAAATTGATGTTCAGCTAATAAAATAGATGACACTTAATTCCTATCGTTTCGTATACGTATATTATTATTGTACGTTACGTCTATTATTATACGTCGTCTGACAGTTATTTTTAATGATTTAGTACTTGCGTAATTATTCGATTTTTGTAATTTTTATTTTCAGTTTATTAAGGTTCATGATAGACCTTCGTCTTCACCTGCTCCGGAATATTAAATAGCTGTGGTCAAGCTAATTTGTAATTTATGTAGGTAATTTTCTCTTACTAGCGAGTGATCATTAACAGTAATGTTGAATGAATATACTGTATAAATGATATTTAGATAACATATATGTATAAAACAAATATTTAAGTATCAATAAAGTTCAAGATCCTTAATTTCATTAATGCCATAAAGCTTGATACACATGTATGATTTCACTTCCCATAATAATCTTGATCATCGTGTTTATATACCTAAAATATAAAGGTTAAAGTACATACTCAATTAGAGAAGGTATTAAAGAATGATCTGAACAAGGTGTAGTAGTATAAGTCAATGATCATGATTACGATAGTTGTGATATGTTTGAAATATGTGGTAACGTAACAGAACATTTTTATCGATTACGTGCACTAAATTACTAAACATATCGCAAGATAGCGCGTATGTCAATTGCGAGTTACCTACGATATATCTTTCTTTGTTAATCGAATTTCTCGAGCTGTTGAATAGTTTACACACACACATATACGCACGCACATATATAAAATAAATACATATAATAAAACATTCAAACTACAAAGGGAATTTCTTTAGATTAACATTCGTTCTAGAATCGTAGTGTAAGTGCACCAACCATTATTTGTGAATGAAAATGAATGATTCAAACGAATTATACAAAAAACTGACCTTTGTACTGCTTACGTTTTGAGAAAAATGTAATACTGATTATATTGAGTGAGATAGTGTTATATAGATCTCTCATTTAATGAAATGTGATTATAGAAACGATTACAATCGTTTAATGTGATATAATATAAATATTCCTTATTTATTTATCAGAGTTTTATTTTTCATTTTATGATTTACATGTAGAATTTATCGTTAATTTCGAAGTTATAAAGTGATATTTGTCTGTTCGCTTTGCGCACATAATTGAAAACGTTTCGTCAAAAACGTCGTTTTATAGTAAAATCCTGTGTATAAAAATATGAATACAACTTGGGAAGATTTTTATGCCAAACATCCACCACCTCAAGATTTTAATCAGAACGAAATATTACTAAAGACATTTGTAGAGCGACAATTGAAAAAAGACAAGAAAGTTGTATTAGTAACAGTAAGTGTTTACTCTTTTATTGCTTTATAATTACGAGTATTATTATTTATAATAATTGCTTTATATTGTATTAGTATTATTATTATTTAATTATCAAGTGTCAATTTTATAGAGTGGCGGTACAACCATACCTTTAGAACACAATACAGTAAGATTCGTTGACAATTTTAGTGCAGGAACAAGGGGATCTGTATCTACAGAATACTTTTTAGAAAATGGATATGCTGTAATTTTTATGTATAGGTAGTTTGTACTGACAAATGTTTAAAAACATATTATATACTTATTTACTTTTATTGACATTTATATGCATTCTACTTATTTCTAGGCTTAATTCTCTAGAACCGTTTTCAAGACATTTTAAGGGACAAAAATTATTAGATATGATAGATGTCAGTGAACAGAATGGGAAAAGTACAATCACAGGTATGAGTATTTTTTTTAGATCACATAGTAATATTTTAAATGTTTTTAATATGATTCATTTTAGTTTTACCACAATATAAAGAAAAATTGATGAAAATATTCTGCAAGTACAAAGAAACTTTGAACCAAGATAAACTGTTACAAGTTACTTTTACTACACTTTCCGAATATCTTTGGCTTCTTAGAGCTGCTTGTCAAGCATTGGCTTGTCTTAAAAATAAAGCGATATTGTATCTTGCAGCTGCAGTTTCAGATTTCTATATTCCATCCAATGAATTGGTATATACTTTTGAAATTTTTTATTAAAAATAAAATGTACACGCATGTGCGTACATATATATAAAATATTTTTTAAACTTTTAGTCGATTCACAAAATTTCTTCTAGTGGACCACCAACAATATCCTTACAGTTAGTACCAAAAATATTAGCTCCTCTTGTAAGTTTGTGGGTTCCGCAAGCTTTTGTAGTATCGTTTAAACTAGAAACTGATGAAAATCTTTTAATATCAAAAGCAAGAAATGCACTAAATAAGTACAAACACAACGTAAGTATAAGTAATATAGCAGAGAGAGAATAAATTGATTTTTCGTATATACATGACATTTTTTTTCTACAGTTAGTTATAGCTAATATGTTGCAAACTCGAAAACAGCAAGTAACAATTGTCAGTCAAGAAGACAATTATGTTATTTCTCTCACTAACGATCAATTAAATAAAGGTGAAGAAATCGAACAATCGATAGTCAGTGTTCTCATTGACAAACATCAAACTTTTATACAGTCTACTGAAAAATGTAATTGATATATATTTTATATATGTACATTCAATTAATAAAACTTAATAAATTTCATTATAAATAATACATAGTAAATGTTATACAATTATTTTTGTTATCGATTAACAATTTAATATTAGATTTTTATGTGTCATTATATAGTGATATTAAAAAATGTGAATTAAAAGGTATTAGCTCTATTATTTTTTATATAATATTATTTACATATTAAAATAAATATAAACTTAAGTATGCACAGGTATTCATGCACGCGCGCACACAAACATACACACATACACGCAATTTTTATGAATAAACAATGTATATATGTATGTATTCAGAATGAATCACAAATATAATGAAACAATTTCACATGACAAAACTTTTGGTTACAAAGCGCTTAAAATTATTATGTTTTCGTGACTGGATAGTTATATTTTTATGAAATGTATATAATAATATTTATAAAAATTAACCAGTGATTCAGAATTGTCACGATAAATTAAATATGATATATTATCAATTTTTGAGACTTGTTATGTACATATTAATTTTATCAATTAATTGTCTATCTGTTGTTTCACATTGCGCTAATAAGAAAGTTAACGCATTAACATCTTTTTGTTCCATTGCCGTTTGAACCGCCTCATTTATCATTCTGTAGGAATGTATATTTTATTTTATTGCTCGAAAACACGTAATAAATAAATATATCATGATTATACATCAGCACTTACTTTAATTTAACCAAGTATTTTACTTTCAATTCGTCCCTTACTTTTGGTAAATACTTTTTTGCCTCTCTTTCTTCATTATATTTCAAGCACTCATCTATGAAAGGCTAAAACAAGCGAAATAAATATGCTTAGTGACAATATATTTTTAAATAAAAGTTTACACATCAATATTTATTTATAATGCCAGATATTAGTTACCTCATAGCCAATAGGGCATTTTTTACTTTTGGAGAATTTTTCTAATTCATTCCACATGCCCTTCTCAGCTAGACATTGTATTCGTAACCACCAATATCTAAAAAAAAATGTTTTACATACTTCATTTATTAATAACAATTTGAAAGAAAATATACTTGAAAAGTATAGGTTGTACCTTCTATCTGATATCTTATACTCTGATCTCAGTTTATCAGCTAATTTGAGTTCATTACGCAATAGTAATACTTTTACAGTATCATGAAGTGGTTTTCCTACAATGGATTCCTGTAATACATCTTCCATAGACCTTTGATAACGTAATAATTTTATTTGTTCTTCTGTCAAAGTTGCATTGCTATCACTGCGAGCTAATTTGAAATTCTCTTGTGCAGATTGTAACAATGCTTCTCTAGACATTGTATTCTAGAAAACATCATAAATTTTTACATGTGATGTAATAATAATAAATATCTTTAGATGATTGAACATATTATGATTACACATTAATTTTGTATTAATTTTTGCGTACCTTTCGCTGATAGCTCTCGGTAATGAACCATATCGCTTGAGAGTGAAAATCATCATACTGATTATAAATATCACGGAGTGTCTCTCGGTTATGATTTTGACAATACTTGATGTATAAAGCCATCGCTAAGGGACAGTGCATTATGGACATCTATAGGGGTTTACTCCAATAAGAAAAATATCGAAAGTCGAATTATCTATATGTTGGATCGATCAATAATAAAACGTCACCTGAAAATCACCGAGCGGCATATTCTCCCTAAGATGAAGTATTACAGTATAAACTAAATCGGTATTTCCACTTTCAACGGCTTTATGTAAAGCGGCTTTCTCCTCACCAAGCGTCAATAGAAGTGGTACTTGTTGATGTGCACGTGGTTCGTAATCTATTAACTAGAAACATAAAATATGCCGATATATTCGATGAAACAAAGAACTGCCTAACAATTAATTCATTTAATAATGACAATCTACTTTAATTGCAAGTTGTTTTCGGCCACAATCGGCTGCTCTTCTTGCGATTTCGCTATAAGAAACACCAGGTGCATAGCCTAATTTATCAGCTATTTCTTCTGCTATTTGCTCCTTGTCCAATTGTGTTTGTTTTACCTATTACAACAAAATTTATCTCGTATAAACATCGTAAACAATCAAACAAATAGAGCTTGGCAAGAAATATTACTTTATAGCAAGCCCAATGAGCTAATATTCGACTTTCTCCTTCGATTTCTGGTAACTGAAGATGCCGTGCAATTTGTATACTTAAATAATAATGTCTTCTCGCAACAAGTCTGTCCAACAGTACTTGACTCGTGAGGACAGTGAATCTGTTATCATTAAGGTATTGCCTCATCTCGATGAAAACGGTAAAATTAAAGGAGAAACGTTAAACAAAAGGATACTGCGTATACGTTAATGGAATTCCAATTGCAGGGTGTCGTACAGCATTTAAAACTCTTAAAGTTCGGCACATATTGACGTAATATTCAGGATTAATTGTCCTACTAAATCCTTTTCCAAATTTGGCAGCCTAGTAATATTGATACAAAGATTATACATTCATGTATCTATATATTTATATTGTAAAGAGAGAAAAAAAAAGAAAAAGACAAAAAGGTGATATGAACAACACTCAAAGATTTTACCCTCATTAAGAGTTTTTGTGTTTCAAAATCAAATTCATGACTAGCTCCATCAATGCAAGCTTTTATCGCAGCATCTAATTTATCTTTAACCAAATCCATATAACTATCAGCTTTGTGACTCCTTTTTTGAAACTGCTTAGATGCTTCCAATAAATAAGACGCAGGATCGGTTGAATTAATTCGAAATATTTTTTGAACGACATTTGGTACTTTTTGTATCATTTCATGAGAAGAACCAGATAATACACGTATACCATCAATCTCTGTAATAAGATGTACCGGACCATCATATGTATATATTATAGTTTCAGCTGTTCGTCCAATCACCATTACAGTACTATTCCAACTACATATTACAGCTTCCGTTCCACACCTATAAATTTTTGTATGAGTATCCTCGAATCGTGATATTATACGTGATATAAAAGATAATATCAACATATTAACCATGCTATATTTTCTAATGGTTCTTTCATATTTGTATAATGTTCGCAATATTTTTCATTAAAATCTATAGTACCCATATACAAATGACCAGTATCCATATAAAGAGCAATATGACGATTGTTTCCAGACACAGCCATAGCGATTACACTAGAAACTTTATTATGCCTGGTAAAAAGGTTGTCCTAAAAATATAAAATAATTTCAATCATTACAAAGTAGGATTTGCCCATTCGTTCAAAATTTTTATGTTATACAAATGGTATATGAGTTGCAGCTTGATGAGACTGATGTATCACAAATATTCCATCTCTGTTCGATAATATCACACGTGTTTCTCTATCACAATGAACTAAACACCAGCATTCGATTTGCCCGCCATATCCTAAAAGATTATTAACAGAAAATAGTTTAGCCTTTAATCCAAGATTATTGAATCTAATTTATTTACTTACTAGGAATATCTGATATTTGTCTAACTTTTGGTTCAACTATATTATTTACTAGGAATATACGATTAACAGATGTTAGAACTGCAATACCAGTTCCACTGTAACTGGCAAAAAATTTTGCTTCCACAACCTTGGTATCTTTTACTTCCTAACATAAAGAAATATCACAATCAAAAACTATTTTTGAGAAATATTTTTCCATGTACTTTAGTCAGATAGAAGGTATCATACGTTTCCCATACTAAAAGCGTGTTGATATGTACCAAACATATCATATATATGAACCATGCCATCGTCTTCTATGCACAGTAATTCTTCTTGTTGAGACCAACCTAAAAGGATTAATTGTCCACCATTCCACTAAAAAACACCGACAATGACAATTATAACAAAGTATAAACTATGATTGTAAGATAGAAAATAGCTTAGCAGTAGAAATGTATGAGTGACTTTGAAACATTTACTTGGAACTTGGCTGTTAGTTTTCCGGAAGATGTATACAAATATATCATAGGTTTATTCACTCCTTGTACTTTGACTAATTTTTTCGGATTTCTCGTGACTGCGATGGAACCTCCGTAAGGAGCAGCGATTAGCATGTTATTATCTGACACCTCATTTTGAAAAGACAATGGATACAGTTCAAATTTCCTACAAAATAAAAATTAACTTTCACCGTTTTCTTCTTTTCTTCTCGTTTTTCTGTCTGTAACAGCTTCGTTTCAATTTAATAAACTTAACCTAAGATATTACCTAAAATATATATCTCGGCCCAAAGGGAACCAATCGGCAGTTAACATCGCTAACATTTTTGCAGGCGATCAAAGCTCAATTCCTATTTTATGCAAACACTTTACTTTAATCCATGAATTTGATTCTAAACACAGCGTGGATACAAATATAAATATAACCTCTCTAGTTCAAGTGTCATTGGATCTCGTATCAAACATGAACGCACGATGATGTGATTCCACGTGACTCAATGTCCATAACCTGTGCGATACATAAGAGATAGGTACATATGCATACATGTGAAAAATCATTTTGTCACGTATGTATATATGAACGACGGTATATAGATCGCAAACGTTTACATATATACGTATGTCATAAAATAATTTTTTAATGAACAATAAATTCATTAAAAAATGAATGAATGTGCCCTTAACTTTCTAATCTTACATACATAATAGCAGATCGGATTAAAATATGATATAGAAATATCATTAACTAGAATGAAAAATGCATTAATAGAAACGTATTTAAGAATATAGAATAAACGACGAAATATACGAAGTCGAAATTACCCAAGAAAACAACGATAAGAATCGATAAAAGTGTGAAATGATAACACAGTAAAATCGTAATGCTGTTTGAAAAATAAGTACACTTAGTGTAAACGTATATGATTTATATAGATGAAGAACTTGAAAATACCGAAATCACTGAATGGATGTAATAGCAGTGAAAGGTTCTCCAACAAAATATTTCTACATTCATCCGGATTATATCTCGTGTACTTTTTCTAAACTGTCCGTACTATACATATATCTGTATACAGGATGTTTCAATAGAAGTTGATTCTACGCGAAAAAATGTAGTCGAAAAGAAACAGTGAAATTTTTTCGTTGAAACTTTCGTTTTCGGGAAAATCGAGTTTGAAGATCTATCAAGTGGATTTGAAGTTAACTTTACATCTAACGAAAAAGAGTAATCAACGGGAGGTTATTCTACGCTCGAAAACAAGTAAAAAAGGTAGAATATAACTTTTTTGCAAGATGCTTTGCTCTCAAGGAAATCGAATTTGAATATTTATCGCGAACACGTGTACCAAGGCAATATTCAATGAAACATATTCAAACTTATTATTTCTCTGGAAGCTTTAAATAAAAGAATTTCATTTTACATTTTCGACTTATCTTTGCAGACTGATCTGTCAATTACCCTTTTCTATTCTACATTTGGAATTAGTCAAATTCCAGTATACTCAATCAATTTCCTCGAAAGCAAAGTATCACACAACAAAATTTTATTCTTCACTTTCGACGTTCGTTTTTTCACGTTCAAAATCACCTTCTACTTAGTTGTACCACCCATTCTGAGACAACCTGTATGTATGCACAGAGGATATACAAAGGCATATATTGCATACCGTTCATTCGACTCCTTACCGTTTCCCCTACCTGGGAGAATCGGTCGCGTCTCAAGTCAAGCTGGTATCTCGAGCGTAGGTAACCCCGTTACGTCCTTGCTTGCGAATCCAGCGAAACGCGTGTTTTATTCTCTTGTCTTTCCTTTCTTTCGCCTTGATTGCAATTTCTCATGACTACAGTTAACGTGCCGTAACATTCTCCAGTACCTTGACAACTTGTTCAGTTTTCGAATTAATCCTCGAAGCGGCCGAACCTTCCGCTTACTTATATTCATCTCCTCTCCGGGATGGAGGGAATACGAAGCAAGTGAAGTCAAGTCGGCTCGGATCGGATTAGATCGGATCGGATCGGATCGTGAGAAAACTCGAACCACGAGAAAACCCGTTGCCGGAATAGAAGAGGAATTTTTGCGTTCTCTGGATAAACAAACGGGGAGAATCGTAGAACTTGAAGTGTGCAAAGAAGAAACCCGGCCAACTGAGCGGCCGTGGTTAAATGGCAAAGCGATGAAGCGGAATTGTTAGTGATTTCGACTGACCGTTTCAATTGCACCGATCGACGTACAGTTGGGTCCACTAGTGATGTCCTGTTGAAGTAAACGGCGATAGATGCGGTGCGAAACAGCGAATATGAGTAGAACGTGAGTTATTGTTCCTTTTATACGATACTCTTTTTTTCGACGATTTTATAATCTTGTCGAGACGTATGTGTATTTATCCGAGTGGTAAATTTGCAGAGACAAGATTGGGAGAGGAATGTTTCTGATATAAAAAGCGACATAAAAAGTTGAGTAGGTTTTTCGAGTGGAAACGAACGAACGGTCGATTTAGTCAGCACGAAGAGTTATGTTACGCATTGATCTATTCGGATATTGTGGCTGTAGACGAAGAATCTGACGCATAAAATTCTTTTGAGGTCGCGTGCGCCTTCTCCGGTCGTTTCATCTTTAAACCTGTTCCCTGCGCGTAATCGCGCGCGATGCGGTCGACGTGGTAATTTCGATTCGTGCTACGTGCCGGTATTTCGTTGTACCAAACTTGGATCTGCTAAATTTTGTTCTGATAAATCTAAATTTAAATTTAAATTGAATTTTAGAGACGGAGATTGATTTTCATAGATTTTTTTAGTGTAAAATTGAAATCGGATTTCACATGCGTTCGCAGCTCTGTAAAATCGAACGATTCGGGTTTGACCGAGAGCAGAGAACAAAGTCACCGTTATACACGTATACGTAGGTATAGAGGCATAGACATACCGTGTTCCAGCGAAGTTGCTCTCGCTTCTGCTACTACCATCTCGCCTTTTACATTATTCTCTTTCTCTTCCTTTCTCTCTCCCTCCCTCCGCTCTCGCATTTCGTTACACTCTTCTTTCTCTTTCGCTGCGAATTAATTAGAGAAACTAGGATAAGCTAATAAAGAAAAGAATAAGAATAATTACCGGCACGACCTATCGTTTTCAGGTGGTATTTGCCAATAATTATTTGTTCGTTCTGGAACGTGGCTCTGACACGGGAAGCGGAATGGATACCGTGTGTCGAATTGAAACGGGACTTGCACGTCCCGTGCAAATGCTCCATCTCAAGGGAATACACTCGATCGATCGAAATGAACTGCGATCGAGTAGTGTTCACGCGGAATACAGTGGAGAATCTGAAGGGGGAACCGATCGTTTCCATCAGTCAGAGAAACAGCGGATATAACGCCCTGCCGGAGGATTTGCTCAATCCTGACTTGAATCTAAGGAAGTTGGACCTGTCAGACAATTCGATCCACAAACTGATGGGTCGGCTGCTTCGTGTGCAGGCTCAATTGGAGGAACTGAGACTTGCCGACAATCTTTTGGGAGACAATCTAAACCCGATATTCTCGAGCAACGAGTTTCACGGGATGAAACAGCTGAAACTGCTCGACTTGAGCAGAAACGGGCTTCGAAGTTTAGAGGAAGGGATTTTCAAGGGATGCGAGAGCCTCGAACAGCTTTACTTGGACGGCAACAATTTGACAACGGTGCCGACGATGTCTTTGAAAGGGCTCGGTTCGATCAGAGTGCTTTCGCTGTCCGGCAATAACATCGGTACGCAAAGAAAGAGCGAGCGTAAGAAAGAGAGTAACTCGGCCATTTATTCGACAAATAACGCCGATAACGACGACGATTTTGTTTAGTTCTACTTTCCAGGATCCCTCCCGCGAGCTGCCTTCTCGATGTTGGGTGACTCGCTGCTACGATTAGATCTCAGCGAGAATGAATTGTCTCACATGGAAGACGACGCGCTGTCGGGACTTGAACGATTACTTTTGCTGAACGTGTCTCGCAACGATCTCAACCGCTTTAACAGCGACGTTTTCAAAGGTACGGAAGTTGCGTGGTTTATTGCGCGAACCAGTTAACGAAAAATTGCCTGTAAATTTGTATTACATTCGTAAGAATGGTAATATACAATTGCGACGTTTTCAGGGGCTTACAATTTATTACAGTTGGATCTGTCGACAAATTTCCTGCGGGAATTTCCGAGCGATGCACTGAGACATTTAACGGACTTGAAGTTTCTCAATATGTCGAACAATTTGATTGACGTAAGTATTATTTCGTTTGTTTCTTTCCTTCGGTAGAGAAGAAGAGAGAAAAGGAATAAAAAGAGAAAGAGATAGACGATGCTGAAGTGATTTTTTTCTTCTTTAGGAAATCGATTATGGGCATTTATCATCCTTGAGAGAACTCCAAGTGCTAGATCTTAGCCGAAACAACATTGGTCAGCTAGGTTTCGGTACGTTTTCGAAGTTATCCGAATTGATCAGACTCGACTTAAGCCTGAACGCATTGCGCACGGTACGTACGAAGAACAAGAATAGGAGTGACGAGACGCTGAGATAGAAAGAGAAGTACTAAACTCAAATCTGTTACAGATTGACGAATCGTCGTTCAGTGGTTTGACCAAATTGAAATGGCTCTCGTTGCAAGACAACAACATCTTGCTAGTACCAGCCGTGGCTCTGACTAGATTACCGTCTTTGGCTCATCTTCATATGGAATTTAACCGAGTCGCTGCTCTGCCAATCGAATTGATCGAAGCGACAGCCTCGAATCTCGTAACGTTGTCGCTCACTCGAAATCTAGTCCGAGAGATACCCGCTGGTCTGTTCCAAGATTTTCAACGGCTGGTCAGCATCGAGTTGTCCGGGAACATGCTGTCGAAGATCACGCGCGACACGTTCGTTGGACTGGAAGAAACGCTGCTCGAGCTGGACGTATCCTCGAACAGGTTAACCTCGATCGGCGAGTTTTCTCTAAGACGACTGATCTCGTTGAATCTGTCGGGAAATCGGCTGACCAGAATTTCCCCGGAAACGTTTGGCCATCTGAAGAGGCTCCGGTATCTAAATTTGAGCTCCAATCCGCTTTACGGTGGCTTCCCTCCGGTATTCCCCTCTTCCGTGCTCGATCTCGACATTTCACGCACCGATCTAAACATCTTGCCGTCGATTTTATTTCGAAATCTCGAGTCGCTTGAGAGAGTATCGATCGCCGGCAATCGGTTGGAGAGAATCGAGTCAGGCACGTTCAACCGGTTAGTCAATCTCTCGCGGATCGACTTGGCCGGAAATCGCATCGAACATATCGAGAACGAAGCTTTCGTAGGATTGACCGGTCTGTACGAGTTGAATCTACGAGATAACAGGTTGACCTCGTTCACCGGCGAGTACTTCGACACCGGGACAGGTCTGGAGAGCCTCGATTTGTCTTCGAATCTGATAGATCGATTATCACCGACAGCCTTCGCGATTCATCCAAGATTACGGGAGCTACGGCTCTCTGACAATCGGTTCGTCCATTTCCCTACCGACTACTTGAAGCCTTTACAATTTCTCGAGTGGTTGAGCTTGTCAGGGAACGGGTTAAAGTCTGTCGACGAGTTCGCCTTCTCTCAGATCGCGCGACTTCGGACACTAGATCTTGCCGCGAATCGAATCGAATCGGTCAACGAGCTAGCTTTCCACAATTCTACGCAGCTGCAGCTAATCGATCTCTCGGGGAACAATATCGAGACGTTGAGCGAGAGAACGATGGAGGGTCTGCTTCGTTTGGAACATTTGAATCTTCGGGACAATCGCTTGGCTTCCCTCCCGGAAACGATTTTCGATCCGAGCAGAATCCGTTCCGTCGAGAGCATTGATTTATCCGGGAATCGGCTGACCGAGATTCCGATTAGGTCGTTGCAGCGACAGATCGGCTTCCTTTCCAAGTTGAACTTAGCTCGAAACAGAATGGTCGAGTTGTTTAGTCAAGAAGTCGCAAGCAACGTGAAAGAACTCGATCTGTCGGACAATCCATTGAGCGAGGCCGCGGTCAAAGGGATATTAGGAGAGGCTAAAATTCTCCGATCGTTGAACTTAGCCAACACTGGGATCGAGCGTCTGACGGTACGGCTCGAAACGCCATTTCTCAAGCGACTCGATCTTTCTAGAAATAAGGTGGTCGACCTTCGAAAGGCCACTCTAGAACGCGCTACCATGCTCGAAACGTTGAATCTCTCGGGAAACAAACTCTCCGATTTATCCAGCCTGAACCAAGCGTTCCAAACGTTGCCGGCTCTCCGATGGTTAGACGTATCCGGGAACTATATGAAAACCATAAATGAAACCGATTTTGATGGTCTGATCAGTTTGCGTTCTCTAAGGATGGCGAATTTGCCGAATTGCACGAGAATCGAGCGAACCGCTTTCAAGTCGCTCGGTAAGCTTCGCTCTCTGGCTGCCTACGATTATCCCAAGCTGGGCTATTTCGATGTTCAGGGTGTTCTCAAAGCAATGAGCAACTTGGAAATGCTCGATATCGAGATCAAAGATTCCTCGGTGAGCAACGAACAATTATCGATACGCACGCATCCCCGACTCAAGGAAGTGATCTTACGAGGAGACAGGCTCAGAAGCATTTTGTCTAGCTCGTTGGTTGGCGTTCGAGGACATAAACTAGTATTCGGCCTGAAGAACACTTCTGTCGACTCGATACCGGCAGCTCTCTTCTTCCCGGTGCCCCGTTCTACCCAGTTAGAATTGGATATCTCTGGCAGCAAATTCGCTACCCTGTCCAGCCAATTTCTCTCGGCGCTCGACGAACGAACCAGTTTCATCAAAATCAAAGGCCTTCGCTACAATCCGATCAATTGCAATTGCGACGCGAGGCAACTCTGGAAATGGCTTAGAACTACGAGCGACGACGATCCTTCGAACCTCGTTCTCTGTTCTGCTCCGAGCAACCTCGCCGGATCGATTTTAATCAACCTCGCGGAACATCGATTGTCATGTGACATTACTCCCGGTGGCTCTGTCGACGAGCTCGACGACGACACCACCGCCCCCAGCCACGCCTCGTCCTCTTTGTTATCCTCTTCGTCGTTCTCCTCTGATTTTCCTTCCTCTCATTCTTATTCCAGCCCTACCGTCAGGTCAACATTTTCGGAACCCGAAATTATTTGGACCGTGGCACCACCGGTTCTAAACGCCAATCGAAATAAACATTACAACGGTGATCACGCGACTTCCTCGCCTACTGGATCCTCAACAAGCACGGACGACACGCTGATCATTGGTATCGTTGGCGGCGTAGTAGCGTTCATAGCTCTGATCGTGATCGTGATCTGCGTATGCCGATTCAGGTGGTCTTCCGATCGGATCGATCAGGCGCGTTTAGCCGTGGCGACCGCGACTAGCAGCATACCAGACGCATCGATGGTCAGACCAGCTAGCGCCTATTCAGGCAAAATCAATCACGAGCTTTATCTCGGATCGTACAACGAGTCCACGTTGGATCGTGGAAACGCTACGATGGCTTCTTCCATTCCAGCCATACCTCACCAAATAATGCCCTTGGTTCAACCACCGATGCATCTCATGCATACTCTTTTAACTCCTCAAACTCAATCGCCGTCGCAGTCCCAGCTACAAACGCAACAATTCTACGGATATTGCGACGGCTCTCTGCCAGTTTACATTGCGTGCTCCACTGATACCAAGTGCGACAGATAACCATATATTTCTCACCACATCTGTCAATTGCATACACACGTATACCTCATAGTTTATTCATTCATGTTCGACTCAGCTAACGCACTGTCGTCGTGTATATGTTCATTCGGTGGACTTGACTCCTGCACGAATTCGCAGATAAATGCATATATGTATACATTCGGTATATGTACATGTGTATAGTCCTGTACACAGGTTTATATACATTTTATCAGTATGCATATACTCACATTGATGTTCTCTCTCTTTCTTTCTCTCTTTCCTTTTTTAGCTACGAATTTATATATTTTATGTGAATTATACAAGTTATATATTTTAATACATTGTTTTTCACTATTTTCATATGTAAATGCTTCGTATGTATTTACCGTGTCTCCCTTCTACGCGATTTCCTTGAGAACGGATCCAAAAGAGTTAAAACGGCATGATTTGTAGCAAAAATGATTTCCTCTGCAAGAAAGTCCCTGCATAGGATTAAAAGTAATAAGTAGGATTACGTTTCAGGCGAAAGTATAAATATAATGAAAGTCAGACTGGTTAATTTTCGTTCAGGGAATTAGTAATATGAGCATAGCAGATGATCAAACTTATATTCAGAAAACATATTTTCTAAGAAATAGTTAGGAGATGACCAATTAATAACCGATTAATTTTTGGACTATAATTATTTTCTACATAAATTAACTGTTAATATATATCAACAGAATTATAAACGAAATATTATTACAGAAATAAATATTATTATTTATTATATAGTGTATAGTTTTAGCCTGCAAAAAGTATTGAAATATAGTATTTATCATTACCATAAATTAGAGGGGGTTGTAAAACGATAAAAACCTACAAAATATTAAATTATTGATTACAGTGATAGAGAAACTGTTTTTCGAAATAACGAATAAAAGATCAGATTGATTTCGATGGATACTACATCAAATCTTCTGCTTATACTACTTGCTTATGACTGACCAGACGTTGCCACATGCTACTTGCTTATGTTTGACAACATATTGACCTATACTACTTGTTTCTAACCGTATATTGATTTTACTACTTGTAAATAGTAAAGGTAAGACATCTTCAAGTAGTCCTTGAGATGATTTCAAAGAGTAGGATTTTCTTGCCGATCCTCTCCAATCCTTCTAAATTTCATGCGATCTGTCACTGGCGCATTTTGGAATTACAACTCGATTGACTGAAACTTCGTACAGAATAAAGATATTGTTCCAAATGGCTGAGATGTTTGAAGAAAATTATAAAGAATATGAAAATACCTCAAATTCTTAATTTCGGGAGTTCAATCTTTCGGAAGATAATTTTACGATATCCAGCGTATAAAAGACAATGAATGATAGAAAATGGTACGGATATTACATAAAGACAACATTATTATAGTGTTCTCAGCCGACTACTGTTCGAAAACTTGGACAATATTTAATGAAGCGTCGCGCAGGTGAAATGGTGGAACTAATTTATGTTGCTGTCTTTGTGCACGATATTGCTTTCCTTGTCTACCGCGCGAATATATCTATCCTTGTCACACGTTATTGACCTCCTTGTCTACTACGGCTATATCTCTGTTCTTGTCGCACACAGATGCTCTCCTTGTTTATCGCGCGTATATGTCTGTCCTTGTCGCACGCTACTGCTCTCCTTGTCTAATGACGCTAGACAAGGAAAGCAACAGTGTGCGACAAGGATACCCTTCGATCTATTTTTAAAAAATTCAACTTTTTATAGACACGTTTTTCTAGGACAAAACACACATAGAAAAAAAGCAGGGAGCCTCATTTTAAGGAGGCATATAAAAAACTTCGCAAATTATTCCTCGTAATTAGGTTTTTTTCATAATTAGTGCGAACTGTGACAAAATGGACATGGTGGCGCCATCTAGCGGCGACTCAAGGGTACTAATTATTTATAAAAATAGTTATTTCTGCATTTTGCGGGTCAAATGGGGTATGAAAAGAAAGCTAAGGGGCTGATTAGGGTAATACAATCGACAAAGTTCACCATTCATGTCGCTAAATTAGGTTTTTTCGCTTATGAAAATTTCTCTGTTTTACGGGGTAAGAAACACTAGCGCCGAACGGTGGCGCCATCTATGGAGAACTAAGTGGTACTAAAAACAGAAATTTCTACTTTTAGTACCACAGAGTTATTACTAGATGGCGCCACCGTACGGCGCTAGTGTTTCTTACCCCGTAAAACAGAGAAATTTTCATAAGCGAAAAAACCTAATTTTGCGACATGAATGGTGAACTTTGTCGATTGTATTACCCTAATCAGCCCCTTAGCTTTCTTTTCATACCCCATTTGACCCGAAAAATGCAGAAATAAGTATTTTTATAAATAATTAGTACCCTTGAGTCGCCGCTAGATGGCGCCACCATGTCCATTTTGTCACAGTTCGCACTAATTATGAAAAAAACCTAATTACGAGGAATAATTTGCGAGGTTTTTTATATGCCTCCTTAAAATTAGGCTCCCTGATTTCTTTCTATGTGTGTTTTGTCCTAGAAAAACGTGTCTATAAAAAGTTGAATTTTTTTAAAATAGATCGAAGGGTGTCCTTGTCGCACACTATTGCTTTCCTTGTCCAGCGTCATTAGACAAGAAGAGCAGTAACGTGCGACAAGGACAGACATATAGGCGCGATAGACAATGAGAGCAACAGCGTGCGACAAGGACAGACATATACCTGCGGCAAAACAAGGAGAGCAATAACGCGCGACAAGGATGGACCTATTCGCGCGGAGGACAAGGAAGACTATAAAGTGCGACAAGGATAGCATTTAAATTAGTTCCACCGTTTCACCGCTACGCGACGCTAGCATTTCGGCGCCTATAGCGGCTAGCACATGCATCTGCTTTACAAGTCTATAGTCAATGTTTCTACTTATCGATTATCGACCCACGAATCGAGAAATCGCAAATTACGATATATGAAAATGTATGAGTATGTATTCGTACGTATCTATGCGAACGCACACCCCATGCATTGGTAACGTAACCTTATTTTGTGATCGTGATATGTCAAAAGACGTTTACGTGACATATCGATATATACACGTATGTGTTTACTTACATATAAACAGTTTCTTATAACGAAGAAGCTTCGACTTTTTGATTTCGTGCCTATGAAAATTTCAATTTTATGCAACACTTTCGGCCAAATGACGTAAACCTGGTATTCAATGCTTATTTCGGATGTATGTTTGCCACGAGTTCTGCTGCTTTACTCGAATAATTCTTCTAAATGATTTTTTTTTTCTTTTCAGTCACGACAGGATACATCAATCGCATATAAACGATTGTTTATGAGTAACATATGAGTATACAAAATGATCTTTCGTATTTTTAATCAATCGATCATCGTACAATCATTCCAAATATTTAAATGTTATGCATACATAACGAATGTCTAAAAAAAGTGCATACTACGTAACGTAGCCATACAAAATGTAATGCAAAAGTGACTGGGATCCTACGAGAAAGAGTAAGAGAGTGGGAGGGAAGAAGGAAAGAAAAGATAAAACATCGGAAGGAACAGAAAAGCAAGAAAAGAAGCGTGATACTGAAAAAGATTATAACATTCTATCAACTTCTTTAAAATACAAAATTGTAAAGTATCAATGATGGATCAAATCAACTTATCCGCGATGAATTGACTGGAAGGTAATTGTTACTATTTTAAAGATATCCATTCCACTTCTGTATTTCCTTATATTTTAAAAAAACTGGACCTTGTAGGAACCAAGAATATAACATAACATGATACAACCTTTTCTTGAGGAAGGTGCCTGGTGTTACTGGGTTGTTTCTATCGGGGCATTGTTATGCTTCCTTGGTCTCATCGTTGCTTGTATTTGCAGCTGTCGTCGTAACGAAAACAAGTAACTGATTGTACATTTATGATTATGAATATATTGTAATCTATTTTGTGAAAAGTAACATTGCGTATATTTTTAATAATGATAATAGAATTATATTTCATTAAAATATGAAATTATATTTTATAGAATTATTTTACGTTATATAACTAAGAATGCAATTTTTCGTAATATTTACAAGAATACATTCAGTTGCAATCCGTTTAAATAGGAATGAATTTCTTGGCCTTGCCGGAATGGTAACTCTAAATGATTCTGACAACGATGGCTTTAATGGGATTCCAATGTCGGATACCCTTCGTGTGACGACGCAAGATATTGTTGACAACGGAAAAAGGTTCCTATCCTAATGTTAATTTAGTCCTGTATACATTTTGTTAAATATAAATTTTCAAATATCTTTTGAAATGTCATGTATTTTTCAAAATAATCGCTATTATTAATATCATGTGAATTAATATTATATTTTATGAAATTAAGAAATTTACATTATATACTGTACTGTGTACTATAGGTCGACTAGTGCCAATAGAAGTCTTCCAGATATTCCAAAAGATAAAGAGAAAAGACATGAACATACAAATACATCTGTATCTCAAGATATCTATGAAATCACTGAAACGATCGGTGATCAATCGGAACTGTACGCAACAGTAAGAGACACAGGTATTTCAAATAAAATAGAATAACACGTATTAAATTTATTGAACGTTAATTCTACCGAGAGTATACTAGAAATATACCATTTCTATTCTAACGATATCTTATTTAATGCAACAGGGAAAGAACAGATATCTGAACTGGATGTGTCAGAGGTTCTACATCAGAATCCATCGACTCAAGAAACTTCGGATGGTCAATATTTAAGATTTGCATCGTCTCCTAATTCAGACAATGGTACAAGGACAAAAACAATTATAAAATCATTACGTTTCTTTTTTACTCTTGATGTTTCACACGTGTTAACTATTGTGATGCTTGTTTCAGTTGAACATCCATATGCCCAAGTTCAAAATGTTCAAAAAACCGAAATTAACAAATCGAACCGGTAATGATTGCAAAAGTCAAAACTATAATTGTACTACAGTTTTTTTTTCTACAATTATGCAATACGTATGTTCGCTTCCATCTTGATACTGAAAGCTAATATCAATTGTTACAGAAATAATATCAAACAAGCCATTGATGTCGATAAACCATCGACGTCTACGTGTCAAAGCAACGGGAACCCAGTTGCGCCACCAAGGACCCGCCGATCCTCGTCGCATAATTCACTTTTGTCTGCGGAAAGTGGCCCGTGTGACATTCAAGCGGCCAATGCCATATCCGGTGGAGTGCAAGCTAACCAAGATTTGCCTTACATGACACCACCGTTGTTAATGTTACTGCCTCAACCACCACAACAACAGTCAAATAGTCCACAGCAACATTTTAGCGGAGATTCTCAAGATTCTAGTAAATATTTACTTTTTTGTCGCATAAGGATATAATTTCCAGTAATGTTTTTTAGACTTATTTTCAGTGTAGCAGAGCTATATATAAATATATTCTCCTTTCTTTTTCATTTCATGTAGAAGGATATACAAGCATCAGCGTAAGAGAGCCCCTGGCTAACATAATTGCACAAACAAAGACAATTGGTCGACAGAGCCAATCCATTCGACCTCTTACGGATCCCCATTACGCGACAGTATCGGATGACTCTGGTATATACGTACATGTATATATACATGGATTTTTAATATCAACGACAATTAACTTTTAGTTTTTCCTTCCTTATTCTTCTTTTTTTATTGTTTATAAGCGTCGTTGTTTTATTTGACAGACGAAATGTATGCTGCAATCGATGAACAAGATAAAGTATATACTAGTGGTAGTGAAACATACGCACAAATACAACCGACGATGACAGAAGTTCAGGGAGTACAAAACGAGCAAACATTATTCTCTCGCGTTCCCTCTCGTTCCGATGAAACTTATTCCGCTCCGCAACCACCAAGCGTCGATAGCTTACGACACGTTGCACATGCCCATTCGAGACAAGGTAAGCCATCGATAATCATTGTTGATAATCCTCCTTTTTGTTATATTTTATTTTTCATATTCATGCGCGCACATTTCTTTTTTTTTTACAAATCGTAATATTACAGCTTCGTCGTCCAGTGCCAACAGTTCTATCATAAATCCAGGATCACCAAAGCCCGAGAAACGTCAAGCTAATTCACCGTTACCGCCTCCGCCGGAAGGAACGTCAGAAGTATACGCGTCAATTGAAAAAAAACCGAAGAACGACGACCGACTGAAACCGGCTTTATCCAGTGGAAAATCTTTGGAGGATATGTACGCAAAAGTAATGAAGAAGAAGAAAGACGTGGAGGAGCAGCAAAACGATATGCATCTAAATTCTCAGGGAAGCCTGCATTCCGATACATTTGTCGTTGGTGCTGTACGCAAGTCAAGTCTTATCGAAAATAATAAAATTGCATCATCTAGTCACGACTCTATGGAAATGCAGAGGAAAGAGTCCGATTCTGATGTCAATAATTTTCACTTGGAAGCCGACGTTCTGATGAAATCATCTTCTCCTTCATCGTCTAGAACTGGCAACGGTTTCGACTCGTCGAGTTTCGCGCTCGACCATGGATACGAAGGTATAAATAACGATTTACTTAAAAAACATTCAACGGGTTGCGACTCGAACTACGAAGTATTATGCCCGCAACAACATCTCACTATGGATACTGCAGCGGATCATCAGCAAACTAGCAGTTCTATCTCAATTTCTCTACGGAATAACGTCAACTTACTTCCCATCACTTCTTCTTCTTCTGTCTCTACCTCTTCTCCTTCAACATTTTCGTCAACATCTTCATCTTCTGCTTCTTCTTCTTATTCCGTACCATTTAAACATCGGCAAATTAGCAACGCCAGCAGTGAAGATCCAGGGTACGAGAAAGTGAGATTAAGAAACAGATCCGAAATAGACACAGACTCGGAACCAAATTATGAAAGTATGCCGCATGACGCGGGAGAACCGAATTACGCGTCAGTTTGCAGACCTGGTGATAGCGATACGGATCCCAATTACGAGTCTGTTAATCACGGAGATCCCAATTACGAGAGTGTGAAATATATGAGTGTTACGCGTGCCGAAGAACCGCCGTACGAACAAGTGAATGCATATAAACCGGAACAAGATCCAAACGGATACGAAAAAGTGAAAAAACATATATTGTTCAATGCTGATTATGAACAGATACATCAAAATCATTCTACTAGGCCAATTAATGGAGATACCGACGACGAACAGTATGTGCAAGTTTAGTTGAATATTCTTCTTCGTTTCTCTTTCGCTGTATTCTTTTATTCTTCTCGTTCCTTTCTTATATGTTTCCTATTTTCTTTTTCTTCTATCCTCTTCGTTCACGTTCATAGAACGTGTTATTCCTTTAACAACTGTGCAGTTAATTTTTTAATCGGTGAATTTTGCAGCAAACGTTAGATGCTTGGAAATGGAGTTGTACCTTTTACTTTTTGTTTGACTGGATCTAAACGTATGAGCCGAAACGAAAATCAAGAAAGAAACAAAATGAGAGGAAAAGAGCATTGTCTCATCGGTTTTTAACGTACAGAAACAAACATTTATTTGTACGGTTATTTCTTGTCTGTTCCCTTGTTGTCCCCTTTCCCTCGGATAACATCAAATAGCGTGCATCGTACTCACAAAGTGTGTTACTTTTGAACACGATATTCTGTTTACGATACACATCTCACAAAACTCGCAAATTAGAAACTTTGATAACAATGTGATTACATATGTGTTGTACACATGTAGAGTTTCGAGTATAACAAAATCTTGCATGCGGCGCTAACTTATGGGAACTGAATATATGTCGCACTTGAATGCATTCATTTTAAATGTAACGATTTGTAGTCTTTTGTATGTATTTTTAACATCGTATGTTTTTCGATAAAATAAAAGAATGTGAAAAAAAGAAACGAGAGGGTTGTTGTACCGTTCAGTGAAATCCTATCAAAAGAGGAAATCAAATCAAAATCGGAGCTACAAATATAGTGTACATCACATACAGATCAATTACATCGTTTATTATTTCGCGTACTTTCTCTTATTCCGTGTGACTTGTTTCTATTAGAGATGCAATATTATTTCACACCTATCAAATTTGTTACGCTCTTCTGTTACTACGAACATGTTTTACATACCACCATTCTCTGCGTACTTAGCATAAACTTTTTCTTTTTTTTTTTATGTTTCTATTTCTTTTCTTTTTTTCTTTCGCTATCGTCATATTATTTTCGATTTGACACAAATTGAAATCTCTGCTCTGTTACAAGAACATCAATCAAGTTGAACGGAGATCAAAAAGCAAAAAATTCAACGCGTAAAATTTTGCTGTCAGTGCAATCTGCTGCTCGATCATTTCGTTCGGTATTTCATTAAACACGATTATTCGTTATTACATTCGATTTTCATTTGTATAAAATCGTATAATATAACTATTATAATAAATGGCAGCATTTATAAATTTCATACGTGACGTATTTCTTAACAGTTCTGCTTCGTGCGATACATACCACATATAGAATCATCCATATGCATGAATCGAATTATTCTTTCTGAATTGCTTTACGTAATATGGGAAGCATAAAATGTTTAAAACACAAATAGAAATCGTGATAGGTCTGAACCGTTGAACAATAGTCTTTTCCCGATTTTACAAATGGAAGAATGGAACATTTTATTGTAATGGAAGAATGGAACATTTTATCGGTATAAAACCACGCGGACCCAACTACATATTTGCAAATTCCAAGATTGACCATTTCAAGCTACAGATCTCATCGCTGAATAGTCGTTTACGCTTAAAGGATATAACATTTACAAATAAATTGCGTGCTAATTGTAAAAGGATCGCGTTTTCGCATGTACAAAATATTTATGCGTGTGTTGTGTACAACTAGTACATGCTACATAAATGTATCAAACAAGAGAAGGAATGCGTATGGTAATATATTCTACATAGTCTGACATTTCAACCAAACAGAGATGTAACGTGGCTTTACACGCGTTATTCTCTTACTTTGTCAAGTATTCAGCTAAATTCATGCAAACAAATATAAGAAAAGAAATGTCAATGACCACACGATGACGTCGTAACAATAACGATAAATCTAGTTAACTCGAGGTAAAAATATATTGTTCTTTTGAAGAGGATCAGAAGCTCCAAAGATATTGTTAGCAATAAGCAGACTAGCCTTAATGTTCTCTTTCATTTTTTTAACTTTTTCATCTTCAGAAACACAATGATTTATTTTCCAATCACATTATTGCCAATGCACAAAGCTACAGCTCGACTTTGTCAATTTTTTTGATCTATTCCAATTTCCAATTTCCAATGTTTTTTTTTTTATACAATCTTATATACGTATTATAATCTATAATTGTACATATTAAAAACACGCTCAGGTATTTATACGTTTACAAGAAAATAAATCGCGCATCGCATGAATGACGTACATTTTTCTCTCGATCTAAAAAAAATGCGTGCACGATTTTTGTTACTCTCGATTGGAATAAGTGAAAGCTTGTTTAAAGTTTCCTTTTTGCACATCAGTTATCATTATAATAATAATGGAGTAGTTAGCCGATTCTCAGGAGGTAAGTTACAAATGAGGTAGAAATGAGGTAAAAATGCGACGTTGGACTATGGATACAACTATAACGCAAATGGAATAAGATAGCAAACAGGGTTCAAATTAGATGGCACGATGTGTCACACACTGTTGAGACTGCTAGCTTCCTCGACATCGCTCTCGCTCACTGGGCTAGTCGATGATTCTAAGTGATATCTTGAATCATTAGTCAAATCTTGATAATGTTGCTGCTGCTGTTGTTGCTGTTGATATTGATGCTGGTGCTGATGATTATGGAAGTGGTGATGGTGTTGAAGAAGATTTTCATTATGATAACATCGATGCCTTTCGTCAATACGATGACGCAGATCGTTAAGATGCACAGTTTGAACTCGTCTCTTTAGCTTTCGATGGCACAAAAGACAAACGATCAATGCTATCAATACAGCACCGATGGCATAACCCGCGGGGATAGCGTAATTACTCGTCTCTATAACTATATCACCTGAAATATAATAATTTCTTGTCAGATGATCGTTCGATTTGAAAATTCTCCAAATTGTCTAATATTCATTGTTTTCTTTTTTTTTCTAATCGTAAGTCCTTGTTCATAGAACGCAAAGCATCCATTTACGACTGATTTGATTCAACTAGGTTCTTTTGTTTTTTACACTCGTCGCATTTTTTAAATGAAACCTACGAAAAAGATGGCAGCGAAGAAAGTAAAACATGTTAAAAGGATAGTCGAAGATAATGTGCGCATGATTTTGAATAACTTGGTTGGTGGAAAAAAAGTTGGAAGAAATGATTTCATAAGAAAGTAAAGAAAAAGAAAAGGACGGTAACGGGAAAAAAGGGGAAGGAACGGAGACGAAGGAGAAGAGGAAAGAAAAAAAAAAGAAACAGAATGAAACGAAAGAGTGTGATCAGAAGTATCTGCGAAAAGACAGAGAAAACGCGACACGCGTGTATGTGTGTGAGAAAGAGAGAGAAAATTCAACATGCTATCTTATATAAACAAATTTGCATTCACTGTAATCATGCGTTTTTCTGTAAACTTTGTGTAAATTGTGAAAGAAAAATCTTTCAAAACAACACAAGAGATAAATTTCAAGATTGCTTTGAAGTTTACGTACTTAAGAGAACAGCGATATTCTTGGTATATCTAATTCTTTACACGTTACAACAGCCAAATGTGAGAATTTTTTTGTTTAACAATAAGTGAAGTAACAAAGAAGAACAACGCGCGGTAGTGCAAATAACTTTACAAATGTTACATTTGAAAAAATGATACATGTCATGTGTACAAAATGAATATGAACGTGACAGGTGCGCTGGTCATTTGTTTTGCGCTTCTATTTGTATACACATAACACATTGATCGACATTAAAAAGATTATCGTATAGTTAATTTGTTGTTGTATAAGAATTAAGAGCGATACATGTGCAATATTGTGAGTGAACTCACGTGATAGGGGAGATCATAACATGCCGGATCGTCGGAAGCTTCATGAAGGGCTCAGATGGCCACGAACACAAAGCACAGAGAGAGAAGAAGCATGGCAGAGACTCCAGCCAGTGCTGGCGACAATGGGGCTGATGCTGCACCTGCGACACCACACACAGTCATTCACCCATTCAATCTCTCCATTCTCTCACCTGTACACACAGCTACGTACTACTTACCCAAAAATATTACGCAATTCAGTACATACTCGTTTTTCTCTTCAACTTCTATTTACCATTTGTTCTCTACTTAGTCTTTCTTTTTCAATATTACAACATTGTTCCCTACCCCATTGCTATACGTATATTACGAATATCTTGGAAAACGTGTATTGTACGCGTGTGCAAGGTGAACATTAACACGAACACTTTCTTTTATCGTATTGGAAAACAATCTAAAACTGAATGGTTTACGCGGATAATATCACGCGTCTGATATCTGATCGAGCAAAATAAATCGGAAAGTACATGCAGATCCGTGCAGAATTTATCAATTTTGATTATCCTGAAACCGTACTCTTTATATTTAGGCCAGATATATTATTGTACATTATCTCTATTCTTACATGATTAATTGAAGAATCAGAGAAACAACACTCGGTTGGTTGCCAAATGATATCCTATTGTATAATAGCAGGTTAGATTTTAATTAAAGGTATCACGTAATTTTACATGTGTATACATCCATAGTAGATGCATGCATACATACACACTCGCGTATATGCATGCATAACATATACGTGAGGAGGATTAATTAAAGGTACTGTACTCGGTAGAAAAAGAATACGCTTGGAGAATTTGTAGAATAATAGAATAATAAAGTATCTATTGAACGATTCAAAGAAATTACACAACTTTGATACTGGATTCGGAGATATGTGCGTGTGTTTCTGTCTCTGCTACGTATATATATTTATATATATATATATGTGTGTGCGTGTGTACATGACCCGCATCTGGACGCGTACACACAAAATCTACACCGTTTGATATATGTATATGTATATACATTTACACGTATAGCGTATGGCAAAAAATGTGCGCACTGTCATCCTCGCTGGATGAGAATGTAATACACGATAGTACTTTTACACAACTATATAGATAGTAGAAGCAAAATAAAAGGAGAGTAGAATTGAATCACACGTTTCTAAGAAGTTGACTTGGTGTTTTTCTAACGATTACGAAACTTACAATTATCTTCATCCGAAGTGTCGGTTGGGCCACAATTATAAATTTTATTACACCGAAGCAACTCTGCAATGCAGTATTTACTTTTGCCACATAAAAACTGATCTTGGCAGTCGGTATTTGTGCTTACTTCGGTCCACGTTGCTCTAAATCCTTGTTGCCCAACTGCTTTGTCAGCCGATATGAAGCTAAAAGAAAAAAAAAGGTACAATCAATGCTCCAGTTCTCTATCCTTTGCGAGCGTAAATGCGATCGCAAACGATCTACGAAATAGAACAAAACAAGGAGTTTTATACACAAATAACGAACCTAAGTCGCATGTTATTATCCTCAGAGAGGTAAGTCCATGTAACTTCTGGTGTTTTAACACCACATAATTCAATGGGCGTGGATGATGCGGAATACCACATGCGCAGCACCGCAGCTGGACAGCCACGAACTGAAGAAATTACACAATTACACGTTTTTTTTTTTTTATTGATACGCTTCGGTTCAGAATTAAATCCTTAAATTCAAAACAAAGTGATTGAGAAACATAGATATACCTGATTGATCACCTTCTACCGAAAATAGTTCAAAGTTTAATAATATTCGTTGATTCGGTTGAACTCTTATAAACCAATTGCACGTTTTACTAGCCAGATTTTTTGCCGGTCCATCGTATTTGTTTGGGAAATTCGGGCTAGTAATGATTCCGTAATTCACACTGCTTATATTCGATCCACAATCTGCAATATCATGAATATATATATGCTTCCTCATAAAGAATTAATTAGAGATTTATATAGATTTAATCAATTCTGTTCCAAAAGATGTAGATTGTTGGAATTACATGCCTCCAAAAATAGGTTTCGCCACCTCGAACGTATAACGAGCTTTGAAACCGCTGTAAACGAGCTCAGAATCTGAATGCAGTATCACTCTTAAACCAAGGGCACCGAGATTCGATTCCACCGGTCCCGGAGCTGTACTACCGCAATATCTACCTATTAGTTTTTCCGTATCATCTCGGTAAATGTTGTATATCTCCAACCAATCGTCTTGGCAAACATCCATTCTAAAAAGATTGCGCGTAATTGCGCATCAGAATCAATAACGAAACAATAATTAAGCAACTTACCCGTAATGTCCGACCGTCACATTTGTATTTTTCGTTCGAACTTTAAAATAGTCAAATATCAAAGTAACTTGTTCGTTTGGCGTTGCTAAGAATAAATATGTGCAATTTGTGTCACTTGGATAATTACTAGGATGTCGCGGAGAATTAAAATCTCCCTTTTTGCGAGAGGAACTGATGTACGTAAAGTTGCAGGTGCCGTCGGGTGCCGCAGTGCCCGGTATCTTATACTCTGTTTCGAAGCAATATCTGTAACAATGAAAATGTACCGCATATGCGTTGAATAATATTTTCCTTGCTGTTTTTTTTTTTTTTCTTATCGCGAGATTCTTGTCAATTTCTCAATTGAAAAAGTATTTGTTCATTACCGTGCCTTGAAGCCTTGTCCTTGAGATTCTCCGCTACTAAACACCATCACGAGTCTCGGTCCATCGCTAACTACATGGCTCGGATTGCTCTCCGTACCGCACATCTCATGATCAAATTTGTCATAAGAATCCGTCGCTTCTTGTCCTTTTAAATACAACTTCAAATATCCATCGGTACATGACGAACTAGTACAATGAACCGGCAAAAAAGACGACGAAGGGAAACAGATTGGTGGACAAAAATTCTTTTTTTACAGAATGATTTAACAGTAACAGCAATTATACTTACTCTCCCATAGTCTTATTTTTTGGTATTTTAAATGTTACAAATTCCAGTCGTACGCGTTCAAGATGCTGAGAATCTTGCATTCCATAGACGAAATACCGACATACGACCTTCGGTATATAGGGATATGGAAAGTTCGGGCTAACCACAAGCCCACTGGATTCCTTTTTACTCAAAATCTTCTGGTCGCATTCTGATCCTCGTATATGCTCACCCTTGTAAGCGGTTATGAAGTCTGAGTAGACAGAGACGAGCGTGTACACGCACACGTACACGTGTATGTATATATACGTACATACATACGTACAAACAGCATACATATATACATATATACAAACAACCAGACATATATATATACATATATACATCCAAAAATACAAAATAAGTCAGGAAACTTAATTGATGTCTATAAGTGGACGCACAGAGAACATGCGAAATCTACTTCGTTTTTGAATGAAATGATAATTTTTTAAAGCATTAAATAATGTGTTTTGACATTTCTTATAATAAAATTATTAACTTGTTTTTATTAGAAAACCATTAATTTGATAAATAATTTGACTTTAATTTTGTAAAATCTGTCGCATGAAAAATAAGGAAAGGTAAGAAGCAGAATTAACTTTCATATATCCTATATTTCATATATACACATTAAGCACTAATCAATTTTAATCAATGTATTTTTCCCCAGTCGCAATATTCAGACACTTTGTTTTATGTGACTCACTTTGTATATATGCGTGTATCATCTATATATACATATATGTATGAAGCCGAGATTGAGAAAAAAACAGAAGATAAAAAAGCACGAATGAAAGCTTTTTAATAAACTGATCAATAATAGCACGTAAGTACATATTACAGTGTTTCTACTTACCTAATTTAACGAAACTCTCGGAGAATTCAAAGATACCCTTGAATCCGCGATTTTGCGTGTTTGCTGTACGTTGAAGCGTAACGAACAGCACGTACAAACTAGATTCTGACGAGTACAATACCAAATTTCGTTGTTGACCACAATACGTTCCAATAACAGCCGATGTATTGTCTAAACCATCATATACTTTTACGTAATCTAAGGGACAACTGTAACATGCAAAAATGTCACAGGAAACAGTTAGAAAAGAAATTATGCTGTTCTCTTCGTAGCTAATGAACGCGTATACACAAAGAGTTACATACTGTTGACCTCCAAAAAACAAATCGAAATCTCGGAACTCAAGGCGCACTCGTTGGCCTTCCTTTCCGATAAATTGATAATTGCATGTAAGACCTTTCGGATATGTGCCCGGATACGTAGGAGATAGTATGCTACCGTTGCGTTTTTTATTTGATTCTACCGTGAAAGAGCATGGTGTGCTAGGAGCCGGTGTACCCACCTCGTATTCAGCTGTGAATAATATTATCTAAATGTTAGCGAGAGTTCACAAGAATCGATGCAGAAGCAGAAGCAGAATATCCTCTGCTTGTCTGTTTGCATACGTGTGTATAAAATTTAGAGTACAGGACAGACGTACGTACACGCATTAATAAATGTGAAAGTACCGCTGAACAGGTTAGGTAACGTAAAATTTTTATCAGTGTAGAAACTAAGCGCGATTCCCTGATAAAGAGACACACGCCTGCGAGGTGGTATCGGGCCACAAAACCGACCACCGAAAGGTGTATCCACCAGCTTGCTGGTATTCTCCGATCGTATTTCCGTGTACAAGTCCAGATATTCGTGAACACAACTGAAAACCAAGTTTTTCCTAGTTCATCTGCGAACAAAAATAATTTGGCCGCGAGCAAATTATATCGATACCGAGCGTGTGTAATACTTACGCAGGTAACTCTCCGACGGCAGATCCACTACAAAAATACGGGAAATTAATGAACAGGTAGAGCTGACATACATAAATCTGGCACAACAACTAACATTAATCAGGAATTAATACTTTTACCGTTTTTAAAACTTGAAAGAGAACTACTCACTCTGGTGGGATTCCTCGAAGGCCGAATGAAGTGAATATTAATTCAACTCGTTGTTGCGGCCCAGCCAAGAAAGTATACACGCATTGTTTAGAATCCCTGTCGGGATTAATTAATGTCGGAGCGTGAAAGGTTCCATTTAGTGGACCTTTTGGCGTGCTTATAAACTTTTGATCGCACTCTGTGAAAATCATACACTCATCTAAATACGTCTTACTTGTAAAACAGCTACGCTACGTGTCCCGTTTTGCAATTACTCTTCTCGTTGGTGAGATCAAAACTTGGGTATGTTGTTGACTCACTGTCAATTGCATAAAACAATATTTCCGATAACTGACAACGACAACAACAATACCGCGTGTGAGGATCTTGATTTATATATATTTATATTGCTTATGCCGTAAAGCGCATAAACAAACGCCATGTGTCGTCGGCCTAAATATATCTCTCAATTAATTATTACAAATTTAAATTGATATGGTAGTAACTGTCGCTGATTCGATTTTGTTATTGCCCAAGTCCAATTAATGTAAACGAAAATGAAACAAAAAGATAAACGAACATTCCCACTAACCTGTACTGCTGCGAGGACAAAGTAGCAAGAATAAGATAAAAGCAGCAGAAATCAAATTATTCCCAGAAGCATGCCAGAATACCGAAGCCATACTGCATCCTAGGAATACACATTTGCATTTTGCTGAATCATATCTCGTCTCGACTGACATACGTTTTATTCAGTATTACGGGAAAATTGTAGAGAAACCATTAACAGTGGTAACTGTGATTTTACCATATCGTTAGTTCTTATTCCTCACACAAGAAAAATATGAAACATCGATCCCGAAGATCATCTGCAATTATACGAGTTTTAAGCAAGTTAGATCGTTCTACTATGTTTGTTGGATTCTAACACTGAAATTTATAATTAATACAAAATATTTACTTGAATAGGATCTGATCAATATTAATATATCTACTGTATATGTGTCTCATCAAATATCTATAATAGCGAGTCGTTCTTCGTCTCACGAATACGACATTGAACCATTGAAAAATTATGAGAAACACGTGAAAAATTAAATGACCGTAGGTACGGATGACATTCGAGTATGCCAGTAAACACGAATTATACTTCCTTTGCCACTAGATCTCACCAAGTTGTTCTAAACGAACAGAACCTCTTTTAGCTGTTTACATTTTTTTACGCGCTAATGAATGCGCTTTTACGCTGAAGAAAATAAGAAGAATAAGACAGCAGACTGATGAGTTTTGTTACACCAAAGTGGATCGTGAAACTTCGTCGCCAGTTATTACCAACTCTCATAAAGAGCTCTTCGACATTCATTTCGCGGAACAAATTTCGACGCTGGTACGAAAGAAACGGATTCAAATACAACAACATAGATATACGAAGAGTCGAAGCGATTCCTTTAATGTCTCGAACACGTGTCGCATGTCGCGTTTATTTGCCACGCCCTTGAAGTATGACACTTTTAACCCTTTGTGTCATTCGCCGTGTCGTCCGCTTGTTACTTCTGCGATCAAGTATCACTTTCAATTCGTTACGTATTCCTACATTATGGTACCGTATATTCAATTGTGCGAATCGTAAAAATAAAAGAAAAAAAGACACTTTAACATTCGAACCACCCCACCTCGATCCCCGTCGTTGCTATCACCATCGCCATCCCTGTTTGTATTTCAATAAAGGTAGCAAAATGGTCAATAACAGCAGCGCCTCTAGCGATATCCGACAATTTTGCGCGCCACGCACTAACCTCTCGTCCATACGGGATGTATTTGAATGATTTCACTAAACGTTATTTTTACAGATACATGCACGCACTACGACAGAAAATAAAATTTTTTCCTCTATATAAACAATCGTACTCGACCCATTTTTCAGAAGAAAGAAACAAAGAAAGATACATACATTTGATAACGATCCGTGGTAAATATATATACATGTCTATGTGCATATAACGCGCATCATATGATCCGAATAACAATCTCGGCAGAATAACACGAACGACTTACAACACCTCAAAAGAATTTCATTTAAATCTGATTTCAAAAAACGCCAATTTTATCGAATAATTGCTCACGATATAAAATCAATCATTTCTCCTCCCACTTTGGAATATACTAGATGTATTAATACACAGATGTATGTCGTAGGTACGTACCTTAGAGAACGTTGTTTAAAATTGAAATCTTACGCTTGACGTTTCGAAACATTCAAATTTGTGATGGGAAAGCGTAACGATGTCGTTTACATCTTTCGTTGCAAAAGACTCTTCCTCTCTCTTTTTGTCTGTACCATTTGGAAATATAACGTGTATACAGGCTTTATTTTACCATACACCGTAATTAAATGTACCAAATTGCAAGGATCAGAGTAATAAGCAATCAAGGTGATTAAAACGATAACAAAAATTTCTTATCCGTCGATCCTGTATTGCACATCGTTGTAACTGATAAAAATCAAACGTAAAAAACTGACACGATATCGTACTGACACTTAAATCATACGAGAACAAAAAAGTTGGTATTCAGTGTGTACCTACATATTGTATGTACACGCTAATATTTATATATGTTCGAACATACGTACTAAGCGAGAAGTGAAGACTGACAAAACAAGGTAATGGATATATAACGCGTTAACTAACTCTGGACCAGTCAGTTTCTGCGGAGGTACTGGCTACCCTAACACGCCCTAATAATAAGATAGGGGTCGCTAGTCAATCTAACCCCAAAAGTGGGGAGAAACGACTGATCCGAGGGATGTTCAAGAAGATATAGCTGAAGTACAATAAACATACATATGTATATAATAAATTGGAAATAAATTTTATTCTGTTCGTCTTTTCACGTTCGAATCTGCTGTACAATAGAGAAGAGGATTTATAGGATAATAGAAGTGATAAACAATATAAATTTATAATAAGGAGGAGGAATAACATGTATTTTATTAATGTACAAATAAATATATCGTCTTTTAAGAAAGGTAATTCACATACAACTGTTTATTGAGACATGTAGAATACATCTGGTCATACACAAAAATCTTTGACACTTTAAATCAAGCTCCTAGCCCGAAAAAGGAACCATTTCAACATTATTTTAAATTCAATAATCATTACGTTCAACTACGTCACACTAAAATTAGGGACAACTTTTCAAATTGCGGGAATTAAAAAAAAAGCAAAGCAATTGGAAGATGATGAATAATAATAAAAAAAAAAAAGAATCTAAAAACGCAATTATCAACATTGAAAGAATTTGGTCGTTTGAAATTTGTCGTTCACTTTTAGTCGTGGAGCTGACACGTGGCATGTGTGGCGCGAGAAACATAAACCGTATATATGGTTGTGTGAATAGTGTTACGTACATTTTTTTCGTTTTTTTTCTTTTTTTAAATATTTTTCTTTCATTTTCTTTCCGTACAATTCTTCATTTTTTGTTGTTTTCTCATTAATGCTAAATAACATCACGTCACAAAATGCATATCCGCAGGAATATAATATATAATATATTTATATATAATTAAAAAACACGTCTTTGGGTCGTTATTAACATAAATTGAGCGACCCAAAAATCACACAACATCCGCTTGACACGGGCCAACCAAGAAGAGTCAAGTTCCCAAGGATGTGTGCCGCAAATTAGGGCAATGACCGGGTAAAAGGGTGCGCGCGGCTACAGCATCGTCAGCCACAGTGGTGCATTATCCTAAATGCGACCGATAACCCCCAGGCACCCCAGCTGCCGCACCGGTCAATTGTATAAAATAGCAAAGGATAAGTGATATCATATTGGGGCGCCTTTAACGCTGGGGTAGGGCCAATATCGTAACGCTAGTACCTAGATCAGTCTAAAGTCTCGTCACCGTGAACTGTCTCCGCTTTTGCCAGGTTATGCTTCCTTGCCCCCGCAAGCTGAACTTTCCTCTTTTTTTCGTTCGTTCGTTCGTTCGTTTCTTCTTTCTTTCTTCCCTTTCTTTCTTTCTCGCATACTTGCTTCCTATTTGCCTGCCTTATATAAGTATATAATCTTCCTCTATTATAATTTCGAAGGAAAACCAGAATTTATATTGAAACATTATTGTGTTACAAAACCCCACTCAGTATAATTAGCAATATCATTCTTATCATATCGTTAATATTAATATTATTATATCCTTGATATTATGTTTTTATAAATAGGGTGTGTAGATAAGTAGAATAGGTAGGTATAAAATATGGTAAGTGAATAATGAGTTACGAGGAAAAAGTACTAAAGAAATGAAAGGTAATAATGTTGATTGGCATGGATAATATCAGTAATTTTTCCGACTGCTGGCTCCTCTCGCTTCCCTTCTTTTTCTCTTTCACTCGCTCACTCACCCAGTCATTCACTCAATCACTCACTCATTTGCTAACTCATCGTTCACTCTCACTATCTTTCCTATCTTTTTTGTCCACTCAAACGCTCTTATCATCCATTTTCACTTACGCATGCACTTTCTTTCTACTTTCTCCTTTGCCTTTCTTTATATCTTGCCTACATAACAATCGCTCGCTCGTTCATTCCTCTTCTCTTCACGTCTTTCATTTGCACAACCGCACGACCGGGGACAGGAAGTAGAAGTGAGGGAACTTCGATCGTTAGTTTATAGCTGTATGTCATCGTTACCAGATTTGTATAAATGACGAAATAAAATCGGACTTAAGTAATTATGAATGAAATGTGCAAGAAAATGTTCGTCGATACGAGAGTTTTAAAAACAATCGATCCGATCACTATACATAGATAGTTTGTTATTTGTAGAAATTCACCGATTCAAAAGCCTTCAATGGATAGGAATAGTGGGCATTTTTTTTTTTTTTTGTTTCTTGCCTGGTTGTTTAATTCCTTGACATTCCTTTTATTATTCTCACATAGAATTGCATTTCTCTCATATCTACTTCTGTATGTATTATATCCAATGAGCCCGAAGTACATGCTAGTTTTTCCATTGGTGCTATATACGATAAGACAATACGGTGATATGCAGTCACTTCGTTACAAATGATCTTTCTCATCTTTTATCTATTTTTCCGTCACAATTCGGGGGTATGTGTAAAACACTATTAGGCTTCGCTTATATTTTTCATTTCAATTATTCTCCAGAACAGGGGGGTGTCTGGGCTCCAGGGACAGGGACCAACTATAGCCCGCATTTGCAACTCTTACTAATTAACTAACAGGCTAACAATAACAACGAGTCAACACTCAAAATGTGTGCTGTATGTGTTTCATGCATTTGTAAACGCTGCGTACACTTTACACATCCTAAATCAATCCGTGACTATCATTATCAAATTCGGTAGTCAGTCGCTCTAAAAAAAAACTCCCCTGCATGTGGCAGGAATTCTGCGATATAACGCAACATAAAAATTTTGAGAGTAAAATTTAATACAAACGAAACATATAAGATATACTCTTTTTTCCTATTTGTTTCGTTTGTTCGTACGCATTCAACGGTTCTTTGTTTGATTCTCTAACCACAAAACAAAAACAAAAAATAAATGGAATAGAAAACAAAAAATATAACATTATAAATGAGAGAGAAAAACAGAGAGAGAGGAGAGAGAGAGAGAGAGAGAGAGAGAGAGAGAGAGAGAGAGAGAGAGAGAGAGAGAGAGAGAGAGAGAGAGAGACGTGAAAGAACAAAATCCTAAAGGATAGATTCATAAATTCTAATTTAGACGCTCTCATTATAAATTTTTCTATACAAACAAATTTTGTACTAACCAATTTTGTTGCTTGTAATAGATTTCCTTTTTCTTCTCCTTCGTTCATTCTTATCATTTTGATTTACCCTTTCCATACTCATATCGATTCTTAACCTCTGATCATAATGATCGAACAAATGAGAAATATCTTTACGCAGAACCGTTGATTTCTAACATTTCACTTTTCTATCCTTGTAAAACCTGCCTGACCCTTAATAATAATAATAATAGTTTCACTGACTGTACACATTATAGACCAACAATAGAAGGTCTAGCGGCGCTTGGCGCGCTCCACGCATCACACATGCACACGTATGCACGTATATAAACGTGCACACGCGATCCAACCATACGTACACGCGCGCGCGCGCGCGCACACACACACATACATACACACACACACACATGCATTCGCGCGCATATCACGCACAATATCATGCATCATATCCACACGCACACATAAACATACACTCGTAAAACATGTTATGTATAATTTTCTCTTTCTTCGTCTTGTAGAAGAAAAGAAAAAACTATTTAAATTGATCGCTACATCGATAAATTTTTTAATATTTCATTCACGTTCATAAACCAGTTCGCTCATTCTCACACCCTTTCATGCTAATCTCCTCGCCACTCATATCCTTCCCATTTTCGCTTTTGTTTCTTCATTCTTTCTTGCATACTCCTGTTTTATCCTTTCCCGTCCCACCACCATATTTATCTTCTTTCACTTTACCTATTGTATTGTATTCTCATCTTTTCCGTATGCAAGCTCTTCGTCCATCTATCAAACCCGAACACACGTTCTCGCACATACACACAAAAATCCGAATCATAGCATAATAAAATCGCTGGCTCTTGTGTCTAGTTAACACAAGCCATCACAATCCCAATCGTCAACATCGCTGATCTTTGTATCACTTGGCAGTAAGCGATGTGACAATGTAATAGTACTTAGATTAGTGTATATATATATATAGATATATATATATATATATATATATATATATATATATACACGTGTATATATATGCATATACATGTGTGTATATGTATATATACATATATATGTATATATATATATGTAGTACCAGTACAGGATGGGTTGTTGGGTGGTCACTCTGGTTTTTTAATTAAAAATAATTAGTCCCAGTGATACGTCACTGTATATCAATCACAATGAGAGCTAGCGATGGTGGTGACGTTCAGTACGACGCTTCACGCGCTTTTTCACGTTCGTTCATTCGTCCATCTGATGATTAAATAGGCATAAAAACATTTACAATTGCCAAATTTTATAGAGTTAAATAGCATTATACGTGGGTTTCCTACACCCTTTTAGGTTGATTTTTCATCTTATCTTTCCACATTTCTTCAAACTATTCTTTTTCTTCTTTTTTCTTTTTTTTTTCCACAATTAGCTTTTGCTTTCGTTGCTTTCAATTTGTCTCCTTCTTCGTCCATTACAGCAACTCCAATTTATTATTCTTTCAACTTATGTTGTACACATTGTTTTGCTCGTCCGTTAAAATTCTCTCGTCGTGCGTGCTTGCGTGCGTACTTAGATGGGTGCGTGCGTGCGTATTCACTCACAGACTTGTAGAAGTTAGCTCCATGATTGGTAGGAATCTTGATACCATTCGTGATCATCGCTGGAAATACCGCCGAGTGTGGCGGTCCTACCTCCAAATCCTATGTCACCGCCGCCACCACCACCACTGCCACCGTTCACACTCGCCAATCCGTACGCATTGCCCAGTGGTTGTTGGGCAAGGGGTTGGTTTCCCCAGTTGCTCTGGAAGCGACGCTTAGATTCCCCCTGGTTCTGGTGACCCCCGTCAAATTTTCGTTTACCTGCTATACAAAGAAACAAACAGATCTTTGTCACGTTAAATTTTCTTATTGCGGTAAAATTACGTTTCGAATCTCTCCGTGCGACAAACACGATCTCTCCCTTCCATTCACACACACATATGCACACACAGACACAAGCACACACCTACGCACGCATCCGTTTCTTCATTGTTATCCCATGTCTGATGAGCACAAGAGCAATCGTTACTTAATCGGCTGGTCACTCGTTCGAATCGCATCATTGTACGACATAGTCAAGTATGTGTACCAACACTCCTATATGCCATAAGACTGGAGCGTTAAATGTGTACAACAAAACGAAATAAAACAACGATTTAACGTTACTAAGTGAACGGGGAACGTAACTAAAAATTAGTGCTGTGGAAAAACACATATGTGTTATTGATTGGAAGAAAACCGATCAGTCAAGTCTAGCTTAAGGAAAATAGGAGGCATCTGAAAATATTACTGAATGCGTACTGAGAAATAGATTGTCGTCGTTTTCAACGATCTATCTGGAATAGGAAAACTGGAAAATGTGCCACCTCGATCTAAGATGGGATCTAACTATTAGAAAGAAAATCAAAGTATAACTGAACTATTCGATTTAATGTCAACTGCACTTTTTGAAACATTCAACTCGTTGAATATGATCATTGCATATTTACATTCAAATTCAAGAACATGAAAAAAAAGTATTCAGAGATTTAAGAGAACAATGTACACGTAGTTTGTCGAACTCGCATTCTTTCAAATACGCTAGAACAATGTCGTCATATTTGATACTTTGTCAGAGTTGTTTCGTGGCATGACTTTTCATTGAAATTATTCAAACCATAAGGAAATAAAAAAAATGTGCGTATAAAAAATAGAATATAATTAAAGAGGAAGTGTAGTAGATGAAGCAAAATAAAAATGAATATAACAACTAGACGTTGCAAGGATATTACTAATGTTCAATACGTAACGCAAAATTCGAACGGTGATCGCAAGAAAAAGCACGAACAGAAATAATGTCTATCAGTTCTCGCACACACACGACGAGACGTTATTAAAAAATGAAAAATAGAAAGCGGAGAGAAACCTTAGCGAAAAGTCAGAAGAAAGCATAAAGAAACGAAAGCAAAGTAGAAGGAAAAGAAAGAGGTATGATAAAATAGATAAGTTACTAATAAGTGATGATAAAAGTGTAAAGAGAAGAATAGCGTATGAAAATAATGTTAAAAGATGATTGATTTATTGTGGAGATACAGACCATCCTCACCTGGTAAACTTCCCTTGGCGCGGACCCCCCCACGAGCGGACAGCCGCTGGACCCCACGAGCCCCTGAAGTTGCGGGGTTGCGTCCCCCCCTGACTGGCCCACGGACTTGGGGGCCACCGACTCGGCCACGCGGCACTACTCCACGGCCACGTCCAGCCTGACCAAATAACACAACACCCAATCGTTACCCTATATGATATTTCTTACATTCCTAGTATAGATTTGCGTATACACGATTCTATATAATACTTTACTTTTGTACTCTTCGCGAACTTGGACAACACAATCGTGCGTCCTTTCGGCTTTCTTTTATCGATCCCCTTTATCTTTTCTAACTATTGTTTAACAATTAACATCCTATGTATTATCGACCGACGTATCAACTGTTTGTTTATAGATAATACCTAAACACCTGATTTTATACTTCTTTAAACAAACGGATTAAACAATTTCTTGTAATTCATCATATGAATTTACTTTTAGTACAATTAAACTTCATCATTTGAATTTTACTTTAGGATCAATATGCTGTTATATGTACATTTTATACCCTCTAAATATATTCATACACGTATTATATACAAAAAGACGTACACGTACAGACGTACAAATTAACATGTATATGTATATACTCATACAAAATGGTTGTATATGCGCTAAAATATGTATGTATGTACGTACGTGCGCGCAAGCATCTATTTATTTATACGTATATTATACGTATATACATGCAAATAATACATACAAAATGATGCGCGCGCCTATATGTGTACGTATGGATGACTGGTTGGGCGGATAAGTGATTGGAGATGGATGTGCATAATGATCGACAGCAAGGATTGGTATGATATGCGTTGCATAAAAAGCGGAAGGGAGTTAGAAAAGGACACAATTAGGATGGTTTAGGAAAAGAGCTTAGTAGGATAATGAGGTAGTTATTTACATATATATATATATATGTGTATACAGATTAGCGAAATATACACAGTGGCAGAACGATGCAACGGATGTAGGGATCACCTAAAACCAAATCTTACTAACCACATTTTTTTACAGACAGCAGTAGTATTAGCAGAATTATCCAATGCAGTAAAGCGGAAAGCTTATTGTATTGGGATGGCGAAGGAACTTTAAGCGACACAACATACTGCACTGTCAGCTAGAACAAAATTCAACAAATCAAAATTTAAATAGTATAAACAACGCAACATCACACAGCAGGGTATTGTTTAAGCGTAAGCAGTATTTTATATATATATATATATATATATATATATATATATATATATATGCGTGTGTGTGTATATATATATATATATATATATATACATCGAAGCAAGCAACAAACATCAAGAATTTCAGTATCGATGCTAGAAATTACTTGCAGGGACTAGCACAAATCTCATTGTCGTTTCTTTTCTTGTTTCTTTTCTTTTCATTCTGTACTTTCAATTAACTTCTCGTTTCTATTCTGTAAACTGACCATATAAAACTAATGTGATATAGAACAATACTATCCAAACGCATGTACATAAATGCACAACCACGTACAATTATATATATACGCACGAATTATCATAGTACAACTTTTATAACTAAACTAAATATCAAGTCAGTCTCAAGCTATGGAATATCATCTCATATATATCTTTACGTAACTTTTCTTCCAGGCATCGTCAATTTACAAGTTGTTTCATTAAGAAATGATAACTCTTTTTTCCAAACATATTCACATTTACAATCCTAAATAATATCATTTAATTTACACGAACTATATCTGATTAAATTCTTTATAATGTATAAAGAAATTTTTAATCTTTTAAGACTAGAAATACTAGTATAACATTATTACAACACACTAAATAATGAAGATTATAAAATGAAATTTCCAAAAAAAATATGTTTTCTTTAAATTGACAAATACATTATTTCATTGTAACAGAAGAAATTACTAAATTGAAGAAAAAATACTTTGTTTAAGTGATCAAATATCTTGAATCGACTATTATCTATTTTACTACTAGTTAAAAACATTTTTCCACCTCCATTTCCGACAATATTGAACAAAGCCAACATTATAATTAAAATCAAAAGACTAGATATAATTGACATGGAAGATGACATTATGTATGAGAGAAAATAATTTAAACAAATAAGTGAAAACTACTTCTAACAGTATCTTGAACAATCAATCCTAATGACTAATATAGTTAGGAAATAAATCGTCAACGACGAAGAAGATAATTCAAAAAAAATTATTCTATGCCAACAAATCTGTACAACTAAGATGTAAAAACTACATTTGCTGAAATAATCTGAATCTTATATGTGAATCGAAAACAATAGTACTGAAAAAATCTCATCAATGTATCAGTTAATCGGTTGATTATTTATCGTTTATTTTAATCAATCAATTGATCGATCGATCGATTCACTAATTAACCAGTATGTGAATTATTTATCTATTTATTGATTTATCTATCTATCTATCATTTTACTCATTTATCCACCCATCTTGATCATTTTACCTATATTTACCTATATTCCTGTCTATTTATCTATTTTCCTATATACCTTGCTATTTACTTACCTACTTACGTACTCTTACATCTATCTATTATATTGAACAATTTTATGTCTTATAATTAGGCAAGGAAATAATTGATCAGTTTGTCAAAATTAATATAATGATGATACAGCTGTAATAATGTTCACAGAGTATCCAATATTTCCTTATTTGGACAACTCTGCAACTTGTTATATAAATACATATACATATAAATGTACAAGTAAATGTACATATATATATATAAATGCTTCATATCCGAGCCACGAGACTCACACGTCGCTCTCTTTGGAAGGACAAAACTATAAAAAATATAATAAATACGTGTACTTAACCACAGATATTTATATACACGTATAGATATAATACATACATACACCTGAGATCCATACGTAACTACACACACACAACCACACGAATTTAAGGATACATACGTACATTCATATGGCGGAAAGAATGTAACAAGATAATTTTATGGACCATTTGATGAATATTTAGAATGAAACCAATTTTTTTAAAACTACGAGTTGCCAAATATATCTTCTACTACTAAAGTATTCTACTATTTTTTTTACATGAATTATGATACTCAATTGAATGATAATATAGAAATTCATTACTATCTAACTAATGTTCATTAGTTACGTATTTATCATAGTTTTCAATTCTAATTACATTTCTTCCACCTCGTACATACTAGTATATGGACACATACACATATCACATACTATGAAACACACAATAGAAGCTCTCGTAATATTTTTACCTACAAGTAAAATTTCTTTTCAAATATCAACATGGGAGGAGCAAATATTAGGAAAACTTACAACACTAAAGACTTATTATGTTGTTTTCTGATAAAACAACATATATAAAAATACAAGGGAAATCGTACCTTTTCCATCTGTTTCTCTATTTATCCCGCCCTCTCGTTATTATATATATCTTCAATGTTTTTTTTCTTTTTTTCCGTTCCTCTCTTACTTTCTTGTACTCTAATAGCTTTTCCCGGCTATATTGTTATTGCAAAATTTGGAATGGGTCTACTATGGCTCAGATATGATTAGCAAGCAATTTGAAAGTGGCAGTGTGTTCGACTTATAGGATAACGTTAGTCTAAATGATGGAATTAGTAATGATGTAACACATATAAATAGGACAGTTCATACCCCCCCCCCCCTCCCATCTTTCTTTGTGCGCGTTCCCATAATCTCACATCTTTCTCTCTTTCCAGTCTTCAAATATATGCACACTATCCATCAATCACTATACATCAATTTTATTACAATGGAATTGTTTTCTAATCTTGTGTAAAAAAAAATATATATATATTCCAAATGTATCTCAAGCGCATTCCATTTGATTATTTTTACAAAGCTTTACTAAATAAATGCATAATACATCTATTATTTATTTTGGTGTAAGCGTTAAATTTGAGTACAACTAGATTTATACTCACAATTTACTAAGACAGCTAAAGTAATAAATGGGAAAATGAGAAAATAAAAAGATGTATATATAAAAATAGATGGGGCAGAAAAAAAAATATATATATAATGTATAGTATATACACATATGTATAATTACACAAAATGCAGACATACATCCACGCATTCATGACAGGTAGCACACGTGTCGTTGGTATAAAAACAGTTATATATAAGGATGTGCATCAGTGCGCGCATCTAAGTTATAAGTCCACGTTTTCCATGCTTATATACTTACATCGATACGTAAGAAGTTAATGCACACTCTGATTAAATAATAAATGGGCAGGTTGTTTGGAGAGAGTAAAGTGGATTATATAATGTACTTGGGATACATCCGCGAACACTGTGCCACAGTCAAATTACTATTGATGTGTGTATATATGTATATATGTATACATACATATACATATATATATATGTGTACATACAGACACACAAACACACATACATACATAAATATTAAAGAAAGTAATAATGATTCAGTAACGGAAACGACTTTAGAACCATTAAAAAAGGCGACCCACCGGTTGAGGCTGCCTGCCTCTCCCTCTGGCAGGTGGCGGAGGCGGCGCGTAATCGAAATAGTAATCTTCGTATCGATAATAGTCATCGTAATATGGATCACTGTAGCCACCTCGATAATCCCCATAACCGTAATAGTCGTAATCATAATCTATAAAAACACACATTACAAATAGACCCAAATTTAGCCACGATATATCCAATTGGCAACTTATTCAAAACTAATACTTTTGTTTTTTTTTTATAAGAAAATGCATGCCGGGAAAAGATGGTTTTAAAACTTCAATGATAGGAAACAAAAAAAAGAAAAAGAAAAATATACATCCGAATAGTACACGTTACGATTTTATTCGCAATCGTGTATATATACATACATATATATATATATACATATACATATATATGTATATATAATATATATATTATATATAAAATTATTTAATTAAAATCATCACGGAAACATATATTACTTTCACTATATAACAGCGATACTGCAAAGAAAAAACTCAATAATTACCCTACCACCATCATGTATCCTGATAAAAACTTCACGCTTTATTCGGATCATAGAAAATTATTTCCTAAGCAATTTTATACCTATTCTCTAATCCAATTTCTCTCGCTCTTTTTTCCCCTTGTTCTCCCTTTCTCTCTCTCTCTCTCTCTCTCTCTCTCTCTCTCTCTCTCTCTCTCTCTCTCATTCTTTCCATTCTCTCATTCTCATTTCAGTTCCTTCTTTCATTCTTATCTTAAGTTAATTGAATTATCATCGTACAATGACATTAGATTATTAAATATCATGACAGATAATAGCATGCTTTGTTATAATTTTCGATGATCCGATATGAGCGTCTTCCAATGTTGGATACATAGTTCCAAAAGAGAAAAAATATAAAATTCTACTAAATGGTATTCTACTACTTTCCATTCGTAATTCAATATCGCATCTTACCTATTTCCATGAGAGCTGAAACCAAATTTATTGAATTTATGATGCATACGAAATCAACAAAATACACACACTTACATAAAACGAGGTAGAACAAACAACATAAAAAAAAGTAGAAAGAGAAAAAAAGAAACTGAGAGATTTTTTTTCTTGGCAATGCGTATGATTATACACCGCCACAAAATAAATTTCACTCAAATATTATTATACGTAAATACAAAACAAACAATACACATGCAATTACTTTTTTTCGTATGTGCGTGTTTTATGTGCGTCCTTTTACTTGTCGGTCCGTCTCTGTGTGTGTGTATGTATGCGCGCACACTCGCGCGCAATGTAAATGTGAAACATAATAGGTATCGCAGGAAGTGGCAGTGGTAAGGCAATAAGGTGCTGATTATGATGCTAAACCACACCTGGCATACATATGTATAATCGTACATATGTATGAAAACTTTTTAATAATGTAAGCTAATTGATATTTGTTCCAGAAAATATTTCGTATATCCGAATATCACGTACTGTTTACAGGATTATGCATTGATGAAAACAATAATTGAGATAATAGAAAAAGAAAAAAAAAGATAAAGAAAAAAGGGGAGAAAAAGAAATAAAATACTGCATAACAATTAAAATGTAATCATAATAGGCTCAGACCAAATTCAATTTACCAGATTGTCATACAAATGCAATTTTTTTGATATAATGAATGAACGAAAGGGTACTTCAGTTGTTAAGCACTTTCTCACTACATCTTCTAATGTGATAAATGATAAAATAAGTTTAAAAGTCTCTCTCTGTTTTTTAAATTTTCTTGATGAAAACTGTTCTTCACTTAGAGATGTAATTTTCTTCCCTCTTAAGCAAGCAAACTTGTAACTAATTTTGTAGTTAATATTTCACGATCAATAAATATTATTTATTAATACTCAAATATTAGGATCATGGTTCTGAAGATGAAGAAGACAAGGTTTCAATGCTAAGGATATGATATTATTCGTCCTTAAAAATGTTTGTACTTTTATAACAAGTTCTCATATATATAACATCATGCGCGTAAGCTAAGGTATGTAGTGAGATAGTGAAATCCCCAAAAGCATGCGGGATGTTTATGTTACATAACATTACCATAAGTAATCGATAAAAACGATCTAACAATGATTTGTGTTTATATAAATCTGAAAAATAAAATATTAGTATTTTAAATCTATGGAAAAGTTCGTTAATAAATTTTTTGAACATCATATATTTTTTCAGCACCAAAATATTAGTATACTTTATCTTGATATATTTTTCAATTTCAATCATTTAAGCAGTCCATTGGCGATATACAATTTTCTCAGACCTTGCATTATATAGATATAAACTAAATGTATAATTATATGCTAATACCATTGTCAATAATTTTACAGGAAAGTTGAACAATTTAATATTCTTACAAAGTTAAGATATGGTCTAAGCCTAAAGATGAATTAAATTGACTGCAAGCGAAAACAAAACCTTAATTCAATAAAACAAAAACGTGTACATATATGTAATTCACGTTATCTCTTTCTATATAAAATATTATTAAAGGGGTAACGAAATGCAATTAAAGTGTTACGTACAAATACATGAATATATATGTATAAACGCGTGTGTATATGTTTAATTCCGATTAGGTCTAGAAAATATCAACGAGCGCGATAAACATAAAGGTAAATTGGTACTTACCATAGTCGCCTCGTCCCATTTGTCCTCGCATACCTGCGCCAGTACCTCGAGGACCTTGTCCTGGTCCGCGAACTGGCATTGGTCCTCCCATCATACTTGGATGCGATGGAGAACCTCTGCAACAGAAAATTTCATTATCATCTGAAAAGATGATGTAACTCAATAAGTAAATCAGAATTAACAGCTGTATCGAATAATATACGTACCCGCTTCGACCCTGAAACATTTGCATCATTCTTCGCTCTCTAGCACGAAGCATTTCTTCTTTCTTCTTCTTGTCAGATGGTGGTTTTGCAAGAGATACTTCGATGTGAGAACCTCCGATTTCTTTTCCGTTTAATTCGTTCATTGCCTAGAACACGAAATAAACAATACTGCAATAAATAACTTGTAATTTACAATAACATTCTAATATTAACAACGAATATAATTACACAATATTATCAATTAACGTATTATCAATTATATCCTACCTTAACAGCATTATCTCTTTCTTCAAAATGGACAAAAGCATAATCCTTGATTTTTTTCACTCTTTCGATGTTACCATATTGTTCGAAGCTTTCCTTTAGTTTCTCTTCGGAACAATCTTGTGTCAAGTTTTTTACGTACAAGACACGTACCTAAAATACATAATTTAATTAATAATCAGTTACATCCAATTGCATTTTCAGTGTCAATTACTTACTTTAGACATTGTTTGTTCGTCAGGTTCTTCTTGAGGATCTGCCCAATCAACTATGATATCACAACCCCATACTTTGATGCGACCGGTACTTAATCTTCGTTTGGCTAAGGAAGCAGCTTTATGAGATTCATATTCTAAGAAGCAAAAACCTCTATTTTTCTTCTTATCATCCGGAGAACTGTAGATAATCACCTCGGTCAGACCAGCTACATGATGAAAAATTACACAAAATACATCAATAAATCTCAGCAGGACAAATTAAGAAGAGAAAGAGAATATATCTACTAAAAGAATATGTCTAGTGAAAAGAGGAAAAACAGGAAAGAAAAAGGAGAAATAAAAGAAAAAGAGGGTGAAGAAATAAAATTAAAAAAAAATATATATAGATATATAGATATGTAGAAAAACCAATTTCGCGAAGTCATCTCATTTTGCATACAGTATATACATGGAATTTCAGGATAGCTAACAAAATTGAATAATAAATTATTTTATACAAGAGATCTTCTATCCGATATAACCAAGTAAAAAGTTATTCAACGAACAAAGATAAAACAAATATGAAAAGAAATAATTCCACTTTCAGTCTCGTTTTTCTAAAAATTTTACTTTTTCCTTTTCTATTTATCTTTGCTTGTAGAATTTCCTCTTAGTCCTGAGATACCTTGTTTGTATAAACTGCTACATTAAATATATCATGAATTATACAAATAGAAACAATTTGAATCGCTGAAATTTAGTTTACTGCAATACGTTATTAATATACCCATGAAACGTTCTTAACTACACTTTGGCTTAGATAATGTTTGATAGAGATAGATTGGCAAAAAGTAAGGACGAGAAAGAGAAAGAATTCTGAAATGAGTAAATGAATGAGAATGTATGAATGAAAGTGAGAGAGAGAGAGAGAGAGAGAGAGAGAGAGAAACATGAGAAAATTTGATAGATAAATTTATCATCTAAATTATAACTAAATGATTCATTTGAAACATTAAAATATCAAAATTACAACACATTATTTGATACCAAATTATGTCACGGAAACTAATAAAATGATGTGGTCGAAAGGGGAAATTACTTTTACATGAAAAATAATTTTACTCAAAGAAAATTATGTATGAGTATGGGTGTGTATATATATATAGATACATCTACCCAATATTTCCACAAATAAAAAAAAAAAAGAAATCAAAACATACCGATCGTGATTCTAATAAATTACCAAGCTATTAAGTACTAATCAGTTAATTACAAAAAAGGAAAAAAATGATATCAATTACGATAGTAAATTTATAATGAAATTATTCTGCAATAAGTAGTTTAGACGTCAAATCTTTCACAATTGCAATATCTGGTTTTGAAATTCTCAAATAGTATTGACAAACTTAATTTTTTCCTACCAACATAATACTCACACCTACAACATGTTTAAGTCATACACTGCCCTCAAAATCGTCCTTTCGGTTGTAAGCAATAAATTAATTTCCACAAAATTTTACAAAAAAATCATTTAGCGATAATCATAGTAGATTTTGAGAACATAGTATGTACACTTGTTGTATCATATACAAGGAATTCTAAAACCCTTACCCGAGTACACACGCGCATAAATGGAAAATAAAACACACTAAAATTATAGATATGTAAGTATCCGTTTCTCAATACCATATCGCTCAAGTACACACAAAACATAAATATGAAATGTTTATGTTTAAAAATTATAGATAGTGTTAAATTAAAAAATATACTTGTAGTATATACATATACATACATAACACGCATATATTGGTAATACATAGATCATGTAATAACTTGTAACTTGATATATATTAATCCATATCACATATATACGTTTTATGTATATGTATGATACATGTGTACATACATAATGTACGTATACATCCATGTTTACAAATGTAGATACATATGATTATACACATATGTATATGTATTCATATGTACATAATAAAAATATAAAACTTGAGCATAAAATTTAAGATACAATCTTAAATCACCAAAATAAATTTAAGATACGCTCAATATACTTTATTAGTTATAATTAATAACTATGCATTATAATTATAAATTAAATAAAAAAATTTGGTACCGAAAAATTTATATATATATATGTAAATACCTTGAATAAATATTTGAAAAAAAAAAATTCTATTCACGCGTCACCAAATCAATTTTTACGAATTTCTAAAACACATTTATGGACTTCGATATGATGTTTAATTACACAAAAGAAAAATAAACGTAATTGAAAATCGAGAGATGTATTACATATTATTAAATAAAATTATCATGCTATTAAAATTTACATGCATCGCAGTGATTAATATACGAAGAATATAAAAAAGATTAATCTTTCCTGAAATTATGTAAGAATCGATATTTTTATCAATTAATTTAAATACAGGTACTATCATAGACGATGTGTCTCAAACTAACAATACCATTTGTAAAAATAATAAAACAATTCTTTAGCTACAAACTCATGTTCAATTGTTACCATTTTTTTTCCTTTTTAATTTAAAGATAATCCTACTCTCCTTCCTCTCAGTTTAGAAGTTGGTTTGCACGCGTGGGCACAAAACACACACACACAAACCCACACATAGAATATATACATGTGTATGAATAGACAACATGGCATCTGATGAAAATGCACTTGGTCTTAAAGCAACAAAAAAAAAAAAAAAAAAAAAAAAAAAAAAAAAAAAAAAAAAAAAAAAGAAAAAAAAACGCGCATATATGTATTTGATTGAATAGTATAAGAGGAAAAAAAAATAATGAGAGAATAAATAGATAAATAGATAGATAAAAAGAGATAAATAGAGAGATAAATAGACAGACAGACAGACAGACAGACAGACAGACAGACAGACAGATGGAGATAGAGATAGATAAATAAAGAAAGAAAAGGGAAGGGGATTATTAGAAGAATTCAGATGCCTTGTGACCTTTATTTCCCATAAATTCTGATTATTTAACCTTATGCCTCTTAAATTCAATATTTTTTTACTTCATAATTTCTTTTCGTTATCTCCTCTCTGAGTCCAGACTTAAATATTACATGCAAGAATGTTATGTAAACACACATATAATAATTATACACATTCACTCAATCACTCGAACTGATTACATACATTCATAATAAATATATTAGAGAAAATTCGAAATGAATTCTATTGGACAAAATGCTACATTTTATCAGATATTAATAGCAAAGTTATCTAATATTTTAAAGTTTAAAGGAGTAAAGTTTAATAGTTTAAAGGAGTAACACATATAAATAAAATTCTTATGTTTCCACGCATTATTATTACTCTTGATATACTTCTGATTCTTTTTTTTTTTTGTTTTCAAATCTTACTCCATTCACTAAATGTGTTTTCGCGTCCCAAAATCAATCAGTTAAAAAAGAAAAAACCTTCAATTAACTATATATCAATTATAAAAGACTTGTATGCAAAGTACTACAATAAATAATCACTCGATGAGAGACCAACTGTTCATATAATGAAACAATTTAAATTATTCTAAAAGTGAAGTTCCAAGAAAACAGAAAGCAATGACATTTGCATACATATAATTGTGAAAAATGCAGTGATAAATTTCATGATTATGGGACGCGATTTAATATAAAAATTCATTAATCAAATATGGCCAACTTTTTATCGAAAAATTAATAAATAGCATCATAAAAAATAAAATGTTCTTTTCGAGAGTGAAAAATAAAATTTGACGGTGTTTGCGAGAATGTGTGCGAAATGTTTTACAGGTGAAAAAATAAATTCTATGAAATATGTATCAAGTTGAGAAGGAATCTGCCTAATTATTAATGTTGCAAGAGGGTAAAATTAACCCACCTGGCACCTCTAACAAAAATTGGATACAAATCGCCGATCGTTAAAAAATAAAAGTTTTGTCCCATCATTTTTTCCTATAGAATTTCCTTTGGTTACTGCTTGCTGATTTAAGGACAATTATCAACTTACGTGCGTGCTTTGTAAATTCTTCGAACAAGTCATCTCGGTCTCGATTCTTTGGAATATTTCCCACAAACAAGCGGTGATTGTTATAAGATACGGTAACACCAATCTTTTTCCCTTTCCGAATCTCATAATCATTCAGCTGTAAGAATAATGTGGAAGGAGAGTGCCAATTAAGCTTGCCTTTTATAATTTTACCTGCTTATTGGCTGTCTGAACGTGGGATATCGTGAAGCGACCTTTAGGGATATATATATATCTTATACGAAGGAATAGGGCAAGCATATCAATAGATGAACGTGGAAAATTAAACTGGAATTAATTTTCGTACACTGTCGATAACATGATATATAGGCAGGTAGATAGATGAGTAGATGAATACATAAACGGAAAATAAATATTTAGGTAGATAGGTAGGTAGGTAAGTAAATAGGTAACTAGGTACGTAGATAGGTAAGTAAATAGGTAACTAGGTACGTAGGTAGGTAGGTAAGTAAATAGGTAACTAGGTAGGTAGGTAGGAAGGTGGGTAGGTAAGTAGGTAGATAGGTAGGTAGGTAGGTAGGTAGGTAGGTAGGTAGGTAGGTAGGTAGGTAGATAGGTAGGTAGGTAGGTAGGNGTAGGTAGGTAGGTAGGTAGGTAGGTAGGTAGGTAGGTAGGTAGGTAGGTAGGTAGGTAGGTAGGTAAGTAGGTAGGTAGCTAGGTAGGTAGGTAGGTAGGTAAGTAGATAGGTAGGTAAGTAAATAGGTAACTAGGTAGGTAGGTAGGAAGGTGGTAGGTAGGTAGATAGGTAGGTAGGTAGGTAGGTAGGTAGGTAGATAAATTGATTGGAAGATAGATAGATAGATTGATAGAAAGATAGGTAGATAGATAGATAGATAGATAGATAGATAGATAGATAGATAGATAGATAGATAGATATAGATAGATATAGATAGATAGATAAATAGATAGATAGATAGAGAGATAGATAGAGATAGATAAACAGACAGATAGATGGAAGTTGGATAAATTGATAGGTGAGAGGATAACTGGGTAGATGGATAGATAGATGAAGGGATAGATAAATAATTAAGTAAAGAGATAGGCAGTTATGTAGAAAAGTAGGTAGGTAGATAGGTAAAAAAACAAGTAGAATAAATAGATAGGTAGGTAGATACGTAGATAGGCAGATAGGTTGGTAGATAGGTAGAAAAGTAAATAGATAGAATAGAAAGGTAGATAGATAAGTAGAAAGTAGATAAATAAGTATGTAGATGTACATAAGTAACAAAGTAGATAAGTAAATATGTAGATAAGCTAGACAGGTAGAAATGTAAATAGATAGCTAAGTAGGCAGAAATATAAATAGGACAGTAAGTAGGAAGATGGATAGGTTAGATAGCTAAATAGATAGAAATGTAAATAGATAGCTAGATAGGTTGAAATATAGATAGGTCAGTAGATAGGAAGGTGGATAGGTTAGATAGTTAGATAGGTAAAAGTAGGTGGATGGGAGTGCCTGTCCGTTTGTTAGCGAGCCAAACGCCCCAGCGGTCCACGCATATCTCCCATACCCCCATGCTCGAGGTCCAGTCATGAATCGCGTTAGCATGATGCAAAAATTGATAACAACCACGCAGGACAGCGCGCGTTTAATACCTCACTGTATAATTTTAACAATTCTGCCATACTAAATTGCTTCCACATTTTCTCTTCTAACTACTTTGTCTTTCTTTCTTTTTTTTTTTTTGTACTGTCAATAACAAATAAAAAAAGAAAAAATATAACAAAAAGAAACAGCAAAAAAATGTAATGAGAAAAAAAATGAACCAAACTATACATTCAAATTACCAAGAAGATCAAAGTTCAAATGCAAAGATCAAGACTGATTGTATATATGGTGTGTTTACGCGCGCAAATGTAAAACTGAGTGATATTGTACATGTGTGTGTTTGATAGCAAATAACGAATGGCGTTGATCGTAGTGGTAGTAGTGATGGTCTGGTACTGATAGTAACATGATACTGACCCTATAATGACGAAATAGTAGTGATGGTGGTGCGGGTGGTGGTGATGATGATGATGACGTTGATAATAATGATAATGATGATAAAGAAGAAGAAATAGAAGAAGATTGTTGATGATGATGATTGTTGGTGATGACAATAATGATGATTATAGCGACGTCAACAATAGCAGCAATGGTAGTTGAAAGAACTAAAGGAATAGGAATGTCAGAGGGAAAAAAAGAAAAAATCGATTAGGAAAAAAGAAAGGAAACATAATGAATAAAAGTAGGAAGCATAAAACTCATAACTCAACCTATAATATGCGAGGAGAAGAAGACTTGGACCAGAGAGGTGTTACTGTTCACTAATAAACCGAGAGGCAAGGAGACTGATCAGAACTGAAGGTGTCATAGGTAACTGAAGATCACACGGTCGTACGCACGATCGTGTATTTTTCTTGGATGCTCCATAATTCCATACCATCTACAACCACTACTTAAAAGCTACCACTCGTAAGTTACAATACAGGTAGACAGGTAGGTATAGGTAGAGAGGTAGGTACACACGCCTCGAATTCACTTTACCTGTTAATTTACCAAATTCCTCCAAGATCTCCTCTTTGCCTTTTGACTTTGGTATGTTCCCCACGAAAAGTCGTAGATTAGGAACGCTAATGTTTACTTTCAGATTCTTGCCGGGTTTTATTTCGTGATTATCGAGCTGTGGGATGAAGAAAACAAACACATGCCTAATATTGTTCCAATGAGGTACATTTCATGTTTTATCTAATTGCGACAAACAAAAGAATTTAGGAAAAATTTTTCAGAATATGCAATTTAGTAAAATAATTAACATGGCCTGGTTCCATGAAAGCGAGAAAGTGGCATGCGCTTTGTCGCTCGAGTCTTCACAATATAGGAAACCGGCGTTCACGTATGTGCTCCTGTAAACAAATTTTAAGCCTACTAATTTTCGAAATTTTGTTACAAAAATTGTCACTGTCCAACGAAAGTCAACCAATTAAGTAAATATACCCCTAACCAATTAAACCACACGAATTCTCTTTTTTCTTTTTTGGCATCATCAATGTTTAGGAAAGTTCTCCACTCCCAATTTTGCCCACTGAGCAAAGAGGAGAGCTGGAAAAAGAAACTCATCCATAGGACATCATTATCATATGCATGTATGTATATACATACATACATACGTACGTACGCATATACCTATGCGCGCGCGCGCGCGTGTATACGTGTATGCTCATGTGTATGTGTGTATGTGCGTGCGTGCATGTGTCTAAATCTATGTGTATATATGTACATACGAGTATATATACTTTGCATGTCCGCGCGCGCGCGTGTGTGCCTATACTTTTATGTATATATGCATTTAATTTTTAACTCTGTCTTGCTGCTGTTAAGTATTTTAGGATGTGTTGGGCATAATTATACTTAAAAATATAAATTAGTGGCCAGGGACATATATGTATATGTACGAAATAAATATGTGGATTGTTCCTAACTAAAGACATTGAATTTCAAATTTGGTTACTTTTTACCATTAGTGAAAAAATGCTAAAACTGCGTTAAGACTACTATTAAAAAAATAATAATAATAAAGAAAGAAACGCAAATCACAACATAGAACAAGCCACATGGGAATATGAAAAAATGTATTCGAAATGTTTAATACAAAAAGAAAAAGAAGAAAAAAAGATGCTTTATACTATTTTCGATTCGACGAATTTTAACGAAAATTCGACGACTCGGTTATCGCTTATTTTAAAATGAGTATTAAAACGACAAATAAAAAAATCTCAATAAAGTAGAATACAGAAACAGAAAACAAAGAAATATAATATATGCAATATATATTTAAACATTTCGAAAAGTTATTTATTTTGGTAGCAATAACAATTTTGTAACATTTCTAAAGTTTCTCTAAATAAAAATGAAGGGCATTGATATGTTCATAACAAGATGTTGTAAACTAGGAAAACAGAATTTATACGCTTCACAAACATGTACCTACATAATGATAAAAAAAAAAATTCGAAGAATGTCTACATACCTCTCTGACAGCTTGCTGTGCTGCTTCTCTATTAGTAAAAGTGATAAAAGCATATCCTCTGTTGCAACCTGCCATTGGATCCATCATTAATCTTAAATCCCAAATTTTTCCACATTTTTCAAACAAAGGAATTAATTCATCTTCATACATGTCCTTTGGAATTTTTCCACAAAATACCTTTTATAAAAACAAAAGCATATAAAATTAGAAAAAAAGTGAAAAGTTGCTTTGAAAAAGTAAAAGAAGTACTACAAAGATACAAGTCAAGTAACTACTTATGGCTTTACCTCGCAACCAGTTCCTGGTGTAGGACCTTCCCAATTTGGAGGAGGTCCTCCATATTTTCGCTGTCCTGTTGTTACATCCAAAGGATAACCAGTTCGTTCAAGAATCATCTGCAGGATAATTCAGATAATTTTATATCTTTTACAATTTATATAATTTTGTAAACAGTTATAAACGTTAAATTAATAAAATAAATGATTACCTTTATTTTATCCTCATCTGGTGCTTTTGGAGTAGTACTGGTACCAGTACCCTGTCCAGCTCTACTTTTTTGTCTATAAGTTTTCATCACACCACAAAGATATGCAGACTTATTTGATACGTGCTCTAAATTAGATTCAAGAAATTGTGTGAGTACATTTAATGCACCATCAACTGGAAATTCCTTTAACGCATCTAATGCTCTTTCATCCAAATCCACGTGAGCTAATTTTCCTGTCTTATAAATTTCATCTAATTTTCCAGCTACTTTTTCATCCAATCCGTACTGAATCAACTTTGAAAAATCTTCTGTCCTTTCTACATACTCCATTTCTTCCTTAGATTGTTTCTCTTCCATTTTTATTTCCCCATTTCCCTCTGCCATAGCTGCAACATTATTTCAATTTTTATGATAATATCTTTGATACAATTAAAGTTTTCCTTAATTTACTTCATGTTATTTTACTTAAATTTATATCAATTTAATTTGTTATTTATTAAATTTTCAATCGTAATTCATAATTATCATTATCTACTCAAATACAATTAATACAAGATATAAACTATAATAATAAAATATCGGGATACAACAAACATTGTTATAACACTAATAACAGCTGCCATATTACAAATCTTCTTTTCTCATTTAAATACTAAAGAACAGAGTGATAACATTAAAATGCATATTAAATTGCATTATAAATATTATTTAACATATAATTTTGAAAACAAATACTAGAATCTCACAACTAGCAACTAAAGAATAAATTTATATTATGAACATAAGATTGTGATATTTTGTTTTTTGTATGAAAGATAAAAATCTTATATTTTTTAATAATATTTACAAGATATTTCGTAACATATATTTCTTATAATTTATAATACTTGGCAATACTGTTTTTAAATATCCATTATTACACTAAGAATTTTCAATGACTGCTAATTAAATACCTTAATGGAATTTCAATAGTACAAATAAATAAGAAACAGAGTGTCATAAAAAATAATATAGTATACATGAGAATATATAAACAAATAAATAAATAAAACAAAAAGAAAACAATAAAATATGGAACGGAAAGTGTTGATACACCTATGGTTGGAAAATGGAGAAATAGAGTAAATGTAATGAACGTGACCGAAATTCTAATACCACTAACTCCAATGTGTAATAGCCCGTGCAATTTCCCGCGTTTATGAATGATCAACATATCGAAATTATCATATCGTCAATTGCTCAACACAAAGGAACTAATGCAGGAATTTTTTTGAATATCGTTGCTACATCATCGATGACATTTTATGCCTAATCCTTAATTTGAAATATACAATAAAAAAAGAGGAAGAGAAAAAAGTAGCTCCATTGTAGAACAATGCTCTTTAAAGAAAAATCGGATTGTCGTAATGAAAAATAGATTCGGAACGATGTATTTGCGGTAGTAAATACTCAATACGGGAATTCTGTTTGAAAAGAAATGTAACTGGAGCTTTTGCTTGTAGCTTGCCGGCCGGCAATAGAGTTACATCCATATTTCTTGAAGGATGCAACTACACTTTTACACTCACGATAACATCACATTCGCCGCTCTAACTAACCAATTTTCTTTTGTGTTTATGAAAGGATTACCAAGGAAGCACGCCGATGATAATAATTCACGATACTCATAGGGAGAATAATTGCGTATACCTTGGAAAGTAAATGAACAAAATCTTCCTGTGAAGGAAATGGCGATAGACGTCAACGTGATTGCAGACTACGGGGTTCACAAAACGACGCGCAAAGATACGCTCGAACCCAGCGACACGAGTTAGCCATTTTCTTTTGAAGCATATTCGCGAATTCTGATTGGCTCGTGCAAAAGGTTGAGAAGAAAAAGTTGACCATGCAATATGCACTCGCGAAATAACGAATTTTCGTACTTGAAATTGTGCATGCACAATACATGAGTATTACGTAGATGTTCTTTCCCACTTCCAAACAATTTTCAATGACTTGGCTAATTCTTATTCCTTGCAAATTATTTCGAACAGATAAAATATAGACAGGCCTACGTGTACATATAAAACATTTGGGACTAAACTGACAATAATTACATATGCTACAAATTTTATTCACGACTTTTATCGTACAGCCGTTTCTTCTATCTTTATGCAATAAGAAAGTATCTTAAGTAAAAAAATTCACCATTAGCAGCCAAATGCTATGTATAATTCGTATAATTTCGGTAATCATTAAAATGACAAACTAATCGCCTAATGATCATTTTTCGTTTCGTGTACTGTGATAAATAAAGTATAAAAGACTTTAAAGACAAATTTATTATTTTTAACTCGATGGTGTCGATTCACCGATATATTTTTTTACACTATTTACTTTGAACCGTGATTCTGAAACACTAAACGAGCCGCAAAATTAACGATTGCAAGGTCTAATGCCATTCCAAGTTTGTGGAAAAAGTAAAAGAAAAATATATAATTAAATGTACAACCTCTGTTGCATGTTTCTACTTGATATCAATGTAAATGATACAACAGTATAATATATAATAATAGAGAGAGAGAAAGAGAGAGAGAGAGCGAATAGAATTCGTAAGAATACTAAGCAAATTAAGATAAAAGTGTCATAACCTCTGAAATGTAATGTAATACAATATAAAAGTAATATACCTGTGTGTAAAATTTGAAATCTTCACGGTATTAATTTTGAACAAATTATAAAATGAAGCACCAGATACCACACAAAACAGTCACAGGCGTTTAATTGATAGAGAATTCATATTCCAAATACCACCTACATCAACACCGGAACAAACTTGGTACAAACTTCTGTTCACTTTCACGTTGTATTTAAGCCGTTTGTTCTAACGTTTATTGAAAATTGCATTTAACACTTGAGAATGTTGAATGAAAATGATAATGCAGTGAATTTAGTGTTGTAGGCACTTGGAAAGTTCCGATAATATTGCAGTGATGGTGACGGTAAGTGTGAAGTAAGCCCGGGCGCAGCGTTTTGATATCATGTAGTGCCTACATAGCCGTAATGCATAAATTGGACTGCCTCGCTGAAAGAGAGGTGCAGTGGTGCAAGCCCTACAAAACCAAACCAGTTTCCTCGGTTGCTTGCTTGCTTGCTTGCTTGCTAGTTGCGCCCCAATCCAATCCGATTCAACCGCTTACCTCTCTTCGCGGTATATGCGAGCCCCGCCTTAGTCAGGCTCGTCGCTATTATTCTCCGTTCCTGTACCATTCCTTCCAATTATCTTTTCTCTGTTTTTTCTCTCTTTCCTTTCTCTTTTCTTCTCTTTTCTTTTTTTCTTTGTCTTCTCTTTCCTCTTTTCTTTTTTTTTTTTCTTAACAAACATTCTTGTAATTATTTACCAATTCATATATTCGAACGCAATAATCTTTTTTTGCAATTCATGTACTTATTCTGTTTCTTTCATTGTCTTTTATTACCGTTTTATACGTACTTACGTCGTTATACGAGATTAAACTATGATGTAACAGTCCAAAAAAATATAATTTATGACAAGACGCTATATATATATATAACTAGTCTTTACAGTGTTTGTATTTTTACCGAAATTGATGGATCAGTATTATTGTAAAACTGTAAAACTTTACCGAAATTAATAGATCAGTAGAATCTATTGGTGTAATCTCGGTTGCGAAATGTAGCAAAAAATAATATATCTGAGAAATTTGTTATGTTTTTATTATAAAGTGTTAAATATAGAAATAACACCAGAAATAAAAAAGAATATATTTAAAATGCACAACAAATAAATAAATATAACCTATAAATAAAGCTATATATATATATATATATATATATAGTGTACACGCATATATATATATATATATATCATAGTACATATATTTTGTATTTTACAAAATAATATTTACATTACAATATCATAAATTATAATGTTGACAAATAAAAAATACTATTATCATATTGTTTTACATAAACAAAAAAATATACTTGCTTTGCATCACTTGTATATGCATATGTATATGTACCGTTAAAGTATAAAAGAAAGAATGATAAAATAAAATAATAATAACTTGTATACATATTTATTACCATCGAGTCTAAATGTTTGCATGAAATCAAGGCAATATTATAAAGAATGATAAAATAAAATAATGATATATAGATCTTATTCACGAGCGCGCAATTTGGATAACTTGAAAAACAAAACCGTCGTTAAAAAATCTGAAACTTTCAATTATGTTTTTACGTCTGTTAGGATATCATTGTATCATCGTTAAATATAGTGTTTTATAAAGTTAAAAAAAAATTTCTCAGATTTTGTTAAATGTAAGGAATAACGTTCAAGATAAGAGAACACATTACAGACAAGGAGATACGGTCCTGAATTCAACCGTAAACCGCCTGTCTGGTTGAGCACGCACCCGCGTCCCTCAAAGGAGAAGAAGTAACAAAGACAGATGGTGCTCGTATGTTCGCTTGCAGAAACCTGTTCCTTCAGAACTTTTCTGTTTTCTTAATTTTTATTCGTTCAAATTCCATCTGCGTCGAAAAATGATATTATTCGTAATCACAATCGATAACAACTAATTCGTAAAATATAATTTCTAAACAGCAATTTTCAATTATCATTCTATCACTTATATTTATTTTTTCGCTTTGTCTTTCCTCTCACTTCCATCTCCTCTTTCTCTATCTCTCATTACTTAGCTGTCTGCACTCTCCACAGACAATGCATTTTTTGCTCGATTCTAGATCCATTGTCGTGGGAGGTTGGAATTTTAACGCAGAAAAATTTGTATAAATAAATATATATATAGTTGCTAAAAGTTTGAAATAGTTCTTGATACTTCAAATATTAACGTTAAACATATATCTTACATTACAAAAAAAAAAATATCGCGACTCGAATCAAATTAGATTAACGATCAATCGAAATGAAGCGATTTATTATAAAATAGAACCAAAATTATCATTAGCAACTCTTTTTCAGCATCTCTTACATTTACTTTTTAAAAAAATCTGAGTAACCATTCCGCTCAAAATGTTTAATAACGCTTCAAAAAACTATTTCCCACGTTAACGAATCGAAAACCTTGAACTGCGTGCAGACATCGCAGAAATTTTCTCAGGAACCAGAACAGTCGCATTAAAGCATGAGGCGGACCCCCAGCAAATTGTCTCTTCAAAATACTTGTTTAGCTATGAGAAATTCTCCCTTTTTCACATCCCAAATAAATAGGGGTGAACCTGTATTGGGATAATGGCATGGCAAGCAGACTACTTACTTCATACTCGAGAGAGTCAAACCCTTGGAGGGGTCGTTGGACCAAGATGCTATACAAATTATCATAATAAAAAATATTTAAATTTAATCTTATACTACGCTTTAGTTTAGTTTTTTTTCTCTTTTTCCTGTTTTGTTTTCTTTCAAATTGTTTTAAAATATTTTTTATCATATATGTAAATATACAAATAGTCCACGTTTTATCTCTTTTTATTGTAAACAAACAGATGCACCTATAACAAGCTTGATAAGCAATTAATTTATATTAAAACAACCCACCTGACATGGTATGCTTCGACAAAAGTTTTTTGTCATACACTTATTCCACATATATTGTTAAAACACAATTTCAAATAATGGCGGTTAGATCACTTAAAAGATGATTTCAACAATGAAAGTTAGCTCTAATTCGGTATAGAAACGATGACGTCAGAACTCAGGCGTTGACATTATGTAGTAGCTTCCTATGAAGCGTGCTCTCTATGGATTCGAGTATATTTATACTTGCTATACTTTATGTATATAGTTTCGTGAATGAACATTGTATATAAGTGACACGATCTACTGCCTAAGTATTTTTTTTACTATTTTCTATTTTACAATGAATAAACATAGTACAATATTGTCATAGAAATTCTAATATATCTATTAGAAGATGAAAGTCATTGGTTCGAAAATATATACGATAGTGATCGTAAGCATTTATTGTTTGGGCGTTGTCGGACAATATGAATGGCAAGCCAGAGATGCTTTTGACGAAATTCGTTTAAAAATGGACAAAATCAACGAAGAGAATTGTCCTATACAACATCTCGGAGATCTTTATTTACCGGAAGATGCAGTCTCTCATTTACCTGATATTAAAGACATTAATATAAATCCTGTGTTTCCAAACAGGACTGCTTTATTACATCTTCATAACATGGCACTTAGTAGATCATTTTTTTGGAGCTATATTTTACAATCTAGATTCATACGACCTGCTATCAATGATACATATGATCCTGGCATGATGTATTACTTCTTATCAACAGTTGCTGATGTGTCTGCAAATCCTCATATAAATGCGTCTGCTATATATTTTTCACCAAATATGTCTTATTCATCATCATATCGAGGCTTTTTCAACAAAACCATGCCTAGATTTGCTCCACGAACTTTTAGAGCTGATGATTTCAATGATCCAATACACTTGGAAAGAATATCTACGAGAAATACATTTACTGTACGAGATCTTGGTGCATTTGCCAGTAGTAGTCTTAGTGAAGATTATACAACAGATTATTATCGTATAAATGAATGGTAAACAAAAACTTGATGTGTATAAAATATTTGTATAAAATTTATAAATAATTATAAATTAATTTATATTATCAATTTTATTATCAATAATTATTAAAATTTACTAGTTATCGTTAATTTTTTAGGTATAAGAAATGGTTACCGGATAATGTTGATAAAAGACATGATACTAAGACTACTTATCAGGTTGAAATTAGATATGCTAATAACACTAATGAAACATTTACATTTCATGGACCACCTGGTATTATTATAAAAGTAATTTGTTAAAATAAATGGAACTTTGTTATTTTAATGTTTCTCTTTTTTTATTTTATACAGGCGCAGATGAATATCCTGGACCAGTAAAATGGACTAGACCATATTATGATTGTGGAAGATCAAATCGATGGCTTGTAGCAGCAGTTGTACCTATTGCAGATATTTATCCAAGACATACAGGATTTAGGCACATAGAATATCCAACGTATATTTTTATTATATATATATTATCTGAATTAAGGCAATTTACTTATACACTACTATAACTCATTTGCTTTTGTTGCAGTTATACAGCCATATCAGTAATTGAAATGGATTTTGAACGAATAGACATAAATCAATGTCCAAAAGGAAAAGGAAATAGTGGTCCAAATAAATTTGCAAATACTGCTAGATGTAAAACAGAAACTACTGAGGTAAAGAAACTATTGCATGTTCAATATTTTTCAAGAAACTTTCTTTTTTCTATCCTGATTTATATTTTTATGTAGTGTGAACCATTACATGGTTGGGGTTTTCGAAGAGGAGGATATCAGTGTAGATGTAGGCCAGGTTTCAGATTACCAAATGTAGTACGACGACCATATTTAGGTGAAATTATTGAAAGAGCAACTCAAGAACAATATTATAATGGATTTGACTGTTCTCGGATAGGATGTAAGCATCCATGGTTTTTTTCCTTATGCTTTGTTCTGATTATAATTATAGTTATTTTATTCTACTTTTTAAAATTTCTAAATTATGAATATTCTATATTGTTCATTAATGCCACTTTTTTATTTCAAAGGGATTCATAAAATGCCTGTACAATGGGAAAAAGCAAAGCCAGAACTTAGAGAAAAATACCTTGAGCAGTATTATTATTACAGAAATTATTCTATTGGGCCTGAAACACTAAGATCTGAACAAATTAATATAGATCAAACTCTTAAATTTATTTTGAGTATCAATTCAAAAAATTGCAAAAGGTATATTATAAGAAATCTTCATATTTTTTCACTTTTTTTTCCTTTCATTTAGTAAGTACATTAATGAAAATTATATTATGTTTAACATTTAAAATTACAGTTATACAGAAGAAGATTTAACGTTACTTGGAGATGTGGCCTTTGGTGCCAAAGAATTTTTTGAAAATGAAGCAAAAATGGCAACTAGATTATCAAATTTTATTAGTGCATTTCTACAGATTTCTGATTCTCATGAAGTTTATTCGGGTAAAAGAGTGGCCGATAGGCCACTTACTGAAGATCAAATGATTGGGGAGACATTAGCTTTAGTTCTTGGAGATACTAAAATATATTCTGCTGAAATGCTATGGGATCGTAACAAATTTACAAATAGAACATTTTTTGCTCCTTATGCTTATAAAACTGAATTGAATACATTTAAATTTAAAGTTGAAGATTTAGCCAGACTCAGTGATTCAGGTAAAATTGAACAGATGATAATATATTGAATAATACTATAATTGTTCTTATAATTATAATTATTCCAAGAATGAGTATACTTTTATATTGTAGGTAATGTTTATACAAAAAAGAATTATTTTAAATTGTTGAAACAAAGATGGGCGACAAATTTCGATGAATTAGAAAAATTTTATATGAAAATAAAGATTAGATACAATGAAACTGGCGAATATCTTAAAAAATACGAGCATTATCCGAATTCTTATAGGTAACTATTATTTAAAAAAGAAATTATATTATTTAATAAGGATATAAAAAATATTTTATCCATCATCAGAAAGGAAAAAAAATCGATCTCGTAAATAAAATTTATTTTAATGTCTGGGAATACACATTCGTTTCTATAGGGCGGCAAACCTGAATCATGGACATTGGACAACTCCATACTTTGATTGCAACGGCAAAGTGAAGAAATGGGTAATTACCTATGCATCCCCATTTTTTGGCTGGGACAGCTTGAAAGAGAAACTGGAATTCAAGTAAGTATTTCTGTCCACATAGACAACTGAACAAGATATGGCATATGCATAAGAATTCGAATGTGAGATAGTCCTATAAGGATAGAAAACCTGTTTGGGAATGAAAAAAAAGAAGATCACACATTTTATATTAAAATCTTTACAGAGGTATTGTGGCTGTTACCATGGATCTACTTCAACTTGATATCAACCAATGCGACAATAATTTTCACACTCCAAATGCGTTTAAGGGTACTCACAAATGTGATAAGAAAACTTCATATGTAAGAAATACTATATATTTTTAATCAAATATTTGTTTAATATTTTCATAATATTGGTAATATGAAAATTTATGCGTGTGTTTTTTTGTGTATGTATAAATTATTTATTGTTATTAAATATATTTATTGTTGTATTAATATACATGAATATAGTGCGTGCCAATTCTTGGAAGAGGTTTTGAAACAGGCGGATACAAGTGCGAATGTGACCAAGGTTTTGAATATCCATTCGAAGATTTAATTACATATTATGATGGTCAATTAGTAGAAGCTGAATTTAATAATTTAGTTAATGATGAAAAAACTAGGTAATCAATGTTATATGAATAAATATAATCGTAATTTCAAAACATAATCATTTTAAGAAAACTAATGACTTAGCACAAATGTTTATTTCACAGATACGATATGTTCAAATGTCGATTAGCCGCTGCCACATCGATTCAAGTCAATTGGACATTATTATTGACGTCAATAATATTATATCACTTTATAGGAGCCGTTTCGTAGTGACATCATAATTATGCGATATTTATATAATGCAATACTATTATATTAATCGCCAAGATATTTTAAAAATACAATCCGTCCATTACTACATATCAATTATCATACTAAATCTTTTTGAGAGTATTTTAATATTTGCTTGTGTTAATATTATTAATTCACAGAACATGATATTTACAATGAAATGAATCTCAAATAAAATTCTCTATAAATATTTCTATTGGGAAAAAACTAAAAATTTATTTGAAAATTATTTTTATAAATTGTTTAATTTCAAATAGTAGTTTTGATATTACATATGATACATTCATTGATATTGATATTAATATTTATAATATGTATTACAACGTATACATATTGGTATTTTTAAAATTGTAACTTATGAAAAACTGCTGTTATAATTTAATGTCAATTTTAATTATTTTGTATTTTTATACATGCATAAATATACAATTTATTTTACATACTTTGTACTAAATTATTTTATCTTATTTCAGCTGTATAACTAACCAAGTTTATCAATATATTAACCAGTTACAAGTTAACTCATACAAACGATTGAAAATTACTAGTTAACAATGTGTTAACATACGGTAAAAAAGAGCAATTTGATTAACTTTGTTTTTTGTAAGTAATAATCTAGTAATATAGTATTTTTGTAAATAATAATTTAGTAATAAAGTGAATAATAAAGATGCAAATAATTTTGTGAATATATATATTATCATTAAGTTTCAATATAATAAAATTAATCAAGTTAGTTCTTTTCAATCTAAACTATTTGACAAACTAAATCAATTATAAAGAACAAGTAATAAAAAAGGAGAGAATAAATTTAAGACATTAAGGAAATAAATAAGATTAAAATAACAAATTAATAATGTAATTAATAACGCTATTTAATGTTTCCCTTTTTTACATCTACTAATATAGTAAACATTATAATACATTTATAATTATCTAATCCCAATATGAATAGATTATAAAAATTATGTTATTTTTTACTACTTAATATTATTTTGTATTCCAATTGAAACAAATAGTTATAAATGATATCAATTAAGAATGAATGGCAATGATATTTGTTCCAAAATTATCACTAGTTATTCATTTTTATTTACGTAATGATATTTAATAAATCTACAACCTTGTGTAAGTTGTGCACCTTCGTTTGCAAAATGACAGGCAAAAAGTAGTAAATTGCGTGGCTCAACCCTCAATGCAAAGCGCATAAACATTGCTGAATACAAGCACAATGCTGAAAGGAATTAATACAATTGTAAATTTTAACATATCACTGCAGTTTGTAAATGTTTAATAATTCATATATAGATATAATTCAAAACAAGTTTGCTTTATTCCAATATTTTTAAATACCTAAGCAAATCAATTATTTTGAATTTATATATATATATAATGATAAAATATATATATATATATATATATATATATATATATATGATGTATATAGAATTATATACATGAACTACACTAAAATTTTTTTTATAGAAATCCTACTTACATAAAGATAACGAATATAATAAAATTATAAGACAGAAAATTATGAGTATTATATCACAACATACAGAAAATTGTTTTGTATAAATGCAACATAATTTTACGTACATCCGTGATCAATTTTAAGAGTTTGATAATATATAAAAAAATGATAAAATAACCAAACTAACCAAACGTCATCTTTCCACTGATATATTTCGGATCTCTTCGTATGTCAGCGATTGCTGCGATAGGAATACCCCAATTAGCTATAGGTCCCCAAAAATGTGTGCTAAAACAAAAGGATAGCGTTGAAATTATTCTTAATGTAACAAATTCTAGATCGAACATTAAGTGACGAAGGCTACACGTGTACACACTTGTGTAGGTGATATTCCTACCTACATTATTTACCTCATTAAATAATCTCGAGTTTCTTTACTCGATAGCAATTTTTTTACACGGTTCATCTCGTTATGTTTGCTCCTTTCTTTTCTTCTTCTCCAATAAATTGATCTTGTTTCAAACGAAACCGAATGAAGACTACATGGATTCGAGTTAATCAACTTCTAGAAGAATAAGAGATATTAGCGTAGTTATATAAATGATTAGCATAATGAATTTGATCATCTTATGAAAACTATTTCAAAAGTGTATTGAATTAACGAAATTTTTCCACATATGTATGTGGATTCAATGTACACAATTTTTATTTTCATTTTTATGATCAATAATACGATGCGTAAAATAAAACACGAACAATTTTACAATTAACGCATTGACTATTTTAATTGTCAGAAAAATATGCGACTTCCTTAATTTAAGTTGGTTCATAGCTTATATTTTGTAATTTAATTACGTAATTTTCATGAGATAATATTTTAATTTTACACAATCAATAGATCAATCTATAATTAGGATGTAAAAAAAAAAATAATTTCAAACCATCAAGCATTAAACGTATTTTTAATTTAGAATAATTATTCAAAAAATATATACAAAGTTTATAATATATTATACTACCTTACAAAACTAGCTTTCCTAATTTTTATAATATAATTACAAAGCAAGAGGGGATGTTACAAAATGTACAACTATATTTCAAAAACGCTTTCCTATAATATGCAAATTAACAGATCTATATATTATATAGTAATAGCAATAGGTATAATTTATAAAACAAATTGGCAAAATCTTGCATTTTTAATGCTACTTGTGATACTATTTGTTAGTTGAACTAAATATACTTTAGTTCATATGAAACCAATGAATATTTTTTTTATAACTATATATGGATAACATACAAAATTAAAGTATTATATACATAAATATATTTTATAATATAAGAATATTTTTTTGATATATAATAAGAGGTACTTGTCGCTCATTAAATGTTTAAGTTTGACACTTTGACTGTTACGTGTTAAACACGTAGAAGTACAAACACTTACTTTAGCCATTCGTTTACCATTACCTTTCATTTACATGTTTCTATTGAAAAAATATTGTTATTACAATGATAATTTTTAAGAACTACAATCTGTATTAAATATATAATGTTTATGTATAAACAATTATATGTATAGTAACAGTTCTCATTAAATCGCAATATTTACTTATAGTACAAAGACTATTTTTATTTTACCCTTTTTGTAGATCACTGACAAGTAAATTTTTTAAAAATCATAACGTGTTAAAGGAATCATTTTAATAAATATTAATTGTTGTGTACATATGAATAATAAATGTAGGTCATGTCATTTCAATCATTCTATGATGCATTATATCACGAATAATACTCAGAAAAATGAAAATGACTTTAACCCGGGATTACCCACCTGGGGGTCTAGCGCAGGTACATCCCAGTGACTAGACCCTCACGTGAGTAATTCCGGGTTAATACTCGAGCAACGAATACTCACAATGAGCATGATGTTTTTTCATACGTTTGTTTCACATATCATTTCTAGTTTAAAGCAAAAGATATATTAATGTTTTACTTTCAAATATTAGATAATATTATTTAAGATCAGCACTTGTTAAATTGTATTATGTCACTATTTCATATGTATCTATAAACTGAAGATACATATGTAAAAATATGTATATTAAAAGTAAAATTATGAATTGTATATTGAAAACTAGGGTTACTTTTATGATAATAAGAGTAAATCCCTTTGGTATTCATTATTTGTCAAATGTGATGTAATACAATATTCAATTCTTTTCACCAATCAGTGATTTTATACTCGTATTATGTATATTTTGTAAGCTTCATTGCTTCATTGCGTTGTATGATTAAAAATAAATATATATGAATCGTTTTCATATACTGTTGTTTACAAACTGCAAATTATTGATTTAAATGCATTGCATATAAGATTTCTAACATATTTCTCTTCATCTTTCTTCCATTTGTATAACATTAATAAATCAAAATAGCTGTAGGAACCCTCAAAATGTATATATGAAAAGGCATCTGAAATTACTACTTTAAAAATACACACTTACTTTAGTATAATATAAAATAATATAGTTTCACCGAACAAATAAAAGAAGAAATTAATAATAAAAAGTTAATAATAAATTTAATTGAATTAAAAACAAAAGTTCTAACATCTCTTTTAATTTCTTTAATTTTTTTTATATTTTTTTGCATCAAATATGTTTCTTCTCTTATATGTATTATAATCTATAATTATTTTATAACAGGTATATTAACATTTATCATTTGCTGTTGTCAACACGGGATCATTTGTAAATGATCATAAAGTAGCATAAAAAATAGATACTTTATCATATTTTTTCATCAATATCCTTTTCATCATCTTACATAAAAACTTATTTTTCCTTTGGTACATACAGCACACAATAAGCATACAAATTAATAGTAATTATTTTAACTAGTCTCAAAATCTTAATGCGAAGCAAATAAAAGAGAAGATAAAATTGTCTGGTGATTTTGAGAAACTTTAAATTAATTTTCAGATGCCAGTCAGTATTATTGCCATTTTATCATATGATTTTAACACCTATTGATTTTTATCAATTTGTCACAACTTTAATTAATTATTAAAGAGGAAAGGAAACATTTTTCTGATTTTTATCAGTATATTATTAATATGTTAACATGCATGAAAAAAAGAAGAAAAAAGAAAAAGAAAAAAAGTCATTTTTGCTTTGTACATGATACATACATTCATACAGTAATTCAATGTTTATTCTCTTTACTTATAGTCTGCTAATATGATTAAATTTTTCACTCTTTCATTTAAGTGTAATCACTATCATTGTATGTTACTTTGGAGAAATTAACTGGTTTGTTATTTCGTTTATATGTATGTACGAATATATCTGTACTATATATTGGCAATAAAAATAAAACATATTAACGGTATCGAATAAATCGTTACCGTAACAACACATATCTCATTTAGTGAATTCCATAATTCTAGAATATTGGAAAATTGTCAAAATAAACAATTGTATTGCTTACATCTAAAAATTCAATTTGTTTGTGACATCGGATATAAAGAAAAAATATAATTCACATTAGAAGTATTAGAACCGGTTATTTGAAAATTTCTTTAATACAACTATTGCTATTGAAAATCATGGCTCAATTATTGTATAGAATTTATTATGAAGAATTCATAGTCTTAGTATAACAATACTATTTACTTTCACATTTTCATATAAATTATATTACTAACAATGTACTGTCTATGCAACCAAAGTTTCTAAATTATTTACTTCTTATCACTGAATCTAAAATAGATGATCAAATTCAACGTAAATTGCATACATTTTTATTATTATTTCAGAAAGATATAAAAGATAATGTATACGACATGATAATAAAGTAATGAAAATTTCTTAAATTTAAAAATTATTCAAAAAATAGAAAAAGTAACTGAGAAAGAAAATCTGGAGAAAAATGAAAGAGAAAAAGAGACAGACAAAGACAGAGACAGAGAGAAAATGAAATAAAGAAATGGAAAGATTAACAGCCATTAATATGCAATGAACACATTTCATCCATTAAAAAATCTGTACAGTAACAGTTAATATTAATATATTTGTCATTACTAATCGAATGTAAAAAAAAAAGAAATTAAATAAGGCCAATAGATGTAAAGTGGTATTATTCTAGCAATATCACAGTACTTGCTGAAACATATAAACACACGGTTCCAATAGGCACAAGAGCCAATACCAATAAAAATGGCAAGCACAATATTTTTCTTTCAATAAACATACTATATGAATACATATATAGTCTAGTTGTCAGTCGCTTTTTTTCTTTTTTCCGATTTATAATTATTACGTTCATAAATTGATATGTCTTATTAAAAATTTATTTCATATACTTTTTAAAAAATACACAAGTCTTTCTCTTTCTTTTTTTTATCACACTCTCTGTGAAACTTCAAAATTAATCATGCCACATTGTAGCAATAAAAGTTTATAGTAATTATACCATGTAAAAATATGATGAATGCCCACAAATTTAAATTTTACAATTTTACATGTAATTTCATCTTCTACAACATTATGCAGTCCCAACAGTTATCAATTATCAAAGAAGTCTGTCCTTCCAAAAAAGCGATTCATCCAACAATTTTGCGATTATAATAAAAGGATAAGAAAAAGAAGAATAAAAGAGAGGAAAAGAAAAAAAACAAGTTAGAAAACAAACGAGTATGATATGTTACTGAAATTAAGGAACAAACGCGAGGGTTTCTGTTTTATGTATGATTATTGTTCTTTTTCTCCTTCCCGTGTAAAACATAACATGATGTGGTATATACACAGTGTACTTATATATGCGCGCACGTATGTATTATTCGTAATCACTCATCCTCTTTACCTCATGCATACACGTATATACATTCATTCGCTTATCCTCCATTATATTTACATACGTGCGCGCGTTGACAATTTAACAAATTTTTTTTACGATTCACATTACCCTAACTACTTGTTGATCCAGAAGAATTGTTTCAGATAGTATTTACAAACACAAATTTTTTTCCCCCAAAAAAAGAAAGAAGAAAAAAATATACGAAAGATTTATCGTCGACTTAGCGAATACAAAAAATTCTAAAGCTACTGTCATACGTAAACTGGACCTTGATTATCATTATCGTCCAAACTTATTCGACTAGGATACACAGGACCACCACCATCGTCAAAAAAGCGTCTAAAAGTAAATTCAAAGAAACCATGAAACGGTTTGCTATTATCTAATATTTCGTTGGATTTGGAATCTGGCGATTCCGAATTTCTTAATTTATCAGGATCCACGGGATCAAAATTACTTGTATCGGTAGCATATTGTATCCGAGGTATGTGAGGAGCTACTTGCCGACGCAATCCTTTTTCAAAGTCAATGTCCGCAAAAAATGGATGACTCTTTACTTCGTCTGCATTCTTACCTAATCGACGATCTGCACCAACGCATAATTTTAATATCAAATCCATACCTTCGGCTGACAGATTCGCTTGTTTCGGGATGTGCAAAGTCGTTTCCCAATTGATCACCTGCAATATACAAAATATTCTCAATGTTACACATAACAGCTACAGTTGATAACAGAAAAACGAGCAAACAAGTACTTAATTATAATTACCTTATATTGCGTTTCAGCTGGAGTATTAGCAAGAAAAGGTGGAGAGCCAACTAACATTTCGTATAAAATTACACCAACACTCCACCAATCGCACAACTGAGTATATCCTGTCCTTTGTAGTACCTCTGGGGCGATATAATTTGGTGTTCCAACCAAAGAATGGGCCAAACATCTTTGATGTTCTCTATGTCTTCTACGTTCCAATGGTTTTAACTGGATGCACCGACATTCGTTGCTCCAATCGTCGGCAGGATCCATCGAATCTTGTTTTCCATGTCCTGTTTTAATAATAATAAAATTGCAATATATATGAATACGTAGAGATACGTGGCGCACGTATTACATTAGAATGGTAATGAATCAATCACTAGGGTACGTACCATTTTGTTGATAATATTTAGAATTATGAGTCCAACGAAATCCTGTACATAGGCCAAAATCTGTTAATTTTATGTGTCCATCTCGATCAATTAAAATATTATCTGGTTTAATGTCTCTATGAATAAAACCCATTTTATGAACACTTTCTACGGCGCACGTTAGTTCAGCAATGTAAAATCTCGCTAAAGATTCCTTGAAAATGCCAAACTTGATCAACAACGACATCAAGTCACCACCAGGTATATAATCCATTACAAAATATAAATTGTCCTTATCTTGAAAGGAATAATAGAGTTTCACAACCCACTCATTATCAGCCTCTGCTAATATGTCTCTTTCGGCCTTAACGTGAGCAACTTGATTACGATTTAACACATCAGTTTTCCTTAGAGTCTTCATAGCATAAAATTGATTGGTATCAAGTTTCCTAACAAGAGTTACTTCACCAAAAGCGCCAACTCCAATTGGTTTAATTTTCGTAAACATCGATTTATCCATCTTTGCACGCTTCAATCTAATATAATTCGATTCCTTCTGCGACAACATTTTCCTCATTTGACATTGAGCTTCCACGCTGAGACCTATTTTAGACATCTCTGTTTCTAATTGAAATCGACGATATAATCTTTGTTTATGAGATTTTAATACATTTTCAATATGTTGTTCCATGAAGAATTTAAACGCTTGCGGAGAATAATTACGAACTTTACAGTCTCTACGTTCCTCCTCCTTCTCTTTGCTTATTTGTTTACGCTCAGGTATTGGAGATTGGTGCTTGATCTTGTAAGATGAATCGGCTCCTTTTGCTCCATTGCTGTCTGGTGAAGGATTATTATTGTTGTTATTGTTGTTATTATTGCTGCCGCCGCTACTGTTATTGCTGTTATTGCTGTTATTGTTGGTATTACTATTATTGGTATTACTACTGTTGGTATTACTATTGTTGCTATTACTACTGTTAGTATTACCATTATTGGTATTACTATTGATGCCGTTGTTTGTTCTTAAAGAAACAGATGTAGACGTTACTGGAGGTAAAGGTGGTGTCTCTGTAGGATGTTGGCATCCATCTGCTGGAGAATATTTTCTTTGTAACGGAGGATGTAGTGCAACTGGAGATGATCTAACAGTCGTATTATTATCTATCGCCGATATGCAGCTAAGATCATCGGTGGTAACTGTTCCATAAGGAGGAGGAGGCACTGGGTGATGCATGCCACGTTGTACTGCTAATGCTTGCATTGTTGTTGCGTAACTTGGTGGTTCCGTAGTAGGCACTCCCACTGAAATACCTAAGTTTATATTATTTGTCGATGTTGCACCAATTGTGCCACTATTTAATGGTGGATACGCGGGTGGTAATTGTTGCGACGATTGTTGTTGTTGTTGTTGTTGTTGCTGCTGCTGCTGCTGCTGCTGCTGCTGCTGCTGTTGCTGCTGCTGAGGTTGAGGTTGCTGCTGTTGTTTCTGTTGAATAGATGATGCATACGATGGCGGAGGTGGAGGTGTATTACTGGTAGTGGAAATTGGTTGCGGAGAAGTCGGTGCAATTGCAGTTTGTAATACAGGTTTTTGTACTTGTGTACTCTTAACAGATTGCATAATGATCGGTGGTTGTGTTTTCGCCTGCCGTGCACCCCAAGCTTGCAATGGGGTTGGTCTCGCCATGGATGCTTGTATACTTGGAGAGATAGCGGAAACGGTAATTGGACTTGGAGAACCAGCCGACGTTGGACCAGAATAAATCCCAGAGGAAGGACTTTTGCGATAATCCTGTTGAGACTGCGTAGGACTTTGCCTATTTTGTATAGAGGCACTGTAAGACGGTGGTTGTACTGGACCAGCCGACGAGGAAGAAACTATGGGATACGGTGGTGGTGGTTCGACTTGAGTACTATTGTTGCTTGTTTGATAAATACTGAGAGCTTGCATTTGTTGAGAAAGTTGTTGCTGAACTTGCGGACCATTTTGAACAATCATAGGCTGACGACAGTTGGAATTATTATTTGAACTCGCTACTGGGCTTGTACCTCTTTGTGGTAAATTAACTGATGTTGATATTGGCCCAGTATTACCAGGAGTAGTAGGAGGTGGTCGTGTTGGAACAACTGGAGCAGGAGACATTCGTTTAAGCATTTGCTGCATATTAGTAGGCACATTTGGTTGATTATATGGAGCATGAGGCGGTGGTGGCGGCGGTGGTGTAGAACTGCATCTAGGAGGAGGAGGAGGTGGTGGTTCTCGTTCTACAAAATTGCTCGGCGAATATTGTCGACTCAATTGCGGATGTGGGCTAAGCTCTGTCATACGTGGACTATCAGATCGTGAACTTCCTGCTCCACTATCCAATGCAGGACTACCACGTTGTAAACTTAACTCTCTTTCTAAACTAGGCTTTCTTATCAATTTGCTGTTGAGTTTACAAAGACCATTCAAAAATTCTCCCTGAGCCTGCTTTAAGAATTCTACAGCTGCATCTAGACGCCATCCCGCTAACTTCAATGCGCGTAATGCAATTTCCTGCAAATATATACAGATATAGTATAAAATTTTGTTACAAGATGTTAGCCACCAGTCATTTTGTATAAACTCATGAAAACATTATCTTTTGCAATATTTATAACAATGTACGTACCTCGGAATATCCCATTGCTAATAGCTGAGTCAATAATTGTCGTTGCTCAGACTTATCAATGATAAAACCTGATGCTGCTGACAGACCACTAAATCCAGAAGCAGAACTAATACCACTGGTTGTAGACAAAGTAGATATAGTACTAGCAGCACTGGAGCCAATTTCCCCTGCTCCTCCAATGTTCGCAAAAGGTAGCAAAGAATTGCGAATTTCAGCCAGAGCTTTTTGATGATATCCAGAGCCACGAGTGCTCGATTTGCTAACCATGGATGGATTCATAGTGGCCCATGCTAGGCCTTCACAGACCTAGCTTTAATCCGGCTGTGACATATATATATGTACATATACATACATCTAAAACATAATATTGAGTTATTTTCTTGCAATGTTATAATTAATTTTTGTAATAATTTGCTATTGTATTTACTGTACAATATCATTATTTTCTCAAGAATATTAATTGTATTTACAAAAATATTTGAAATTTTAATTATTATACGGTTTCATAGTATTTATAGTGCTATCTAATTACATTAATCGTAATATGCGACATGAATTTCTTTGTACCACTCGATTGCTTGTACAACTAGCTTGTAAATATAAAATGTAAATATATTTTAATATAGAACTTTTGTGTTGTCAATAGAGTCTTAATATTGCGTGTTACGCGTAATCAAACGTCGAATTAACTTTGAAGAAAACGATATTAATTATCCAACTTCCTCGTTGAAATATTTGAAATTGTACACATGATAAAATAATGGTAATAATAATAGCTATTTGATAAACGCTAAGAGAACGCATTATGTATTACAATAGATTTCAAACGCTCTCCAAGTCATTTTGCTCGTTTCGTACGGAATTTTTATGCAACATGTTTCATTTGAAAATTTCGTTTCAATCATTAAATGCAAACAGCTTCATGTGTAATCTAAAATGATTTCATATCATCGTAACTACATAATGTTGAGTTCCATCAAAAATCTAACCTATTCATTACATGCGTAACGGATCAATCCAGAAAGTCTTCTGTACGTAAAACGGGCTACGATAGCACACACTTTCCTCAAAAGACAGGAGGCATTGGCTACGAGATTTCTTGAAATAAGTTTCACTGAAACAGCAATCAGGAGAGAACGACTTCAGAGCATATTCTTTTCTCACGTTCCCACACAATCCATGTGACGAGGTTGACGTGTACGTAGATGTTTTAGTTCACTATTTCCCTTTAAAACTAATTCTATGCTATTCGAACATATAGTCGTAATTACTCCAGCAACAACAAAGAAAGGTACAGCCGTAAATTACTAAAGTAACTGGCAGCCATTTTGAAGTGCCACATTCCTATACCGACTTGACACTCTTTTTCGTAATTTACGATATGCACTAAGTTTGTGCGCGAAAAAACAAACAGCCCTTTCCAATTAATACGCAATGCGCATTAACGTTCACATTAATGTTCACACATCGCCTCTCCATGGAAATGGAAAATGATATCGGAAATGGTTACGTTTTAAATAGATCGATTACTTCAAAAACTTACTTTTATAACTGTATGCTTCTTTCCATAAATAAGAACATCAATACATTACATTAGCTTCTCCTTTTTAATTTAACAATTACTTTTTACATCGTTAATCAATATTAGAATGCATTTAAGCCGAAAGAAAGTGAGACAGAGAAGAAGTGAGAAGAAGAAAGACAAGGAGACAAAAATGAAAGAGAAGGAGAGAAAGAATGGAAAGAATTAAAATTATATTCTACAATTTCCATGTTTTTTGTTAAATATACGTATTCCTTTCATAGTTTCATTTAATCATATGATAATTTTATTTAATAATTTAATAATGTAATAACTAATAATTTAATTAATTATATTCAAATGATAATATCGTGCACAAATAAGAATTTGTGCAAGTAATTTTTCATTATTATTATCTTCAATTTCGCTTTAATATTTACGACTAAATGTAATTATTATTCTTATTAATTTCATTCTCTATATACTTCAATTAATAAATAGAAATGTCAAATTAAAACAAAATCATTTTGGTTAATAATGATCATAAATATAATATTTAAATAATTATCGTTGTACCTAAATATTAATATGGAATAATTTTTTTAATTCTTCATATTTCCATAGATTTATCGAAACTCAACAATTTCTTTAAAGTAATTGTATATTGATATTAAAAAATTGCACAAATATGAAATACATATATATATATATACTCATATGTAGAGTATAAACTGGGATTCGAATTATATAAAATCTTTCTTACAATATTTCTACTTCTTACTTATTGTCTATTTACTATTAATATTTTTACTTTTTACTTATTGTCTATTACCTATTATTATTATATTTACTCTCTATTTATTGTCTGTTACTTATTGTTATTGTTATATTACTATTCAGTATCTTAGAACAAACGTTAAACAGAATGCTCAAGTTTCTGTATTTTATATTAATTTCCTTATGCCTCTTAGGATCAACAAAAATTTAAAGTATTAAATTAAATTAAAAAAAAATAGATAGTTATAATTTTTAATACAATTTGATCAAGTATTTAATCATAATATTTAATTATTTATACCTTTTTCACGTTTTATGCCATCACACGTGCGCATGTGTATGTACATATAGCGTGTACTCTATTAATTCTTTTTCCTTATCTAATTATTGGTCGTCCTTTTTAGCAATTTTTTATTGAATTAAATCGAATTATGTATATAACATATATAAATTATGTATATAACATAATAAAATATTTATAATTTCAGCATAACATACAAATGAAACAAATTCATTGGACTCAACTTTAGGAATGTTACTTTCTATTGCAAAAGTGACATTTCTCTAACACATATTATATATAATACGGTACATAGTATAATAACGTAGAATAATATTATATACAATACATATAATATATATTAATCAGATATATATGTATCTAAATAAATGTAAAAAATTATTACATCGGCTTTGTTAGTTAATGGTTTTTCTTTCGTTGCTGCTCCCGTGCAATTACATATATATACATATGTATATATTGGAATCGATATTCATTACTATTATGCATGCATAAATAATAAATAAACCGCATAAAATATTTTATATTTTATAGTTCTAAATAGGCGCCACTAAATTTATATTGAAAATTGAGAACATTAGTATAAAAATATCATAATACAAGGAGATGATAGGAATAAAATTTCATGGTACAGCGTTGGTATAGAATTAATAGATAGACAGAATTTAAATTTGAATAGCAGAAAAAAATAGTACAGCAAGTTAAAGACAAAAGTTTGTTAAATATTTAACGTGTAAAAGAGAATAAAATCACATTAAATATTATGGTAGCCCATGTTATGTGTTTAACCTCTACCGGAGGAATTCCTTTGTTTTCTCGCCAAAAAGGGGAGGGAGATACGGTAAAATTTACATAATTATAAACAAAAATGAAATGTATTTCATCAGTATCTAATTCTAATCTTTCTTTTATTTTTCACTTCTTTTTCACAATATTTAGATGACATTTTCCAAAATAGCATCTCTATATGGGATACACATGTTTCTCAAGTCACAAAACATTAAACTTTTAAACACAAATTTACCCGACACCACGATAATGTGGAAAGAGTTTGAACAAAGTATTACGTTAATAGTTATTGCAAGTGGGACTACCAAATCTGTATTAGATAAATTTCTAAATGCAGTCTTTGGCGCAATGATTCTGTTTGTTGGTATGGAGGAATTAAAAAGCACGAAAAACATTGAGAAGTTGAAGAAAGATATGCGCTTATGTAGTTCAATTGTTGATAGTTTATTGCAATGTCTTGATGTTGGTGATGGTATTTGTTCAAAAACTGATATTATCAATATGACAGAATGTATAATGTGTCAAGAAAATAGTTTATTTCAGGTAATTGGATTTTTTTTTTAAATTAGTTAATCTTCTATATATTAAATAATAAAATATTCAAGACATGCTTAGAGGGTTATATGGAATGTTTGGATTCTATGTATGGATGCATCTTAGTACATGGATGTTTAGCAGCAGCTACAGAAGGATGGTGGAATTTAAGTCCTATTGAAAGAAAATTATTAATAACTGCCGTTAATACAGAAGATACCTATAGCACAAGAGACATTCCAGTATTTTTACCTTATAAAAGTCCAAATGTGAGTATTTTGAAGTTTTTGAAGCATAACTTTTATTTTTTAATATGGTTTAGTTAAGATTTATTTAAAAAAACAAGTGCAATTGATCATATAGGTAGCTTTTAGATTAGTATCCATTACATTGATCAATCAAGTTGAAGTGTTAGCCTTATGTGGACCAAATCCAGATTTATCAGAAATTGAAAGATTTGCTGTACAATGTTGGAAAAATAGCATTGATGCTTTACACAGTGCAGAACAATGTTACCCACGAAATTTGCCTGCATCTATAAATTTAGATTCAGAAACACTTGGGTAATACATTTAACATAAATAACTTTATTTAGAAGAATTTATTATTATATTTATTATTATGTTTTTTTCTTCTTGTAAATTTAGGTTTCTTTTAGTAAATTACAAGATACAAAAATTTATACTTGGAAAAAATATGCAGTATGCAAAGAACAGAGTTAGTGGTTCACATAGATTAGATATATTAAGAACTTTCTATCATCAAGCTGTAGAGACATATATTTTATCTTCAGACTCTGAATGTGATATGACAGATGATAATTGGAAATTTATTGGTGTAAAAGAAACTTATCTATGTTCAGAGTACCATAAATGTTATGCAGTTAAATATGGAGATCATATACTTTGCATTTTATGTGCCTCTACAGTCCCTACTCATACAGTGAGATTAGTTTGTCAAAAAATATTGAAGACATTGCTTATTGATAAACAAGGCTGTTGGTAAAAATTTGTCAAATATAAAAACATATCAATTTCTCTTTGTGATATTTTATTTTAGCTTCTTTGTATCAGCCTAGTTTATATATATTTTGATATTATTTTTATCACATTTAAAGAAGATATTTACTTAAAATGAAAAATAGATTAATTAATTAACTATAAACTAATATCTAAATAAAATTAAATATGTTGCATTATGTGTAAAATTATTTATCATGACTAATTATTTTAATTTAAAAATAAAGTTATTATTTATTAGTATCTTTAATTCATAATATATGTACAATATACAATATATTTCACTAACAAATTAAAAAAATATATGAGAAATAATCCTATAACGATACAGTTAAGAAAAAAAAGTAAGAGATTCTATAACGATACATATTAAATATAAACTTTTTTGATATTGTTATTTGTAATTTGAAATTTTTGCATTTGCATTCATGAAATATGTTGCACGCGCACGCGCGCGTATTGATTTATCCATAGAATACATGACTGTAGATGATGTACATATAGTATAGAAAATATAACTACGTTGAGATAGAATATTGAATAAACATTTTGTTTTTCGTAACGTACTTAATAGTGTTATGAAGCACAACATTTTTGTATATTACTGGTACATAATTGGCGAATTGACTTTTATTAACAAATGGTATCATCAAAATTAAAATTTAAATATGAGCAGAATAACAAAAATTGCAGGTGATGCACAGTTATACAATGTAACAAATTTTTACATAGGTCTAGGTTTGGCAATTAGTTCCAGCGGTTTTATAGGTTAGTTGACTAATACTAATTCTAAATAAAAATTTATTTAAAATGATTTAATATTGATTATTATGCGATGTTACAATCATTTAGGTGCTAGCTTTATCATTAAAAAGAAGGCATTGATTCGATTACAAAGACGTGGTGCATTACGAGCTTCATCTGGAGGATTTGGATATTTAAAAGAATGGATGTGGTGGACTGGTCTTCTTTCAAGTATGTAAAACAAAAGATACATACATAGAGTCCAAGATATAATATTTTCACTAAAAAAAAAAATTAATTGCATTAAAGTGGGAGTAGGAGAAGTTGCAAATTTTGCTGCTTATGCATTTGCACCAGCTTCATTGGTTACACCATTGGGAGCACTTAGCGTTTTAATATCTGCGATATTAGCATCAAAATATCTAAATGAAAAACTTAACTTGCTAGGAAAGGTAATGATAAAACATTACAAGTTGTTATTATTATATTTGTAACAATAATCTAAAATAACATAATCTTTGTTGAATATATTGAATGAAGATGAGTGTAATTATTATTATTATTCTAGATTGGTTGCCTTTTGTGCATCTTAGGTTCTACAATTCTTGTAATTCATGCTCCAAAAGAAGAAGAAATAAATACATTAAATGAACTTCTGGAAAAGGTCAAAGATCCAGGATACATTATTTATATGTTAATTGTGATAGTATGTAGTATTTTGATCATTTTTTACTTTGGTCCTGCTTATGGGAAACAAAATATCATGGTTTATATTTGTCTGTGTTCATTAATTGGTTCGTTGACTGTTACAAGTTGCAAAGGACTAGGATTAGCTTTAAAAGAAACCATTCTTGGAATTAACAATGGATTTACAAATTGGTTAATGTGGATCTTTCTATTTAGTGCTATAATCTGTATCAGTATACAAATGAATTATTTAAATAGATCACTTGATTTATTTGAAACCACAATTGTAACACCTATTTATTACGTATTTTTTACAACATTAGTAATAATTGCATCTGCAATATTATTTAGAGAATGGGAAAATATAAGCACTGATGATATCTTAGGTTCATTTTGTGGTTTTTTAACAATTATAATTGCAATATTTCTGTTAAATGCATTCAAAGAAATGGATATATCTTATGAGAATATCAGACATATGTTGCAACCTAAAAGAAAATTGTTTATAAGTAATAACAATCAATGGAGTGATAGAGATGAAGAGAGATTAATAACAAGATTAGAAACTAAATTAAATCATACGTATGGAGCACAAACTCTAACAAGAAGTATATAAATTTGATTCTATAATTATATATGTATTATAATGTATGTAAGAGTTACTTATAAAATAAATCTTATAAATTTAAATCTTTAATCTTTAAATTACTTGTATCTTTTACATGTATAGATTTTATAGAAATAAATTTTTTAATAAATTTAAATAAAGTTTTTTTATTCGTATTTCCCATAAAGTTCCGAAAAAGCATTTAAATTTGCTTTTCTTTATCTTACGTTTAAATACTTTTTAAATATTTTCATACATTTAAAACAAAAGACATAAACGTTGCTAAAACTACATAAAAATAATTGGAAAATTTCTTGGAAGTTACTAAAGAAAATTAATGTATTATATCATGTTAATATATTATGTAACAAAGAAAATTTTAAATAATCTCTATTAGTTCTAATTTCAATTATGTTCGTAAAACTGCACTGTGATCGTGACATTAATCTTCAAGTTGCATTCCACCTATAGAATTTATAAACGGAAGTGAAAACATTCCACAATGGCAACATACCGGCTGCATCACATCAAGAAATGTGAAAATAAAACAAGTAATATTAGAAATATGTTATATTATATGTATATTTATTCGAAATGCAATTTTTCATTTATAAGTCAATTTATATCTCTTGAACCAACTTAATACTAACATCACATACAGTTATTACAATGGCGTTCAGTTTAGCCGCTTTTTCATATATTGTGGCTTTAATTATAGATGCTTTTTTAATAATATTTGCAATATTTCACGTACGTACGCCCTGAAACCTACAATGGTTATTTTTTTTTTTTAAATGAAATAGCAATTAAAAACTTATACACAACTTGTTTTACGCGAATTATTTCTAACCTCAGCGATCTAGGTTTAAAGTTCAATGATTCTAATGACACTATATTTTTCAGGTAATTGCATTTGATGAATTAAAAACTGGCTATAAAAATCCGATAGAACAATGCAATAGCTTAAATTCGGTAAGACTTTGAAGTTAATTTTTTGTAATATTTCTACAAAATCAATAATTGTAAGTGTAACTAAGATTTAACTTATATGCACATACCTGTATATTTCAGCTAGTTATTCCAGAATATGGACTACATATTTTAATCAATATTTTATTTTTAATTAGTAGTCAATGGTTTTCATTGCTTCTAAATATTCCATTGATAATGTATCATTTATGGCAATATTATCATAGACCTATCATGTCTAAGCCAGGTCTTTATGATCCCACTAGTATAATGAGTGCTCAAGCTCTTAAAATTCATCAAAGAGAAGGATGGAGTAAACTTACATTTTACCTTTTATCATTTTTCTATTACTTATATGGGTAAGTTTTATAAAATAGGAATTAATAATTTAATAAATCATACAATTTTCATTATAAAAAAATGTAATATGTTTTATTTTGTTTCAGTATGATTAGTTCATTGATTCACTGAGGGATGGGAAACATTTTTTACTATTTGTCATTAAAGTACATTTATAATATATCTTTTGTCTTTAATGCTCCATCAGGGTTATTGTTTTGTTGGATAAAATGTCAAACTTGTTAAAACATGTTATAATTTTTGTAAAAATAAAATTTCTACTCGAAAAATGATATTCTTTTTTCTATTAGTTTTGCTAATCATACAATTTATAAACTTACTTTGTCATTGCACGGCACGTGCACAATGATGTTCGCGTGAATATACAACAAAAATCTGAACTTTTTTTATTTCTGTTATTATTATTTGTTTCATTTTGAAAATTTATAAATGAATATTAATTTGTTCAATTTACATCTACAGATTTGTAAAGAAAATATATGTACTAAATAAAGCAGGAATGCTTAACCTTATTTTATAATACCTACAATGCTACTCCCTATTTAGATAATAAGTTGATTCTAACCTTAAATTCTTGCATGAAACATCAAAAATGACTAATAATCGGTTAGAGTAACATTTTTTATTTTAAACACTTAGAGTTCACAAAAGGTTTATTAATAAAAAAAAATAAAATAATTTCCATTAATCTATTTCATTGATTAACATCAAGAGTGTGTGTAGTTTGTATAAAAATGCCGACTATTAATGTCAAGCGTGACTTATTGTTCAAAACTCTTGGTAAAACATATTGTAAGTTCCAAATATTTAAATGATAAATTCGTGACAAATTTCAAATTGCAATGACTCGTTTCTCATTTATAATTATCTTAAATAAATATTTACTAACATAATATTTTTAAGTAAATTAATTTATATGATTTTAGCGGATACCGAATTTCAAAATTTATGTTTTGATTTTGGCTTAGAATTGGACGAAGTGGTATGAAAGTCATATATTACTAAATAATATTGAGTGTATTAATATGTACAAAAATCATCGTATGTTTTAGTCACAACACTACAATGTTAAAAATAATTTTAGAATTTGATTTTTAGACAACAGAGAAGCAAATGGTAATGAATGAGCAAAATTTAAATTATAGCACAGAAATATCAGAAGAAGTTATATATAAAATTGATATACCTGCAAATAGATATGATTTACTATGTTTGGAAGGTTTAGCTCCAGCACTTCTTGTATTTTTAAATCAGTATGTATGATTTACGTTTTCTTTTTTTCATGTTTTACAAGTTATATTGAAATCATGCTATTATTTTAATAATTCCATTAATTGTTGCCATACAGTGGCAGAATATATTGTTGATAATAAATTAAATACATGACTTAGATCTATTGAAATTAAGAAATTTTTTTAATGTAGAATAGATATACCTCGATATACAACAATATTTCCAAGTGTAAACAGACAGAAGATTATAATGACAGAACAAGTATGTATGATCTTTATTATTATTGATGTTGTTTTAATTGAAGATTAATAAACAAAATTAAAAAATAAATTTCTCAGTTCAATAAAGCAGTTTTTTAATAAAGCAATTATATCACATTTTAGTGTGTGAAAGTCAGAGGGCATATTGTTGCGGCTGTTTTACGTGATATTACATTTACAATGGATTCCTATAATAGCTTCATCGATCTTCAAGAAAAATTGCATCAAAATATAGGCAGAAAAAGAAATTTAATATCAATTGGAACTCATGATTTAGATACTGTTAAAGGTCCATTTTTATATGATGCAAGACCACCAACTAATATTTATTTTAAGCCACTTAATCAAGATAAAGAATATACAGCGGAAGAAATTATGAATTTATATAGTGTGGGTATTTTTACTTTTAAAATGGATTTTAAATTGTAGGTATTTTTAATTTTAAAATGGATTTTATTTTAAAGAAAGTTTTATGTTAAATTTTTTTTTAGAACCACGCACAATTAAAACAATACTTGCATATTATAAAGGATAGTCCAGTTTATCCTGTAGTAGAAGACAGTAATGGAGTTGTTTTATCTCTACCACCTATTATTAATGGAGATCATTCAAAAATTACACTCAGTACTAAAAATATATTAATCGAATGTACTGCAACAGATTTAACAAAGGTACATGAAACTAATTTTTCTTTTATATGTATAAGGAATAAATGAATTAATTGGAGAATTTTGGAAATCTGTAGGCAAAAATCGCATTGGATACTATAGTTTGTACTTTTAGTCAATACTGTAAAATAAAATATACAATAGAAATGGTGGAGATCGTGTATCCTGATAAACAAGTATTTCATTATCCAGATTTGAACTATCGAATTGAGGAAATTGATTATGAGAAAGCAACAAAATATATTGGTATAAAACAAACTGCAGAAGAGGTAGCTAATTTACTTTCTAGAATGTCTTTGAAAACATCTGTTAAAGACAATAACAAATTGAACATCAAGGTGCCTCCCACAAGACACGATGTAATACATACGTGTGATATTTATGAAGATATTGCTATAGCATATGGATATAATAAAATTCAGAAAACTATACCATATTTATCGACTATTGCAGAAGAGGTAATAGTGAATGTTATGGTTGGTTTCTAAGCTTATAAAGTTTTAACAAAACATTATCTATTTATTTATTTTAAAATTTAGTTTCCGTTGAATAAATTATCTGATCAATTACGGATAGAGTTGGCTTGTGCTGGATTTACAGAAGCATTAACTTTTTCATTGGTATGCGAAATTTTTAACAACACAGTAATACAAATTAATTAATGAATTAATTATACTGAAGTCATTACTTCTTTTTTACAGTGCTCTCGCGAAGATGTAGCGGATAAATTAGGTCAGGAATTGTTGAACATACCAGCTGTTCATATATCAAATCCAAAAACATTGGAGTTTCAGGCATGTAGATGATTTTATCAAGATTCTAAATCAAAGATTTTATCAAGATTTTAAATTCAAATTCATTCAAAAGACAAATTAACGATATGACAATGTTATAGATTGCACGTACTACTTTAATACCAGGATTATTGAAAACCTTAGCTGCAAATAAAAAGATGCCACTTCCCCATAAATTATTCGAAGTTTCTGATATTATATTAAAAGATGACAACGTAGAAGTTGGTGCGCGTAATAATCGACATTTATGTGCGGTATATTGTAATACATTTGATGGTTTCGAAATAATCCATGGCTTATTGGATAGAATGTTACAAATATTAGAAATACCTTGGAGTAGCAATAAAAATAAAAATGGATATTATCTTCGTGCTGTAGACGGTAATGTCTATTGTGTGAAAAATTATATAAGATTATACATATAAAAGAATGTAATTTATTTGTAATTTTTTTTTAATAAGTTGCATTATTTATTATTGTATGCTTATATAATCTTTTTCAGATCCTACTTTCTTTCCTCATCGTTGTGCGGAAATATTATGTTATGGCAAAGTGATTGGAAAGATGGGAGTTTTACATCCAGATGTAGTTTCAAGATTTGAACTAAATACTCCTTGTTCCGTATTAGAAATTGACATCGAATGCTTTTTATAACACTTACTATAATACTTGTTATTGACAATATGTTGAAATAAATCATACATTTTTCCTATTATTATTTTATTATTAGATGACAACCAACTTAAAAGTATAAATGATATGGCAAATATAAACATTAAATATCGCCTTAAATAAACAGGATTAAATTTACTGTTTTTTTCTTTTAAAATTGAACATATTATAGAGAGAGACATTACACAAAACACATTTTAAAAATTGTGTTTTCTTCTTTTAATTCGTAGTTACATTGTATTTTGTTTTTATGCGTTTTGTTTATTGTAATTGTATAAATAAATATAAATGTCAGTGAGTATAAAAAAAAATATAAGAAAAAAAAAATACAAGAAGATGTAAGAGTGCTAATGAAAGGAGAAATCAAAATTACCCGCCATGGGAAACGAGAGATGGCATATCGAATCGTATGCAATGATATAGATGGTCGAAGAGGCATCCGGGAGACTCGGTGTCAGCCATAGTAGAAATGGCGGGTGTTAGCTTACGTGAATGACGGCGATCGTGCTCGAGATTATCATCAAAAAGCAAGTGTTCTGTGTGTGTTTCACGACACGGGAACGATACCTTAGTATCATATGATTCATCTGGAAGGTAAAGATGCAGAATGTAGCACAAGGAACAACCTCGGATAGTCAGAAGCACGAGAAATCAGCAAGCGTTCACCACGACATTGGAAAGACGTCGTCGACTCCCCAGTCTTCGAATTCCAGCCCTACCAAGTCAGAGACCGAAACCTTCTCCGAACTGCAGCCACGCTTTATGGCAGACTCGTCGGAGAGCGAAGAGGACAGTGTTTCAGAGGTAAACCGAGTCAAAAAAACATGCCACATCGTGAATAAGGTATTCTTGCAATCAGAAGTTGAACGCACGCATGTACGTATGCACGCACACGCATGAATTCGTCTGTCGCTTCTGTCGTCCATCCAGTTACCGCCCCCTCTACACCCTCCTACCCGTCTTCTTTCCTCTTGTTCTCCTTTCTTACATACTTGCTCTCGCTCTTACCTGTTCTCTTCTTTCTCTTTCTGTATGTGTATATATTATATATACATATATATATATATATATATATATATATATATACTGTATACATATGCATACATATATATGTATTAGTATATATATGCATACATATATATGTATTAGTATATATATATTTAGTACATACATATATATATATTTTTTTTTATATCTATCTATATACATTACAGTACATACATATATATGTATATGTACGTGTACGCACACGTCAGCTTTTCATGAAATTTATTCGGATCGGTGTTAATCTTGTTTGACATTTCTCAACTTTATTGTAATATCATCTAGCATAATCCATTCTCTATGATATACGCGTCCGAAAATGCAGCTGCACCAAAGAATCATTGATTAAGCGTGTTAATGTTTCAACATCGGTACATGTGTTCGATCTTGTATTTTTTGCATGTTTTCTACTTGATAATTCAATAATAAATTTGGAGAGGAAACTTGGGTATGTTTGAAGATAAGATTTGCTAGAAATTAATAGAATTATAACCTAAAACGCGTGTCGTATATGAAAAACAGCATAAAACTATCGTTTTGTATCGTATCGTATCGTATCGTATCGTATCGTAGATATCGTATCGTATCGTTCCGTATCATATCGTATTATATAGTATTGTCTTGCAGTTTGCTTAATATAACTAGGTAACTAAACGTTGATGAACAATTTATAAAATGAAAAATGACAATGAGAACGATAACCTAATGATGGCTTAATATCTTTTTTTTGGAAAAATTATGTTCGATTCTAAACGTAAGACGCTCACGAGAGAATCGTTAAGCGAGCTCTACGTACTACGAAAACGATCTCTAGATTTTTCAACAGAAAGAAGGAAGGGAGAGGAAGAAAGAATGAGAAAGGGAATTTGCGTCAGGGATGTTATATAATCAAAATATGTGCGTTATAATGGCTAATAAAAATGTTATGGTGTATCACGGTGTGAAAAAAAACAATTGACAATCGTCCGTGATTCTTAATTAAAAAATATAGTTGTTATCTTTCTAGATTTCTATCCATTTCAGTGATCTCTATCTTTCGTACATCATTCCATAAAAATATTTATTAGTCGATCGAATCATCTCAACGTTAGATGAGAAACTGTATATAAAGGTACATCGTAACACAGGCCAGGAGTAATTAAAATATTTGTACGATATTTATTTTGTTTTTATAATCCTATGAAGTTACCTTACGAAAGGTATATGTGCAAATGATGAATAAAGCATTCCGGTTAACTGCACTGCATAATCAAGCGCGTGCGCACGCACGTGTACATCCATGTATATGTTTATACAAGCAGACGTTCGTGCATGTAGACCACTGGTCTGGATATGTATTGCGTAGAGATGTATAGAGGTAGACTTTTCATTGAACTAGTGATCTTGCATGTAGTGTATATGTCGGGCCGCGCGAGTCCCTTGTACATGCCTGTTTTCTATATAGATAAGTGTATGTGTGTAGCTATTTTACGTCCGCTTGCACTACGTTGTGCGCCACCCAGCGGAGGTCTCTTCGGCCGCGTTTCTCGCGTATTCGTGCGAGCTCGTGAGCCTGTTTGTCTGCTTGTGGCTGTCTCTTCGCCTCCTCTATACGTCTATAGGTGTATTTCTTACCTTATTGTAACACTTTACTCTTTCTGTTACACTGTCAACGAAGTTTCAGCTCTTATCCTTGCCTCTGTTCCTGCCGGCTACTCGTCGGCTAACTCTTCCCCTGTGTCGCTCGTGATCGTGGCGTGGAAATTATAGAGAGCAGAGAGAGCCACCATATTATTCTATATTCTACCAACAGCGGTTCTTGCATGAAGTTCTTCTTTTCTCTTTTTTTTCCTCTCCTCACGAATATTTTTTCCTGACGAACAATTACAATTGGTTAGTACGACGTGTGGCTCGCACGATCAGTGAATACGCGACTCGTGCTGCTGTTTCCTCTCTTCACTTCGATTTCGATAAAACAAAACGGGACGCGTTCACTACGCACGCAGAGAATATACCAAGGAAGTGTCAGTTTCGTCCTTCTTGGAATGGCTGCACATTGTTCTTATGCCTCTGTGTTCGCTAGCAAGCCGTTTTAATCACACACAGAAGATAAAATACTTTCACCTACATTTTGATTTGCGTTTATGTCTCATTGGTTTCCACTCGTCGCGCAAGAGGATATGACCTCTACGCGAGATGTACGTAATATAATTTAGATCGTCTACGAATTATCCTTTTCTTCCTTTTCTTTTTTCTTTCCTTTTTTTTTTTTTTTTTTTCAAGTAAAATTTTTGGTTGGAAGCAATCACTGATTTCATCTGAAATTCTCCTACACGTTGCAAGAATACTGCTTTTTTTTATTTATATAATCTTTTTACTATCAGTGTAACTTCTACTCTATTCTTCTCTATTCACATTTTTCCTCCATCTTTGAATAATATTTTCTTAATAATTTATCTGTTTTATCTAATTTATCTGAATGTTTTTTCTATATTTTTGTACAATTTCTCCTTTGTTGTTTTTTATCTTTTTTCTTCTTGTGTTTCTTTTTTCTTGTTTTATTTCTGTATTTAGTAGGAAGGTATTTATTTTTTGTACAATAACCTCAATTACTATTGCTCTTGCATGTTTTCAAGAAATCTGCAAATTATAAATGTTTCCTATATAAACTTGTTAATTACAATGATGAAATATAAGATTAAAGCCTACTTAATTTAATAAATTTATTTTATGCTTTAATTGTAACATAATTAAAATAAACTATAATTTTTGTTAGAGAAATATGACTCAGCAATCTTTCAATTAGTTTCTAAATTGTAATCAAAATCCAAAATTCAAAATCAAAACTCAAATGATAGTTTTTAGTAAGTAATTTTCTAAACAGTTGATTTATTATGCATGCAAGTACAAAATAAATAGAAAATACTATAGTTTGGAGTTTACAACAGTCGTACTATATTATTTCTGTACCTAACACTCCTCATCTCTTTATGAGTTTCACACTAAAAAAGCAAAAAGTAATTGGGTTACTATAGTTACTATGGTGTATTACTATTATACATTTCATAATTAAAAACAGGCAATATCCTTGTTGCAATGCAATTATGTATTTATTTTTTATTTATTAATGTATTTAATATATTTCATGATGTGTTTGTGTCAAATGAAAGTTTACTACTGCTACTTTTATGTCTTGATTGTTAGGTTTAAATTATTAATACATTGGTCAATTTTATTGGGAAAAATATTATCATGTTTTACTTACAGGTGGAGTGTTTCGCAATTGATCAGGTTGAATTAGACGAAGGCCATCATTTAGAATCATCCAAGCTTCTGTTAACTTCAGAAGATCCAGAGAGATCTGTGGATCCTGAAACTCAAGCTCGATTAGAATCATTGTTGGAAGTAGCTGGTATTGGCAAGTTGTCATCAGGCGATGGGAAGCACTTGCCTGATCACGAAGTGCTCCGTCGCATAACATCTAGTGTTTCTTGTGCATTAGATGAAGCAGCAGCTGCATTGACTCGTATGCGCAGCGATAATCCACGCACACAAAACGAAAAGCGCTCTCTTGTAGAGGCTTGCACTGACGGGGACGTAGGTACTGTTAGAAAATTATTAACAGAAGGACGCAGTGTTCACGAGACTACAGAGGAGGGAGAGAGTTTGCTCTCTCTCGCCTGTTCAGCTGGATATTACGAACTTGCTCAGGTTTGAATTTTATATGATCATTTATTTGTGTCGTGAGCGTGACTGTTTGTGCATGTAAATCAGTGAGTAAGTGTAAACCAGTGAATAAAAGAGACAAAGGTTTTTTGAAAATATCCTACTTTAATTTCTCTGTAATTTCTATTGTAATTTTTCTGTGTAAATGTACTTGCATTTACATATGTAAGTGTGGTGTTGTCAATATTGCTAATGCTGAAATTAATCTTCATAATTTGTTTTTTTCTTTTAATAATGCAGAAGAATATTTAAAATTAAATCAAGATAGTATTTAATAAGAAACCTAATTAAAATAATTAAGACACATTAAAATGTTGTTTGATACATTTGTATAATTTTTTAAAATAATTTCTTATTGTACAAAAATAAAGTATATATTTTTGTGTTGTGTTCATGTTGCATTAAATGTGTTTGTTTGAATTATTTCATTTTATTTGATTAATTTCTTTATGAGCAGGTACTTTTGGCAATGAGTGCAAACGTAGAGGATCGTGGCATAAAGGGGGATTGTACCCCTTTAATGGAGGCTGCCAGTGCAGGGCACGTAGATGTTGTAAGCTTGCTTATTGCTCATGGAGCTGATGTTAATGCTCAATCTACTTCAGGTATTCAATGTTGTCATAATCATATTTATAATTTATTGTTAAGGTATAGTTTGAAAAGTTTCAAAAAGACATATGTATAGAATATCTTTTATATGTATATAAATAATTAATATATAAATCAGATTATTTGTATTTTTAGGTAATACACCTCTTATGTATGGCTGTGCGGGTGGTCATGAGGAGGTAGTGCGAGTATTATTAGAAGCAGGTGCCAATGTTGAAGATCACAATGAAAATGGTCATACACCTTTAATGGAAGCAGCTAGTGCTGGACATGTTCCAGTGGCGAAGATTTTGCTGGAACATGGCGCTGGAATTAATACTCATTCCAATGAATTTAAAGAATCCGCATTAACATTGGCTTGTTATAAAGGTCATTTGGAAATGGTTCGCTTCTTATTAGAAGCTGGCGCAGATCAGGTACTTGTTTATCACTATAGTTTTTGTTCTACGAGATCATATATTTCAAATTAAATCATTTCATTTTATAGGAGCACAAAACTGATGAAATGCACACTGCCCTTATGGAAGCATCAATGGATGGTCATGTAGAAGTAGCTCGTTTACTATTAGACTCGGGTGCGCAGGTGAATATGCCAACGGATAGTTTCGAATCTCCATTAACATTGGCTGCTTGTGGAGGTCACGTTGATCTTGCTATGCTTTTGATCGAACGAGGAGCTAATATCGAAGAAGTAAATGATGAAGGTTATACCCCGCTAATGGAAGCAGCGCGTGAAGGTCATGAAGAAATGGTTGCATTGCTTTTGAGCCAAGGTACATCACAATTTTTATTTATTACACCAAACAAGATATAATTATTTAAAGAATTTTTTCAAAAAATGTAAAATTTGTCTTCACATACAGGAGCGAACATCAATGCTCAAACTGAGGAAACTCAGGAAACAGCACTTACCTTGGCTTGTTGCGGTGGCTTTTTAGAAGTTGCTGATTTCCTAATTAAAGCAGGAGCTGATATTGAATTGGGTGCCTCGACTCCTCTGATGGAAGCTGCGCAAGAAGGTCATTTAGAACTCGTTCGTTATTTACTTGAATCTGCGGCAGATGTTCATGCTCAAACGCAAACGGGAGATACTGCATTAACTTATGCTTGTGAAAATGGTCATACCGATGTTGCGGATCTCTTACTTCAGTTTGGTGCTAATTTGGTACATTTTTAAAAAATGAAAATTATCTTAAGAAATATGTACTGATCAGTTATGTTATTACTTATGCATTTATTTTTATGTATTATAGGAGCATCAATCAGAGGGAGGAAGAACACCGTTGATGAAGGCATGTAGAGCTGGCCATCTGTGTACAGTTCAGTTTCTAATAACGAAACGTGCAGATGTTAATAGGCAAACATCGAATAACGATCATACTCCCCTCTCACTAGCTTGTGCTGGTGGACACCTTGCGGTTGTAGAACTTTTACTTGCACAGTCTGCTAATCCGTTTCATAAACTGAAGGTATGCATCGTATAGCAATTGTTGTCAAGTTCTTTTGTAACAGTATTACAAAAAATTTAAATTCTGTTATAGGATAATTCTACGATGTTGATAGAAGCTGCGAAGGGTGGACATACTAGTGTAGTTCAACTTCTGTTGGATTACCCTCATAGTATTATGATGAGTACACCGCATAATGCAACACCTACACCTATGTTGCTTCCACAACAGCAACAACAGCAGCAGCAACAACAGCAGCAGCAGCAACAGCAGCAATCACACCAACAGCAGCAGCAGCAGCAGCAACAACAACAGCAGCAGCAGCAACAGCAGCAGCAGCAGCAACAACAACAACAGCAGCAGCAGCAGCAGCAGCAGCAGCAGCAGCAGCAGCAGCAGCAGCAGCAACAGCAGCAGCATATTACACATCAACAACATGTGCCCCATCAACAACATACATCTACACAACCACAGTCACACCAACAACAGCAACAGCATGCTACAGATCAACCGCAAACGCAAACTCTTCAACCTAAACACAACACACAAAAATCGTTGTTAAGAAAAAATCGATCGGTAACCATGATGCCCGACATGAGTCTTACTTCTGCTGAGGCGCAACAAGTCCGTTCTCAGCCCGCAGGAGAATCAATTGTAACAACTAAAGATGATACCAATATTCTGGATAAAGGTAGTGGAGGATTTACTAATCTCTCAGAACCTAACATCAGCCTTAGCCCTGCTCCAGCGCCAACACCAGGGTTAAATGTTTCTGACAGCCGAAAGAACACTCGACAAGAGCAAATTTTACATAAGCAACAAATTTTCGAAGAACTACAAGTATGTATTTAGTAATTTAAGCACAGACTTTCAATATTGTCAATGTAATATGTTATGAATATTTTTAGAGGGTAGAGAGAGAACTTCAAATTAAAGGTCCGGGGCACTGGTTCTGTAGTGCAAAGAATCCTGTTGTAACTCAACAGCAACAACAGCAGCAAGAGGATTCTAATGAACAGGATACACTGTCATCAGGTATATGTTTTGAACTCTCCAAACTTTTACAATTTCACTGTTTATAATTTTGTTGCGTGAAAGATGTTTCTAATAACGATTAACGTATTTTTGATTGAAAGGTTTAGTTTGCAGTACAAGTGGCATGTCCGGAAATTCATTAAGTCATCAAGGCACCAGCCAGGCGATGTCATTATATAACGCATTTCTCAGAGGGAAACGAATTGCACAAGAAGCTCAGCTATCTTTAGCTCCAACCATATCGGAAACTTTTCCCACGACAAATGCTTTTCCTACATCTCCACCTCTTTCCCTTGCAACAATACCTGTTACATCGTCTGTTCCATTAGTTACTTCAAATACATCTTCAACAACTACACCAAGTCCTCCAAGCATATCCACGCCTCCTACCGTTATGGCAGTTTCCCAACCCATTACTGCAAGTAGTGATGTTAGCCAGAATACTGCTATAAGTGATCGTCCGAAAGCGAAACCTGTCTCTAAAAAAGAAGGTAAAAATATCCGGAAAGCTTCGTCTAGTGTAATGGCTGGAAAATTACAGCAACAGCAACAACAACAGCAACAAGCTAACTTGATGGCTGGTCTTCAACAACAATACCAGCAGAAACAACGACAACATACTTATCAAGTTCAACAGGTACATCAGCTGCAGCAACTTAATCAACAATTACAATTACAGTTAGATCAAGTACAGGTTTGTTCTATTTTTGTCTTTATTTCTTCTGTTTATTGTCTGCATATTTCTTGCTATATTGGTGTATTATACATTAATTAATTACTATATCTGGTTAGGTACAGCAACAACAACAGCAATCACAACAGCAAGTTCAACAGCAGCACCAACAACAACAGTCGCAGTCACAGCAACAGACTGGTGTAGTAACTGCTAATGGAAATAACATACTTATGCCAACTCAATTAATGTCACATCTTCATCCTACGCATACCCATCATCTTCATGATCAGGTAATTGTGAATTATTTCTTATACAAGGGTGTGTGCGCGTGTGTACTCACACGCATGTGTGTATGTATGCATATGTATATAAAAATTACGTGCAGCAAACAACTCAACAAAATCTAACGGAGCAGGCAGATCCTGAATTAGCAAGATTACATCGGGATGGAGCTTGTCCCTTTGTTGCTGCTGCTCAAAAGGCAAAAGCTCTTTGTACAAGTGAAAGTGTTATAAAATTAGAGGATGGCACGCATATTCCTTTGGATGATGCTTTTGAAATTTTTCGATCTATTAGCTTTGACGATACTGTTGATGGTAAATATTTAAAAAAAAGTTGAGTTTTTTTGTGAATTATTCAGTTATCTAAATGCGTTATATTTTAATTAAATAGCTACAGAAGATCAAGAAAAACTTGAATTAAAAAGATTAGAAGTGACAAATGGCAAAGATTCTCAACAGCCGCAACAACAACAACAGCAGCAGCAACAACAACAGCAACAGCAGCAGCAACAGCAGCAGCAGCAACATTTACAAACCACACAAATAGTTCAACAAGCAACTACCCCTTATACTTCTCAAGAGTATTTTACTAATCCTGTGTTACCAACTTTGCCTTCGCTTCAAGTAACTAGTGCTGGTGTTCAAATACAAGCTGATATATCAGCAGGTTTACAATTAACTGGTACGCAATCTCTACAGAACCAATCATTTAAAGAAGGATATCTCGAGAGTTTTCGAGCCCATTTTCAACCACAATTGTTACTACAATCCTCTCAGATAAGTAAGTTTTAAACAACGGGTTAATCCCCGTTGTTCCTTTATCTTCTCCATTAAATTTAAAAATATGTGACTATATATTAAGTTTTAACATGATAATATATTTGTTTGTGATTAGCATTTCCTACACAAGCTTTGCCAACTGTAAGTGAAGCAACAGGAATAATAGACAGTATATCCCATCAAACGAATAGTTATGTTCAGTCAACAGCCTGTAGTACTAATCAAGTTCAGGTGGCTACTCAAACTCAAGCACCAGCAACAACAACCGCAGCAACTATCGTTGCTTCAGATAAAAAACAAGTTTATACAGCTCCAACGACCGGTAAAGGAAAAAAGGGAAGATATCCACTTTTGTCTCAACAACCATCGTGTCAACAACAAACTGCCAATACCCAACAGCAGACCCCTAATTTTCCCAGTCAAAATTATCAATTGGACCCAACAACAGGTACAAGATTTTTCTTTATTAACATAGAATACAATTTTTTTTATTAGTATAAATATAAAAGAAAATATGTAATTTTTTATTAATGCAAACATTAAATATAATCATGTCTAATTTTTTTATTTCGTTACTTAGTTGCTAGTCAATATACAACAGGTGTTCCAACGGTTGGTGGTTACCCTACTAGTCAAGTACCGCCTACACCATTCTCTTGTATGGACGTGGATTCTGAAACCGACAGTAATCATGATACAGCTTTGACATTGGCATGTGCCGGCGGTCATGAAGAGCTTGTTGAACTTTTGTTAAGTCGTGGTGCAGATATAGGTAATAAGCATAATATCATACAAAATACATTTAAAACGTTTCATTAATTTCATTAAAATGTTTCATTAATATTTACAAATTTGTTTTACAGAGCATAGAGATAAAAAAGGATTTACTCCACTTATATTGGCAGCAACAGCAGGTCATCAAAAAGTAGTAGAGATTCTTTTGAACCATGGAGCTGATATAGAAGCTCAATCTGAACGCACCAAGGATACACCTTTGTCTCTTGCCTGCAGTGGTGGTAGATATGAAGTGGTAGAGCTTCTCCTTAATCGGGGTGCTAATAAGGAACATCGTAATGTTTCTGATTACACACCTTTGAGCCTTGCAGCATCCGGTGGATACGTTAATATAATAAAGCTTCTCCTTAGTCATGGTGCTGAAATTAATTCTCGTACTGGCTCCAAATTAGGTATTTCTCCACTTATGCTTGCAGCTATGAATGGTCATGTTGGTACGTTTATAATGAAACAAAATTACGTTATTATAATAATATTAAATTTCGTATTATAAATATGTTCGTAATCTTCCGTAGCGGCGGTGAAATTATTATTAGACATGGGCAGTGATATAAATGCTCAAATAGAGACTAATCGTAATACTGCGCTCACGTTGGCATGTTTTCAAGGAAGACACGAGGTTGTTAGTCTTCTTCTCGATCGAAAAGCTAACGTAGAACATCGAGCTAAGGTATAAACAAATGTGTATGTGTACGTGTGTGTATTTTCATCTCCTCTTTCCTCCTTTCCCTCTTTTTTTATGTATTTCTGATCATTTGTTTAATACAATCGATATATAAAATATCTGTTATGAAATAAACGTACAATTGCAAAAATATATATCACACAAAGGTATATAAATTTCATATGATACAAAGTATTGAAAAGTTTCATCAATTTTCTGCTGTAATAAATCGAAAGAGCGTTTCTGCAATTTTCGCTTAAAGTTATTGTTGCCAAGTAAAATAATAAAATATATATATATATATTATAAGAACATATATGTATGTACAAGATGATTTTTAAATGCATGTCCATATTTTTGAGTGAGTTGAATGTTGAGTGATAATCTATTAAAATACGTAAAAAGAATATTATGTGAACCTATCTTAGTTTTTAATTCATCATCTGAAATATTGGATAATATAATACGGATATGTATTTAAAAATAACCTTAATATATGTATATTAAGAAAGTTACAAATGCATTAAAACTGAAAGTATAGTCTTGCATATTTCGCTTGCATATGAAATTGATGGGTGATTCTTAAATACTGAAAGTTGTTCGTCAAACCACCTACCTTTTCACCAAATACGTATTGTATTAACACGGCAGTGTTGTCATTTTGTATAATTTTAGTTTTACTTTTTTGCTCTCAAAGCTTTTTTAAGTTTAAGCATTCATAAAAGTGCGATCATTGATTTCCTGTTTCCTATATAGAATATGGAATATCGAATTAATATGTAACTTTGAAATATTTTATTCAACATATATAAATATATAATACAAATTTTGTGAAAATTTTATTTAGACTGGTTTAACACCATTAATGGAAGCGGCTAGTGGAGGATACGTCGAAGTTGGACGTGTTTTACTTACAAAAGGAGCGGATGTTAATGCTACTCCTGTTCCATCATCTCGCGATACTGCCCTCACCATTGCTGCTGATAAAGGACACTGCCGTTTTGTAGAATTATTATTGTCAAGGTAACATTTCTTCATTATTCTTATCTTATTTTATACAATTTTGCGTGTCTATTCTAAATGTTGACAACCATTTACTTCAAGGATTCCTTAGCTATTTTGATTTAATTTTAAAATATGTTGTCATTATTCTGAACTACTTTTATATATATATATTACCGCCACTCAACTTTAATTTTCGAAATATTATACAAAAATATAATTTTTAGAAGATTAACTTCACGGATTTTAATGATTTTTAGATTTGTAATGAATATTCGAAGTTATATGCTTAATCATTTACAATTTCAATTTCCATCAATTTTTTTAAAATATGTTGTCAGCGACATTTTCTTTTCTGCATTCCCCAGGCAGAAGGCTCCAGGCCCTTTATATTATTCATTAAGAATCATTTATTTTATGAATTGTTTAAAAATTATGTGATTTTTCTTACCTGAATCAATATTGATTTCTCATTGTTGAACATTTGAAAAGAGCTGAAAATGAGTTTTCTTATATATATTTAATATATATTATAATATATATAATGTATATTATGTATATTATAATTACAACATAAACAAATCCCAAACTTTAAATACAGAATGACAAAAATATTTTTACGTTAAATGTTTTGGAAACTGAAGTTAAACAGCAGTGACACGTATAAAAAAAAAGTTGTACAGAATGATTGCTCTGATAATATATTTCAAGATCATCAAAATCAGTAAATAAGAATCTTTAAAATAGAAAACAACGTTTTATAACGAATTTTACAGAGGAACACAAGTAGAAGTGAAAAACAAGAAAGGAAATAGTCCATTATGGTTAGCGGCGAATGGTGGGCATTTGAATGTTGTTGATTTATTGTATCACGCTGGAGCAGATATCGATTCGCAAGACAATCGGAAGGTATGTGAGAAGTCAAAAGTATGTTAAATGTACAACGGAATCGAATTTTGTTTTTTCTTTACTTTTTTTATTCTTAGATATGCACGCGCACTTACAAACATTCACACATGTATGTATTTTCAATTGCAGGTTTCTTGTTTAATGGCCGCTTTTCGTAAGGGACATATTAAAGTTGTTAAATGGATGGTAAATCACGTTACCCAATTTCCAAGTGATCAAGAAATGACGAGGTATATAGCTACCATCAATGACAAGGATCTTTTAGAAAAATGTCAGGAATGTGTCAAAGTTATTCGAGCAGCAAAAGAGACTCAAGCAGCGAAAGCAAACAAAAACGCAACGATTTTATTGGAAGAACTTGATATGGAAAAAACGAGAGAGGAATCGAAAAAAGCTGCGGCTGCTCGTAGAAGAGAACGAAAGAAAAAAAAGAAGCTTGAAAAGAAAGAGGAGAAACGAAAATTGCATGAAGAATATAAGAAGAATGAAACAACCTACGAAGATAAAGAGGAAAATGGCAAAAAATCCGGAGACGAGGAATGCGATAGAGCGGATGATAGTGAACATGAGACCGGTGACAGTTGTGAAAGAATGGACAGTATGCCATCGCCAGTTAACAGAAGTCCAGAAGATCCTTATCGAGAGGAAGGCGATAGCGGAATCGATGCAAATAGTCAAGGCAGCTGTAGTAGTAACGACGTTAAAGCTAGGGAGAAAAAAAAAGAGAAAAAGAAAAAGAAGACTAATAGTCCAACCAACAATGAAAAAGACACGTCTCCTCAAAGATCTCCAAAGTCTGTTGTTACGCAAGGCACTACTTTGTCGCAAAATTCTATTACACCTACAAAATCCCAAAATAATACAACCGAAAAGTAAGTTGGAAAAATTGCAATATATAAAAAATGCAATATACAAAGCTTTTTATAAATGAATCAGTGAAGTCTTTCAATGCCGATCTCACAAATGATATTATTTTTTCAGAAGAATTATGACCAGTGTTTCTAATACGGTATCCGTATCCACAACTTCTGCTACAATGAGTTCTAGGTCTTCGACTGTGACCTGTGGTGAACGCAAGTTGAAAGGTCAACTGGTATTTGAATCATCGAGACATCCTGCCGATAGAGAAGACTTCGAAGCAACCGGCAATGAGACGTATATGCCTGGTAAGGGCAAGAAATCTTATAATAATCAGTATGATGGCGACGCCTTGAATACTTCCACAAAGATAAGCAACACAACCAGTCCTAAGCAAGGTGGCAAGCGCGAAGAAGGCTGGAAAGAGGTTGTACGAAAGTAAGAAGCACGATTTATATTATTGACTGTCGTTGTATTATTTCTATAACGATTGCCGTTGTTATCCTGTCGTAATTATTAAATGAAAATCTGATGATGAAATTCTGATATAGGGGACAGTCTGATGATTCCGGAAGATTTATGAATTCGCCATTCCGTTCGAAAAAAGTATCTGTTCCACCAAATGCTATTAGTCGAGTTATTGGAAGAGGTGGAAGTAATATAAATGCTATTAGAGGTGCAACAGGAGCACACATTGAAGTTGAAAAACAAAGCAAATGTCAGGGCGAACGAATTATTACCATTAAGTATGCGACATCTGCTATTTATTTTTCGCTAGAAATCAAAAAACGTAATAATTCAATTTTTCTTTTAATATTTTCGTAATCAGAGGCTCGTCCGATGCAACAAAACAGGCTCATACATTAATAGCCGCTCTTATTAAAGATCCAGATGTTGATATATTGCAAATGCTTCCAAAATCGAAACTCACAGTGGTTACGACTTCTTCTTGGGATAAAACTGTATCTACTGTAGCTGTAAGACCATTGAATTATTATACCAATAAAATTGTAGCCTTTGTAGTTGACTTTGTAATTTGTAGCCGATTTGTTTCCTAATTTGTTCTATATATTTTCATTTTAGTCGAGTAAAGCAAAGTTGGGTCCTGTAAATAAACCTCCAAGTCTAACATCTAGTTCCAGTAGTGCGCAAATTAATAAATCTAGTTACACATCCGGAGTTTCTACAGTTAATCAATTGATTCCACTTCGATCATCATCCACCATTAAACTCGCTGGACCATTTCCGACACCTTTACCACGCGCGACAGCACCCCGACTTGTGGCTGCAGGTAATAACAAGTTGCATCTTTCTGCACTAATTTGAGCTCATGTCCATACTTGTACACAGATACGAAAAAAGGATCAAATAACATCGCAGTTAAAACAACGTTCAGTTAATTAACAAACGTTGAACTAACATTTCGTTTCTTGCTTGCATATGTGTGTAGCTGAAAAGCGAGCACAAGCTGTAGCCGCCCAAATGGCTTCTTCATCGAACACGAAGACAACAATGTCATATACGAGTGCAATTATGACTGCTGGACGAGCAACAAAGATTGTAACGACGAGTACCACACAAACGTTTGCAGCGAAATTATCTGAAATCACTGCCTCAACGCATACATCTACTACCGTCATGCAGTCGACTCATACTACGGTAAACAAGCAAAAATCGTTGCAAGCAAATACGGTGACTGTTGTATCAGCTACAGCCGCGGCAATGGCTCAGACTTCGTCTCAACAGTCTGCAATCAATACATCGCCAAAACACTGCCGACCACTGCCTACTTTATCTGCTCCGCCAACTATGGTCTCCCATTATTCCGGAAAGTCTACTTATTCTCCCGGCTCCAACGCGGCAGTATCACCGGCAACGAGCACTGTGGTTGCATACTGCTCAGAAAGTACTGTTACTTCAACTTGTTCAAACTCCTCGATACGAGTCAGTCCGTCGCCTCCGATATCATCGCAGTGTCAACAACAATTACAACAGCAATCACGTAGTCCACCACCTGTTGCGTCGGTAATTCAAGAGCAACAGCAGCAGCAACAGCAGCAACAGCAGCAGCAGCAGCAACAACAACAACAGCAGCAGCAGCAGCAGCAGCAGCAGCAGCAACAACAGCAACAGCAGCAGCAGCAGCAGCAGCAGCAGCAACAACAGCAGCAGACAAATAACACGCCTCTCGAATATTCGCTGTTCAACGACACCTTTACGAAAGTTACACAACAATCGATGTGGGGTGGTCGGGAAAATGAATCTCAAAAGGGTATGAATTTCGCGACCGTAGCTGGAGGTGGTGGAGTGTCAGTAAACATTTCGGGTTCGTCATCGTCTAAATTCATCGACAGTGTACCTCCTCAGGTTAGTATCTGCAATAAACAAAGTGAGCAATAACCTAAGCCATCTTTTTTTCTACGAATTCGAATGAATGCAAACATCGTTGTTTTAACAGTTGCCGTCTATTTTTTTGTTTCCTATAGGTGGATGCTTCGAAAGCTCCTGGATACCGAGGGACAACTATGTGTTCTCCCGTTTCGAGTAAATCTAATAATACAACCAACACGAACGCGACTAGCATAGGAAGTGGTGGTGTATCGTCGAATGCCAGCCATAATCCTATTCAACTACCGCAGTTTCAATCGTCCGGAAATTACAGTGAACATCCTCTTTCAAACAAACCACCAGGTAGCTTGGCTGTAGCACGACCGGTGATTCCTCAACAGAATATAGAAATGGGAGCAGCTATGGGAGCTCAATTCAGTAGGCCAGTATTTCAAGGGGAATTGACGGGAACTCGTAATTCGACGACCCATCAGCCGCACGTGATAGTTTCTACATCGCAGCCAACGTTGGACGTTAGTTTATTTAAAGCGAACAGCATTGGCTATGAGCATCCGAACGTAAATTCAAGCTTACTAAAGATGGTGCCGAATGAAGGGCAGGGCCATCCGCTTTTACCTTTTCATCCGCATATGCAGAATTTCACGCAAACAATAGCACCATCTGCTTCAGTGAACACCACCGTCAGTATGTCCAGATTAAACCCCAGAGCGCCTGATTTTTCTAGTTCGTTACATTTGAATAGCAAGCCTCAAGTGACAATGTTTAACGCGGGTTCGGCAGCGGGGATGCATCCGAACATGTTCGCCACTGTACCGCCACCTCCTCCGTCCGCGATCCAGTCCAACAACCTAGCAATGCTTGGGAATTTTCCTTTAGGAAAATATCAGGCACCATCTCGAGCCACTCCCGGCAATACTGGAATCTCAACTAACGGGCAGACACGTTGGCCGTTCGCTCCGCCGCACAATAACTACCCGCCCCATCAAGATCCAATGATAGGCCAGATTGGCTTCTCCAATCACTTGGCGAACATAACCGCACAACCTGGAAGCATCGATTTGATAACAAGTCTCGAGAATGGCGGTTCACCTGCTATATCACCCTCTTCACCGGCACAAGTGGCGCAGGAGATGAATCAGCTTAAAATCGAAGATCGTAAAGTACCGCGACCGATCGGTACGGAAAGAGCTTGGAAGAATTACGCAACAGCTGGCATGGGACCTGGTGGTGATGCCGATTCCATCAATTGGATGTTAAATAACGAAAAACTCGTCGGGTCTTGGGCAAGTTTAGCACCAGGCATAGATCGACATCAAATGTTTCGATCTAATGCTACTTACAATCGTATATCAAACGTTGATGCCGAACTTCATCACATGATGGAATCTTCATTTCAGGTAAATCGTCCTTATTTGAAACGTTTTTTCGTTTCTTATTTTTTCTTCTCTTTTTTCCCTTTTTTTATCCGAATATCGTGTACATACATTATATAATTTATTTAAAATCACATAGCTTAATTCTAGATTACTTTTAAAAAAATGTTTTGAAAGTGTATACGTAATAACATTGATATTGACTTATTTGTATACTTTGCATATCTAACTAGATTTTTAATCTGATTTATACGCAGGGTCATGTTGATACTCAGCAACAACCTTTTCCTAACGGGAACGCGACCACTTTGCCTCTTATCCCAGGATTAACATTATTACCGGGACAATTTGGAACACCTACATTGACAGAAATTCCTCCGAATGAAGCAAATAAAATAGATGCACCAGCATGGGGAATACCAGATACTGTGCAAGACAAGCAACATCCGGTACGTTATACGTAATAAATCATACAAAAAGCTATAGCGTAATTGATGTCTGAATTAAAATTAAAAAAATGAATTTTTTTTCGAAGAAAAATTATTAATAATCATGCACCTATTTTCATTGTTCATTAAATCGTTTAAATATAATTACATATGTTACGACATGTGTATTTTTATCTTGATTTTTTGTGTAAAATATTCTACAAATCAGACAAGGAGACATTCTACATGCATAACTCGAAAAATGAATGAATAAAATTTTTGATTATCCTTTACGTCTAGAAAACCAAGTTATCTATGATATTTTTATTAAATTTTTGTGTTATTAAATGAGTATTGACATATAAAAGAGGAAAAGAAATTTTCTAATAATTTAATGTACAAGTACAGTACATATGATTCTCTATTTTTTGAATAATATCCAAAAGTTGTATCATCACAGTGTTTGTCAATAGAAAACTGAATCTTCTAATTACTAGCAGACATTCTATTCTAATAATATAATATTTGAATATTAAGATATTTGAAAAATAGAGGTTCACAAGGAAGATTGCATTGCGTTTAAAATAGTATCGAACAAAAAAATAAGACGTAATACTACATAAAGTAAAAATATAAACATTTTCGTGCCATCTCTCAACGATTCACAGATATTCATTTTGTACTTTTTCCTTTGCAAGATGTTCTTTTTAAGCATTATGAGAAATTGTCAAAACGTTTATATAAAGCAGTACTCTTAACCACTTGCGCTAGAATAATAATAATTATTAATAAATAATAATACGTATCTATAAATAATTATACGTATTTCAAAATTTCTTGCAGTTTCTAATATATTTTATTATAACGCAGACAAATCAAATAATAAATTTATTTTATTTTAGTAATTTCAACCTGTTAAGATTAAGGGTAGATGTAGGTAAATTTGCAGAACGCCCTACAGCCAAGGCCAATAAACGTAATGTGAGCAACGCATCCCTGTAATGCGCAGTATCATTAGGCCCAAAGAGGGTCATAAAATTATTACAATATTACTTTATAGGATCAATCTTGCTTAACGGTATATCTTGGCCAAAAAATTGTCTTACCTTTTTCCAATCACGTGATTAGAAAGGATACAATAAAACCAACATAATATAAGGCCGCGGCACAGCATAGAATTTGGAATAAACAAAACTAAATTTTTAATTAAATCCGTCTAAATAAAAAGTGTTCATATCTGTGTTCTAAAATCCTTTGCGTAAAACTTTACCGAGTCTTCTCATTTCAAGTGAGACTTCACGGCGAATTACAATGTAACGTTTTGGCACAGGCATCTTAGTTGTCAGCGCAAGTGGTTAAGTACCGTCAAAATAGAAGGAATTAAAGCACCATTTTTGAGAAAATTGAATTCGAACTTATCCATTATGTTTAGATTCTAGACTGATCAGAATAATTATACTGTTTGTGAAAATAAGTAAAAAATGTCAAGTACAATTTTTTGTAGATGCTTTGTTTTCAAGAAGATTATTTTTACAGGAAAATGTCCATTCCAGAATTAGCTAAATTCAAATATAGCTATAAATTTATAGCTATAAATATAGTTATAAATTTGCAGAATAGCCCCTTCTAAGTCCAGGGATAAAACTTATTTTTCTCCACATCTTTTTTCTATTTGCAATTGCTTTCCATTGCATCCCCTGTCATTTCTTTTTTATATACTTATATACATAGTGAATAAATAATTTGATTTCAGGCGTGGAATAAATGGACTCATTAAAAAGAGAGAAAAGAAAAAAACAGAAAGAGGAAGAAATTCTTACCTGGATGATATAAAATAAAACCTGGAATTCGAAGTAGTAAATAGATGTAACTGGAATATGAAGCATTGTTTTTAGATACTTGAATTGCATTACTATCCTAATTGTATCCATTACAACACAGATTCGAATATTATTTGTCATGTTAGATAATAAGGCGGATAAATCCTTATAACTTATTACTGTTTGTCTAGTATAATCATGCAATACAAGCAATTATTGAATACGATATGGAAAATGTTAAAGAAAAAAAATGAAGAAAAAGATAGCCAAATGAAATCGAAACAGAACAAAAAGATGTTTGTTACTTGTTTCTAATTTCGTTTCTAATCGTAATTCGACCACGCTACTTCTGCACTCCAGGATCATTCTCAAATTTTTGTCACGATCGAGAGATATCGAGAACAATTTACGATCTTCCTGCTGATCGTTACTGCGTGGTGGATCGATTTGTCCAAGTTACGAGATTCTCAAACTTTACAATATTTGATAGACATTCGTCATAATAAATTCAGATACGCATACGATAATTACATCAGCTTTCGCTTCACCCGTAGCAGTTCTCGAATTAAAACCTTCTATCCTTTTCTGTTCCTTGAATTTCATGTATCGAATTAAGAAAAAAAAAAAAAAAAAAAAGCTTCATTTCAAGTGTCCTACATGCGTGCGAAAATAAAGGCTTCGATTTGCCACAAGGATAGCTGAATAATAATTATGTTAATTAAATGATACATATTAATAACAATAATAATATTATTATTGTCGTATCAAAATGAGTTATTTTTGTCTTTGGTTGGGTACATACATACTATGGAATTAAAGAAAACAACCGAAGAAGAGGAGACAAAAAACAGAGAAATTACTTTCATCACTAGCTGATACAATTTTCCTTTTCTTTCCTTTTCTTCTCTATTACTATTATTCTCTACTCGTACTAAATCGCTATGTCTCCCCCCCCCCCCTTTCTAATCCACTTCTTTTTCTTGATATTTCCCTTTCAACATTCCTGCTTACAATTATCACCTAGTATTGAAAAGAAAAAAAGAAAAGGAAAAGAATAAGCAAACCGAACGAAATATTATACGGAATATGTAATTTGCAAAGCACTTTTACAATTACTAACAGTGATTACGCACCAGAGAAGTGCCGTTCTGTGCGTCGACGTACATAATACGTGTATAAATATGATCGCTACATTTTGTCTCGTTTCTCTCTTTATTCTTTTTCCCTTCTCTCTCTTTTTTTTTTACTAATAAAAACCACAGCCAATTATATCGGTAAATGGTCGCTGCCGAGATCATGCGAGAACATTTATGTTAAAATATAAAACAGAGGAATATGGAGAGAGATGAGAAAAAAATCGGAAAGTAGATAAAAAAAAAGAAGAAGAAAGAACGATAATGAAATGTACAGATGAAAAGTGTAAATTAATTATCCGAATGAAACAATAGACAAACAAGGCATGACGTCTCGAAATCAATCATTCAATTAGGACTCCCCATACATGCAGAAAAACGAAACGTAAGAGATAAATAAAAGAAACAATGCGAAGAAAATATATGACAGTGATGATGCACGAGTTAATATACGCTGTAATGATACTACATACTAAATATTATGTATAACGAATCTTATTCTGATGAATGAATATCGTTGATTACGTTAAGCCAGACAGTGGGGCCGCCGTAAATATAACTTCATGCGTCCCTAGCAACAGTGCTATTATAATACTATTATTGCTGTGGTGGTAATAATGTTTATTATTATATTATGGTTATTATAACATATAACGTAACTATAGGAAATGGAAAGATAAATAGTAAAGTCATCCGCTGTTTCGGCTGAAACTAGTACGATGTAATAAGTATTCTACTAGCTGAACACTCGATAATACATATAAGAAATGTTCATTTTAATTGAACATTTGAAAAATCTTTCTTGACGGGGATTTCAACAAGTGTTCAATATACATAGCGATGATATCGTAATTGAAACGGTCCCCTAGACACACATACACAGGCGCGTAAGTTTCGATAAAAAGAAGCTCGTGGAAATTTGTTGCGAGAGCTTTCGGCTCTATTGATTCCAGGGAGCGCTTCAATTATTGTCTAAGATATATTGTTATAATAATTTAAAGCCTATTTTCAAATTTGATTTATGATAATTGCAATATACGACACAAAACTATTATATGATATACAACAATAAAGTAAATAAATGAATAAAATAAGTAAATAAATAAATATATATAAATAAATGAATAAACGAACGAATAAACAAAAAGATATAAGCAAGCGAACAAATAATTAGAAATAACCTTGCCTACTGTACATATTTTATTATTCTCCAATTGTTGATCGATTGATGAAATCCAATTTTACACGTGTTTTATTCTCTTAACGCATCGTTCGGTTCTTTTCTCGTATACATTCAACTATATCCGGTAAAAAAGAATTATTTTTTAAAATTAAATATATAAAAATAAATAATATAATAACAACAACAACAACAACAATAATAATAATAATACTCTAATAACAAATTCGACTTTTGAAAATTGTTATTCCTTTTTTAATTAATATGCGGATTTTGATTGACCTTGCATATATTCTATATCATATCTTACATGTGCTTCAATTTCCTCGCTAAACTTCTCATCGCTTTTTCTTAATATTATAGTGAGAAGAAGAAAAATGAGGGTGACGACGCAACAACAACAACAATAATGATTTCCAATTCAAAATCGATTGATTGCTAAGGGATGAAAATATTATGTAAAGATTAACGAGTCATTTTGTTATCATAAAAAAGTGTTTAATTTAGAAGATAAGCTTACATTAATAATACCAAAGAAACAGAAAACTTATAACGTTTGAAATATAGAGAACATTTCTATAACATTCATTATATTAAATAACAAATTATAAAAAAATCCAAAACTTTTGCAGCTCGCGTTCTTTCGTACCGGCTAAACAATGAGTAATTCTCAAGAACATTATCGATATTTTTTAATTACTATTAGTAATATATAAACGGAATAATAATAGTAGTAGCTGACAATGGTAGTTTTGATCTTATATTGATCTTTTATTTTTGAAAGAGAAAAAAAAAAAAGAAAGATATATTAGAGAATTCATTGTTTAACTGAAACGATCATGGCTCACTATTCTCATCATATAGTAAAATAATAAATATTTACAAGTGACACATTTATACAAAAAATCAGTACGAGGAAAAGAAGAAGTTAGCATGATTGTCGAATCTTTGCGATTTTTCTCTCTGAACCGACGACGTGCAACGCATTTGAAGAGCATTATAATACATAAATGCATTACATTCTTTTTTACATTTGTTCCTATTATTATCTTTTCCTCCTTTTAAATGGCCGAAGTCTATAAGGAAATAAATAATAATATTGAAAAACATAATCTCGATGATCAAAGATAAAACAAACCATATAGGAGTGATTAACATTATTTACTTGAGAGAAATACAACGCAATTGTGTTTCTGGTCGATTAACAGAGAGAGAGAAGAATCAAGTTTCAAAAATTTATGGAAAATTTCTAGTGTTGATTAAAATTAATTTTCTATAGATATTTTACGTGTATACGTACATTCATATATACACCGTTTTGTGCATTCACATGGTTTGCGTACACGTGAAGTGTATGCATACTGCATGCCATAGTGTATGTAACTTAATCTTTTTTTTTATTTATACGTTTCTGTACCTGTGCCTGCCTGCCTGCCTATGTTTGTTTTTTACCTATCCTATCTATTTGCCTGCATACCTATCTCTTTATCTATCTTTCTATCTATTTTTATATTTGTCTATATGCGTACCTACTTATCTATCTAATCATATCCTATCTAATTATGTATTTTATTTATTTCTCAACTTATCTACCTGTATATTTATCTATTCTTGTGAATTTTAAATAAATAAAGACAAACTGAAGGCTTTAAAAAATAATCCCTAATTCATACTTCGTGCGCACCCCGATTTAGAAAATAACATAGATAAATAAAGCTGTTTGTACATAGCGGAAGATATATTCTATAAATTTTATATAAAACTGACTACACTCTCGCGAGAAATTAAATATCTCTCTTTTTCATTTAAATCATTCAGGACGTTTCAACAACGTTCAATGCTCGAACAGTTTCTCTATTACATCTTTGTGTTTCTTCCAACAAAAAATAAAACTTCATGCAACACATTAAATGTGTATTTAACAAATCATGAATTATCCTTGATGGTCTAATAATCTCATTTGTTCACTATTTGTGGCCAACATGTATTCATTCCTTCATCCATCTCATTCGCACGCGCACATATTCATTATTTGTATACATATGCATGTATACACGTGTATATACATGTCCACATGCACACGAATCTTGGACATTAAGCATAACGCTTATTTGAACAATTATCTTGCTCTCTATAGTACGTATAATAAATTTCTATATAATCATTTCGTTCTTTTCTAATAAATATGGCGACGAGACATTTTCAAGAGGGCATCGATCTTATTTATACATACATACATGCTCCTACACAATCACATGATCCATATAACAGAAGTGATTTACATTTATTACGTTCAATTTCTCGAAAGTCGTCGCATATTATTCTGCTCTCCTCATTATCTTTCTTCTTTAAACCTGTTATTCTATCATCTCTATCTCGCATATTCCCTCTCTTTCTCTCTTCTTTCTTTCATACTTGCCTCACTTTTTTCTTCATATAAAAATAACACGCAATGCCAAAACTATCCAACATTGCTTTGTACATTCGCCCGTGCTCCAATGAAAAGAATCAAAATCTAACGAATCTAGACAATATTCAGTGCGATACCATTGCGACTAATTTTGCGTTTGGGTTTAATAAGAAACTTATCGCTAAAACTTAAAACTATCTAGACTGTATTTCAATGTTACCATTGTCCAGTTTTCTTTCTTTCTTCCTCTTCTCTCCTTATTTGCCAGCGTTAAAATTTTACAATATACAGAGCACCTTTTTGTAGTTTTCGAAAATGTTTTATGATTATACAACACATACAACACACATACGTACGAACACACATATTTACTCATTCATTCAATATTATCATTCTGAACGCATCGATGTATTCCTTTCTACAAGTCTTGTGACATAATTAATACTTTTTGTTCGTATATTCGTAAACATTATCAAATAAAATATTCAAAAATACATAGCTCTCGAACATTTAACACACGATTCTTCTGATTTCTTTAACTTATACAATAATTTACAAAACATAAATAATTGCTAATGATGATTCCATTAGACGTAATAGCAAAATGATTAATAATAGTAGCATGTTATAGTAATATAAATTGTACCAGCAAAATAGCAATAAGTAAAAGTAGTTCAAATACTAATTTACTATGGAATTTTCATTCCCTCTGTATCCTCTTTCTGCTAAAAGAAAGATTCGTTCATTGTTTGTTATCCAACTTTCTCTTAGTACGACCCATTAAATACTTTTCACGAACACTAATTTTGTACATATAACACGAGTACATGCACACGTTTGCAACATATTAACATTCCGAATTGAAAAGAATTCATTCTTTACAGCTATATCGATCCCAATTTTTGTTTCGACGTGTAATGTTTTATCGCATGTATTCATCATTTATTGTACAGATTGTTTCTTCTTTCAGAATAGATCGTGTAATATAACTATAGATCTTTGTTTTATCTTTCTACAATTGCACAATATTTGGAATCTATAATCTAC